TAATCGAATCCATCTCACTTGTCTCTAGTCTTGATTGCTTTTGATCGATCTATCTACCTGAACCATGTGTTCTCTGCTCTGATTATTGTTGACACTCCCCCCCAATGACAATGGGGCCTTTTGGTTCCCCTGCTCGCAGATGCAACCTTTTCCCCACCTCCTTGTTCGCCCTCCCTTGTACAAATCCTACAATGTTACTATAGGATTCGTCCACTCAGGGACAACATCCTGCACGACATGCCTCCCACCACTATTACACCCTGGTGCTGAAATCAATCTCAAATCCTGAGACCCTACCAATGAGATGACCCTGACACCCCTTCAAGGACCATGCATATTGCATTGGAACCAACTAGCTTCCTGCATGCCTGGATGATCAATCAGCCACCAGATGATCCCTCATGAAAAGAAGTCACAGAGTCACAGTTGACTTTTGATAATTGACTGTGATGAGTGTGGGCGATCCACCACCAAATTGTGCCCAGGATGGTTGATTATCGGTAATACAGTAATACCGATTTACGTGGATTTTCTTTGTCCTGTCTCACTCCCTTGTCTGTGGGCCAGAAGCTCGATTTTCTGGAAAACATGCTGTGCACTCTGTATGTATGGACAATGGGGTACGGTACCGTCTCTTCTTTTGCTCTTCTTTTTTTTTTTGCTTTTTCTCGTCTTTCTTTCTTTTTTTCTTTTCCCTTTCTTATGCGCTCATTTTGCATGTTCCGAGGCCAATGTACTAATCCCAGGCATCACTGCAATAGACAGCGATCACTTCTACCACTGGCACACAGCTCAGCTTGGGACTCTTCGAGACACACTCTGACCATCCCACAATCGCTGGTCTAGTGCTTTTACACCCGATGCATGACTGATTCGGTAGTTTCGGTTGTGTCGGTGAGCAAACAGGCAACATGAACGAAGATTTTCGATCGAACTGTCGATCGCCTGATCTCCCATTCATGCAAGAGTCATACTTGCTCGTGCCTTGGGAGAGCACCCAATATTCTAGTGTATTTGGGACAATCCTTTCAGGAGGCACTGCGTCTTGAGTCTTGACTTTACTAGGCCCATTTCTGTCCTTGTCTAGCGCTTCACCCTAGGCTGCCTCCGAGGACCTCCGACGGCCATTGGCCACCTGCTAGACTGTTACTGCCTACGACTAGTAGTAGTTCGACCGAATCCCCGTCATGCGACTGGGGTCACTCTGCACGGGATTTTCGGGCTGATGATCTACAATACTAATTTCCTTAGTTCCATCTTATTTTATTTATTATTATCATCTTTTTATTTTTATTTTTTTATTTTTTTTTATTTTTGATCTCCCATATGCTGCACTCTCCCGTTTGCCGGCTGTCGACGCTAAGAACAGCTGACTGTATTGGAAATGATCGGTTTAGGATATCTTACTGAATTAATCATCCAGTCAGGTTAAAGGATTTTTTTAGGGTACCCTTCACCTGGACCTACTCAGAGTTTGTGCAGCTTAAATTCTGCCTGGGGCTTGGGCCAGAGGGATGTAACATGCAGATTGGCCAATGGCACTCGACCTTCTGACAGTGTCCAGATTTACATCCACCATATGAGATGATGCAACGACGTCCATTACCAAGATCGTTGCATTGTTCCTGTGCAAAACGAGAAAGACCGAAACAAGGGAAACACAGAGGAATGACAGTATTTGGCTGAGGAGAAGGGCGAAACCCCCCCCCTCTCCCCCCCCCCTCAAAAAAAGAAAAAAAAACTAGGGGAGAAAAAGTTTGAGAAAGACGAAGAGGGAAGAAAAGATCCTGACGTCTCAAAGTCCTACGGTTGGACCCCTTCATGCTGCTGCCACCCATTGTAGTCTTCCTCATTCGGTTACAACGAATCTGGCTTGCTGGCCCTGGCATGATTCCAATTTCACCAAGAACTCGTGGCGAGAACAGTCCTTGCCCTCCGAGCTTAATCCAGCGAGTTGAACCCATCTAGCCTTGTGCACAACGAAGATTCTGCAGACACTCCGCCGCATGCTTACCAGGATTGTTATTGGACACTTGGGAAGGCCAGGCTAGCAGGAATCGACGGGGAAACGGGCGTCGTGCGCGGATGTGTGGGTATCTAGGAAAACAACATGACATGCGCGAAGCGTCTTTAACCCAATATCTGGAACCGAATATCTATCAAGCCGGTCCCTCAGGTCTTCGGCCTCACTAACGATTTGTACCCGGGTCTTGCTTGCATTATCTCGTCGATTCATGCGAGTCGGACGAGTGATCTCGAAAATTATCCGTTATCTTCACCGTGAGATCTTCCAGACATCCTTTCTCTTCATCTGTCGCTTGACTGTGTGAGAGGCCAAGAGCTAGACGATTCAAGTCTGACAGTCGTCCTATCGACGTGAACTGACCAAACGGTGCAACTCTTGGTGGTAAATCCTCACGCAGCTTGAGCGTTCCCGGCGGTTGCAGGAAGAGGCGCGAGATTATACCCAGTGCTGGTGTGGATTACACGTTCATCACAGTGACAGGCAACTGCATAAGTAAGTTCATTGGATATACTCTCTCATTATCATCCTTTACCCTGTCGCTTTTATTCATGTCTGCACTTGCCGCCCCTTTCTTCCTGTGGATCTCTCCACCGCAGAATGCAGTCGACCTGATGCCTTGCCTCCCTCCGAGTCTTGATTCTCAGAGAACCGAGACGGGTTTCTTTGTCTATTATGTATGGATACCCAGGAGAAGAGGCCATGTCTCCAGCAAGCGACTAGCAGTGCGTCACTGGAGGCTCGATCAACAAGTTGGGCGAGGCTCTCATCGAGGAATATGCGATGCAGACTCTCTGGGCGATGAGTTGTTGGCGCAATCTTGTTGCGCATGTTTCTCTTTTCCCACTGTGCGTCTTTCCTGCCCTGTTCTTTCCTGTTCTTTTTACTTTCTACTGCTCTCTACTGCCTCGGCCTGCTGTTTCTCTCTCTCTCTCTCTCTGAACTTCAAGCTACTGTGGACTTTGGACCCGTTATCTCAGTGGAAAGCTGACAAGTAGCAGGAGGGCTTCATTCTTGACACAACAGTCGCGGCAACTTTGATTACTTGACGTGAATAGGTTATCGGTGCCAAGTCAGAGCCGTCTGACTCAAAAGCAAGGTTTCGAAAGACAACTGTGGATCGATGAGAGGATACCGTTCACACCTACACTTGGATCTATATTCGACATAGATAGCCCCCTTTCAACACATTTAATAACCTAGTGTGTTGATTAGAGTGCTTGCTTAATCCAGACAGGCCCCTTGAAGCATTCAAAGCACACATCGCCCCAGGAAGACAACAGTTATTCGAACGCATACGTTGCTGAGGATATTGCAAATGAATCACTGTGAGTCTGTGTTTTCTCTTATCTTTTTGTTTGTTCATTCATTGCGAAATTTCCGCATATCTCTGATCGGGGTACTATATCGGCGGGCTGTATGGTACCCATCGACAAGCTGATATCAAACTATTCTTGAGCGATGCGATCTACATCCGGGGTTACGTTGATCTTCTGGACCCTTGGTATCGTGAGCTACCTCTTTTGTTACACAATTATTTGGAAGAAGTTTCCATCTCCTGATGTGCTGATTCCTGATCGAATGGGCGTCAAGCCGTATGGTTGTCCCCGGGTGACAGGGATGTCAGTCTGCTTCCGATATGGCGAAGCTTCTCTGAGCAATACCCCCTTTTGTGCTTTAATTTTTTTTTTTTTTTGAATGGCCCTGGACCATTTCTTTTCTTTTCTTTTTTTTTCCTTTTTCACTATTTTCTTTTCTTTTCTTTTTTTCCTTTTCTTTTTTTGCCATGCCCCAATTTCTCTCAAAATTAGTATTTACGGTTTCCCTTTTCTTTGTTCAAATTGCTTACCATGCCCATTTCCATACCCATACATTTATTGATCGACACCTTATCTCTAACCTTCCCATTTTTACCATTCAGCTACTCTCTTGCAGAACACATACTCGCTGGATGCACCCGTCACCTCCGACAGCGACTATATCGGCGCATCGCGATCCTTTTCTGGCTCGGCTGGCTTCTCGATGGATGATGAAGAAAGTCGTCGACGAAGCGGTACAATTGGCCATTCCCTAGTGCAGCCGGTTTCGATACCTGCCACCAACGGCTTGAGATACAGCGCACAGCAGCCTGCCATGCAGGATGTAGCGTAAGTTATCTTTCAATTCAGACTGTCCTTGTGCTCCACTTGCGCCCGCCGTGTCAGCCTAGTACTAGACTAGTCACTCATTCTATGTAGCTCAAATATCCCTGGGTGCTTGCTTCTTTTTCCCTTCTCTGCTGCTGTTGACAACCGTTGCTTTCTTTTTCTTTTTTTTCTTTCTTTTTTTCCCCTTTCCCTGGAGAGTGTATGTTTTTTTCAATACTCCTTTACGCTGGACTGCTACTTGCATGCATCTGGCTGTTGTTCCCTGATGGTTGGGTTATTTGAAGTCCGTCATTCACCATGCTGTCACTGAACCCTTTGGCCAACTTCGTGCCAATTCTTTTTATACACGTTGGGTATTCCAGGATGGGTCGGATATCATTTTGGTTACTTTATTTCCTATTCTCTTTAGGTTGAATGTGGTTCCTGCCCTGCACATCTGAATCTCAAATCAGTTTTGCTGACTCGACCTTCTCCCGTTCAGCTTTGCGACATCACCCACTGCTCTGATGAGCCCCAGTGATTCATGCTCCGGTGTGTTCTATTCCATCATTTCAACGATCTGATTTACCCTTTTGATGGATCATTAGCCTTTTCACATATCTTATGGCTTTGGCTGACACTTGGTGCTTCTCTTCCGTTTCTATAGACCCGTTTTCGTCTGCCTCAGGTTCTCTCTACTCTCACTCAGCAAGCTTGCCGTACGACCGAATGTCGGACTTCAGGTCACACCGCGGACCAGCACTGTAGGTTATTCATCATCTTGACCTTGGCAAAATGGTCAGTGAATGATGGGGAAACTGAACAGGTTCTACAGTCAGCCGCCTCCTGGAATGTCATCCGCTCTTCAACCACAAATTTCTGGGGTTTCCGGAAACTCCGCTCTCTTGGGCCGCAATGAGAGCTATTCCAACCAGTACGCTCTCCAACGGGGCAGCCAGTTTCCATCAATATCGAGTTTGAGCGACACGTTGCGAATCCCTCCATACACCAGTACCCCACGAGCCCTCGACAACACGTTTGATCGCTCCCACAATCTGATGTTTGGACAGGCGGGCAGCTTGTACTTGGATCCTCCACAACGCTTACCACAACCGGTAGCAGATGCACCTTCTTTTCACGAGACGAGTATACTTCTCCCGATTGTCGCAGGCAGCCAAGCGATCAAGCCGGAAATCCATGCCAAAATCCACAAGGGCTTCTTTCAAGTTGATGACAAATGGACATGCTATCGGCGGAATTATTTCTCGGTCTCTTGCTCGTTCTCATTGCACCCGTGGACACTCGCTCCTCTCTATCTCAAGGTCTCCGATCGAGCCACCGAGCGGACCGAGCGCATCCTCAAGTTTTCCATGTGCATCTCTGCAGTGGTGAATGCCAACCACGGGGAGATCCGCGAGTTGGTACAGCATACGCCCAAACGTGACAAACAATCCGAGAGAAAGCCAGGGAAAGTGATTCTACAACCTTGTCAGCCAACCCCGCTGGGTCTCAACCACGCCCACGCTGCAGCCTCCAATAGCAGCCAGCATGCGTTTGCAATGGCCTCTCACTCCGCCGGCTTATCGATGGACTATGGTTCTTCCTACACGGGCGCCGCCCCTCCGCCGTCGCAACCACCGACACAACACACATTCGAGCGCATCCAATTCCAAAAGGCGACTGCCAATAACGGCAAACGGCGGGCGCAGCAGCAGTACTACAATCTGGTCGTCGAACTCTATGCGGAGGTTACGAGCCCCAACGGCGGAAGCGAGACACAGTGGTTGAAGGTTGCCCGAAGGCTATCACATCCCATGGTGGTCCGTGGTCGCTCTCCTGGCCACTACAAAGACGGCCGGCGGGACAGCTCGACGAGCATGGGGCCCGATGGAGGGACCGGTGGCTTTGGGGACGGCGGTGTTCATCCAGGGCTCGGGCCAACAACGAGATCACACATGACGCTGATGTTTGACCCAGCTCAGCGTGGAGGCGCTCATTATGGCCGAACGGATTATCATCACATGACCGAGCAGTCTCCACTAGGTGGGAGTCCGCACATACCGTCTTCCGCGTCGTCTACATTTGATATCGGGATTCTCAATGAGTCCATGGACCCGATGAACACGATTAAAAGCACGACAAGCATGGAGATGTACCCGGACGCCTCGTTTGCTTTGATCGATAGGAAGCCCGAAGGCCTTTTCCGCACACAATTGGCACCATTCGAGTATGATACACTCTCTCGGGGTAGTGAGGAGTCTGGCCACAGCTATCCCGAGTCCTTCGATTCCATGACCTCACTGTTTCCAAGTGAGGCGAGTGAAGCTTCCCACATCCTAAAACATCCTCCTCGATTGACACCCCATTTGCACCATATTCCTAGTTCGAGTGACTATGACCCTCTCCTTTCTTCTCGCTCCAACAATGATGGCTCCTATAGTCGGTTCTCGAATTCGCAGGGTTTATGCGCTTAGCAGCTGGGGGATGGAACTTTTTTTTCTTCTTTTTTCTTGCATCTTCTATTTATATCTACTGTTCTATCATGATAGGAGCTGGGAGCGATTTGTAGCTTTTTTCTCTTTTTTTTTTTTTCTCTTCTCTGCATTATCATTTTTACAACTTCCTTCCCCCCCCCCCCCTTCTACTTGCCTTGTCTATTTTTCTCTCTTTCTCCTCCACTATTTGGTTCATCCAAAAATCAGCATTTTTAGACGAATTTTTTGAGCGGGAAATATCTAGACCGACATCTTTGAGTCGATCTGCGCCCCCCCCCCCCCCCCCCCCCAACAAGCCCAAAATTTTTACCGAGACGAAAAATTGCATGACAAGATAGCGTCTGGCCTTATGATTAATGCGCGTATTTTATCCTCCTTGCTTTCTTTATGATTTTCTTTTTGTGTTCTGGTTTTCTCTAAGTGTGTTTCTTTGGGTATACCCAGGTTGGTTCTCTTCCGACAGGCTGAGAATCCAACAATACTTGGTTGGATCTGAGGGCTCCGGGGCGTGCGTTTGTTTGTTTGGAAAGGCCAATGAGACCGGGGAATGTCTGGGTAGAAGATTTTAACATTCGAGATGGTGGAAAATCCTATGGGGTTAGCTAGGGTTTGTTCGGGTATTGCGATTGCAGTGCTGAGTGCAGGGCAATGGAAGCCGCCGCAAGACAGAGCGACTCAGAAAAGGATCAACAGATCAACAGATCAAACCAATCATATCATATGGAAAACTGAGGCACAGCCCTGCCTTGCCTAAAGAGTCTACCTACTAATCCGCTTCTTTGCCCGAATCCGGACTTGTATCTTGGAGCCACATTGGCTGACACGATTCAGGCGCGTGTAGATGGTTCCTCCTAGAGGACTGACTGTACACCATCCGAACCAAGACACAGCGAACCAGAGCCGATTACAACAAAGGATGAATTGGCTCGCAAACTTTGTGCGATCTTTGGATCCCTGTCAGACTCAGCACCTGGTATTTTCTCCGATACGTTGTCGTGGTGGGATTCACCAGGGCCGTTCCGCTGTCACTTTGGTGCCCCTGTGCTACATCACGAGTCAAGCAGTCGGATTTGGTGGGATTCTTCTGTAACAACTAAACGATTGACAAACTAGATAGGACAGGGTCAGGATGAACTGGGATACGCCTGGGAGTCACCGCCACCCTGAGAGCCCTACTCCAGTGTACTGTGCTCGGTATTAGTGTGGATGGACGCTCTACTCTGCTCTGCCCTGCTTTGCCCTGCTTTGCCCTGCTTTGCCCTGCTCAAGCAGACCCCGACAGTGTCGGTGGCCAGGATCTGGATTCTGGAACCACGACCAAAAAAACAAAGGCCATGCAGAAGAGAGAACGTATTTACTGTAATGAATCTATCTATCTACTGTTTATTGGCATTCAGTACACTTCCTTGGTACTTACTAGTCGTCCTGAGATACTGTAGAGGGTACGGAGTAGAAAGTTCTGTTCTGTACATAAGTGTGTATCTCAAATTCAAAGTTGAAAAATGAGAGGGGAAAAAAAAAAAAAAATAATAATAATAATAATAATAATACGTAGAATCCCCGGATGATCGACGCAACCCAATTTTCTAGTCAAAAGCCAGCATCAGCCAGGCGCTCAAGCCTTGCGAAAATGAGATTGATCTACCCTCCTTTATTTCTTTATTTCTTTATTTCTTTATTTATATATAGATATATATATATTTCTTTTTTTTTTTTCCCCCTTTGTTAGGGCGGGAGAGAAGAGAGAAGAAAAAAATCATTCAATTCAATCAGCCTCGAGAGTTCTCTGATCAATACCTCTACCTCGTAGCTTGTTGGTTGGTTGGATTTGAGAATACATACTTACTACCGATGGAGTAAAAAACTGGGAAACTGGGCACTTCAGCCTCGATGCACAGAACTAGTTAGGACTACCTACTTATTAACTACTACTAGTATGTACCCATATACTACGTTATTGTAACTGCAAGTCCTCAGCAGTCTCCCCAAAATAATCCAAGAAGGAAAGAAACCAAAAAGTCTGAAATTCCAGTCCGCAATCCTTCAATAATTCCCCCACCCCACCCCAAATAACAGCCTTAGGGGCCGATCAGGATCGACGGGGGGCTGTACTGTGTACACTAGCCCGGTGCGCCTATTTCCTGACCTGAGACTGAGAGTAGCGTCTAGACTTTGACAGTGAATAGATAATAGTAGATACATACATACATACATACATACTTGGGTTTATGGGGCTGGCGGTGGCACTTAGCACTTCGCATTTAGCACTTAGCACCGATAGATAGATAGATGGTTTATATTCCCATTCCCCCAACACTCCCACTCTGTACATGATTTGATCTGATCTTGATCTTGGATCTTGGATCTCGATCGGATTTGATCTTATTTCCCACTCTAAGAATCTGAAATCTGGAATCTGGAATCTGGACGGACGGTAGATACTGACTGCATGGGCTAGATACTTGTACACAGGTGCATGAAGCCTGATGAGCTGGGATCATCTTCGCGTTCTCTCCGGGCAGACGCGGTTCCTTCGGGTCTTCGGTGCGTCGAGGCTGGCTGCGTTGGCAGCAGCAGCAGCTTCTGATCCTGACGCTGTATGGAGGGATACCGTTGCGGGTTGAAGATACTGTCTGTAAGCAAGAGTCGGTCCTGAAGTACCTAGTTGGTCCTCGAACTGTTGATGGCCCAGCACAACCAGCTCAGCCACAACATGCATGTTGTACAAGGGGGTAGGCGAGAGATGGATCTTGGTGGATAACTGGGAAGATATACTCAGGTATTTTGTTTAGTACTCAAGGAATTGAATATTTACTGAGACCGTAGGTATGGATGAATGGGGTGGAAATACAGCATGTACTCGTGCCAACCACCAACAGCGCCGATACGGCATGCAGGGCAAATGCAAAGCGATTCAAGTCCGAACGCAACAAAAAAAAAAAACAAAAAAAAAGCTGAGTGGATGATGAGCAGAAGATGAGCGCCAGGATGATGGTGGCGGAGCGCAAACCATCGCATCCAATCAGTCTCGGTACTTACTGGACTCACCTCACTTACAGTATCAGGATATTCAAGGTTGGCGACTACATACCTAGCTACTCCCTAGATGAGAAAGATGGGGTGAGTGAGATCACTGTTGAGTCAACCCATGCACGTGGGGAATGTTGTCTGTCTTCACTTCAGAGACTGCCATCTAACACCAGGGTTTAAGAGGATGATGATGATGATGATGATGCCTATGCCTATAACGATGAGGCAAATCTCGTCCACCATCCCGTGTCCCATCGTGTGGGGGGCCGTGATGCAGCTGCTGCCCCATGACCTCAGCTCGAGCACGTTCTGCATCTGTATAGTGTACACATCGTACATTGTACCGGATGACAGATGGAGGATCCCATATCTGGCCGGACCTTTGCCAAATGATCAATGCTCATATTCGGATCTCGCACTGCTGGGCTTTTGACTCCAACTGCTCCAACCGGTCATCGTTCGTCATCGTCAAGTCTAGTGCACAGGCCCCCAAGAGCTGAGAGCAGGGTAAGTAGGGTAAGTATCCCTCCATTCGAAAAGTGTCATTGGCGACGTGACAAACGCGATACCCAAAACCTATACATGCCTTCGTGGTCAGTCCTCATGACTCAATACAGAGCACAGCGCATCAACCTCCGAGAAAAACTCACCCTCATCTCGCATCCATCTCCATCTCCATCTCCATCTCCATCATATCAGCAGTCAGCACCCAGCAGCAGCCAGCACCCCTCCTCCTCAGATCCCCGCATCCCACCCTTGTTGTCGTAGTCCCGTCACACAAAACGGCTTCCGAATGCTGTGCTGCCCCCAGACCCTTGCTTACCTCCCCCCCCCCCCCCCCAACCCAAGCTGCCAAAACGCTCACCCCAACATGTGAAAGTGGCACAGACAGAAATAAACCCCGACTATCCCACCACCGAAAAAAACAAAAAAAAAAAGTTTAAAAGAAAACTACAAGCGGAGCAAGTTCAATTCCCCCCCTTCTCAACCCGCGACACCCGCACCGCCAATTTCCGCTCCAGCTCCTGTTGTTCCTCGGCCGTGGGAACCATGCCCATTGCGCCTTCGACCTGCGGCGAGAACCAGAGTCCGACGGAGGCCCAGGTCATGACGCCGAGGCCGAAGAGGGCGCGTGTCTTGGGGGAGAGAGAGCGGTAGGAGCTGTGGGGGGGGGGGGTCGGGTTTGTGGTTAGTAAAGTCTCTTTTTTTTGGGGGGGGGGGGGGAGGAAAGGGGAATTTGGGGAGACGGACCTCCAGAAACTCATTCTGTTTGCTGAGATGGTTTTGGCGAAGGGATAATGGAGGAGATAAACTCGTAGTGGTTACTCACTACGGAGTAGTACGACGGAGAGTAACTTAAGTCTTACTCTTATCAGGTCATGGATAGCTGTCAAAAGATCGCTTGGCGCTGTCGTTACTCTTTCTGGACTAGGATAACCGGAGACGTTTGAAGCCTGAGTTCTCAGGCATTTATTGCGATTTACATCTCTCATCTACGCACCAACCCGGTTCTTCTTCAATCTTGGTACGATGACCCAGGGAAGCCATGACTGTTGGTTAGTATAGCTGCGGCGAGAAGCCTTCACTTGGCAAGATTCTTTCAGGTGAGGACCACTGCATCCCAGCTCGATTTTCTTACCAAGGGAAATGGCAAAGTCATATGGCGCCTACCCAGTGGTAGGTCTGAGAGAAAAGTGAACCAGATGAAACTTGGGGAGTAAGGCATATAGCGTGAAAACCAAAGCTCGTCAGGTTGCACATAGATAGGTTGACCAGGCTCAGATGGACTGAACACTGATCACGGATCTGGCCCCGGTCGATCAAATATGATACTTAAAATCCGAGCAAGATATGCGCCAACCAGCTCATAGTTGATTGACCTGCACGCAAAGTTGAGGAATAATCGCAAGTCACATTGCTGTCCAACGAGCTGGGAATTATAAAACAGAAATACAGCATCCGAAACGACGAAGAAAAATAAATGGCTGCGACTGCGAGAGCAAGGAAACAAATCGAGCGTGCACTGCGCACAGAGCATTATAGTAAACAGGAACGAATTTATACAAGTAGGAAAACACTTCACACGAACAGTCATAAATCGTTCACATCCTACTTCTTGCCGTACGCACGGTCAATGTCGGCCCGGAAGTGGGTGACAATCTTCTTGCGCTGCAACTTCTGAGCCGCAGTCATATAACCCTGGAGAAACGTTAGGTTCGAGAATGTCATCATGAAATGGATCGGCATAGAGACTTACATTTTGAGGCGTCCATTCCTCGTCAGACAACACAACGCCACCGATGATCTCGATACCCTTGAGACCACCAGCTTTGCCAGCGCTCTGGAGCTGCTTGAGGACGATCGACTTCAGCTTTTCGTTGTGAACAAGCGCTTCGATAGTATCGCCTTCAATACCATTCTCTTTCGCGATCTTCTTCAGAGCGGCTTCCACCGGCACGATAATGGCGACGGGCTTGTCTTGATCTTCCGCCGCATAGACGCAGATGTTGCCAACCACGGGCGACGAGCGGTATACCGATTCGAGCTTCTCCAAAGCAATATATTCACCGTTGAGAGTCTTCACTAGGTTCTTCTTGCGGTCGATGATCTTCAGGTGGCCGTACTTGTCGAACTCACCGATGTCGCCGGTCATGAACCAGCCATCCTCGGTGAACGCAGCCTTGGTCTCTTCCTCGTTATCCCAGTAGGAGGTGGCAACGCTACCACCCCGGATGAAAATCTCACCCTGCGGGGGGTTGCTCTTGGTGAAGTACCCAGCCTCGGGGAAATCGACGAGCTTGATTTCAATCGATCCAGGAATATCACCCAGAGCTTCTGGGTTCCAGGCCATGGGATCGTTGAGAGCACCCATGGCGGAGGTTTCAGTCAAGCCATAGCCACTAATCATAGGGCAAATGGCCATCGACAAAAATTTCTGGGTGTCCTTGGAGATCGGACCACCGCCATTCATCATGATTCGCAGCCGGCCGCCGGTAGCCTCCTTCAGCTTGCGGAAGACAATGGCATCCAGGATCGAAGCACCCATTTCGGATCCAGGGAAGCCATTCGTCATCAAAAAGCTCTTTGCGGACATAGCTCCCCAGAACATGCCCCTGGCGAGGAAGTTGGCTTTGTTCAAATTGTTCAGCACGCCCTTCTTTACCGATTCCCAGACAGCCGGTACACCAACAAGGATGGTAGGCTTGAATTCGCGAATATCGCCCTTGCAGTTCCGCATCGAAGCGTCGGACAGGGTACGGGGGTTGCCATAACCCATGGTGCCACCCCAGAACAGGCAAATGTTCTCGAACATGAACTCCAAGATGTGGGCTTGAGGGAGATAGGTAAGCAAGGCATCCGAGGGGCCGATGTAGGGTCCAACGATCGCTTGAACACCGGCAGCTATTCAAAAAGATTAGGAATCAGTATCACTCAAGGGCATAATCCATGTGGATTTGGTGGACTCACTGGCGGCAATAACATTCGCCTGGGTCAGGGGAACACCCTTTGGTGGACCTGTAGAACCGGAGGTGTACATGATACAACAAAGGTCTTCCGGGGATGGCGGAACAGGGTCCACAGGGTGCTCTTCTCCGAGCTTGCGCAGCTCCTCAATACTGATGATGTTCAAATAGTCGAAATCGGCCTTGAGCTTGTCCAAATCCTCCTGCTTCACCTCCTGATCGGTGTTGTAGATAACGTGCTTAATAGACTTCACGTCAGCAAGGACATGCGTGAGGGAGGGGATCAGGCCCGGGTCAAGGAAGATGGCGCTGCTGGAAGTTTGGACCAGCGAATGCTTCAGTCCCTCTTCTCCCAGGGTATCATATGCGGTGACGATCGTCATCGACCGAGAGGCGGCACCTGTTCAGACACGAGTTGATGAGCAAACCCGATACGAAGAAAGACGCGAAAAATAAAAAAAAATAAAAAAAAAAAGAGAAAGTGCTAACGAACCGTGTGACATTGCCAGCCAATGTGCACTTGATAGAGATTCAAATCAGCACCTGAGAACAAGAAAAGCGTATCCCGAGCAGACTTACCTCGTCGCGCCGTAAAGATGAATCTTGTTGCTCTTATCCAACCCCAGCTTGTTCAGACCGCAACCCAGCTGCAGCGCAAGACGCTCATATTCGATAAAGCTCAAGTAGGTATAGCCGCTCATCTCGAAGTACGTCCACTGCTTATCGACCTCCTGCTCCACACCGTCGACGATCCTCTTGATCTTCTTGTTCTCCACGTGGGTCTTGATCAGGCGACGGGTACCGACTGCTTTCGCGTTGCCGAACATGCGCGCGCCCCGTCTGAGGATGTCATAGGTTGTCGCGACATCCTCCGCGGGCCGCAGGAGGAGACCATCTTTGGCCACGGGCAGACGTCGGGGAATGCTCTCGCCCTCAACAGGCTCGTAGTTGGGGGCCTCCACGGAAAAGGGAGGCTTCTTGGACATCCGAGGATGGAGCTGAATGTCTTTCTTCGACATTTTGAAATGCGATCACGGAGACTCGAGGAGCTGAATGACGATCAAATCCGGTTGGTTGTCAATGAGTCAAAAACGCCTATTTCAGACGATACAAGCTGCTATTAGCTATTCCCGTCCGCGGTATTTTGAAACTCGGGCCGAGAAACAATCAGGGGAGAAATGGAGGATGATCAGAATGAAGGCCAGGAAGCTTCCAAGACTTACGGAATTGTAGGATCACAAAGTACCAGCAACAGGAAGCGGGGGCGCGTGGAAGACGAGGAGAAGGAGGAGGAGGAGGAGAAAATTAAACAATCAAGCCAAAGCAGAAGAGGGGGGAAATTTAGAGACTAAGAACAATAAGAGAGAAGTGAGAGGGGACGGGGTGGCTGAGACTGTTGAAGCTGTGTACAGAGTAGGTTCAGCAAGATTGTTGCGGATGAAGTCAGTTTGGATTCCCTTAGGACTAAGTTAGTCGAGCTAGGACTAGTGAGTATTTGTGGCTGGGCTTTAGGGACAGAGCGGCCCAAGCTCACTATGATGATTGCATCCTGCGTTGGTGATGACGCTTCAGCAACAAATAGGGGTATTTTACAGTCATGTACTCTGTAGGTACCTACAGTTCTACACAGTATGTCAAAAGTTTCTGTACGGCTGCCCTCATCAAAAATATATATTTTCGGGGTTCAACAAAAGCCTAGGTTCGGATTCAGGACAGGAACCTGTTCCCATTTAACAAAATATGCGCCCAGGTCGGCATTCCCTACAGCCCGGTGAACTTGTCACCTTAAAAAAGAAAACGGTAAATCCCAAAGTGCTTTGCTCGCAAAAGGAATCTGTCGCAAAAATGGTGTGTAGAGGGATTTGGAACTTGCATATCCACGTTTGGTGGAGTTGGTACCGTGCGATTTACCAAGTTGCTAATTTACTATCGTCTCTATCATCCGCGAGGGCGGATAAGTCCTCTTGATGTCGAATCAACATTTCGAACGATCAAGCAACTGTGTGACAAGCCTGATAGTCTCAAAGGGTGGGAGAGTTAGTTCCATTCCCTACCCCAATTCATTCAAATTAGGATTATGTGTATACTGTCGATCAAGATGTAGGTGCTTTTATAATCTTGCTATGGAAGGAGCTCAACGGGTCATTGAGGCCTATGGCAATACACACCAATCTCTTGAGGATCTGTGAGTCTTCTACACTGGCTATCAAAGGGTCCCTCGAACAGTCTAACTGCATGTTTCATGATAATATTTGCGGACGCAACCTCACCCTGAATAAGTCGCTAGTTCTTGGGATGCTTGATATAGATTATGGCATCCCCACCTCCTTGAATGAGCTGCAAGAGCGATTGTTTATCAATTTCGTCTTTGTATGGTGCTTTTATATCAATGACCCTTTAACATGGGGATACAGCTCTCCCGTCTTCAAGGTGCTATGCACAGCTTTCCTCCACCTGGCAGCCTGGAATTTTGAACTGTCTTCTGATTGCAATGTTGAGCTTCTGACCTCCTTTGCGTTGATACCTTCTTGAAACTACCCTGAGACAGACATATATTGGTTTCATGGTTTCCTGATTGTTTTAGAAGAAGATGTTGAATCTGAGACCATGATGAAAAAGACCCTCAAGAAAACCAAATCATGTATTAAAGACTCCCCTGAGCATATGACAGTTGCTTGAATTTCACCTCACCGCACTGTATCACCTTTATGGAGCTTTTTCATGACGTTGTCTTAGCTTCCAAAAGTATGGCACTGCTCACCGACTACTCAGCAGCCTAAAGCTCACCTTGCTTCCGCGCTCTGTCCTGGGTCCTAACCTCATACCGTTGGGAAAAGTCTCTGGCCCATAGGGAAAGGTGGAAGCTCAATATACCACCCGAGTTCCTTCAGAAGATTCTCAATGAATTGGAATCACAAGATGCGATGGCATTTGCGCAGGCTTCCTTTCCCGCTGAGCAGTGTTACTACGCCTCGGTGCCCCAGTTCAGGAATCTCATCATACTAAGCTTTGAATCATCTATACCATGCTGTGGTAAGCGTGGTGGGTTAGAAGAACATGGCGTTTGTTGTTCCAAGTGCTATTCATGAAGGTTCTCTAAGTTGGCTGTATATACATACATAGCCCGCCGAATTATCCACCAAACACTGCTTCAAAGCAAAGAAATTCAAAATGATTTCCTTGGAACCTTAACACTTACTCAGTAAGTCTCCTGCTGAACCTTGCCGGACTTTTGAGGGAAGGTAACATGGTTTAGTGGTGGTAGTGGTACCAACATGAGTCTATAGATGGAAATGTCTTGTGGGGTAATAATAGATTTTAAATACTAAGTACTATATAATCCCATAATTTGTACCTGGTCAAGAAGATCCATATTCCATAGTTCATGCTTCCATATAGTCTCTAGTAAAGTCCTTTCATCTCTCTGCCACTCTTTAACTATCTAGACACCGAGGCTGCCTTTGTCTTTGGACATCTCTCATGATTTACATAGTCACAGTGACAGGAACATAGGTAGGTGGAAAGTTACACTGATCCAGTGGTAATTTCTTACCGGGAGGCCTCTGGTCAAGAACTCAAAAACACTAGAGTGACAACGGAGGAGGACTGTCATTTGTTGGGACTTGGGACTCCCGCCCAACACCGCGACCACTGCCACCACTGGCAATCGGTGACTCGAGAAGGATCAAATTCTAAACGATCCTCGTGCCGGATTAGCACGCTGGGCAGTCTTGGATCGATCTTGACTTGTCGTTGATTCGTCACCTGTCCAGATCCCAAGTGATTGAATCCAACCGAGGTCTCTGCGATTTGTTCTCTGTGACTGTCATTCTGCATTTCTGTGGGTTCGTGTCTCGTGACTTGGAGCCTACCTACAACTTAACTTTACAAAGCAACCTACCTAAGGACCTAGGTAGGATAGATAGATACCCCAGACCAAAAATTTTCATTATGTTTAATGCATTCGACCAATCAATAATAATGGCTTTGTTGTAGACCTTTCAGATATCCTCAAGGCGCAGTACTGTGTACAATCTCCATCAGTTCAGTTCAAAGAGTCGCTTGACTTCACATGTGATATCTCTCCATACCAGAGTTCTAAGACAAAATTCATTTCAATCTACAGGGTAGTTATGGCGCTGTGCCGTTTATCCTAGACAAAGCAGCAGCTAATTGACCTAGGTGCCTCACTAGTGAACAGCCTCGGAGCTCGCTTCAACGACCAGCGACAAGGGGAAAAAAAATTATACGTTAGACTGATCCATAACAATTGTGCATAGCTATCGATTGGGACTGGAGCATAATATGGATCAAACAGCGGATCTAGAGGTTTTTCTGTCGTCTATCGGAGAAGAGGTAGAAGATGCTGACGAGGGTATGTATGTCCTGTTACCTTACCTGTAGATAGGTAGTCTCTTGTAGCCCACCCACAACCCATAGAGAGGAATCAAATATCCTCCCTCGCTAGAGTCCAAAAGTTAATCGTCATTACCTCGCTAGAATCCTTCCTCCTCTTCTCGCGAGACATCCCCTCCGCAAACCTGGGCTTCGTGGACTCGCGCGCAACCTCCGTCGAGATCACCATCCACGACCAAGACTACACCATCAATCAATCCCCGACTCTTCTCTCCTCGTCTCGAGCCGGAGGCACAACAGGCGCAGGTAATCAATCACCTCTCTCTTCTTTCCCTCCTCCCCCATTCCCCCAAACAAAAAACGCCCAAGCTAATCAACAAACCAACCTAGTCCTCTGGAAAATCACCCCTCTCTTCGCAGAATGGATCTCCGCGTCGCACTCCAACCCACTATGGAAACACGCCCTGCTCTCCCCCGCCTCTACAGCTGTTGAACTGGGCTGCGGCATCTCAGGCCTCATCGCCCTCACCCTCGGCCCCCGAATCCGCCACTACGTCGCCACAGACCAGGAGTACGTCCACAGACTCCTGCGCGAGAACCTCGCCGCAAACGCCGCAGTCGCGGTAGCAGGCATAGGCACAGGACCCTCCAACAAACCCAAGACGAAGACAAAGCGGCGCGCCACCGCCGCCGCGGCGCCATCCAAATCCAAATCCGCAAAGGAAAAAGGGAAGCAGCAGGGGCGCGAAACCCCCGGCCCGGAGAACGTCACCTTCGCCGCGCTGGACTGGGAACTCGACGTGCCTGCGTCCTTGAAGGAGAGTATCGGGCTGGCAAGCGGTACGGGCGAAGGTGACAACAACCGCGCGGGGGTAAAGGAAGAGGAAGAGGAGGAGGAGGAGGTGGTGGTGGACCGGGGCTTCGACGTCGTCCTGTCCTGCGACTGCATCTACAACGAAGCGCTGGTGGCGCCGTTTGTGCGCACGTGTGCGGAGTTCTGTCGTCTGCGGCCTGTTTACGGGGCGGATGGGCGGGCGTCGGCGCGGCCGCCGACGGTCTGCGTCATTGCGCAGCAGCAGCGGTCGCCGGATGTGTTTGAGGCGTGGTTGCGGGAGACAATGCGTGTGTTTCGGGTGTGGAGGCTGGGGGATGAGGTGTTGGGGGAGGGGTTGAAGGCGGGGACGGGGTATGTGGTGCATCTCTTGTTGTTGAAGGATGGTGTGTAGATGCCGGGGGTTTTGGAGGGTTAGATGTGAGGGATCTCGAGGAGTTACTCTACCGGATGCTTTTTGACTTTGCATGATGGGAACGGGGCCTTATGCGTGTCTATATGTATCTATGCGTGGTCATGCTGGATGATGAGTATGGGAAGGTGTTATGCCAGAGATCTTCCATGGAATATCTATGGTACACATGCTAAGCATATATGTGATGTGTGAGAGTGCAGATCCGCCATCAGAAATACCGAGTGTTGCCGAGTCAGATGGCCGAGCACTATCACCAAGAAGTACAATGGCTGCAGCAGAAATTTGAAGAGTCCAATCCATAGAAGCAACCAAAATGATCAAGCCACGTGCAAACCATGCCATTCAAGCGAGATGACCAGAGATACGGAGACAATGATAGCAGAAACTGAATCGGCTGCTGTTCGAGTACCAGCCGGCCAAGTCAATTTTGAAAAAAAAAAAAAAAGGCATTACTATTAGAAACATACGAATTGCCACCCATGAATGCACAAGAGGGTATTGACGCAAAAGATGCATGATAGGAACAGAAAAGGTCAAGTTTGGATTATGCGAGGTGGCCGTGACCAGTATCAACGTGATGGTATTCTCACTACGCCTCGGCAGTTTCCTTGAAATCCATCCGCTCCATTTTGAAATCGCGCGGTGCAGGAATCTCAGCTCGTTCCGGACTCGATCCGCGACGCTGACCAGACGCACGCAATGCCGACTCGGCGCTCTCAGGAGCACCCCGTTTCAAGCTCACTCGGGGTTCTGCAGTAGGATCCCGATCAATGATCGAAGAAATCGTTTGTTTCGCGGAGCCGTTCATTCTCGGAACAGTGGTCATCTCTTCCGGTGTGGGTAGGGACGCCGCGGGCGCCGGTAGAGGTCGCTCTGTCGGTTCACACTTCACTGGGTATAGGTTCTCTCGGCCTTCGTCGTCCGACGTCGATGAATACTCCATGTCATTGGCAGACTCCATCCGACTTTCCTCGGTGGATGCACGATTCACAGTCAAAACAGGTGGGAGGGGGGCGTTGGGGTCAAACACCACGCCACAGACCTCCAGTGCCCTCGACTGGCTTCCCAAGCTACGATCCTTGTGCTTCTTCGTTAGATGGCACATAAATCCGTGGAGAGTCACAAAATCAGCTTTGCCGCAGCCATGCACCGGACATGTCAGATACACCAAGCTACCATCGGAGGGTCGTTTCCATAACGCACGTCCGGACGGGTCATGGGCAGCGGGCCGTCCATGGCGCTCCCCCCACGCCTCTACGTTCTTGATTGTGTATTTCTGTTTCCGTCTGATGGAATTGGCCGTCGAATGGTCATGCTGGATATGCTGAGGTTGGGGATGGGAGGGTGGAGGCGCTTGCACCGCGGGTTGGGGTGGTGGTTGTTGAATAGGTCGAGGTTCGGGTGGGCTTTGTTGTTTGAAGAATGCAAGGGTCGTGGCTGCATTTGTTTCTGATAATCGACGTGGGGGTGTAGGACGAAGGGGTGGCGAGTCAATTGTTGCGTTATACCCGAGTCCCATGGATTCTCTCTTTAGACGTTTTCTTTGCCTACGGAGTTCCTGGACGGGGAAGTAAGCGGCCATAATTAAGGGGAGGGAAAGAGTCCAACGCTCGAATGCAGATGGCTGTGCCATACCTCTTCTTCCGCTTCAGCATGTTCCGTCATTCTACGAAATTCCTCATCCTCTCGTTTTCGAATAGCTAGCAATTGGCTCCGGGCTGCCATACGAGCAGCCTCTTCTTGCTCTAATTGCCGTAAACGAGCCTCGATGTGGTCTATGGATGGAGGATGGGCGGGTGGGTTAGGCGGACCCGGTTCCTGCATTTGTGGAGGAGGAGGGAAAGGGCGATAGTAGTGATGGTGCATGGCATGCTCTGGCGGAACTGGTTGATTCGGGTTCATGGCGATTGGATGGAATCGCGGTAAGCTCATGTTGACTGCATGTCCCGGCACTGGGCCGTTCATACCATGCTCGTGAACCGGCGGTGGCACAAGAGGTGGTGCAGCCGCCGTCATGGTGGTGAAGGTAATCAACAGGAGGGCTGATCGAGGTCTAGTTGTCTTCTGTTTCTGTTTTGCTTCTGTACCAGAGACGCAGGATGTGGTGATGGTCTGATTGTTGTTGATCAAGTTGTGAAGGTGAGGATGAGGTTTTCCAAGAGGTGATGTAGATCAAGAAAAACAGCGGACTAAATCAGGATGAAAGACGATTATCAATTAGATGAGATGTATAAAAGATCTTGAGCAAGCAAAGCAGGATATGAGAGACGGAGGGGGGCTTTAGGGGGGGGGGAATGCCATGAAAAATAACAGAGAACGATAGAAAAAGAGAGAGAGAGAGAGAGAGAGAGAGAGAGACGATTGAGATTGGAGGGAAATAATAACAAGGGAACCAAATTATTCGAGAGAAACCAAGATAGTCGACTTACATTGGCAGAGTGGATTTGGCAGCAGAAAAAAAAAAAAAAAAAAAAAAAAAAGAGAGAGGGAAAGAAAAACAGAGAGACAGAGAGATACCTGAGCCCAGGATGTCCAGTCGGTCCAGTAGTAGATAGATAGTCAAGAGTCACAGCAGAAAAGAAGAAAAACAAACTGCTAGCGTGGCTGTTTTAGCTGCACCTTGCCCGTTTTTCCCTTTCTTTTCTCTTCTGTTTTCGATGGATTGGACTATGGATTGGTTTATGGAGTCAGTATCTAGTTTTTAGCTTATGGGAAATTTCCCGTGGAGTCTCCAGCTGTCGTGGAATTTATGGTACAGCCAGTAGTAGTAGTAGTAGTAGGAGTAATAGATAGTATAGCTATTGTTATTATTATTTGACATCCAGTGCAGTTATAAACGTGAAGATATGTCCTGTATATACCTAACGGTTGAAGCAAGGGATTTTTGAAGATTGGATGGATTCACTGTAGGTACTTCAATATTGAGTTGAGAGACCTTGAATGCCAATGTATAGTCAGCTGTAAATAAATAACTAACTACTCCAAACAAAGTAGATAGATGCAGAGGTCTAGATGAAGAAAAAATAATACCCCAGCAATATCGGCAGGGATCAAAGAGAAAAAAGAGAGAGAAAAAAAATGAGGCGAGGATTCAATAGAGTAAGAATTAACTAAGCCCCAGTTGATTGGGACAGCTCTGGCCAGCTACCAGTTGGCTAAGAAATTAGTAGAGTTCAAAAGGTAAAACTAGTTTGACTTGAATGATTCTTCTTGTGTGATTAATTAGACTAAGATGATTATGACTATTAGGATTATTATTATTAGTGGTATTCTTCGGGATTGCAAACAAACAAGCCCATGGATCAAAGACTAAACTTGCAAGTTGCAACAGGCTAATAGCAGCTCTAGTCCCCATTCCACAATAAAACTACTATCTATCTTAGTGATCAGGAATCACATAATAATGTGAATGAGAGTAAAATCAGGATGAGGTTAAGAGAGAAAGGACCGCCAATCAATGAAATCAACACACAGTAACTCGATCAGGATCTCTTGGGGCGGCATACTTGGCAGCATCATCCTACTTGAGATTGGAGATCTGTACCTAATCTATGGATAATAATACGGGACACTACTGTGTATATTGAATGCAATCTCAAGGGATGTTGCCCCAATTGAATCACCTGTAGTAGAGAGGACATCGAACAAGGTCCTGTGGGCGTTCTTAGTGTACTTGGTTATTATTATTTCATAAGTTCCTTTAGGGACAGGGCATTTGGTAGACTGACTAGCAAGACAACTTTCCACACACTACAAGTTCTAATCCTTGAAGTCTTAGAAAATAACCCATGTGCTTTTAGTACTCTGTAACACAGAGGAGAGTACAGAGTCCAAGAAGCCAAGGAGATAATTAATGATGGCCTGAACCTTAAGGTTTGACATGTATCGGAAGTTTAAGATCGAGATTCCTGTCCCTTTCGACGATAATCTAGGTTAACTTGGCCTATCTTTGGGGATCCTTATTATCCCTGATATCTATCTAGGGACTGCAAGTACATACTCCGTAGCCAACTCATCCGGTTTTATCTTTCAATTCCTCAAAGGAGAAGAAAGCGAAGGGAGCTGAGTCTTAGGCACTTCCGGTTCCATCAATATTCACTATTCTGTACTGAGGTACCTACTCTAGATAGTCGACGGGACTGTGAAGAAAAATAGGGAAGAAAATAATCCGCCTCATTTATTTATAGTGGTTCGGAGCCAATGGGCGTTGGACAATCTACTTTGGTATGTCACACAATGAAAGGAGCAGAATAATAGGAAGCTTAGAAACAGAGAGAGGTACCAGGGGTACTAACCTAGGTAGTCGTGGTTGGGTAATTGAAGTGTCTAAGGCGCGTCGTAGATAGAAAACCATGGAACCAAGGGCCCAGTCAGTACTTGGGATGCATCATATCAGTATTAGTATTTGTAAGAGGTGCCTGACCCAACCTAATAAGATGATGTGGTTGATTTTTTTTTTTTTTTTTTTTGTTTACACTCAGTTCCAGCTCCTTATTTGTACGGAAGACGGAGTAAACAAGCAAGAATTGACCTGACTCAATGGGCTGTTGACTCTCTATTTCCTCTTGCTTCCATGTAAAAGAATTCTTGGAAGACCTCATTAATAATATACATAATGATAATTGTTGAACCACCAAGTGGGGAGAACAGAAAAACAGTCAATGATTTATTGAAACTGATCGACAGTAATAAATCATCATATGTACTGATGTGGGCGAAAAAAATAGTTTGGCATCCAGATTCCAGACAATACCTAACACGAACAATAAAAAGCCAGCCAACCCCAATCAGAAGCTCCCATGGCTGCTTGATAATGTTGATTTTTATATTATTAGCTGACGCCAGGAGTCTTGCTAGTGTTTCCTGTAGGCTGTGGCAGACCCCCCCCCCGAGTTTGTTTGCAGAGATTTACAAGCATGTACGGAGTCGTACTCCGTAGGACATTGCTTTCTCTCGCCTCTGGCCCAAGTCATTATTATCCTCACTCCACCTCATCCGACTTAAATAAATACTAAGAGTATAGTCCATTTCTGAATAATATGTAACTCGACCGAACCCGAATGCCAATCCGGAGAAAAATCCAGATTCATTACCCCCTCCATAATGCATGGCGATCGGTCTGTAAGCCGGTCTGCTTGTTGTGTACACCGTTGATTTGCTCTCTATCCTGCATTGCGCCTGCAAGTCTCCCAGTGGAGATCAAGCTAGAGCTGTGGGATTCCGATAAGAGAGGGCGTTTTCGATTCAAATCTTGCACTTCTTCGTCAACACTCAAGATTATTAGTTAGTCTACAGGAGCACTGAAAAAGGCATTGTTCCTCTGTTCCCTTGCAACTGGCCATGGATCATAATTATCACAACATGACCACATTTGACGACATGGCCCAAGTTATTTCTCCTCTATTCATGATAGTCATCTAGTCTCAAGAACCATACAGTCACATTATTTGTTTTATCCTTAGTGGTTCCTTTTCATGTTGCTGGAGACAAATCCTGTTCTGTCAGTAAACCTTGATCCACTTTCCGAATCACATTCACACCAAGACCAAGACCAGGGCCAAGACCAGAATTGAAGTCCGGAAAAGTACGAAAGTCGACGAGGAGAGTGGTCAGTGGACGCCTCTATCTATCTAAACAGTGCGTTGGAAGCAATCTCAATCCTCGAGTTGCAACGCTCACAGTTCATGTGTGTAACATGCAATGGTAGAAAGAAGGACTCCAGCTACTAGATAATCCTCAACTCCGGTCGACTACTCTGAGGAAGTCGGAATATGAATAAGCATACTCCGTACAGAGTAGATACAACAAAACAGCATACCTCAACATTCCCCCTCAGATTCAACCCTCCTTGGCCAAAAAAACTCTATCGATTAATATTGAAACTAAACGTCAAGAATCAAGTGGAGGTTAGGAATGCAGCTAAAAGCCTGAAGGACCATACAAATCAATAAAAATCCTGTTTGACTCCATCCCTGCAGGATAAGCCCTTAACTCTCAAGTCTCACAAATCACAATAGGAACTATGTGACCATCACATGACTGGCAGGATTTATCAACGTCTCCACAGAACTAAAACTCCAATACTAATAGTTATAGATCCCGGCCCCAATGTACTGGCTCCGTAAATGGAGATTGGAGACACTGACGAATCCTGTTGATGCAAAGCTCAGCTTCTGATCGGGTCACCCCCTGATTCCGGATGATTTCAGAATATGAATGCTCTGTCAAAATGTTCTTTGCGTCTTCTCGATGACTATAAACAAACCTATAGAAGAAGAATAATTCAACCAATGGCGCATCCAAATCAGATACACGCACGCTACATGAAGAACGATGAAAGTGATGATTGAACAGAGAGGAGAATTTCCTATTGTATGCTCCAGATAGCCAAGCCCACATCCTTTTTGTGGTCCCCCAGCCGTCATATCATTAAGTTACACTGTAGACAGTCCTGAACCATTTCAAAGGACTGCCCCCAAATAGATCAACGAAATCTCAAGTATGCTCACCCGGCCCAAAAGGTATGAAGGCAGAAAAGGAAAATGTCAAACACCCATACACCAAGAGGGAAAATACATAACAATAGGGGGTAAAGAAAAGGGAAAAAAAAAAGTCGAAGCTATCAATATGTATACATGTCATACACGTGTTAAGACAGTGATGAAGAGAAATAAAAGTAGATGAACAATCGAAATCATTCAAGAACTTTTGAAGAGCAATAGAGATTGCTCAAGAGTGGTGGTACATTTAGGACTTGTTCTCGCCCTCCTGGTTCTGAGACTGCTGCTGCTGCTGCTGCTCGTTCTGGGCCTTGTGCATCTTGTCGAAGAGGGTCAAGCTGGCGGTCTGGAGCTCATCGGTCTTCTGCTTGAGCTCCTCGGCAGTGGCGGTGCCCTCACCAGACTGGTTCTTGACAACGAACTCACGCAGAGTGGCGATCTTCTCGCGGATCTGCTGAGCCTCGGCCTTGTCGAGGCGATCCTCGAACTCCTTGAGGGCCTTCTCGGTATCGTTCAGGACGCTGTCGGCACGGTTGGCGGCCTCAATGGCAGCCTTGCGCTCCTTATCCTGCTCACCATACTTCTCAGCATCCTCAACCATAGACTGGATCTCAGAGTCGGAGAGACCAGAGCCAGAGGCAATGGTGATGGACTGGTCCTTGTTGGTGGACTTGTCCTTAGCATGGACGTGAACAATGGAGTCGGCATCAATGTCGAAAGTGACCTCGATCTGAGGAACACCACGGTGAGCAGGGGGGATACCAACAAGCTGGAAGTTTCCGAGCAGCTTGTTGTCCTTGACGAGCTCACGCTCACCCTGGAACACCTTGATCTCGACAGCAGTCTGGAAGTCAGCGGCAGTGGAGAAAGTCTGGGACTTCTTGGTGGGAATGGTGGTGTTGCGGTTGATCAGACGAGTGAAGACACCACCGAGGGTCTCGATACCGAGAGACAGAGGGGTGACATCGAGCAGCAGAACGTCAGTGACCTCACCAGCCAGAACAGCACCCTGAATGGCAGCACCAATGGCGACAGCCTCGTCGGGGTTGACTGACTTAGCGGGCTCACGGCCGAAAATGGACTTGACGGACTCGGTGACCTTGGGCATACGAGTCATACCACCAACCAGGATGACATCCTGGATGTCGCTGGCCTGGAGGTTGGCATCCTTGAGAGCCTTGCGGACGGGCTCAACGGTGCGGCTGATCAGAGGATCAACGAGAGTCTCAAGCTGGGAGCGAGTCATCTTGAGGTTGATGTGCTTAGCGCCGCTAGCATCGGCAGTGATGAAGGGCAGGTTAATCTCGGTCTGAAGAGAGGAAGAGAGCTCGATCTTAGCCTTCTCAGCAGCCTCACGGATACGCTGGATAGCCATGCGGTCACCAGAGAGGTCCAGACCAGAGTCCTTCTTGAACTGCTGGACAATGTAGCGGACGAGGTTGATATCAAAGTCCTCACCACCAAGGTGGGTATCACCGTTGGTGGACTTGACCTCGAAGACACCCTTCTGGATCTCCAGAACGGAGATATCGAAGGTACCACCACCAAGATCGTAGACAGCGACAACACGGTCAGCCTCCTTCTCCAGACCGTAGGCAAGAGCAGCAGCGGTAGGCTCGTTGACGACACGGAGAACGTTCAGACCAGCAATCTGACCGGCATCCTTGGTAGCCTGGCGCTGGGAATCGTTGAAGTAGGCGGGAACGGTCACGACAGCATTCTTGACGGGCTTGCTCAGATAAGCCTCAGCGGTCTCCTTCATCTTCTGGAGGGTGAAGCCACCGATCTGAGAAGGCGAGTACTTCTGACCACGAGCCTCAACCCAGGCGTCGCCGTTGGAGTGCTGGACGATCTTGTAGGGAACCTCCTTGATGTCACGCTGGACCTCAGCATCGGTGAACTTGCGACCGATGAGACGCTTGGTGGCGAACAGAGTGTTCTCGGGGTTGACAACGGCCTGACGCTTGGCGGCAATACCAACTAACCGTTCGCCATCCTGGGCGAAGGCAACAACGGACGGTGTTGTTCTGGCACCTTTGATCAAAAGTCAGCTCAAGCCCGCAGATGACTTCATTTATTCAAATAGAGCTAGTACTCGGAAGCCGGTACTAGCCTGACGGCAGAATAATGAACAAGGGAAAAAATTTTTTACATACCTTCTGCGTTCTCAATGATTCTGGGAGTCTTGCCCTCCATCACAGCAACGGCCGAGTTTGTGGTACCTGGAGGAATACTGTTAGGATTTCTGTCTCTATGGAAAGGATTTCTCAATGTGACTCACCCAGATCGATACCGATGACCTGACCCTTGACCTTCTCTCCCTCCGTCGAGTTCCATCTGCGGAAAGATGTGCTGGGAACTCTGGAAGCAGGGGAGCGGGCATAAGTAGCAGTGCGCGGCAACTATTAGATAAATACCAAGTCAGTCGCAAGGCTCAGATAGGCGATGTTGATTTTGGGTCACGCGATGGACTTACAGCGCGGATGAATCGCGAGGACATCATTGTGTTTTGATTAGAAGATAAATAATACAGAAACTCGAGAAGAAGAAAATCACAGGAACTCCAGTCGATTCAATCGAAAGAAGTGAAAGGGTTAAGAAGGGAGATAGGGTCAGGTTCCAAGGGTGAAGAAGGAGAAAAGGAGATAGAGGAGTTTTAAGATTGTCCGGGGGAAAAAAGAAGTTGTAAAAAAGGATGGGAGAAGGGCGAGGTAGTAGTAGAAATTGCACGGAGAGCTTCGGCCCGTCGTCGAACTTGGTAGAATCATGACAACGCGGGCAAAGCTGTTATTACCCAATGATAGCCGAGTTACCCTTAGACCGCCTTCCAGCCGGTCCAATCAGGGCCTTTACTGGAGCTTCCCTTGGGAAAAAGTCTGGGCGAAGCTTCTGGCGACGATGAAGAGTTCTCTCTCCAAGGGATTGTCTTAAGGTACTTGAAAATAATAGACCGGGTGTCGATGGTTGTTGGAGGGCTCTATGGGCTGTTCTATCAGCTCAATCTCAGATATCGAGATCCAAGGATACGCAGAGATGCTGTTCTAGGTATTCAGTATATACTACGATAAGGTCCTAAGCTTAGGTGTCACTTGGTAATGAGCTGATCAATACGTCTTCCCTCGAAGAAATGGTTCACAAGTTCGGCATAGAAGGACCTGTGTATTAAAAGGCATCAAGATGAAGTCTAGAGGTGCCGTTATAGCTCGAATGGTAGCCCACTAGTCACTATAGTCATGATACGGGGCTTCGAGTAGATGCTCCTAGGAGTACCCGGCTCATCTCTCTCCCTCCTAGGGTATGACTATGATCAGCCGTTGCAACATGGAATGGGCAAAGATGCCGGTGTATCAGGCTATCAGCCTCCCAGCTTGTGGCGCTGTCTGAAAGCCGCCTCTTCAATTGAAATGTACGGCAAGAGGTGGAAGATACCAGAGACCAATTCTTCGATGGCGGAAAACGGAATTCCACGGCACTCTTGTGGCGATTATGAGCTTCATGCGGCCCGATGCCGGCATGTTTCAGTATGGACTATAGAATGCCGTTCGAAATACCCTTGCTCCCCTAAATTTCTCCCTGTCCTGTACGTAGCCCATTCGTCTTTATCAACCAATAATTATGATTATTTTCCGACCTCCTGGCGGATGCTCTCTACCCTGCCGGGAACTCGACAGCACACCATTTCTGGTGGCTTTCTTGACCAGCCGTTGAGGAGGTTTTGCTTCTGGGCCGAATGTTGAAGTTCATGTTCTTGAGTGACAGGCTAACTTATCAGAACTCTGTCACGCTCCGACTGTTAAGCAGCACGCTGTCTCGGCGACTCTTGTAAAAAGGTAGATCATAGCAATTGTCGGTCAGGTGTAAGCAGGAGGTTTCGGTCAAGATCGATATAACTACCAAGACACCCTGAATGCATCGGTTTCTGTCTAGTTCCGGAAATTCGAGTTTCGACAAGATCGATTCGGGGATGGGAAAGAATGTCGGTCATCCGCATTCGCTGAAAACTCCCCCGGATTGTCTGTGTCGAGTCTTACGTCATCCAACCCCCGACCAGTGACCGTAATTCCCCCAGGCCTCGACCATCCGAAGTCGTCATGACCTTAGGTAGCTAAATGGGTGAAAGTCCCGTTCTGATTGAAACCACTATGATCCAGCGCCTAGAAAGCCGCATGAGCATCAGTAGTCTTTCTCTTATCTCGGTCACTAGCGAAAGGGACTTTTTGATGCTGCGTCTACCTCGGATTCGGGTACATGTCATCTAGTACCAGGTTGTAGGATACCTCAACAAAGAATCCATCGCCACTGCAAGCAAGAACTACATTCAAATCGTTCATCATCTTTATCTCGGTCTCTCCTCTCCTGTTCTTTACAGTTGTCTGTAGCGGCGACGCCCAACACAACCCATCTCCAACGATGTCACCTTGATCTTGACTGAGGCATAATGACTACGGATTCTGTGCTCTCGTTGGTCCACACCTGTCTTGACTGATGAGTTGTTCGCCTTTCAGCATTTTCTAACTAGCTAACACTTTCTTCCTGGTTAGACACCACTCGACGGAGTCGCTGATTCTCGCAACGAAACGACGGTTTTTCCCTTTCAAAATACCCAACTTGTCCGTACCTCTCTATCATTGCCTGGCGATCGCGTGACCGAAATCATGCTAATGCTCATGCAGCCATCAGCAATTGCGCAATTATATCAGCACCGCCGATCCGGACAGAATATATGTAGTTTCTGACAGAGTGATATATTCTATTCATATCTCTTCGCAAAAGAGAGAGACTTTGGCGGTTATTCCGTTCGAGCCGAAATGTCTGGTTGCGGGTTATGGTTGGATCGGTGTTGGAGGCTCAGATAATGGAGAGTGTGCCTTTATACGGATTCTTGACTCGGCCGCGCATCGTGGAATGCCAGCCATCCCACGATCTTCGGACGTAGATAGTGCTTTACCTCTTGATCTGGAAGCACCGACACGACTCTCGCCACCTCGACCGCCCGGCGACGAGCCTGGGACCGCTCGTCATGCTGGACCACTTTTGCCAGAAGTGCAGTTGCACAAATTCGGCGGCAGCATCGTGAATTCTGTGACTGTCCACCGGCTTCCTGGCGGTGCTGAGGGTTTGGCAGATGAGGATGTCATGATTTTGAGGTAATTCTCTCGGGATTGACACCGAACAACCAGCAGTACTGAAAGATCTTCCAGTAACAACGACAAGACCGTGACAATCTATTCTCTGACGCGATCGAAAGTCCTCAAGGTTCTTCACCACCAAGCATGCATGAACTACGCTATCATATCGCCGGACTCGACTCTTCTTGCTGCGGTCGGAGATGACACTCGTGCATACTTTTATCGTATCACATGTAATGCAGAGACCACATTCGAGACGGAAGATGGTGAGATGCTTCCTGCATGGGATTGGGAGCTCATTCGCTGCATAGAGATGGACATTGGCACTCGTTTTGACGACGGATGTTGCTTCACGATTGCATTCTCTCCCTTCAGCCGATTGTGTGCGATTGGATCGCAGTCCGGAGTCATCACTGTATTTGACGTAAAAACGGTTCGGGACATCTCTGGTGAGCCAGACGGTAAGAATGCAATAATATGTCACTTCAACTCCTCCAGAGCCTGTTGCAGCGGTGGCGCTGTGAGATGCATGGCTTTTGCGCCGGAACCCTGGGACCTTTTGGTTTGGCTCGAGGATAAGGGACGAGCTGGGGTTGCAGATGTCCGCCAGGCTTTCATACGCAGGCAAGTTCTAAACTTGGACATGAACGACCCAAACTTGCAAGAAATACACACGGAGCCAATCCTTGATGACACTGAAGACCTGGATTATGACCTCGATGGTCGGCTTTTCCCCGAGACTCGGCGTGAGATGGATGCGTCCCAGCGGGCTATTCTCGATTCAATCGAGCGCTCTTCAAACGAGCGAGGAAATGGAGTGGATAATTCTCCTTTACGTGAGAGCTTGATACAGGACCTCACGCAGAGAGAGAGACTGATTGTGGAATTCATGAATACAGCACGGTGGACATCGCGACTGGAAGAAGGCTTGACTGAGCGGCGAGCCAGAAACGCCCAACCGCATCCTGTACCTCGTTCACGGTTTCAAGGTTCCACAGAGGGCCCTCACCGAGCATCCCGTCCCACATCACCTTTACGTCGCAGTGACGCTCTACATGACCTGTTTCGGGACAATTATCTTAGCCATACGGGAACTGGCGATCATAGCTCCAATACCGGACGCGATAGCTCTGTGATACCTCCACAAGAACATTCCGACATCACTAGTAGGACGGCCGAGACAGGCTCCGTCCCTGATCCCCAACCGAATATTACTCTAAGCTGGACAGCTTCCCCATCAGAACTTCGGTCCGCTGTGTTGAACGATCGCTTGCGCGCTGCCGACTCCAGTACAGATACTTCGAGCAGTCTGAATAGTGAAGCTGGACAAGGGAGCCGTGCCCATGAGACCTCCACTCGTTCCTCCACCAACGTCGATTACCCTAGCACCTTGCGGCCAACAGCCGCCGAAATTCGGCATGATATGGGCCGACTCTCGACATCGGAGCTGAGAACCAATGTAGCTGCAGAGCGTCTTCGACGGCAGCGGCAGATGATCAACGAAGCACACAACCGCAACAACCAACGGGAACAACGATATCGGCAGCAGTTACTGGGATTCGAACAGACCCGGTCTCCCAGATGGATTCGAAGTGTTTTGAACGAAATCCCAGATCGTGGCTTAGGAACTGGAAACAGAGATCAGGAACAAGGTAGCACAGCTGGACTTGGCTGGGGTGCTGATGGTAGGACATTGTAAGACCACTTCCTGTTGACACTTGAACGGTAATTGGAGTGAACTGACCAGCACAGGTACATCGCTACGGTGGATGGTATCTTTGAATATCAAATCAATACGGCTGATCGAAAGACTTTCCCTATTATTTCCTACCGATGAGGTTGGGATTGATTATCAGCTTTCGCCTTATGGTTACAATGGGCATTTCAGCCACTTTTCCCACTCTATCTCAGCCTCCCGACCTTTATTCTTCTTTCTCTTCTTTCTCATTCGTCGATGTTAATTCTCGATTCTCTTTTTTGAACTGGTTAGTGACTGCTAGTATGGGCTCACCATCAGACGATCTCTGGTGGCAGGAAGGAGCTCAATGGTTGGAGTCAGGATTACCATCTTTTCTGACTCCATCTAACTCTTTTTTGTTTTTGATTTTACTTTATTTTTCCCCACCCCGTTCTTTGTGCTTTGGTTTTGCATGCATCCCTGGGAGCCCTTATGTCACTTTTTTGCATGGATAGTTTGGCCGGCCTACTGCATCTATGTCTGGTGTTATGGAGACTGTATATGCTCATTCTTTCTATGCAGAAATAGCTACCTAGTAGATATATAGTGTTAAGCAAATTCTATTCCAAATCCAATAAGTCCAAAATTGTGTTGCTTATACTTTCTTCTTTGATGTAGATAGGACGGACTTCAACCATTTTGAAGGATGATTTTCACTGTCCCCACACGACGTCAGCGATGGTGGTTGTGTGGACTCATCCTTAGCGTTACTGCCACTCAACGCCGCCAACAGAAGATACACCATTGCCCAATACAGCTCTACTCCCAATCTTTACTCTCCACTGTTTTGAATGATATGTGCTAGGGCGTCATCTCCGTTGCGAGAGTCATACTTCGTTATTGTCTAGGAAATCAAGCATTCACTAGCAGGCAACCCGGGGTTGCAGTTCGCGCCGGTGCTTCTTCAAGCCACCCTCAATCTTGGCTTTGAGCGTTTCTCACTGCAAGTACATTGTCTGGATTTTCCAGAGAAGCCTCGCAGACATTCAATCCTAACGCGGGCTACTGACTGTCTCCCCGATGGCGGACCAGCTGGCTGGAACGCTGGCCGCGTTGGACCTGAATGATCAGAGTCTGACTGGGCCAGCATTTGATGCACAGCTTGCTGAAGAGGAAAGTGGAACGCATAGGAACCGTGGGCCTCGACAAAGACCAGTGCAGAGTGCTACGCATCTCAAAGCTGAGTTGGAGGATGATTTTCTGACTCCGTCTCCGCGGTTCAGCCCCGAATGGCTCAACCGTCTTCAAAGGTACGTGTGATCATCTTCTACCAGCATTATTCTGCATCGCAACTTCACAACAGTCCATGCTCTGTCTGGAGCATGGCTCTGTTGCCTTTTTTGTTGTCGCCTTGGACTGACAATTGCCGTAGGCGATGGGATATTTCAACCGATTACACAGACCTTTTCGAGGTCGCTCCCACTCAAACCCGGACTGTCGTTCGGTTCACTCGCGAAGGCCTAGAAGGTCGAGTTACCGGCTACCATGAAGTTACGGTCCCGGCAGCGGTTGCAAATGCCAAGAACTCTACTTCTCTACTTCGTCGGCCTGCTGGGCGTGCGGAATTCGTGAGGGGCGCGGCGGGGTTCTTCCCTTTTGCACCAGGTGGGCTGGATGGCGTTGAAGCCATTGCTGAGATGGAATCTGAAGCCCAGGCCGTAGAACGCTCACGAGTTGGTGCCAAGCAATCAGGACTAGATCGTATCATTAATTTTGGAGCGGAGGGTGGTCTACTGGAGATAGCCCCAGGCTTTTCTCGGGGGTTGGTATTCGAAGAAACAAAGTCCAAGGAAGCCGTGGAAGGTGACAAGGAAGTCGAGCATGATCTTCAACAAGAGGAAAGCGAACTACATGTCGAGAAGGACGACGACGCTGTGTCAGATATTGGAGGTGTGAAGATTGACGACGACGAGCTCAGCGGCGAGGAGGAGGACATTGATTCTCTTTTGCCTGTTGAATTCCCTGCTTTGGAACCTAGGGCACCATTGCTCAGGGGTGTCAAACAAAAACAAGGTGGCCGGGAATGGGCTCATGTCGTTGATGTCAACAAACATATCCCGAACTTCCATGAGCTTGTTCCAGATATGGCTAGGGAGTGGCCGTTCGAGCTGGACACTTTCCAAAAGGAAGCTGTATACCATCTTGAGAACGGTGACTCAGTCTTTGTCGCTGCCCACACATCAGCGGGTAAAACTGTGGTCGCTGAATATGCTATTGCCCTGGCCTCAAAACACATGACAAAAGCCATCTATACATCTCCGATTAAAGCCCTGAGCAATCAAAAGTTCAGAGACTTCAGGACCGAATTTGACGACGTCGGAATCCTGACAGGTGATGTTCAGATCAACCCGGAGGCTAGCTGTTTGATCATGACGACGGAGATCTTGCGAAGCATGCTCTACCGAGGTGCAGATTTGATCCGAGACGTCGAGTTCGTGATCTTTGACGAGGTGCACTATGTCAACGATCTTGAAAGAGGAGTTGTGTGGGAAGAAGTCATTATCATGCTTCCCGAGCATGTTACTCTGATCCTGCTCTCGGCTACAGTTCCAAACACTTACGAATTTGCCTCCTGGGTAGGCCGTACGAAGAAGAAGGATATCTACGTGATATCGACTGCAAAACGACCTGTTCCTTTGGAACACTATCTCTGGGCAGGCAAAGACAAATACAAGATTGTCGACTCCAACAAGCGTTTCATTGAAAGTGGCTGGAAGGAAGCGGATAACATCGTTTCTGGTAGGGACAAGATCAAAGCTCAAAAAGCCGCCGAAGCTCAAGCCCAGAGCCAAGCACAACGCGGAGGACAGCAGGGTCGTGGGCGAGGACAAGCTCCCGGAAGAGGGGGTGCTCGTGGGAACGCTCAACGCGGCGGTGCACCCCGAGGCAGAGGCCAACCCGCAAACAGGGGGACTGGAAACATTGCCCGTACAGGACGAGGTGGAGGACGGACCACTGCTGCTCAGGATAAGACTATCTGGGTACAGCTTGTGGGACACCTTCGCAAAGAGAATCTGCTTCCTGGTTGTATCTTCGTCTTCTCAAAGAAGAGATGTGAGGAGAATGCCGACTCACTGTCGAACCAAGACTTCTGCAATGCTACTGAGAAGAGTCTGATTCACATGTTCATTGAGAAATCACTGACCCGACTCAAGGCAGAGGACAGAACACTACCGCAGATCCTTCGGCTCCGCGAATTGCTGAGCAGAGGTATTGCTGTCCACCATGGTGGTCTATTGCCGATCATGAAAGAGATTGTTGAAATTCTGTTCGCCAAGTCATTGGTCAAAATCCTATTTGCTACGGAGACCTTCGCCATGGGTCTCAATCTTCCCACACGGACGGTCGTCTTCTCTGGATTCCGCAAGCATGATGGTAGAGGATTCAGGGACTTGCTGCCAGGCGAATACACTCAGATGGCCGGACGTGCAGGGCGGAGAGGTCTCGATACTGTTGGTTACGTTATCATCGTGAATGCTGGTAGAGACGAGGCGCCTCCTGCTGGTGCATTGAGAAAGATGATTCTTGGTGACCCGACGAAGCTTCGGTCTCAGTTCAGACTTACATACAACATGATACTGAATCTTTTGCGAGTAGAAGCGTTGAAGATTGAGGAGATGATCAAGCGAAGCTTCAGTGAGAACGCCACGCAGGCTCTGCTGCCGGAGCATGAGAAGCAGGTTCAACTCTCAGAAGCAAGTCTAGCAAAGATCAAGCGCGAGCCTTGCGATATTTGTGATATTGATCTCGTGGCTTGTCACGGTGCAGCGATTGAGTATGAGAAGCTAACCAGCGAGCTCCATGTGGGTTTGCTAGCCTCACCGGTTGGCAAGCGTCTCTTCATGCCGAAACGGCTTATTGTGTATCAGAAGGTTGGTCAAGACTCTATCCTGACATTCCTCTCTGGATGTTAGCTGATTACGTTCACAGGATGGATATCGTACGGCAGGTATCATTGTTCGGGAAGGAATCGGCGGAGGCGCCAGTCCTAGCATACAGGTCCTTGAGATCGGCAAACTGGGTAGCAGGCGCCATCCTAGCGATATTCTGCCATTCCTTCCAGGCTTCCGTCATTTGCTACAATCGCTGCCAAAACGTGCAGCTGATATGAACTTAAAAGTGTGCAAGATCCCACTCTCTGATCTCGAGTGTATCACCAATACAATGGTCAAGTTGGGCGGCCCGACATGGTACCTGAACATCAGAAAAGGTGCGGAGAAACCCTAGCCGTTCGGGCTACTGCCTGAAGCTGACTCGAGTATACAGAGGCAATGAAATTTGCGGACAAGGAGCTTGCCAAACTGTGTGCTTCCTGGACGAGCCCAGTATGGGACGAAATGGATTGGGGCCGGATTAAAGAACTCCAAGTAAGAGACATACTGGAGAAACGACAGGCCCAAGCTGCTATCGCTCAGTCTTGCCGCTGCTTACAATGCCCGACTTTCCTGAAACACGTGAGTATCAATTAGGTGTACTTTCCTGCGCTTGTGCTGACTTCTCTTATAGTTTGAGATGCAACATGATGAATGGCAAGTAAAGGAGAACATCTCACAGCTGAAACAGCTCATGTCGGATCAGAACCTGCAACTTCTACCGGACTACGAGCAGCGCATCCAGGTCTTGAGAGACCTCGGCTTCATTGACGAGCAATCTCGCGTCCAGCTTAAGGGCAAGGTCGCATGTGAGGTTCGTAATCTAAGATCCAATGAGAGTAGAGGTAAAATACTGAGAATGGTTGTCTACAGATTCACTCGGCTGACGAGCTTGTTCTCACGGAATTGGTTCTCGAGAACGTTCTGGCTGAATTTGAGCCCGAGGAAATTGTTGCACTCTTGTCCGCGTTTGTCTTCCAGGAGAAGACTGAGAACGTCCCCACCTTGACTCCTCGTCTAGAGAAAGGCAAGGAGGCGATCATCCGAATCGCCGAGAAAGTGAACGATCTTCAGATCCAGTATCAGGTCATTCAGTCGAGCGAAGACAGCAATGACTTCGCCAGTCAGCCCCGTTTTGGCTTGGCGGAGGTGGTCTACGAATGGGCCAAAGGCATGTCCTTTAACCGCATCACAGATCTAACGGATGTCATGGAAGGCACTATCGTTCGAACGATCACTCGGCTGGATGAAACCTGTCGTGAAGTGAAGAACGCAGCCAAGTTGGTTGGCGACCCGACTCTGTACACGAAGATGCAACAGGCGCAGGAACTGATCAAGCGCGATGTCATCTTCGCAGCGTCTTTGTATATGTAGCCTGGCTCTCTGAAGAGAGTCCTGGACATGAATCCCTTGTTATTCTTACCCCTTCGTTAACCAGGAGACACTCATGATAACGGGATGCATCCATATCGATAAGAAAAATGTATCTGACTGTGCTGATAGGAGATGACTAATCCCCTAGTTGGCAAGCCCCGAGGATCTCCATCAGAATATCGGCAGTGGTTGATCTGGGAAAAGAAAAACGCTTGACTGAATTCCAGATGCCTCCTATCTAGACCGTAGCAGAGATCATCGTTCCCGCCTCAAGCATGGGACGATATATAACTACACGTAGCGAAACCGAGTATCTATTTCGTTGTCGGTGCAGGAGAAAATTCTCTAACCGCGTGGCGGCGAGGGCTCTGATTAGCTGCCATAGGCGCGGGGCGGGCACCGCTTGAAAATCCACGAGAGAAAAGCAAACCCAATGTTTCTGTCTGTGCTCTTTTTTATAATTGCTGGGAATAATCTCAACCTCCCGCTACCTTATCCTCTTTCTTACTTCCCCCTCTCTCCCCCTCTTTCCCCTCATCTATAACGGGTTCATCACTGCGTGAAAGGGGCTTCATTTTACCTGGAGTTTTGATTTCTTGTTTCATCGGGGTTCCGTTGTTGGTGCGAAATGGATGTTGCAGCTCTCCGAGACCGCATCCAGTCTACTCTCGACGCAAATGCGGATAATCGACGCCAAGCTGAATTGGATCTGAAATATGTATGTGTTGACGGGCCGTGGAATGAGAGGCTTGGAACGTTGCCTTAGGAATTTTTGTCTGACTCTGGGGATCTTCGCAGGCCGAGACACAACCTGGCTTCATAAATGCGCTGCTGGATATTCTGCAGGGCGAACAGAACAATGCTGTTCAGCTTTCGGGTAGGTTTCACCCCACCTGGATCCCCGAGATTTTTTCCCTGCGTTCTTGTTGGACTGCTTTGGCAGCCCACACCTAGAGATTTAACCCCGATTCTACGTCTCGTCTGATATCTGACTTACAAAATTTATCAACTGCAGCCGGTGTCTACCTGAAGAACAGAATCAACCGTGGATGGTCGCCCGTCGAAGATAGTCCCTTACGCACACCGATCCCAGAGGCTGAGAAGCCTGGGTTCCGAGAAAGGCTGATCCCTGCGTTGGCCTCAACGCCCCCCAATGTCCGCGCACAGCTTGTCCCTCTCCTCCAGAAGATCCTGCAGCATGACTTCCCCGAGCAGTGGCCTGGGTTCCTCGACATCACCCTTCAGCTGCTGGGAACTAACGATGCCAACTCCGTTTACGCTGGGCTGCAATGTCTGCTGGCCATCTGCCGGGTGTACAGATTTAAGGCTGGGGAGAAGAGGGAGGAGTTCGACAAGATTATCGAGCATTCGTTCCCTCAGCTGCTGAACATTGGATTGAAATTGGTCGACGAGGAGAGTCTGGAAGCCGCGGAAATGCTCCGGATCGTCGTCAAGTCTTATAAGCATGCTATCTACGTGGGTGATCCCGGGGAGAAATGATGGGGTTTGGATAGGAAAAAAGTGTTGGAAGCTGACGTTTGGTGATTCCAGTTTGAGCTTTCGCCCCATCTTCAGTCTCATCAAGCAACTGTCGATTGGTGCACGCTGTTCCTGCGCATCATCGCTAAGCAGCCTCCTGCTAGCGCCATGATGGAGTCCAAGGAAGAGAGAGAACTGAACCACTGGTGGAAGTGCAAGAAATGGTCCTATGCCAACTTGAACCGTCTCTTTATCAGGTAAGTCAGGTTTCTGACTCAAGCACTGAACGCTCTATTCATAGACACATACAGATACGGTAACCCCACGACTATGACCAAGTCCAGCAACCCGGATTACTCTCAGTATGCGAAGACGTTCATCAGCACTTTTGCTCCAGAGATTCTTAAGGGTTATCTGCAAGAGATCGACAAGTGGGTATCAAAGGGACAGTGGCTTAGCAACCCCTCTCTTGCCTATACTCTGATCTTCCTGGAGGAGTGTGTCAAGCCCAAGGCGATGTGGGAGCACTTGAAACCGCACATGGACAACTTGATCGCTCACTTCATCTTCCCCATCATGTGCCAGTCGGACGAGGATATCGAGATGTTCGAAACCGATCCCTCTGAATATCTTCATCGGAAGTTGAATTACTACGAAGAAGTGTCGGCGCCGGATGTCGCAGCCACAAATTTCCTCGTTGCGCTCACCAAGAACCGCAAGAAGCAGACCTTCTCGATTCTTACGTTCGTCAACAGCGTCGTTAGCAAGTATGAGTCTGCTCCAGATGATCAGAAGTTGCCCAGAGAGAAGGAAGGTGCCCTTCGTATGATTGGCTCTTTGGCATCTGTCATCTTGGGCAAGAAGAGCCCCATTGCCGACCAGGTCGAATACTTCTTCGTTCGACATGTCTTCCCTGAATTTCGCAGTCCACACGGCTTCCTCAGAGCTCGTGCCTGTGACACACTGGAAAAGTTCGAGCAACTCGACTTCCAGGACCCGAATAATCTCATGATCATTTACCGCAACATCCTGGAATCGATGACCGACCCAGAGCTGCCCGTCAGAGTTGAGGCCGCTCTCGCGCTGCAGCCTCTCATTCGCCACGACATTATCAGAACATCGATGCAGCAGAACATTCCTCAGATCATGCAGCAGCTTCTCAAGCTCGCTAACGAGGTTGACGTGGATGCCCTGGCCAATGTCATGGAGGACTTTGTCGAGGTGTTCTCGGCAGAACTGACACCTTTTGCCGTGGCTCTGAGCGAGCAGCTGCGTGATACTTACATGCGTATCGTTGGCGAGCTTCTGGAAAGAAATGCTGCCAAGGGTGAGGAAGACACCTATGGAGACTTCTTGGACGACAAGAGCATTACCGCTTTGGGTGTTCTGCAGACCATTGGAACGCTCATCCTTACTCTTGAAAGCACTCCTGATGTGCTTCTGCACCTTGAGACGATTCTCATGCCGGTCATCAGCATCACACTTGAGAATAAGCTCTACGATCTGTATAACGAGATCTTTGAGATTATCGACAGCTGCACCTTTGCTTCGAAATCCATCTCGCCGACGATGTGGCAGGCCTTTGAGCTCATCCACAAGACCTTCAAGGCAGGCGCCGAGTTGTACCTGGAGGATATGCTCCCTGCCCTTGACAACTATGTCGCCTATGGCTCCGAAATGCTGGTTCAGAATCCCGCATACCTCGCGGCTGTCGTTGGTATGGTCGAGGATATCTTCCGGGATGAGAAGGTTGGCGGCGTGGATCGGATATGCGGTTGCAAACTTGCGGAGACTGTGATGCTGAACCTGCGCGGTTACATCGACCAGTATATCCCTCTCTTTATTGAGCTCCCTATGCGCGTCATTGATGCTGGAGAGGCACGGACGAAGTCCTACCGCCTTCACCTGATGGAGATGGTCATCAATGCTATCTACTACAACCCCGCTCTCAGTCTTCAGGTCTTGGAATCCAATGGCTGGACGAACAAGTTCTTCAGCACTTGGTTCTCCAACATTGACAACTTCAAGCGCGTTCATGATAAGAAGTTGTCTATCGCAGCAATCAGCTCCTTGTTGACTCTGAACGCTGGCGATGTTCCTGTAAGCGTGCAGCAGGGTTGGCCCAGACTGCTCCAGGGTGTCACAAGACTCTTCCAGACTTTGCCTGCAGCGATCAAGAGTAAGTGTCCGAATTTATATGCTGTTTGAACGTTCAGTGTATTGACTAGACTTTGATTAGACCGCGAGGACGCCACTAAAGAGTCGGACTTTACCTTCGACGATGAAGGTGAGGAAGAGGATGAGGACAACGATTGGGACGGTGAAATCGAATGGACCGACCAGGATGAGCTGGAGGGCACAGCCGAGGGTGATGTCGCGGACGAGAGCGCTGCCTACCTTGACTTCTTGAACCAAGAAGTGAGTCTTGCTTCACCACCCTTAGTATCTGGTTTGAATTTGTGCTAATGCATGTTCCAGGCACAGAAGTTCGGCTCCTTTGGCGATGACGATGACGATGAGTTGGATGAGGAAAGCTTGCTTGAGACGCCATTGGACAAGATCGAGCCTTATGGTCTCTTTAAGCATGTCTTTATGAGTAAGTGTTGTGCCTTGTCGAGCTCAAGAAGATGTGGTTGGGCTGACATGAACTCTTCTAGGCCTTCAACAGGAGCAACCACAGCTGTATGAGAATCTGGCAAAGATCCTCAGCCCGGAGGAACAGCAGGTCATCCAGGCCGTCTTCCATGAGGCTGATGCCAAGGCGCTGGCTGCGGCCAACGCCGAAGCAGCCGCAGCCGCCGCTGGCATCCAGGCCAACGGAACCCAATGAGGCATGACCTGCAGCTGAAGTAAAAAAAAAAACCAAAGACAAAGAAACAAAAATAGAAAAGGAAGAAGATGACATGACAAGTCGACGAAATGAACCTGTCGACCATTGCTGACTCCACCACTTTTTATGATATAAGACATGCTACGCCAGTCTTGACGGCTGTTTTGCTTTCACGCTGCGTATGCTCATTTCTCTCCCCCTCCCCCTTTTCTTATCATTTAGATCGCTCTCCTTCTTGTCTCGAATGTTGTCATGGTCATTTTGGTTCGTCTATATCCTTTTCCCCACAAAAGTCCCAGATTCCCTTTTGTTTTCCCGTCCCCTCCCCCCAATCCACGTTGCATACATGTACTGCACAAATTCAGATTCCCCCAATTAATCCTGGCACTTTGGCTAAGGCCTATGTTATGCCCTTGACATGAGCAAATGAGATGCATCCGATGAATACCAGAAGACACATGAGACGCAGAGACCGATTCAAAAATCTTTCCCGTAGTTTGTGACTATCTTGTTGTAGGAGTAGATATATTGGTGAGTGTATGTGTCACGTGAGTATGGTATGCAAACTTGCCAAACCAAGAAGAGTCCTCTCGCTGATGACGCCATCTCTGAAATCGTGTCCTTTGCCGCACAATGCACAGAGAGAGAACGTCGAGTATCGAATACAGCTTCACAGAGAGAAATGATAAGGCCACGCTAACTGCTAGATACTAAAGCATACTCATTGTTCATCAACACAATCACTGAAACAGATCTACATCTCCCATACTTAAGCCAGACTGCTAACCACCAAAGCAATAACTATATCCAGTGGACCCCATCGAAGCTCACCACTCTACCCCAGACGTCATGATGATGAAGGTCCAGCACAAACGACCCTGTTTGTCACAGCAGACAGTAATGACACAAAATTGCAGCTTAGCTTAGCCTTGCCCCATCGATGCTTTAAAACAAAAAAGCTGGGACGGCCGTACTTTAACAACTTCATTCATCTCTCCAACAGCCATACGTTCATTAACCATCCACCTTCAAATCCTCAATCTCAATCTCCATCTACCAGGTTCGTACCCGCTCTAACGCATACTGGCATCGCATTCATCTAAACATGGCTCTAGCAAACAAACAATCCTAAACAACATGTCCGCCCAAAAATCCGGCCGTCAATCGCCCCCTCCCGAGACCCAGACGGGCGCTCAGCAGCAGGACCCCGTCTCTGCCGGCAAGACCGAGCCTGAGCTCCGTGGCGACCCCCAGCACTCGCAGAGGGAGTCGGATGAGACCAAGTCGAAGCTGGAGAGTAATCCCAAGCATCCGCTAGAGGATATCGAGGCGGCGAAGTACTCCAAGGTACATTGAGTTGGGGAGGGAGCGCGGTTATATTTGATGTATTCTTTTTTTCTTTTCGTCGTTCTTGTTTCTCTCTTTTTTTTTAAAGAAAATATGAAATGAGTCTGAATAATGATTACGATGGAAGATTTCAATTTTTCTTCTGAAGGAAGACACTTGGGAGTTTTTATTGATTGTTTGTAGTTTGAAGATGAAGTATTTGGATTGGGTTGGTGGTAAACTACATCAGTACATCTATCAAGACATAAGCTTCTGCAAAATAAACTTATTATTTTAGACAACTGTCAAAGAAAGGTTTAAAAAAAAAAAAAAAGGCTGGGGAATGCCGAGTCATGACAATCAGAAACAATACAGAAGAGAGAAACAGTTGCAACAATTGGCTCAAATCATCCAGTCATTAATTACATTCATGCCTTAGGCTCAGCAGGGGGCGCAGCACCCGCCGGTTGCGACGTTGGCGCAGTGCTTGGAGCAACGTCGGCTGCCTCAGCACCAGCGGCAGCAGGCACATCGTCGGATGTTTGCTTGCCACCCTTCATGTCTGCCAGTCTGCGAGCCTCGGTGTGGATATCGCGCACCTGCTTGTCGGTTTGCGCGTAGAAGTCACGAATCTTGCGACCGGAGGGGGTATCAAGAGCCTTTTCAAAGTACGAGTGGAGTCCACGCCAGCCGCTGGCGGCCTTGTCGGTGATCTTGTAACTCTCATCGATTCCCTTGGCGCGATCGGTAGCATGGTACTTCTGGTCAAAGTTGCTCAAGGCACTGGTGAAGCGAGAGGAGAACCCGTGCTTCTTGTCTAGGGTAATCGCCTTCTGGATGGCATTGTCGCTGACCACGTAGCCCTGGGCGAGGTACTCCGCGATGATCCGGGACTTGGGCTTATCCTCTTGCTCGAGATCCTGGTCGTTCTCGTCCTTGGCCGCGCCTGCGGAGGCGGCGTGGTCTCCGGCAATATCGTCAAGGGTGTGGGCTGCAGTGACGTGCACCGTCGAGGGGCCCAATTGAGTCTGGTCCAGCAGCAAGGCTGTCTTTGCGGCTCTAAAATGCTGTTAGCTTGAGATCAAGCTACATTACGTAGATACAGATAGAAAAAAAAGAAAGGAAGAAAGAATATAAATGGCATGATCATGCTGTGAAATTGCGAGGACGCGGGGTGGTGCGGGGTAGACTTACGCTTCTTTCTCAAACGTCACCGTTGCTGACTTGGAAGCATCTTGCTCGCCAGAAACGGGAGTAACCGAGATGGAGGTAATCTTGCCACTGTTGAGAGAAGAATAATGGATTAGTAGATGTTCATCAATTGTTTTCAAAAAAAGGGTCATCATACCAGAAGCTGAAGAAGTCCTTGACCTCCTTATCAGTGGTACCGGACGAGATGCCCGAGACGTGGACGGTGTTGTGTTCCGACATTGCAGACGAGATTTATCACGGAAGGAAGATGAGAGTATAGTTTGTAGAGATGATCGTGTAGATGATTTAAGATGCGATGTTCGAGTGTCAAGAGAGAACAGCAGGAGATGATGTATTTATTTTGGCAGCAGCCTGGCCCGTGATTGCGCCACAGATGACGTTGCGAGGGGCTCGAGTTGCACCGCCACGGTGGAGTCCGTTTCGCATGTGAAAAAGACTCAACGCTCAACCCTCAACAGTACGACTTCTAGAAACGGGATAGATAGAGTATAGCTCCGATGGTCAAATTGTCAAATTGGGGTCATAGCATGGATAGAAAGTAATAGAAGCTGAAAGAGTTGAGAAAATCAATCAAAATGTTGATTGACCAGGTTGAGTATCTACAACGTCAGCCACAGTGCCAGCTACCTAGCTAGTATTGTCGCTGAAGGCTTAAGGATCCTCCTTGGCATCGTCCTTGGGAATGACGGTGGCCTTCCCCAGTTTCATCCCCAGGTCGGATACAATGTCTTGCGCGGTTTTCTCTACGGCAGCAGATTCTCGTTCGCGGTATTTCTTCACAACAAGCTCAAGATCTCGTACGCGGCGACGAAGTGTCTCGTTTTCGAATTTGATAGCTTCAAGCTCTCCCCTTTGAGACACCTGCACATCCTGACGAGACATACAACCGAGAGCTGGTGTCTTCTGGTGGGAAATAGAGCTTCTCCGGGCGCTTGGAAGGGAAGCAGAAATATGGTGTGGCATATGCTCACAATTATGTGATTGTTGCTTGTGCATCAACGTCGCCAGGGATGGCAACATTCCTTCTGACTGTCGAGAGGTGATGGATGGCGCACGACTGGGCCGTGGCAAATCACCCGGACGCGGAGATGCAAGCGATAGACTGGCTTCTCTCGACCGTGCAATGCCACTGCCGTTTCCTGTTCTGGAGCCTTGCACCACGGGGACATAAGCTGAACTCAGACTAGATGATGAGCGATGACGCCGGGAGGCCGTTGGGTGAGCTGTATTGATCAAGTAGGGCGAGTGGTATCCATCTATAGAGTCATTCATCGTGACGGAGGTGGAAGACGTGGTGGATGCAACGGAAGATGTCTGCTGGCGAAGCAAAGACAGTTCTCGTGAGAGTCGATTCACCTGCACACACATGTTTCACCGGATTAGACTACATGTGTCAACCCTGTCGAAACGGAAACGTCTCACCATTGCTTCTTGTTCCTGCTCAACCATTGAATGAAGATCTGATGGCGTAAGGGGCTTGGGATGTCGCAGTGGAGCTCCACAGGTCTCAGCTTGAAGCTCCCTTAGAACACTTTCACCCGGCTACTTACTTGATGCTAGTCTTGTGGTACCATTCTCGCTGGCCACGGGCACAGAGCTCCCTGTGTATGTGGTTTGAGGCAGTGAAAGACCGAGCTGGCCGGTTCCTTGCGAGGGCCGTCGAGAGATCATAGCCGATGTCGTGGACGGTTGCATCGCAGTTGCAGCACGGCGTCGCGAGCTTGGAGAAGGGATAGAAACAGGACTCGGCTCTGTAGACATATTATCTCTCTGAGAGTCTCTGTGTGGCCCAGGTAGATATTTGTGATTCCGTCGCAGGCAGACGGGGGTCTCCGGGGGTCTAGAGACGGGCAACTGCAACGACGACGGGGATTTGAGCGTCAGAAAGATTGTCTAGGAACGGAAACCCAGAAATAGGAAACAGCTGAGAGATCAAGGAGGGTATCGAAACTCTTTGGAAGCTAGAAGCGAGGCCATCCCTTGATTGAGGTCCTTGGGTATGTCAACCCAAAACATACCAGCCATGAAGGAGGGTGCCACCAATGCTTCTGCAAGTCTGTGGAACTCCGTACAGATGATGCAGGGTCCGCATATGAGGCACATCCCATCCATGAACAGCATGTCGTCAACCAATGTAATCAGCGCCTTCGTCTAAGTAGTAGAAGTCTTGCGAGCGGCTTGCGAAGGTTATCATCGGAGTAACTCGTGTAAAGCATCAAACCCCAAGATAAACTATGTATGAAGAGGTATACAGCGACATTTGACAACTGAAAGGGATGGCCCCAGCCAGCTTGTCCCGTCAAGCAGCCGGACGCAGTGCCAAGTTAGTTAAAGCTAGGAGGCATTGGTGAGCTATCATTTGCAGCTGCATCCTCGTCAGATCGAGGGGCATTCCGAGGTAAGTGTCGATTATCAAGATTTGGCTGGCATGCCCTGGAAGGATGCCCATTCGCGATGTCTGGCTTGTTAGTAAAAAACAATTCTGTGCTGCATAGTAGCTGGAAACTTTTGGCGTTAGGAGCATGTTGTTGTTGCTCGCTTTCGATCAAAGCATGCTGGGCTATCTGCCCGCAGATCAATATATATATCTATCATATCACCTCCACAGTGACGCAGAATCGACGATCGACAGCGATGGAAAAGGAGAGGCCACAGACAATATCTTTGTAGAAGTTGATATAAATAGAGAGGATAACGCTTCTAATGCATAAATGGCCGTTCAGGTAGAGGGCATCAACCTGATCGGCATAGTAGTGTGCAGTATCCCTTACTGATGCTCAGAAGTACCTTCGCATATGGGACGTTTCACCTTGATCACCACACGGCTCTGTCCGGAGACCAATACCCAGCTAAAGGTAAGAAGTATGACAGATCACACTCGGTTTCTAATTTTTTTCGACAGCGCTGATCTGGCCCTGTGCTGGCCAAATCATATTATGGTTGCTGCTTCGAGGTCAACACAGAAATAAACAATTATATCGCCGCTTACGTAACATGATCTACACCTCTCAAGCAACAGAACAATGATTGTGACGCTGATCGTTGGAGGCATGCAAGTCGTGAGCACTGGAACCATTCAAACAATTCCTGTCAAGGTCAACTTATGGCGACTTATTCTTGATCCCTGATCTTAAATTGCACACCCGCACTTCCTCCACAGTCATGGCTCATCGACCTGAAGCTGCTGCTACTCCAATCGACATTCCTCCCTTTGCCAGACCACTGGCACCTTATATCAGAACCCGACAGGAGGCTCTCCGTATCCGACAAGCCTTGACCTCCTATCTCCGTTCGCACATCGAATTAGCCGACAATGAGTCAGAAGAGTACCAAGTCTACAACCAATCCCACCTCTCCCTATGCGTACCACAAGAGGCCGTCGTCAACGTCAAGCGAGTTCCGTCAGAAGTGACCGGGTTAAGGAGGGAATATTTGCAAGCGTTGCATGCCAATGTGGTTGCGCGGAAGGAATATGAATCTCTATCCGAGAAGCTGTCATCGGCCAAAGATCTGAAGAGCGCCACGAGAATCGAGGCGCCGCCCCTTGATCCCAACGCTGAGTTGCAAGCCTACCTCCGACTCCTCCGTGACCGGCGGCGGCATGCGAAACTGCAGGTCTTCCAACACTATCTGCAAGAACTGAAAGAACGAGACTCGAGCATTACTGGCTGTATCGATGACCGACTAAGTGGCGGTCAACAAGCCCTCCCCTCGGAAGAGTTTGATAATGGGAGTCAACAAAACGGGCGTGGCGCGGATGATGGTATTGAAGGCTTGGTGCATAAACTGGAGAGGGCGGTGATACGTGCCAAAGCTCAACTGGACCGGGAGAAGATGCTCCTGGAGGAAATGCAAGCGCAGCACACTTCTCACAGTGACGATGTACCCTCATCAGTCAAGGTGATGGCACTGCAGCGAACACGGGACGAGCTGGTACAATGGGTAGAGGAGAAGTTGGTGAGTGTGGGAAGTACTGATGATGGTCCATTACAAGAAATATCCCCCGAGGAGATCGCGGAGTCTACACACATGATTGAAGAGCAAAAGGTGCAGATCGCGGCGCAATATGCTGCCTACGTCGAAGCGCGCAAGCGTCTTCTTGATACAGCTGCCAGAGCTTGTCAGCCGGTCACAATGGCGCCTACGAAATCTTCCAAGCGCTCCATCGATCTGGGGAAGATCGCCATCGAGGAAAAGTCAACTCTCAAGCCGTTGGAAGTCCTCTCGTTCACCAGCGAACTTCTTCTTCCTCTATCAAAGACCCAACGCGCGCTAGCTTTGCAGAAGAATTACCTGTCGGGTATGCTCGCTAAAGAAAGATCTACCACCCTACGCATGCTTAACCGTCTGAGCGATGAAAGCCATCTCCTGCCCGAATACCCACTTCTGGCCCATCAACCGCGCTTTAAGCACATCAACTTGAGACATGCGACGGGTGCGGCTGATGTGACCAAGTCAGACGAGGTTGTTGCTCTGGCCGAAGCGTGGGCATTTGCCTCCGAAGCGGCAGGAACGAACGAGCAGCAGTCCGTGGAAGAGAAGCTAGCGGAGGGTCAAGAAACTGCTGCAGAGGCAGAACAAGTTTTACAAGAGGTGTACAGTATGTTAAATCAGGACCTCGAGGCGACGTTACGAGACGCGCAAAGACCAGGAGACGATGCCACAGACATCTGGGCGACCGAGGCTCGCTCGACCAGATCTCGCGCGAGACAAATCCGAACTGAGAAGCCACTTAGCGGCCCGTGGACCAAGCTGAATGGAAAACTCGAGGCTGATGATTGACGAGAAATCACGAGGCCTGGAAATGGGGTGGTGGATGTGAGATGGGCGCAAGAAACACTCTTTTTCAGAAATTCGTACAATCGTAGGCTCAATCTCTTTCTAGATATAATTTGCCAATCGAGGTTTTGATAATAATGATATCGGCACGGCAAGAAAAGAAAGAAACCCAGTCAACCGGCAAATTCGAACCAAACCAACCAAGGATTCCAGTCTCCCCGAATCCCCGATTATCCCAGCCTGGTATTGGACTTATTCCAGACTTGGAACGTGGAGACACTCCGATTCCCGCAATTGTCCACGCCAAGCTGCGTAGCGAGAAATCGGAGCGAACTCGAATCCTGGAACAGTATTGATCATCCAGTGACGAAAATTTTTCCCCTCGAGCAGTTGGGTATTAAACTGCAGGCCTTGTACAGAGTAAATGAGTCAACCTCCCATGACTGAAGAATAAGATCCTTAAAGGGACTGATCTATGACGTGTATTTCGCTGACAAGGATTCGGAATCTGCTGGGGATCTCTGGAGTTGATTCAGATTGCCCCAACCACCCCCCAGCCTTAAAGGCCTTAAGTAGGTAGGTAGTTACCAGCATGGCGCATCAGTGATCTGTGGAGACTGGAGAGCATTCGCAGTTCGCACTAGGTAGAGAGTGATAGTGCACAGTAGCTACTCCGTATGCAGCTAGGTACACAGTAGTCTCTGGCACTAAGACGCTTGTAGGAATGGTTCTAATCCCGAAATGGCCGACGATGAGGACCAACCTACCCACAATGTCATTAGTGGCGCTTCTCGAGACACCCAGGGCGATTTAGCGACTCAGCGACTCCCAGCCAGTTTTGCCAGACTGCCCCAGTCTGGTTGGGCAGTCTGGTTGAGTTACTGAAGAAGGACGATGAAGTCTTTTGAGAATTGCCATACTGGTCTTTCTGGGTGCCTGGATCCAACCATATTCAGAATCTGTGATGGTGATTGGTTGTATTGACAGGCGGTGAGCGTTCTCTTGGGATGACAGCCCCCCCCCCCCCCAAAAAAAAAAGAAAAAAAGGAAAAAAAAGGCCTCCGTAGACCGGACGTCTTGTCGTTAGTCCGAATTATTTGTGCCCTCTGGGGGGGAAGAGAGAACGGGGGACAGACGAAATAATATTCTGGTCCAGCGGAGACTTGTGTCTCCAGGGAAAAAAACGCATTGACTCATACCTCTTCCTCTTCTTCTTTAGAGTCATCTCTTTTCTTCCTTTCTCTCTTCTCTCTCTCTTCTTTTCTTCTTTTCTTCTTGTTTTCCAATCCTTCCCTGCAAAACCCTCTACTGCACGTCAGGCTAAAGGCCTAGGTTCCCGTTCTCCCTTTTCCTCTTTAGTCCTCTTCTGATCATTGGGCGTGTGACACGAAGCGGGACTGTAAGGATTAAAGCAGAGCCGGTGGAACAAGAAGAAAGAAATAGAGCTCTCTCTTGAAGAGTGATTCTTCCTCGCTTTGACCTTCATTGGAACAAGGCAAGCAGGAGTCTAGAGTCTTTTGTTCGGTCAATTGACTCATTCACACGCTAGTCTTCTCTCCTCGACTATTTCTCTCCAAGCGCAGTGCGCAATGGTTCTCGCCGCTCGTTGCGGGCAGGCTACGTCCTCCCTCCTTCGCCAGAGATGTCTGGCTGAGACCCGTCGTTCCGCTTTCGCTCTGCGCCCCTTCACTTCTCAGACTACGGCCCGGTCGACGGCTTCGACTCTGCGATTGCAACAGAAGGTCGCTTCGCCATTGCGATCACAGCAACTCCGTTCCTTCTCCAGCGCTCTTCGTCGCTTGTCTTCAGAGGCGTCAAACCCCCCTTCCGCTGACAGCTACATTGCCAGCGGTGTTGTCAAGCCTGGCAGCAACCTGGTGGACGTGAAGAAGGTTCTGGTCATCGGTAGTGGTGGTTTGAGCATTGGACAGGCTGGAGAGTTCGATTATTCCGGTAAGTCGCACGGGTATTCAATTTGGCTTTTCGGCAGATTGCAATCATGCTCGTTTTCAAACCTCTCGTTGGGGGTGTTGTAGATCGCAATTTGATTTCTGGGATGGGGATCGCTACGGGAACGCGAAAATTGAGTGAGAGGGAAAAAGAAAAAAAAAAAAGATCAAAAGAAAACGGGAGACCGCAATTCCATTGCCATTCAGATTGACTAACATTAAATCCCTCGAATTACAGGTTCTCAGGCCCTCAAGGCTCTCAAGGAAGCTGGCGTCACCTCGGTTCTGATTAACCCCAACATTGCGACCATTCAGACCGATCACAAGCTTGCCGATGAAGTCTACTACCTCCCAGTTACCCCCGAATATGTGACTCACGTCATTGAGCGCGAGCGCCCCGATGGTATCTTCCTGTCCTTCGGTGGTCAGACCGCCCTGAACCTTGGTGTGCAGATGAACCGCATGGGTATCTTTGAGCGTTATGGTGTCAAGGTTCTCGGAACGAGCATCAGGACCCTCGAGACCAGCGAGGATCGTGATCTGTTCGCCAAGGCCCTGAACGAGATCAACATCCCCATCGCCGAGTCCATCGCCGTCAGCACCCTTGACGAGGCTCTGAAGGCCGCCGAGGAGGTCGGGTACCCCATCATTGTCCGTTCCGCCTACGCGCTTGGAGGTCTGGGCTCTGGCTTCGCCGAGAATCCCGAGGAACTGAAGAACTTGGCTTCTCGCTCCCTGACCCTCGCCCCCCAGATCTTGGTTGAGAAGTCTCTCAAGGGCTGGAAGGAGGTTGAGTACGAAGTCGTCCGCGATGCTTCTAACAACTGTATCACCGTCTGCAACATGGAGAACTTCGACCCTCTGGGTATCCACACTGGTGACAGTATCGTCGTTGCCCCCAGTCAGACGCTGTCTGATGAGGAGTACCACATGCTCCGCACAGCCGCTATCAAGATCGTTCGCCACCTTGGTGTCGTTGGTGAATGTAACGTGCAGTACGCTCTGCAGCCCGATGGACTTGACTACCGTGTCATTGAGGTCAATGCTCGTCTCTCTCGTTCGTCCGCTCTGGCCTCCAAGGCTACTGGCTACCCCCTTGCCTACACTGCTGCTAAGATCGGTCTGGGCCACACTCTGCCCGAGCTTCCCAATGCCGTCACTAAGACCACCACCGCCAACTTCGAGCCCAGTCTGGATTACATCGTCACCAAGATCCCCCGTTGGGATTTGAGCAAATTCCAGCATGTCAACCGCGATATCGGTAGTGCCATGAAGTCCGTCGGTGAGGTCATGGCTATCGGCCGTACCTTCGAGGAGTCCTTCCAGAAGGCTATCCGCCAGGTCGATCCTCGCTTTGTCGGTTTCCAGGGTGACAAGTTCGAGAACCTGGATGAGGTCCTGAAGAACCCCACTGACCGCCGCTGGCTCGCCGTCGGCCAGGCCATGCTCCACGAGAACTACTCCGTGGACAAGGTCCATGAGCTGACCAAGATTGACAAGTGGTTCTTGTACAAGCTCCAGAACATCGTCGACTGCAACAACGAACTCAAGGAGATCGGCAGCCTCTTTGGCATCAAGAAGGAGATGATGCTCAAGGCCAAGAAGCTTGGTTTCTCCGACAAGCAGATTTCTCTCCTTGTTGGCTCTACTGAAGATGAGGTCCGCGCTCGCAGGAAGAGCTTCGGCATCAGACCCTGGGTCAAGAAGATTGATACCCTGGCTGCTGAGTTCCCGGCTGACACCAACTACCTGTACACCACCTACAATGCTACTTCCCACGATGTCACCTTTGACGACCACGGCATTATCATTCTGGGCAGCGGTGTTTACCGTATCGGAAGCTCTGTTGAGTTCGATTGGTGTGCCGTCAATGCTACCCTTTCTCTGCGCAACATGGGCAAGAAGACTGTCATGATCAACTACAACCCCGAGACCTACTCCACTGACTTCGACACTGCTGACAAGCTCTACTTCGAGGAACTCAGCTACGAGCGTGTCATGGATATCTACGAGCTGGAGGCCGCCAGTGGCGTTGTTGTCTCCGTCGGTGGACAGCTGCCCCAGAACATTGCCCTCCGTCTCCAGGAGACTGGTGGCGCCCACGTTCTGGGTACTGATCCCCAGGACATTGACAAGGCTGAGGACAGACACAAGTTCTCCCAGATCCTGGACAGCATTGGTGTAGATCAGCCTGCGTGGAAGGAGCTTACCTCGGTTTCCGAGGCTGAGCGCTTCGCTGAGACTGTTGGATACCCCGTCCTGGTCCGTCCCAGTTACGTCCTGTCCGGTGCTGCCATGAGCGTCATCTACGGCGTGGATGAGCTCAAGGAGAAGTTGCTCAATGCCAGCGCTGTCTCTCCTGACCACCCTGTCGTCATCACCAAGTTCATTGAGGGCGCTCAGGAAATTGATATTGACGCTGTCGCTGCTAACGGCAAGCTTCTTCTGCACGCCGTCAGTGAGCACGTCGAGCCCGCTGGTGTGCACTCCGGTGATGCCACTCTGGTTCTCCCTCCTGCCTCTCTGGAGCAGGATGTCATGGACCGTGTCAAGGAGATCGCTGAAAAGGTCGCCAAGGCCTGGAACATCACCGGCCCCTTCAACATGCAGATCATCAAGGCCGACCAGGAAGGTGCTGCTCCTCAGCTGAAGGTCATCGAGTGCAACCTCCGTGCCTCCCGTTCCTTCCCCTTCGTCAGCAAGGTCCTCGGCACCAACTTCATTGATGTCGCTACCAAGGCGCTTGTCGGACGTGATGTCCCTGAGCCCGTTGATCTGATGAAGGAGAAGCGTGACTACCTTGCCACCAAGGTGCCCCAGTTCAGCTGGACCCGTCTTGCCGGTGCCGATCCCTTCCTGGGCGTCGAGATGTCCAGTACCGGTGAGATTGCCTGCTTCGGCAAGGATCTCGTCGAGGCCTACTGGGCCTCCTTCCAGTCTACCATGAACTTCCGCATGCCTGAGCCCGGTGAGGGTATCCTGCTCGGCGGAGATATCAACAACCCCGCTCTGGCACAGATCGTTGACTACCTGAACCCTCTTGGCTACAAGTTCTTTGCCGCCAGCCCCGAGGTCCAGGCCCACCTCCAGTCCGCCACCAAGGACAAGGTTTCCGTCCAGGTGATTGAGTTCCCCAAGGAGGACAAGAGAACCCTCCGTGAAGTGTTCCAGAAGTACGACATCCACGGATGCTTCAACCTTGCCAAGTCTCGTGGCAAGACTCTGCTTGATGAGGACTACGTTATGAGACGTAACGCTGTCGACTTCGGCGTGCCCCTCTTCATGGAGACTAAGGTATGAGGATTTCTTCACCATCCGATTTTGCTTTTCACACATGCTAATCCTTCGCTTTCTAGACCGCTCTCCTCTTCGCTCAGGCCATGAACGCGAAGCTGCCCCGTCCCGAGGGCATTCCCTCTGAGGTCCGCAGCTGGTCCGAGTTCACCGGCGGCAAGCTGCTGTAAAGTTGGAATCTCGATGATTCCAGCAGAACAATCAACCAAAAAAAGGGGGGGGGGGAAGTCATGCTCTATCTATAAAATTAATCGTGCCATTCTACTTCAGTTCTCATCTCAGGCACACAAAAAGCCCGTTCTGTTTGGCGTAGCGGATGCGGCTTCATGTTGATAAACTTTTATGCTCCTGGTCTGGACCTGGCATTCGGGTTCCGTCTCTCGCACGTGAAGGCGACATGAGGATTATGGTCGTGCTGTGGTGTTCTATATCTTCTTGTTCTTCTTGGTTTCTATTCTTTCATGGTTTTGTGTAGGCAGGCTATGTGCTTGAGCGAGAAAAGAATATTGAATCGGCTTTTACTTTCGTCTCCTGTTGGGTTGGTCTGTATGTTATGCTACGATTCGAAATGTATGTATTTATAAGTATATCAACTATCTCATCAATCTCATCCTCTTCAAGTCAAGTGCATCTATCATAGCTGTGGACTTTGTTTTATATCGAAATTCGCAATGGGCAAAACCACGTGATACCAGTTATTTTCTGATATGAGGGCCTAGGAGATGTTGTTAGAGAGATTGCAAGAGACTCCATTGCTTGTACCGACACTATACATTGGTCGAAATAAGATGAAAAAAGGAGAGAAAAAAGACTCAGGCCATCAAGATCTTTCAATACTTGGGTTTTGCATGGAGGAAGTCAACACCCTAAACGGCAAATAGCTAAATCTCTAAATCTCTGAGAGGTCCCGAGGTGGTTGTGTTGAATGGCACTTTGTATACAAACTGTCGAACCGGACTGTCGTTCGAGTTCCCTTGGACCATCTCTCCTAAGTCTTGCATTCCACGCTGGGAGAATCTTGCCGCATTGACGGAATCATCTACCAACTTGAAGCAAAAAAAAAAAAAAAACTAATATTTTTCCTCATATACTTCGCATCATTTTACACGCCAACCGCCCCACCTGTCAAGATGTCCACAGTCCAAGACCTACAGAGAGAACCCGGTCTCAAAGTTCCCGAAGACCTCATAAACGAGAATCTCCTCGCCTGTCTCCTCGATCCATCGTCTCGAAACCAAGGTCTCGAGCAGTACGATGAGGACGTCACGAGAGGAGGATTCGAGAACCCTATCCCTTCGGTCTACACCAAAGCCACAACCGGGCCGTCTCCGGGTTCTGGAACGGGACTGTTCGCCTCTAAGGATATCCAGCCGGGGGAGACGGTGGTGTTGATCCAGAAGCCGTTCGTGGCGGTTCTGGATACCGCGCAATTGGAGAGTAAGTGCTCTGGATGCCTTGGGGCTCATGCGAATCGGCAGGAAGCCGTTGAGTTGAAGGCGTGTACGGGGTGCCGGGTGGTGAAGTACTGTAATAAGGTGAGTTGAAATGGTTGTATGTGTGTGCTTTTCGTCTGTCGTTGGATGATGTGTGCTTGACTGTGATTGAGACATGCATCCAATTGGCGAGGTCGTGATGGTTTTGCGCTGAAATCGACGCGCGGGTCTTCATATACCTTCCCAGCTCATTTTCAGTCCTTCACTGTGTGGTTGCCGTACTAACTTCCCTAGACTTGCCAGGCGAAGGACTGGAAACTTTTTCATTCGCTCGAATGCCGGATCTTCCAGAACCTGAAGCCTCGAGTCCTTCCCAATAATGCCAGAGCCATTCTCCGGATGGTTATGCTTAGCGAGCGTGGCAGATACCCCGCTGGGGAAATGGAACTTTTCAAGGGCCTTGAGAGCCACATGAAAGATGTCTGTATACGGAATGCGAATGGAGACAAGGACCAGTGGGAGCGTATATTGCTGACAGCAAAAGCCGTGAAGAATTACTCTGGCTGTGCCATGGATGAGAGTTTGATTGCTGAGTATGCGGCAAAGGTAAGCCGAGAGTGTGTTCTTCATCTATGATATTAGAAGCAACCGAGAGCTGACCCTCCCAAGCTTGATGTGAACTCTTTCAACTTTGACAATGTCATGGACGAACGTCTGGGAATCTATATGCACCCCTACGCGGCCCTGATGAACCACAGCTGCGATTACAACGCGACAGTAGCTTTTGACGACGATAGACTCCACGTTAAAGCTCTGCATCCCATCAAAAAGGGCGAACAGATATTTATCACATATGTGGACACCACAAACCCGTATAAAATCCGCCAGAAGGAGCTCTCGGATCGCTACTATTTCACCTGCCGGTGCTCAAAATGCCAACAAGGCGCAAACGGACGTGAGGATGTCTTCCCAGGGGATCCGCAAGACCAAGATGCAGTCGAGCGCCTGCAGGTCCAAGGATTCAAACTCGTCAATGCCACCTCTACTACGGAGGGCGGATCAAGGCACGAGTCAAAAGACTCCCTGTCGAATCTCCAGCAAGCTATGCGGGAAATGCTCGGCCATGCATGGCCAATCACCCGACAACCGTTGGTTGCAATGCGAGACGAGCTGATCACATGTCTGCTCTGCCAGGGCTCCCTACACACCGCACTTGTGCAAGCGCTCATCCGCTATCGGCTCACGGATCCCATTCTTTACCCGGACGTGCGACATCCCGTACGCCAGCTGCACGCCTGGGCCGTGGCCATGATCGCCATCAATTTGGCGCAGCCGAATGAACCGAAATCGCATGAGGTGGTTACGTTTGAGCGGGAGATGTGCGCCTTGATCGCGCATTCTGTTCTTTACCAGCTCATGGATAATCTTTCGAGTGGTTGCACCGTGCCGTCATTCAAAAAAATCGTTCGAAGGGCGTTCGAAGACGCAGCAATGCCCATCTATCAGAGCGTTCCCAAGGAATCGTACGGCAACCTGGTTGGAATGATACGCAGCATATGGAAGCGAATAGACAACATCATTGCTAGTGAGTTGAGGCGGGAACGGGAGCAGGATCAGTAAACCATAGGGCAGTATTAGAGAGATGGGACATGCGAGACATGCAATCTAGGAACGCATATGTCATCAAGTTATAATAGCGAAGAGCAGTTGTGTACTGCCAATCCGGTGACCGTGATGTATACACTAGGTACGAGAATGAACCGTGAATCTAGAACCAAACAGACACAAGTGAACAACTATAAAAGGCTAAGTAGTTGTCCGCCAGACATTGCTATCTACTGCACTACTTGCCTTAAACCATGCATCTACGAATCGACGGCTTCCAACCCGAAAGACATCTTTGCCGAGTACAATGACACAAATGCAGCACACGTAACGATACGACTTCGTAAATTAGACTTCCTTGCCTAACTAGCTTTAGGGAACAGGTAAAAAAGCCCTTTGCCTCCGCCGAAGCAGACACGGAGTGGAAAACTTCATCATCATGAGTCTGGAGATCCCGCTTGGTCCGGGGTTCGTTATGGCGACAAGATCTTATATTGAGATGCAAACAGCTGACCCGCACGCGACATACAAACTTGATGAATCCAGATATACGCAAATGGTATCCATCCCTTTTTTGTTCTCCCAGCACATCCGTACGCCCCGATCCTCCACGCGACACCTCCAGAAAGCTTTTCTTCTTTACTTGAGGGGAATGAAACGAGAAGAGTGGGTGGCACCGATACCGGGACGACCGTGCTTGACGGGCTTGCTGGAGGGTTGTTAGAAATCTGCGTGATTTTTCCACCGCGGGGGGCAATGAGAGTAAAACGTACTATGTGATGGAGAATTCACCGAGGTAGTGGCCAACCATCTCGGGCTTGACCTCAATCTGGTTGAACTCCTTTCCGGAGTAGATACCGACGACACTGCCGATCATCTCGGGGACGATGATCATGTCACGGAGGTGAGTCTTGACGAGATCGGGCTTCTCGTTGGGCTTGGCCTCCTGCTTGGCCTTGCGGAGCTTCTTGATCAGGCCCATGGGCTTGCGCTTCAGACCGCGGTTGAACCTGCGGCGGGCGCGGGCGTGGACGACATCACGGAGCTGTTCGGAGGAGAGGTCGAGGAGCCTGTGGCACGTCGTATGTCAGACATATATTTTTCTGCGAAAGTAATTTTTTCCAACAATCCTGGTCCTTGCATCAAACACCCGACTCCGACAAGATATCGACAAGAACAAGATGTTATACTCGATGGCATCGCTCGTTCGGAGTCGGTTGATTGGCAGGTCATAGAATTGTTGTAAGGGATATCGCTGGAACGTACTGGTCGAGGTCAATTCCGCGGTAGGAAAACTTGCGGAACTGTCTTCTCTTCTTGATCTCTGTTCGGCGGAAATCTGTGTCAGCGCGACCCTTCTTTCATTGATGTGTGTCTGCATGTTCGATGATCGTATTCCTCCTCATTCATCCCTGACGTCCAAAGTCCATCCCGAATCCCGAATTTTTCTCGCAATATCCCGACTCAAAAAAAAAGCGTTCACATAAACACCGCGCATGTTGTAGAGGATCACAGGGATGGAAGGGAAGGTTTCAGCGATGATAACGTACCGGCAGCCTCCTCGGCGTTCTGCAGACAAAGATTTCACATTAGTTTTCCTATCCAAGTATATATAGAGAGTATATGTCCAAAAGATCACTCACGTATTCGATGTCAGCCATTTTTGCGGATGTTCCTCTCAAGGTCGCTTTCCGAACGGTACTCGAAAAGCGAAGGGAATAGGATTGTCGTGTCGTGTCTTGTCGCTGAAGGACGTTCGTCGGGGCTAATCTTGTGCTCCTATTACGGACGGGGAGGTGGGCTGCAGGGCTCGCCTAAGCGACCGGACTAGGTCAAACCCTAACTTACTAGTCCGTATCGGGTTCAAATTGGATCTCTCCGCCTTACACCTTATTTTTCAGGCATCAAGTCTATCACGGCGATAAACCGTCAATTGATATCGATTTACATATCGATTTACTGATGAATCTACGCAACGATTAAATGTTCAGTCGAAAGGTGATAGAATGACGACAGGAGCTAGATAGACTCAGTGCACATGTCCCCCACGATTCTCATCAAATCTCCAGCCATCAGACTAAGGTATACTATCGGAGAATTCAGCTTACATGCGCAAATTTACTCAGGACACAGAAATGAGATGATAGAGGTCAGATAATCTGTATTGGCTAAAAGCTCTTTCCAGCTCTCATATGCATAATCGTAACTGCATCCACAAAGCCCGAAGACACACAGGCTTGACAGCACAAATGGGCGGGTCTACTCCCCATACTGAAAATGACAGCCAGATTTCCTTTCCTCCACCAAGACTCATGATTTTTGTTGCGCTGGTATATATTGATGCGCTTAGTCGAAGAGACCGAAGCCCATGTCGTCGTCGGACTCCTCCTTCTCCTCCTCCTTCTCCTCAGCGGGAGCGGCCTCAGCAGCACCACCGGCGGCAGCACCGCCAGCGGCGGGGGCAGCACCACCAGCACCGCCGGAGGGAATGGAAGCGAGCTTGGTGGAACCCTCAGCAATCAGCTGTTGAAGAAATTTTCCGTTAGCATCTTGTCACAATCTTCCTCTCGTAGACCAGCGCAAAACTAACCTCCTGAAGGTCCTTGCCCTCGAGCTCAGCAATGAGCTTGTTGAGGCGCTCCTCATCAGCATCAATGCCGACAGAAGAGAGAACCTCCTTAACATCAGCAGCGGAGGGGCTGGCGTTGCCACCAAGGGCGAGGAGGAGGTAAGCGGCGAGGTGCTTCATTTTGAATCTGTTGATTGGAGAAAAAAAATTGCTGTTAGACGAATTTCAAGATGCGACAAAGATGATCGTTTGTCAACAAGACGCTGGACTGGAAATACGTACTGGGTTTAATGAGATATATCGAACACGAGAATCAATCGATTTAACCGCAAGTTGGGCGGAGACTGAGACGTCGAGTTCGCTGAAAGATTTAGCGAAGTGGTTAGGGGAAAGTAAGAAGTGTTGAATCCGATCCTCAAAATCTCGAGAAAAGTGCGGTGCGGCTGGTGGGTTGTGGCTAGAGCGTTAGAAGCTACTGAGCTAAGCGAGCGTCTGTGGCGCAGGCGCTTCTCTCCAAGTTACACTTCCCAAGTGATGTCTCACGTGACTGGCTGCTTCTAGAAGACAGTCTGCTGGCATCTGTGTTTCCCTTTTTTCCCGACACTGTCTCATCCAGTGGACATCTTCTACACGCCATTTTTGTCTCAGCGGAGGTGGGGAGGTTAATGCGTATTCACTCCTTGATCCTTCTCCTGTCTCTCAGTTTCGCCACTCACGAAGTCATGAAGTTACCCCGTCACACTAACCACCGACGGTGAAACTACCTTATCAGTATCTCCTATCTCGTTACCCCAAGCTTTACTTTTCAGAGTCTTCTTGGGTAACCAAGCGACCACCATGAGTGTCAGTTGTTCGTTTGAGTTTTCAGCGTTAATGGGTTCTAACGTTCTAGCAGTTCCTTGACTCCGTCCTCTCGTCCATTGAGACGGGCAAACCTGCCCGCATCGCGCCTCCCCCTCCAGTTCGATCTCCAGCACCGCCTGTCTCCTCCTCAAACGTCAGAACTGAAGTACGAAAGCCAAGTAATGGGGCCCGTGTCAACTCTACCGGACAGGCAAATGTTGCTGCTGGAATCAAACGAAAAGCTGAAGATCAGCTGCGTCGCCCCACCAAGCCTGTCTCCCAGACATCCAGCAAACCCGCTACAGCGAAACCTGTCAATGCCTCTACGGCTCTGAAGTCTCGCCCGGCTGCTACTCCCGCCTCCAGGAAGCTGACGACAAGTAGCACTGCAGCAGCTACTCAGAAGACGGCACCGGTCTCTTCAAAGCCCCCTCCTCCGGGATCCTTTGCCGATATCATGATGAAGGCGAAAGAAGCGCAAACCAAAGCCCCTACTCAGGTCGGCATGTTCAGACATCAGGCTGTTACCAAGGAGAAACTCAGTAAAATGGAGCGCAAAAAACGAGCAATAGAAGCGCAAACAAAGGAAAGAGATCCACGAGCCGCAAAGAAAACCGGCGTCGCCTCCAGCGGCGCAGTTGCGGGCAAGCTTGGTGATAGCAAACTTGGCAAAAAGCGCGAGGCCGAAGAGTTAGCCTACAAGGGCACAGCACGACCGACGCCGACTTCGGCTGTGCCGGAATACCGAGGAACAGCTGGTTTGCCAAGTCGACGCGGTTCGAGCGAACCAAGAGCGAGGTCTCGAGCTAGCAAGCGATCCAGAATGAATGAATATCTTGGAACGGATGAGGAAGATGAGGGCGAGTATGCCGAAGAATACGACGACTATTACTCGGCATCCTCCGACATGGAGGCTGGCTACGATGATGTAGAGGAGGAAGAGGCTGCTGCCTTGAAATTCGCCAGGAAGGAAGATGAAGAAGAATTGCGAGCAGAGCTTGCAGCGAAACAGGCAAAGCTTGAGCGCCAGAAGAAACTTGCAGCATTGGTCTCGAGGCGAAGATAATAATAAGCTCCGGTTACTCCCATCATTCCGGCGAACCTACATACCTTCTGTCAAGTGTCAACAGCACAATTTCCTTAGTCATTTGCATACGGAGCATCAGCGAGGAATACCCGTGGTTGCATATTACATTCGATCCTTCTCTTTCCTTCGTGTCCATCCTTGTGTTCTCTTATCTTCTTATTTCCTAGTCACGGCGTTGCATTTTCATGGTTTCTGATAGCATCTGATAATAACGAGCGTCGAGCTATCGATAGAGGACGCATCGGTCGTCTCTTTTTCCTCGCTGATTTGATTTTATGTGGTCCATGTGTCTTTTTATCTGAAATTTTATTCTTGACTTGCAAAGAGCGGGCGTCATCCTTACATCTTCTTTGTCCCTGTTAGCTAGATAGATAAGACATGATATCTAATAATCAAACTAGTGCAAGAATCACTTATGGTTTCAATTCATCGTTGTCCTTCTCGATGAACTAGTTCTTCTTCCATGTTGTTGCGTGTTCGCAGCTGTTTTGGAGATGCCCCACCTGATAACGCTGTGACATCACCCACCACGCCGACTCCGTTCGCCTCGAGACGGCAGGACGACTGTTGCAACTATTCTCCCATACATATATGAAAGATAGACATTGAAATTGTTGCCATTGTTGATTGACTATTTCTCTTCTCTCCTATTTAGTACAGAAGTGCATATCCAACATGGAGCCAGTACATGTGTCAACCTCGTCAAAGGTCTTATTCCAGAAAGTGCGCAAGATTGTGCCTCCTCTGGTAGACAAATTTCACAAAGGTATGTGAGTGCATGACAGATCTTTGCAATGCTTCCAGGACAAATCAGAGGAATATTCACTCAAGAACTGGTCTGTTGCTGACTCTGAGCAAAGGACAGCATGGACGTGTCGCGGTTATCGGAGGCTCTTTGGAGTAGGTTAACGGACCCGTGGCTGTCCCAACAGCTTGTACTAAATAGCGATAAAGCTATACAGGAGCTCCTTACTTCTCATCGATGGCATCGGCGCGATTAGGTATGTTCCTCGCGGGAAGCCCGCTTAATGATCAGTATTGACGGACAATTACAATGCAGGATGCGACATGGTAAGACGAATCAGTCCACACTGTCAATAGAGGCCACTATGGTAACAAAACATAGAGTCACGTCATTTGCGAGAGATCTGCAGCTACGGTATGCATGTTTGTTACTCAAAGGAGGCTCAGTATCTTCGGACTAACCTGGATGCCTAGGTTATCAAGTCCTACTCTCCGAATCTCATGGTTCACCCATTACTTCCAAGCACCGAATCGGTCAAGAACCCCGAGTCCATCGACGCTCCCGCGCTTGCTAGTCCCATTATTGCGATGCTCCCTCGCTTGAATGCCATAGTGATTGGTCCGGGGCTGGGTCGCGATGGAGTCACTCTGAAAGTGGTGACAGAAGTCATGAAGGAGGCGCGGTCTCGCTCGATACCCTTTGTTCTAGATGCAGACGGTCTGCTTCTAGTGACGGAGGATCTTGATCTAGTTAAGGGATACAAAAACTGTATCTTGACCCCTAATGTCATGGAGTTCAGCCGACTAGCCAAGGCACTCGGGATTGACGTTCCCAGTCAAGCTCAAATTGCCTCTGAGCCGGATGAAGGAGACAAGACAAGCAAGGAAACTCGAGCTTGTGAGCAGCTTTCACAGGCCCTGGGTGGCGTGACTATCATTCAGAAGGGGCCACACGATGTGATTTCGAATGGTGTGACGAGTATCGTCTCTGATCTAAAGGGTGGCTTGAAGCGCAGTGGCGGGCAGGGAGACACGCTCACGGGATCATTGGGCACACTGCTAGCCTGGAGGGCTGCTTACCACAACAAGCTCTGGGATTCAGGCGAGCAGGAAAACCCGAAGGAGGCGCAGACGAAGCAGGATGTAATGACAGAGATCGAAACACCCAACCTAAGAATGTCGCCAGTCACAACCCTGCTTCTGGCTGCATGGGCAGGCAGCGGAATCACTCGAGAGTGCTCTCGGCGAGCATTCAATGCCAAGGGCAGAAGTTTGCAGGCCAGTGATCTGACAGACGAGGTGTACGAGAGCTTTTTGGCTTTGATTGGTGAACCGGAGGGTTCGAAAACCCATCTGTAGGCTTCTGCCTGGTGCCTTCACAGCTTGTATCTCTACATACAAGGACAGCTATATTGATGAATGAATAACGACATGGTGATCATTCCATGTGCAGCTCATGTGATTTCCATTCGTTTGAAACCAGAGGCTATGGAAAGTGGTCGAATGCTTGGTACTATACACATTTGCCTTCGTACTATTAATAGTAGTACTGGAATTCTGTCATATACGCCGATCTCTAAAGTATGTCCACTGATAGCGAGTTCGAATGGTTAGTTCAAGACACATTGACTATGCCGATGCTAAATATGTCCCGGACACAACCAATACCAGCCATGTCTTTCTGCCTGACCACAACGCCCATGGGGATGTTGCCCCGACTTTGATGACCTCCGTCCATTCTAACGGGTATCCCTGCGTCTTCACCGCGCGGGCTGAACTCGATACGTCAGATCTCTTTTGCGGGGGGGTGCCTTAATATCCACTGTTCTTATCCTGCTCATGTTCCGGAGCTCGTATTGCTACCACCAATCCCACCGCGCCGTGGCTCGAAACATGCTCAGTCAGATGCAGTTGAGGCATGGGAAAGGCTGCGGTAACAGTCACAGAAGCACCTCTTTGTACAACTGAGAGACATGTCTCAAGAGTCACTCTTTGTTGCTGACTGGATTCAACCATCTACACCTTATGACATGGAATCTGAGGACCTGGCCGAGTTTACTGGTGGGGTAACAATTGCAGTGCCTCGAAGGGCTGAGGGCGCCGTATCCCCGTTGCTGTAAAGCATGTTGTTCTACATGGAAGGCTCGATCTTAGCCTGAGCGTGGGAAAAGGGTATATAAAGGGAGAGGAGGAAGAGGAGGGAGCCATACTCGATCCTGAACCAACTCTCTCCTCGTCTCAAAGAAGAAGAACATACCAATACCAAACCATCCTACCAGACCAAACTATCCTTCCTCCTCTACCGCCACAATGAAGACCGTTTCCATCATCACCTCCGTCCTCCTCGCCTCTGTTTCCCTCGTCTACTCCACAGCCCTCCCTCCAACCTGCGGAACCTGCAATCCCCTCTCCGGCCAGAACCACTGCGACATCACCACCTCGTGCATCAACACAGGCACCCGCTTCCACTGCGCCTGCCGTGCCGGCTACAAGGCCTCGCCCAACAACAAGGACATCGCCAAGCAGTTCCGTCTCAAGGTTCCCCACTACCAGTTCCTGGTCTTCACGCCAGAGAGCACCGAGTGCAACACCCTCTGCGACAACCCCTACGGAGCGAGCCCGGATCTCTGTGTGGAGATTCCAATCTATGACAAGTGCGCTGTTTGAGCTGCGGCTCATGATATAAGCTTGGGGTTCTGTTGAGCTTGGTGTTGTACATTTGGGAGGACTGGGGAAATGGAGGGCTACATTCCTTTGGAGGTCTATATGGTCATCATACTGTGCGCGACTTATGTAAACGCTCCTTTACAATGTGATCCTTCTGCAATATAGTACTTATCCAGTAGATTCCCTGTGGTAGATCGTTGGTCATTCGAAAGATGGCATTAGAAGTTGATTCGTACCCAGCACTTTCAAGAAATGATATACACCGTAACACCAATTCCCAAATTCTACCCATCATCAAGGAATTTTACACACAAATTCCATGCTCTTGCTCATGTGTACGAACAATAACTAATCCAAGCAGAAAGCGGCTGGGACAGTTAACACAGAACGATGCAACACAATTCAGTCATTATATTTCGAATAGGCGGGATTATTGTCATCCCAATGCCCCTTAGATATCCATTGCCTCGTCATCGCCAAGATCCAGGAAAATGAGGCGCGTTCCGTTGTTAACGACTTGCCAGACCTGTAGAGAAAGAAAGGTGTTAGCATAAGCCGCTTTCTGCGCCAATGAATGCTGACACCACTTACATTAAGCTCCTCGTATTCGTCGATCGCCATCGTGAGCTGATCCTCAGTGAATCCCTTGGCCAAAACACGCTCCCGAATCCTTCTCATGCTGAGTTCACCCTCTTCGCCGTCTCCGACAGCTGCAGCACCGCTCTCCCGCATGCCACGGACCAGGTTGTAAATCTTACTGCTGGGGCTTTGGTCCACGCCAGAATGGCCATCATTGGCCAATGATGCCTTGCTGACCTCAACCAGGCGCAGCGCCTCATCGACGTCCTCTCTGATCACTTCCTCGCTGAAGCGAAGGCGGGCAAGAGCTTGCGAGAGACGAACGACGCCAAGTAGGGTACGTGGTGTTACATGAGAAAATTGCTTCTTGCTGGCTTCATCGCTCTTTTGCTGCTTTCTCATTCTCACGTAAGCCCCGACCATATAATCGGAAACTGACGAGGGCACCACCGGTCGATATGTGCGCGCCTTGGCAATGTATTGACGAACTTCGTGGGGAGTGAACATGATACCAGCGTCCTCTGTCTCAGGATGCCTGTTGTGCATGTGGACGTACGTAACGTGGTTGGCCAGCTCTTCGTCTGCGTCGCGCGATGGGGTATCAAGGATGAGGAACATGATGTCGAAACGCGAGAGCAAAGCAGCGGGCAGATTGATGTTCTCAACTGGAGAGACCCGTGGGTTATACCGCCCATAAAGCGGGTTGGCTGCTGCCAGGATGGAAGTGCGAGCATTAAGCGTTGTTGTAATACCCGCTTTGGAGATCGAGATTGTCTGTTGTTCCATCACTTCGTGGATCGCGGTTCGGTCAGAGTCGTCCATCTTGTCGAATTCATCAATACAGCAGATACCATTGTCTGCGAGCACCAGAGCACCTCCCTCCAGCACCATCTCGTCCGTGACTGGATCTCTCATGACTGCAGCTGTGAGACCAACGCCGCTACTGCCTCGTCCAGTCGTATAAACACCACGTGGGGCAACCTTGGTAATGTATTTCAGCAACTGCGATTTGGCAACACCAGGATCACCCATAAGGCAAATGTTGATATCACCACGAATATGCATGCCGTCACCCATCTCCTTCGTTACACCTCCAATCAGCAGGAGCAGCAAAGCCTTCTTCACGTCCAGATGACCGTAGATTTCGGGAGCAATTGAACGGGACAAGTATTCGTACATATTTCCGGACTTCTGGTACTGTTCAATCTTGCGCAGCGTCCGACTGTCCATGCCGAGGTCATTGTAGGATTTCTTATGTTGTGTAATATGTTGGGCTTCCATGTATGTATCTGTGAGAAGGCCGGCGCGGATAGCTCTGAATCCAGTATAGGGAGTGGGAAGGAAAATGCCGGCGACATCAACAACATCACCCGGATTGAGCTGTCGTGTTAGACTTCCATGGCAGTGGATGGTGAGCGTGCGTGGGATATGACCGACGGGAACCTGATCTGCCATCTCTTGGATTTTTACCTCCTGGAATGGAACAAATTTCGAAGCACGAGTGGAAAGAAACAGTTGACCCTTCGAGTTGTTCTGCTTACATTCCTGTGACAAGCACTCCGTCATTGGAAGGAATTGTTTGGTGGTCACTGGCTGGAACACCTCACATCCGCACCGGTCACAAGTATAAGCGTTGATCTGAACCGATGGCTTGACATCCGACACTCGGGTAGTGATGCCGCGAACTGTGATCAGGCTACCCAGATGCTCTGCGCGCACATTTCGAACGGCAAGGGCCTTGGAGTCCCGCTCGCTACTTGACCCAGATGGAGTAAGAGGCTTGAAGTTGAGGGTGTACCGGCGCGTCAATTCGGGAGGAAACATGGCGGGAGTGGCTGCCGCCTCCGCGTCGGCCTCCATGGCCATGGCCATGGCCTCATTTCGCTTTTCACGTTGCGACATAATGACATCGAGAACATCGTCCTTGAAGCTGGATGCGCACCATTAGCCATTGCTCTTCTTTACTTCCGGAGCCTCAACCTACGTGATCTCCCTCGTCTCCGTAGGCATAATCGCATCAACCGCTTGAGAGAAAACATCGATATAGCGCTTGGTGTTCTGCTGTATGGATTCCACAAGCTTCAAGTCTGTGTCTTCGGGAAGAGATTTCTCGTACTGCGGCATCCACGATTAAATGATATCGCAGAGAAAAAAAAGATAAGTTTGGATCTTACTGTAGCCAGGTCATCCAATTCAATCAAAACATTCGTCCGCTCCCGGTCTGCTATGTCCTGCAATATCTGCATGTATTTGAGCTTCGGTTCTCGGCGCCGGCGGCGTGCTCCTCCCCCGTTTGCCTCATCCACATCATCCATAAAGTCATATTCGTCGCTGGTGCCATCTTCATCAATGCGCAGATCTTCGATAGCCTCGGTGGCAGCTGCTTCCGAAGCCGATTCGAAACTTTTAAAATGTTGCAGGAAGTCTTTGAAGGAATCCAACTGCGCCGCGTAGTCGACAGGCGCATGGTATTGAAGGAGAGCCATGATGCGGCGATGAATCAAGCCGATTCACTTAGTCTTCAAAGCTCGTAAATTGAGGAGATGAGGATAGTGTCAAATATTCGACAACCAGGAACGCAAGAAGAAATCGCAGTGTGAGGTTGGCTGGTTCCTTAGCAACTCCATTAGTGGATCTCCCTTGGCGCCAACAGCTTTTTGGCGCAACACACGTCGCGACACGAAAGAGACGCGTCTGCCATTCCTCAAATGGCGCTAGTCCCAAAATATACTAGGTGAAATGGCACGTGGGGCGGAGCGGAAAATGTCTCGGTCCGAAATACAGCAGGCGGGCCGACTCGGCGAACGGCGCTGGGCGGGCATTTGATTTGCGGAGTCAACCCAAGTCCGGGGAGATGCTATCGTGTGGTGGGTGTTCTCTTCTCCCCCCAGAGATCTTGAAGCTCCCTTCTTGTCTATCCTGAGACGCAGAACCTTGTCTTTTCTCTGCGCTCGCAAAATGGCGCTCAGGAAGCCTTCAAGCATGGCCGAAGTCGCATTGGTACCTCTGAAGAACTGTCTCGTGAACCTACCTCCATCACTTGTCTCACTGCTGGTCAATGCCAACGCTGTAAGCCGCCTATTCCTACCTCTACATACTCTTCTTCTTCAGTGTCTGACTGGTATTGCGAGAAGCCTGCGCAGAATGTCATTGTTGAACTCCAATATCGTTCCTCGTCAGTGAAGGCGAATGGTAGTCCGGCGCAACGATCATGTTACTTGGGATGGACGGGAATGCCGAGCAAGCGGAAGCTTGCACCTGTCGTTGATCGGAATGGCATCAGTGGAGGATCTTCTAGGGAACAGGATATTTCTACTGTGGAGGTAGATACCACGTTTGCGAGAGTCCTGGGCCTTGCAGAGGGACAGAAGGTAAATCTATATTGTTCCTAGCATCGATTGCCCATTTCTCACGTGGCCACAGGTTGGGATATACATACACCTTGATCCGCCAGTGGCTCATACGATAAACATTGAGCCCTTAACGCCAGAGGACTGGGAAAGTAAGCGCCATCATCTATGTGGGGAGTCTAATTGATGATCTCTGCTGACAAGCATGGCTGGTAGTCATCGAGCTTCACGCGAACTTCTTGGAACTAAATCTCCTGTCGCAAATCCGCGCTCTGCCTAATCCTACGTATACTTCGCCACAGTCTGAACATATGCACCCCCTTGCGCTACACCTTTCTCCCACTTCCACCGCTAACATCGTCATCACTTCCTTGACCCCTGCCCCGCCAAACACATCAGCATTCGCAAAGATAGCGCCGGATGCAGAAGTGATCGTTGCCCCGAAGGTTCGGCCTAAGACTTCAAGAAGTTCTAGAGGGGATAGTCGAAGTGTGAATGGCAGCAGCCGGAAGAGTGTTGGTGGAAGAAGTAACGGGAGCACAGTGCGAGCAAAAAGCGGTCGCTCTGATTCAACGAATCGAGGTGCTCTCTACTTCCGGGGCGTTGATCGCCAACTGGTCGAACCATACTTTGACGGAGAATTCGAAGATGATACCAACGAGGGTTTTCGTGTATGGCTTGATCCCGACATGCTTGCCACGAGCGAGCTTCGTGGCGTCAAGTGGGCATGCATTACCATCGTCCAGCCCGCGGGGTTGAAGGCACCACCGGATCCCCAGCAACAAATGACTCAAGCGGAACAGAAGGCGAGTGAAGCAGGATTACCAGCTCCGAAACTCGTGGCTAGACTAGCTCCCTGGATCGACTCTCCAGACAGTCAGCACATCGCCATGTCTACTGTGCTATGTTCGGCCCTAGGTGCTGAAGGTATGGTTGGTGGTATAGTACGGGTTGAAGCAGCCTCTCCGCCTTTGCCACGGTCGACTGTCAAAACGCTCAAGATTTACCCATTCATGTCTGATCCAACGAGAAAGAAGGACGGGCTCAGGTTTGGTGCAGATACCGCAGCTGCCAAGGATGCGCTGCTTGAGCGCATCAAGGTGATCTATGGCAGCACCGGAACAGATCACGGCTTACTCTCGGGACCGTTGACAGATGGTATGATCGTACCGAAGTCGGAGAATCAGACTTCGGTGTCCACATTCGATGGTGCCATCATCCGGTTCGATCCTCCTTTGAAAAGCAGCCCCGACGCCCCCAAACAGATGTCTGGGTGGGTGTTGGGATCAGAAGCGAAGCTTTCGCTAGAAGTACAGGCCGAGATCCCCAAACCCGCTGAGTCAGGCCAATCCATTCTTCCCACGGAGGAGCCACTCCCCAGCAGCATTCCTGATCTGGTCAGTATCGACCAGATCATTTCCCAATCTCTCGATAATTTGACCAAGTCCTCTTCTGTCTTAATAACAGGCGGTCTTGGTTCCGGTAAAACGGCTCTGAGCCACCTGCTGGGTCACCGGCTGCGAAAGGATCACTTGTTCAATGTGAAATATTTCTCCTGCCGAAAACTTGTCACTGATGAAACCCGAATCTCAAACATCAAAGAAACGCTGAGCCGATTGTTCATGTCTGCTTCGTGGTGCGCTCGGCTCGGTGGACAATCTGTTGTGATTCTGGACGATCTTGACAAGTTATGTCCTGTGGAGACAGAGCTGCAAGTGGGCGGTGATAACGGCCGTAGCCGTCAAAATAGTGAAGTGATCTGTTCGATGGTTCGAGAATACTGTTCAATGAACTCGTCAGTGGTGTTGCTGGCGACGGCACAATCGAAAGAGTCATTGAACAATGTCATTATTGGAGGTCATGTGGTTCGCGAGATCATCCACTTGAGAGCGCCTGATAAGGAAGGGCGTCGTAAGGTTCTTGAGAAGCTTACAAGTGATGATCGAGCCACAGGCAGCCTTGCCAACGGCCATTCACGAACTGCAAGCGCGTCAACCCAAGACTCTTGGCTGGATCCTTCAAATCCGGGGAGCCGTCCTAGCTCCGCTGGAGCAGATGGCTTCGTACTAGCGCGTGATATTGACTTCCTCGACCTGGCGGGTAAAACAGACGGGTACATGCCTGGCGATCTGGTCTTACTTGTCGCTCGGGCACGAAATGAGGCGCTGATACGGTCTGTTCAAGCCACCCTGGCGGCGTCGAAAGCAATCACTTTCGGGGCCGAGGACTTTGAAAACGCTATCAAGGGCTTCACCCCAGCGTCTCTACGCAATGTCACCCTTACCTCATCCACTACAACATTCTCAGCTATTGGCGGTCTGCACGAGACCCGGAAGATGCTGTTGGAGACCCTACAATACCCGACGAAATACGCGCCTATCTTTGCGCAATGTCCTCTGCGTCTGCGTTCGGGCTTGCTCCTGTATGGCTTTCCGGGCTGCGGAAAGACTCTTTTGGCTAGTGCGATTGCGGGCGAGTGTGGCCTCAATTTCATTAGTGTCAAGGGTCCCGAGATCCTGAACAAATACATCGGTGCAAGTGAGAAGAGTGTGCGTGATCTGTTTGAACGCGCCCAGGCTGCCCGACCATGCATTCTTTTCTTCGATGAATTCGACAGTATCGCGCCCAAGCGTGGTCACGATTCTACCGGCGTTACAGACCGCGTTGTCAACCAGCTTCTCACGCAGATGGATGGTGCAGAGGGTCTTTCGGGCGTGTATGTTCTCGCGGCCACCTCTCGCCCGGATTTGATTGACCCTGCACTGCTTCGCCCAGGTCGATTGGACAAGTCTTTGCTCTGCGACATGCCGAGCCACTCTGACCGACTTGATATCATTCGAGCTGTAAGCACCAAGCTTGCGATGGATCAGGAAGTTGTTGCCCGTTTGGATGAAGTCGCGGCGAGGACCCAGGGCTTCTCCGGTGCTGATCTACAAGCCGTGGTTTACAACGCCCATCTCGAGGCTGTCCACGATGCACTCGGCGACCAACCCGGCGCAACCACCAAATCATCAACGAAGACCAACACCAAGCAAGCCTCAAGCACCAGCAGCAAATCATTTATCCAATTCTTGTATTCGACATCCGAGCAAAGAGCCGGATCCGTATCCATGCCGCCGCCAGCAGTTGTCGCCGCTCGGATCGACGCCATCAAGAATGCCCGGCGTCGTCTACGTCAAATAGAACAGGGAACCGCCGGCGCTGCCACTGCGCCCACCACGAATGGGGCGACAGACGAGGAGCCGCGCGAGGAGATCGTGGTCCGGTGGGAGCATATGGAGCGATCACTGACCACCACACGCAGCTCCCTCAGTGATACCGAACGCAGGCGGTTGCAGGCAATCTACCGCGAATTTGTAGAAGGACGTGATGGCGAGATGCCCAACGGAGAAGCTGGTCGTGAGATTGGCGGACGGACGAGCCTGATGTAGACGAATGTATTAATTGTATAGTTGTTTGTCGCTTGCGCTTTGTGGATGTATGTGTTAGACGTGGCCCTGGGATTTTGAGCAGTAACTTTCGCATAGCTAGAGTATTATTACATGATGAACATGATGATGGCATCCTGCGTGCAAAAAGAAAAATAAAATAAAATATTGTACTGAATTCCAATGCACAATCTAGTCGTAGAGAAAGGACGACAAAGAAAAGGAAAAAGGCGGAGAAACTACGATAGGCCCCGGTCTCGAACTCGGAACACCTCTGCACAGCCAACATGGCGATGACACAACACCTCCAATTTCGCCTGGTAAGAATGAAAAAAAAAACTGGTAGCTTCTCTTTGATTGAGCGTGTCATCCTTAGTGCAGGGGCCATGCTAATCTTCTCTGTATCGTTTCAAATTGACCAAATGCCCGAAGGCAATAGAGGAGACATTACAATGGATTATATGGGAAGGTGGGTGGTTGACCGCTTGCCGTGATTGGTCGGCTAAGCGAGGGGTTGGAACATCCAAATGCACTGTGTGGTTAGGGAGAGGAGAGGGGATCTTGGAGTTTGGACATCGAATCGGTAGGAAAAGAGAGTATGAGAGGGATTGGGGTCGGATTTTATTGTCAGACAGATTGGAATCGGAAGAAGAAGAAGAAGAAGAATAATAATAATAATAATAGGATCTCCTTCTTGTCGGTGTTGCAGAGTCAAATGCTCTGTTTTGAGCATGTTCAATGTACATGTTTTCAGGGATGTGCATTGTAGGTCGCAATCATGGGAACTGGCGCAAAAGACCGTAGATATAGCAATTACTGATAGACACTAACTGATTAGTGATCATTCATGGCTCTGTGACAGTTTGACCTGGATATAAAATAACTATATTAGAACCAGATGGACGACATCCGTGCAGGATTCATTCCTCCATAGTCCATATGGAGTAACCGGTCCTCTGTTAGTCATCCTAATCATCCTGACTAACCCCGATGGGACAAAAGCTTGTCGGCGATGGGAAATACCGAAGTGCGAGAAGGATATGATTGACCGTATAGTCGTACGAGATCATAAAAGATACTACTCCGTAGGAATGGCATCCAGGCATCATGGAGATGATCAAATGATCTGCAACCTCGCTGTCTATCCTTCGCCAGATTAAGTCATGGACTCGTGGCATCGTTGCTTGACAGGTAGGTGATGGCCGCCAATGGCCGCTGCGAAGGGCCCTCTCTTCGGGTATTCGCTACTCCTCGGTGAGAATACCGAGGCTTTGGTCGGATAACCTCGATTGCATGAACCTAGCTCCAGGGTATTGTCCATCCCATGTCCTAATCTTGGTACTTCTGTGATAAGCACGGAAAGTCAACTTTAGCTGCTGTGATCACTCTCCATCTTCCCTCGACGCATCATACCTACCTTATAGAGAGGTCACGCCCGTTCTTTGTTTTTCTCAGAGTCTTCGCTGTTTTTATTCTCCTCACTCGCCCCCCTGTCAACCCCGCATATTCAGTCCACGATGCCTGTCGCCTCAGCGTATCCTTCAATGGACATTCCAAATGTCGACCTTTGGACGTTTCTTTTTGAGCGCAAGGACAGGGCTTTTCCAGATGATAAGGGTGTGTAATTACTATTTGCAGCTTGGTTTCATTCTTTCGTAGCAAACCCCGTATCTCAAACTGACAATTGTCTAGTCATCTACAGAGACGCTGAGACCAAGCGATTCTATACATTCCAAGATGTAAAGGAAACAGCTCTCGCTTTCGGCAGAGGTCTGAAAGCCGTGCTGGATTGGAAGAAGGGAGACGTGCTTGCCTTGTTCACCCCAAATTGCATCGATACTCCAGCGGTGACATGGGGAACGCACTGGGCTGGGGGCGTCGTGTCCCCCGCGAACCCAGCATACACGGTGGCAGAGCTAGCTTTCCAGCTGAAGAACGCGGGGGCCAAGGCGCTCATCACGCAGATGGCTCTGCTACCCGCTGCCACAGCCGCTGCTAAGGAGGCGGGGATCTCAGAAGATCGTATCATCCTCATCGGTGATGAGCGTGACCCGCAGGCCAAGTTCAAGCATTTCTCTTCAATCAGAAACATTTCCGGGGCGGCCAGGTACCGGAAGGCCAAGATTAACCCGGCGACGGACCTGTCATTCCTCGTTTACTCGTCGGGGACGACCGGAGTGCCCAAGGGAGTCATGCTGAGTCATAGAAACATTGTCGCCAACTCGCTCCAGCTCGCTGCGGGAGAGAACAATAATTTGACCTGGAATGGCGGTACTGACGGGAAGGGAGACCGGATCCTGGCGTTTCTGCCATTCTACCATATCTACGGTCAGTAGTGCCCACTAGCCGTTCAGAGTCCTCTGCTGACAGTCGCCATCAGGTTTGACCTGTTTGGTCCACCAGACCATCTACCAAGGGTACGAGTTGATTGTCATGCCCAAATTCGACATCGAGAAATGGTGCTCGCATGTGCAGAACTACCGCATCACCTTCAGCTACGTCGTGCCTCCCGTCGTCCTGCTGCTGGGCAAGCACCCCATTGTCGATAACTATGATCTCTCGAGTCTTCGGATGATGAACTCGGGTGCTGCACCGCTTACGCAGGAGCTTGTGGAGGCGGTACACAACCGGATCAAGACTCGGATCAAGCAGGGGTATGGGCTCAGCGAAACCAGTCCCACTACACACACCCAGCTGTGGGAGGAATGGCACACCAGCATTGGCTCCGTAGGCAAGATGCTGCCCAACATGGAAGCCAAGTACATGACTATGCCGGAAGATGGCTCTGAACCCCGCGAAGTGCCCGTCGGTGAGGTGGGTGAGCTGTACCTGCGGGGACCCAACATTTTCCTGGGCTATCACAACAACCCAGAGGCAACGGCCAACTGCCTTTCCGAGGACGGTTGGTTCCAGACAGGAGACGTGGGCTACCAGGACAAGAACAACAACTTCTACATCACGGATCGGGTTAAGGAGCTCATCAAGTACAAGGGTTTCCAGGTGGCTCCGGCAGAGCTGGAAGGAATTCTGGTAGATCATGAATCGGTTGATGACGTCGCGGTTCTTGGTGTGGAAAGCGAGGCCCACGGAACCGAGGTACCGCTTGCGTATATTGTGCGAAACGTGAAGAGCAAGAACTCCAACCTCACGGCGGAACAGGCGGCCACCAACATCGTCCAGTGGCTGGACGCCAAGGTTGCATACCATAAGAGGCTGCGCGGGGGCGTGAGATTTGTGGACGAGATCCCCAAGAGTCCCAGTGGAAAGATTCTGCGTCGGGTGCTCAAGAAGCAGGCCAAGGAGGATGCTAGCAAGGCCTTTGGGGCAGCTGCTCCCAAAGCCAAGCTGTGATGCACACATATACTTTAGTTTCTTCCTTCGCAACGAGCATTCTGTAAATACACCAATATACCCGATATCATCCACCGTAGTATCATACCTGGTGTCTCCCATGCTTTTTGACATCCCTCGATTATGGGAAGAACCGCTTCACCATAGCACCCACATCCTCGCCCTCAACCGCATCCACCTTCTCCCTAGCCACCCGCTCCACAGCCTGCTCAATCGGCTCCTCTCCGTTCAACAAATCATACCAGCCATCCGTATCCTCCCGCGCAAGCAACTGATCCGCCACGCGCGCCACATCCTCCCTCGTCACACTCCCCTGCCCCCGCGTCTTCCCCAACTCCACCTTCCCCGTCGCCGGCTCATCCGTCAGCGTCCCCGGCCGCAGACAAATCGCCTGCACCCGCCCCGCCCCCGCCTCCGCCTCGGCCTCGTGCTTCCGCCGCGCCGCCACCGCAGTCAGGTACTCATCCGCCTCGAGCTTCGCCTGCGCATACGTCGGCAGCACGCGCTCAAACACATTCCGCACCGCCGCCCAGTCGCCATCCGACATCCAGCTCGGGTGCTCCCGCCGACTCCCCAGCCACGAGATAAGCAGGAACCTGGAGACGCGCGGCGTCGCGAACGCCGCCGCGATGAAGTGCTTTGCGGCGCGCTCGTCGATGGCGAAGGTGCGTTCGGGCCCGCCTTTGCCCCCGGCTCCTGAACCCATCCTCTGTTAGCAACAAGCAGAATAACAGCGATGGGATAGGGAATGGAGGATGTGAGGGGGGTGTTGTCGCACCAGCAGACCAAACCACACAATCCGGAGCGACGGTGTCGATGATCGCCTTGGCGTCGGCGTCGGATTTCACGTCGTCGAGGCTGGAGACTATCACGTTGAGTTTGCCCTTGGCGCCTTTGGCGAGGGCGGCGAGCTCGCTCTCGTGCTCTGGGTTGCGGATGACGCTGGTGACGTTCCAGGCGCGGGCGAGCAGAAGAGGGGTCAGTTTCTGGGCGATTTTGCCGTGGCCGCCGAGGAGGAGGACTTGCATCTTGGGTGATGGTATGGGAGATGTAGATGATTACATTTTTGAGGGAGGGGTTGTTAAAATAAGTAGATCTGTAGGGATGCTGTATGTAAAGTGTTTGATTAATAATGTCGTGGTGATGTGTGTCGTCATGGACTTGGCGGGCTGTTTTGAGGATCTGAGGATATATTCATTATTCCGTAGTGGGATACCGTAGATCTGGAGTTCTTTGGAATACTACATAGTGCCTAAGAGTTATTTGCAAGCTTACGTCGTCTAGAGAGAAAAGCATCTAGCTGTAATCCATCAATGTCACGTTCATCAAAGCTGAAGGATATAAATTCTAAGGAATGTCCTTGGAACGTGAAGATATATCACTTTGCGGAGCATCCCCGGAACAGTCTGAAATATAGAGGCTACGATGAGGAATTTAAGACAAGCTATGAAGATCAGAGTCACGGTCGCCTATCAGAGTATCTCTCCAGTGCAAAGAAGCATTCAAAACAGCATGATTCTGGAGATTGATGTAATCTGACATCTGAGCAAAGAATAATGAGACAAAGCAGAATAATCTATAACACAAACAAGCAAGTCTCACTGGTACAATCTAGGAGAGAACAGACAGAACATGGCAAAAGGTCACAGTGAAACCGTTCATATCCCTTTGCAAAAGTTGACGAACAAGGAATCTTGAAGCCATGCAACATCTTGTCACTCGACAGGCAGGGAGCGAGGCAGAGACCATGTGCTCAATGCAGTGTACATTTCGAATATTCAGAAGACTGCGAACGAGCCAAGCTCTCATCAGGAGCCCATCGCCGGAGCGCCTCGCTACCCGGCTTCATCCACGTCGTTGTCACCATGATGGTCACCTTCGGGATCCGACTCTTCCATCGATCGTTCCGTCCCTCAATGGTGCGTTTGTCAAGAACGTTCCTTGCCTTCTTCAAACTTTGGGACACTGTTTCAGTCCGAGAAGTCCCTTTCACGCTGACCGGTCGATGTGGAAGCAGTACCATCAGTATGAGGATAGCCTCGGGCAAACTTGCTCCTGTTTCCTATAGTCGGGGGATATTGCTGTCCTCTTTGAACCCCTTCGTTTTGCAACCAAAACCGGATATCCGGACTCAAGGTCTCTAATGTGGTGCCTGGACGTTGTTCGGCTCTGGCCTACCGGTCCTCATCGTACAGCCTCACTATCTTTGTATGTGTGCTAGCTGTGCTGTGAAACCACGACCAGATTCCTGGCGTTTCCGTCAAGAGTGCCACAAATCCGAAAAGGAGACCGATCTTTTCGGCGTCCCGCCACTTATTTTCCAACAGGGTGGGTAAAGCCCCGGGTGAGCGAGCATAGATCTTTTTTCATACGCCTCTGGGCATCCACCTCAAGGCACATCGAGAACCGGAAGCCTTCAAGCTCGACTGTGGCAATGGGTGCATTCTCCGGTACCAGGATACGCTGGTCAAATGACCCACACAATGGTGACACGCATTTCCCTCTGGGTTGGATATCGTGAGTTTCATAGACAGCCACTTTTGGGCTAACCTAGCTGTAGTGTGAAGGAGAAGAAGTGCTGAGTCAAAAGGTGATCTGGTCTGCTTGTATGCCCAACAACGGAAGAAAGCTGAGGTTCGCTGAGAATGATTCACGCTCGATTTGAAGCTGGAGGAGATGTTGGCTAAATATCGAAGATAGATTGTATTGCAATGAGAGGGGGCAATTCTAGTAGCTTGCTCGACGGAGAAACAGGCAGTTATAAGACAGGAAGATCTATATGAAGTTCTGGCAGCAAGTCAGGCCATTCTTTCATTCCTTCAACCTCATGTCCTTTTATGACAGGGACTATGAAAAGTCTCTCTCATTGGGCCATGACCTGATTGATTCCGTCCAGTTGACATGCTGCTTTTCTCATCTTAGTGATTTTTTTGGGGTGCTTGATGGATTAATCCATCATGATCTTTTGTTGATATCCACCCCAGCCACAGTGGTAGACCCATTCACTGCACACCAAGGCAACAGAACCCTATGTGGATATTGAAGACTTTTTGTTTGCTACTGCTCCCAGAGATCATTACGTAGAGGTCTTTTAATTTCTTTGTTCCTTGGAGATCACGCCCATTCGGATCCCCCAGCTCCGATCTGGCCTTGATTGATATTCACTCTCATATTAATCTTCTTTTCTCTTCCCACACTCTCCCTCCTGTCCTCCTTACTCTATCTTGAAGACGAGGCCCTTCCAGCACGCTAGCTTTGCTACATTGTTCCCTCTGATATGGATGATTGAAGGTCCACAAACAACCTACGACACAGGATGGCTGCAAAGAGACAGGTATGGACTGCCTTTTATGTCATTGACTAACTGGGTGAAGGACAGCTTACTTCATTCTTAGCCGAAGGTCGAACCGCTAACAGATGGTGTATAGTGACCTTGAAACTCCTGCTGCCTCCGACTCGTGCATCAATCCCCATGAAAGCAAAGGCAAGCATTGGTTGGGTAAATTACCTCTACCCCATATTCTTTGCTTTAGGCAGGTGTTTCCTTCCCATGACTATTTACACAGTGCTCCCTGATAGCATCGAGCACAACAGCCATCGCCACCGTATTATCGCTCTAATAAGACATGCCGGTGAGGCCACTGGGTGACTGTCTGATTGTCTTTCCCCAACCCGCGCTGCTGTGTCATGTTATCATTTACCCTGCTGTCAGTCAGACTCTAACGCAATTTTGATAACCTCCGTCGGCCCTTTTCCTCCAAGGAAAAAAAAAAAAAAAAAAAGAGCCAGTCCCCTGTTCCCACCTCATGCGCGAGTGCCAGTTCCCACACCACTGACGGTCAATGGTCGCATTAATCCCAGGGACTTGCAATGCTCAGATGGAGTTTGAACAATTTTATTTCCCTTCTTTATCCAAGAAAGGGCAAGGTGGCCGAGTGGTTAAGGCGTTAGCCTTGAATGTGCGGAATTTCATTCCTACACATCGTAAGCTAATCCCCTAGGGGTCGCGTGTTCGAATCACGTCCTTGTCGATTTGTTTTTGAATCTCCTATTCTTTTTTGTTGCTGCCGCATTTTGGCGGTACCCTTAACGAACTGCTGGAGGAACTCGAGCAGGAGATGGAAGAGGGATCCGATCTTTTATTTCCCGCCTGATTTACATTTTGATGGTTTTCGGACGATTTTTTCACTGTCTGAAGCGTTTGGCGACTTGGATTTATTTGATCAATGCATGCGCCCGGAGATCGGTTCGGCGGGCGATGGGTGGGAGAGTTGTCCAATAATGAATATTTTGGTTCGGTGGCCATTCTGCTCGATTCATGGACTGAACGGAATGAGCATCTGGACTGATTTGATACCTTTTTTTTGATTTTGGCAGGGTTTTGTTTTCTTTATCGACGATCCAGGATGGCGGTTCGTTGTTTCGCAGGGGATTATACCTACACTGTGTACACAGTACAGTCTACCTCGTAGATGCTGGGGACGTGTGTTCTGCGGAAAATCCGAATCCGACTCGTCATTTTCTGAAGACGATTCAATCAATATATTTTACGATGTCACTACTGGAGGTCGATATACTGGGATAATGTGAATGTTGGCTGGGTTACTACTGGAGAATGGATGTGGCAGCTTTCCGGGAGAAAAAGTATAGATAATATCCTCAGTCTCATGGGCAAAGTCAAAGAAGACTTTTCTCAGCAACCAACATTATCTTAGTTTATCCTACAGAGAAGCGAAGCCCGACTGGTACCACTACCGACCCATCAAATCGAAGTAAGAGGAAATTACTCAGCCCGCCACATTCAGCCGAACGCTACTTAGTCCCGGGACGTGAAATGAAGGGACCCAAGATCCGAGACGGTCCAGCCCCGGGGGAGATGAGATGGAGGATATGCGATCTGGACGAGACTCCATATTGACGCTCGGAGGATAGATATAGCTTTGATATTGGCGTTTTACAACCCATCGGCAAAGGGAGATACCAAGTTATTGTATACTCCGTAGGGAGTTGGAGAGATGCAGCTAGTTATCAACGCTCTTGTTCCATTGATATCGTTATCCTACAGAGTATTCAACTGGATACCAAAATACCACGAAGTGATCTATAGAGGTAGGTCAGGTAAATAAACTCTTGGTAATGTTGGTATGGAGCGATCAGAAATGAAACAACCAAACTGTCATGGTCCTAGCCTCATAGGCTCATAGGCTCATAGTCTCATACACCTGTTGGGAAATTACTATAACTTCGCTAACTCGCATTTGTACTAGTCAGGGGCATCCACTTCCATCTTCAATCTGGACTACGGAGCAGTCATTTCCCAAGGGAAGAACCACCTCGCTGCCCACCTAGTAGTACTTGGATAGTGTCGTGTCCCAGCCTGCCTGACTCTGATTGAGGTATCCGACTATCAGTTTCATGCTAAATAATCCCACCATTTCAGTTGATCATTCCCGATATCCAGTCTCGGGCTCAAAGCTCAACCTTGGGCATCGAAGGGGGGGAACGTCAAGATCCATAAATAAAGACCTTGAAATGAATGACCTCTTATTTTCCCTCCCTTACCTTACCTTGCGGTAGACTCCATACCGTAGAATCTAAGCTTCTATTCATTTCGAGACCAGCCGACTAGTGAATTAGTACCAATAAGTGCTATGATAGGATTAGGCACAACCACGGAGTACAAGTAAATAGTAATAACCCTATAGCGCCAACCGCTGTCAGGGTAATCACTTGATGTTCCAAAGTCTCGTCCTTTTGTCCCGTCTCAGGTTCCACGGGAGACAAAGCGGTGGTGATACAAGAAGTAAGAAGTTAAGAACATGTTTCTCTCGGTCTACACAGTATGTAACTCGATGGAAGTTCCCTGGGTGTTCCCGTCTTCCCGATCAACAGGTTCATTTACCCCATTAATCCACAAAAACGGTTCATCGATATTCGATCGTCACTCGGGTAGATGCAATTGGGAGCTTGGGAGCTTGGGACGTAGTTAGGTGCCTCGAACTTCATACAGCCAAGGACGATCCCTCGCAAGCCCCCCAGAGGCTAAAACCTCTGATCATGATTCTAGACGGCCTTGGTCAGTAATCAGTATTAGTCGGAGTAGGAGGGAATCTCGTGTAAGAGTGCTGAGTAGGAGGTCTTATTTCGCCTATGGGATATTTCCCCTAGGTATATAGCCGGAATCCCTGTCATACTCGGCATACAATCCTTGACTTGCCTTGTGGTATGATGCTATCTCTCAACCCTGTCAATTGGAGAAGAAGACTGTTTCAATAATGAGCTGAAAGGTACGGCTGGGAGTCTGCAGTAGAGCTAAAAGTTGGTATTTATATATACACCGTATTCTAGAATAATATCGAGTCCTTTTATTATCCTCGGTGTCCAAGAAAATTGATGACGTTTTTTTTTTTTATGTATGTAAGGATACAGTGCACAGTACCTGAGTCTAGTGAGTGGACACAGACACAGACACAGACACAAAGTCCACGCAAAAACTGGGAACCTGAGAGACTAGTGTAGTTCAAGATCAAACAGTTCAACATGAACAGAGCATCTATCCTGAAGTCCTCGATAACATGTTCTTCGTGTCGTAGTCGGCGCCGATTAAGCTCTCGCATGAAGTCATACGGTGTCGCATCCGAATCGTGTCAACAGTCTAAGACCTGGATGGGTCACAATCAGCAATTTCCGCCGACGTGCATGGTCTTCCGTCCCAGCAATCGGGGATACCAAGGTCGATTTACTCCATAGTTAGTCCCCAGTCCTCGTCCTCGATGGAATGGCGGTCTTATTTTCTTTTTTATCTCAACCTGCATGCATACTAGATCCTGCGGTTTCAAAAGGCTGCAGACTGCAGAGCAATCCTTGACTATATTTGTTTCCCACTTCAACTCTGAGAGGCTTGGAGGCTCCAGCTCAGCCCTCTGCAGTCTGCACTGCAGGCATGGCCATCCCCATTCCTCAGCCCCAGACGCGGCCCACATCCCGTAAACATGACCAGATCTGGCTGGAAGGCTGAAGTCATGAGTAATTTTACCTTGTACCGATACCTCAGCATTTAGTATCTTCTTGAAGAGTCTCAGTCCTGAGTCAAGAGAGACCCTGATATTTCCTAAGAGTCAAGACTAGGTACTTAAGGCTTATCAAGTGTGACAACGATACATCGTCAATTTCAACCAACCACTACTACTACCACCATCCTAGGCTCATAGTCATAGCAGTGGTCAGTTAGTAGTCAGTGTACCCGATGAAACAGTGTCGACTGTATGGAACCTGAAACACCACTCCCCCCCGCTGTAACTAAGGTATCCGATTGGTGTTGGATGTGCTGTGGGGACCTGCAAGGGACATGCACGCTAGTATAGGGTACCGTACGGTATCTTGGGGTCTTCCATGGGTTTCCCACAGTTTATATTAATTAATTTTGACTTGTGGTGGATTTGATGGGGTTGTTGTTGTTGTTGTTGTTGTTGTTGTTTACTAGTACTCAGTATGAATCTGGAATTCTGGATTCTGGATGCTGAATAGCAGATTTGACCATGGTCTGTTTCTTGTGTAATAATGAAAAGAGAACAGGAGATAGACCTACCTGCTCTTCCAATTGATATCCCCCTTGTAGATACTTGTTAGATCGTAGATACCTAACTAGATAGCTCTCTGCCACCGAGATATGTCTCCGAGGCCCAGGCTAGTTGAAAAAGTGACTCCATAGTTTGGGTATGAGGCGCTAGAAATTCGACGAAAAGAAATGACAGGAAATTAGCCTCCAGAAGGAAAAAGGGAAAAACCACTGGACGATCAATTCCAGATCGTTTCTTTTTCTTCTTTTTTCTTTTTTCTCTCTCCTCTCTCTCTCTCTCTCCTCTAGTTAAATCATCAAATCTCATTTCGTCTCAAGTCTCAACACATGATTTAGCGCTCCGTATTATTAGCATTAGCATGAGCATTTAGTTGAAAAATTCCATGATCCTCCTCTTTCTTTCCATCTTCTTTGCTTCTCACCAAGTCAACTTTCCCAGCATCCTCCATCTTCCTCTTCTTCTCTCACTCTGTCAATCGTTACCAGCCCAATTCTCAACCCTTGATCTATCAGCCATTCCAGATCCATTGTTCTCGACCCATTCTTTCGCTCTTTTTGGTACTCTCCAGACTGCCTCCTCCACCTATAGGTACCTAGGCTATATACCTCGTACCTCTCTCGTACCGAGCCGGCAAACCATACCAATACAATACTTACTTCTCCTCCGCCACACTCAACACTGCATTTGTCGTCGTCGTTGCAGCCACATTCACGCATCTCATGCAATCTTCCAATTCCTAACTACCTACTACTACCAGCTTCATTCTTTACAACCAACTTCGTGACCTCTCAGACACTCCACTTGCTGCATCTCGGCCCATTCCTGCTCTCAAAAAGTGTCCACAATTGTTTGTCCATTCGCGAGGAAAAAACTACGGAAGAGCCAGCCAGTACGGACTGACTGATTATTGCTGCTGCGGAGTCCGCCGTCCCATATCCAGGGGATGCATCCCTAACTGCGATCCATTGATATTCCCATTCCCCTCGCTTCAACAATATTTTCTGTTCTTCAATATCTTGTATGTCGTCGCCTTCTTGCTTTCTCCTCGTCATATCGTTTGCCTCCTCGTCGTCGTTCCATCACTCTCTCACCTTCCCTTATCTATTTACCGCAGTTGAACCTCCTCGAATCTCAATGACTCCTGTTTCTAACTCGTAATCATTGATGTCGTAGCATTCCATGATCCTTTTTCGACCCTGAGCGATCTCCCTATCAGCAGATCCCCGTCGAACTATCTCGAACCCGCGTATTTGATTGCGCTCACACTGCCTCACCCTGGCATCGCCCATTCTTTTATACCACACGACGCGACCATGAATCGATTTCGCAAGAGCAGGAAGGAGAAAGTGAAGGAGGAGAGCGAGCCGATAGAGCCCATGCCCACATCGCTGACCTCCAAGTTGACGAAGAAGGTTAAGAGACCGGAACCAGAGGAAAAGCCGGAGCTCGATCTGGCCAGTGTTCTACCCTCCACAGATGATTTCCGCACCAGTCTATTGATGCCGAAGCTGTCGGCACGGTTCAGCATGCTGCGGGAACAGGACGATCCGGACTCGCTAATCGGCAAAGCGAGCGACGATAGCGTGCTTTTCCCCAAGCGTGCCTCAAAATTGAATATTTTCGGACACCATCCCAACCCTTTATCGGATATCGACGAGGCCTCCATTGATGGTCGGCCATCGTTCCACGGAGGCCGCACAGATTCGTTCATCTCGGCTGGCGACGGGGGTGACGGGACCGATGAGGACCGTTCGCACAACGAGAGCATCATGAGCAGGGCGCGACGGGCGGAAGGGAACAATCTCTTCGGCGGACGACAAAAGGTCTATAAGATTCCCTCTAAACAGGGAAATGGCTCGGCACCTATGGGACGTGCTCTGTATGAGCATGACTTGAATCTATCCACCTTCCAGCGCTTGCGACTCAAAGAGAAGGAGGAGCGTGCGGCCGAAGAGGCCCAACAAGATTCCCTGGTGCAAGAATCAGAGGACCTCATCTCGAGTATATCCTCTATGAAGCGGACAAACTCATCTTCGACCGCGTCGGGACCCACTGCGTACGGTCGCACGTCGACCGCGGCTACCTCTATCGACGAAGATCCGTCCTTTGCAAGCTCCCCATCGCAGGCGGGGACTCCTCATGCTAACGAGGCCTCCAAGCCAGCTCATACCGGGGTCATGGCCTCCGAGCGCGGCTCGGTGAAATCTCGAAGACTCTACGGGCAAGGTCTGGCGCAAACCACACAGAACCAGCAGAGCAATACTTTGCATCGTCTGGAAAGCCTCAGTCGCCAGCGGGCCGGTACACCAGAATTGCCAGTCCTCAATAGATCATATTCCCGGAGCGCAACCAACCTGCGCGACCGACTTCAGAAACTCTCCCTTGCGGAGCCAACTGCTTCCGCACCCCGCCCGACCAGTCCTCCATCCTCAGCCACATCTCCAAATCCGCCCAGTCTCGAGAACGAGCCCGAGGAACCAAAAGCCCAGCCGATGCCAGGCTTTGGCGCGCCCCCGTTGAGCCCTCCTGTCAGTGAGAACGAGGAGGTAGGAGCCTTGGCGGCCGCTCTACAGCCGGACGATCGTGGAAAAGCCACCGCCATGGGCCTTTTCAACAAACCCAAATCCGCTTTTGATGAGAATCAGTTCACGCGCCGTCAGTTGCAGATGCACCAGGGCAGGAGCACACCACCCCTCAGACGAGCCCCGTCACCACCAGGGCGAGTGACCCCGCCCGAACAGCCTGGACGTTCTCGGGGTCTCTCAAACACAAGCCATCGGTCTCGGCCAGATTCTGCATCCTCGCATTATAGTGAATCTCAGCGTCCAGGCAACAGCGCCCTCGCCCCTAGCGTTGAGGCTTCTCCAGCCGGCCCCACGCATGGAACGTCCTTTGCTAACCCCAGCCCTGACATTTCTGACGGTGAAGGCGACCATTTCGATGCGAGGGACGTTGCGGCCGCGATTGACGCTGTGCACCCTGCTTTCCGGTCCAGCCCATCGTCCAGGCCCTCGTCTCCGCCGGAGGAGCAGCAAAACCCCCTACCCGAAGTGCGATTTTCCGATCTGAGGGATCTGAAGCCCATCGCAGAGAATGATGTGGCGGAAAGACCAAGCAAGGCGGACGTAGAGGAAAAGCTTCCCGAGAAGCCTGATTCGCCCACCCTGGGACCGTCTGGACTAGGTCTTAGTGGCTTAGTCCGCGCCCATCTGCGGCGTGACAGTGACCGGTCGTCCTTCCACCTTGCACCGCTTTCTCCTGCGTTCCCACCAAAGCCCAATGAGGGAGAGATTGGTGCTAAATCCATCGCCGACGGGTCAGAGATGTCAGATGGGCCCTCTCAACGCTCGTCGACTGATGGGGAGCATTCAATCGACTCGCAGGGCACTTCAAAGACTCCATCATGGGAAGAGGAACTGAGATCCAAGCATCGACGCCAAGGCAGTATCGAAACCCAACAGGAACGGGCAGAGTTTGAACTTGAGCTCGCGGAGCGACGCCGAAAGGTCCAGGAGAAACTGAGAGGCTTCGCGGAAAACGAGAGCAGATCAGCCAGCCCGATCTCTGGACGCCATACACCCGACTATCCCCCACAAGCCAAACCTGGCAATGCATTTGCGCTGTTGAAGAGCAAGAACCCCAAACATCCCTTCTTTAGCAGGCAGGAGCCCAAGAACGCTAAACTGTTCGGTCCCGCAAGTGCGTCGACTCCATCGCTGGTACCGGACGAGCTCTGGCGTGAGGAGGAGGAAAAGATGCCCTTCAATCTACCAAAGCACGCAAACACCAGCTCGCCACAGATTGCCGTGGACAGGTCCATTCGGTCCAGAATGGCGGCCTTTGGCCGCAGCAGTCATGAAGACTCCCGTGAGTCGAGCCGCAGCCGTGGAGCTTCGCCGCATTCGAGCATGAGGTCTCGCCGAGACCGCTCGGGCTCCGATGCGTCTGGCCGCTCCAAGAGCCGCAGTCGATTCCGCGATCGAGATGATCTCGGAACTCTGCAAGAAGATGCTGCCGGCTCGCCAAAGGCATTTCCCCCTTTTGATCCCCGGTCTGTTCCCTCGGTCCCATCTTCTACTCGCCCGTCAGTTGAGGCCAACGACCGTTCCATTTCCTTTGATCGTAGCTCATCGGCCGCATCTGGACGATACCGGAGTGAAAGTCGATCTGCTACATCGAGTGTTAATGATCGGCCCCCTCACCTTCCTCCACCGTCCACCACGCCATCCATCATTGGTGTTTCCCCGCGACCATCACCGATCGCTCCCTATTCCGCCAACGCTACACCACCTCTGTACGAGATGTCTCCGAACCCGTCAACGACCTCCCACGTCGCCGCTGGAAATACTCTGCCTCAGCGCGCCCCAGGCCTCGTCAGCCTCCAAAAGCGGGTCATCGACAAGACCCAGATCTCCGAGCCGACGTTCGTGTCTTGCACCTCCAATGTGCCAACCGTGGGGCTCCCCCCGGGCGCTAGTCTGAGTAACGGCATGGAGACGCCTCCGATCCCACCCATGAATCCGCGACGCCGGCGCCAGACCACCACCCAGACAATCCTCGGCGCCCTCAAGGGCGAAAAGCGCGAGTCGTACTATCCCACCTCGGTCGCCAGTGATCCGCAAGACGAACAGAGCAACTTCTCCGACGATAACGACAAGCGGCCCAAGTCCAGACACAACAAGCTCCGTAAGACCTCCAGCGAGGGTGGCAGCCTGAACTCCAGGGCCCGGCAACAGGCGATGGCTGCCACGCCTATTCCTCCAGCACCAGCTGTCCCACAGTATCCGCCCAAGATCCCCATGGAGGGCGGGATGTTTTAAACCCTCCTGGATCATCTCTCCTGACACGCTCTCTTTTTTCCACATTTCCTACTCTCGTCACCTGACATCCGATTTCACCTCCACCTCTCCTTGAGATATTTTCTTTTATGGTTTGATCCTTGGTTCTGGATACATCTTCGACTTGCCCACGACTATATACCAACTGCGTTTTTGCTTTCATGTTGAGCGGATGTGATGTTTATACTGGGATTGATGGTTTATAGCCAGGTTGTCTTTCTTTTGCCCGTTTCACTGAAGTAGTCCTTCCTTTTCATCATTGTATCAACTGCATCATCCACAGCATGTTGTAAATATAGACTATAGAATATAGCACTGTTACAAAATTGATTGTTCTCTGCAGTAGAAGTCATGGAAAGTGAGATGTATGGAGTAAGTGACAGTTTGTGCCTTAAGATATTACTTAATTATCACGTGGTGAAGATGTACCCTGATTTCGTATAGCCTCATTATCTCTCTACTAGAAATAGTCTCTGGCTAGGAACTCCGTCACTGAAGGTAAACGCACTCCATGCAAAGAGTACAAGCTAGCTAGCTAAAATCCTGCCAACACATCGATCTGGGTGCATTATAAGACAAGGTATACAACAGTTCCCTCCCTCCCAACAGAACCAAGTGTGAGGTGCTCACATCGCTACAGCGACCAAGCAATAACGGACTTGAAAAGAACTCTCAACATGTCAGAACACCATCCCCTTCACATCACTTCCTTCTTCTTCTTCTTCTTCTTCTCTTCTATCCCCCCCTTTGCAACCCAAACCTCCCCCATCTCTTTTCTCGCCTGTCTTCCCACCCAGACCAGCCCAACCCAGTCCTTGAAAGGAGCAACCCCAACAACAACAACAACAACAACAGACGAAGAAAAAGAAAAGGAAGGCTATGCGCCGACGCCACTCCATCTGCCTCACAGACCTACCATCACACTTCCGCATCCAACCCCCCCACCGCAAACCCTCCTACAACCACCGCAACCCCCGCGCCCGAATCACCCTGTCCAGAACCTGCTGCTCCGTCCCCCTCATGGCATCCCTCGTCCTTCCCCAGCTCGACGGCCCCGCCGAAACCCGCAAGGCGAACAAGAAGAAAGCCAACAAGAAAAAGAAGGACAAGAAGCTGAACAAGGCGGCGGCGGAAGACGACGCGGCTGCCTCGAACGCGCAGCGGAAATGCGAGTCGCCGCCGGAGTATAGGAATGTCCCTGCCAAGGAGCAGGTGCGTGCGCCGGCTGGGCTGGAGAGTCTGGGTCTGCCGCTGGTTATTGATGGGGCGTCGTGGGGGGAGAGGGTTGGAACGGGTCTGGGACAGAGTACGTTTCTCCTTTTTCTTGGTCTTTGCTGTCGTTGTCGGAGTGTGGATCCAAAACGTGGACGTCTCTCTAATCAAGTCGAGGTTGGCCTGCTATGTAGATGGCTATGGTAGCACCCATGCATCAAACCACCAGGAAACACTCTCTGTTGCGCAAAGCTCGGCTCCTACGCTACTCTCCCCGTCTGTTGCTGCTGCGCCCGCCGAGGACGCCGGCCGTGCCGAGAGCGCGCCACACACGCATCCCGGCAAGCCTGCCGCGGACCAGGCTGCGCTGCCATACTGCCAGATCCACGGGACGGCGACCTGCCGGTTCGATCCTGCGTGTTGTGTGCATAGGGCCCGGCTGGACTGTGCGTGTCCTCGTCGGCCCTCGTGCTGCTGCGTTCATCATGCTGGCGATTGCTGCACCTGTGCGTATAGTTCGACAGGCGCGTATGTCAATGGAGCGTATCGGACGCCGGGGGCTTACCATGGGCTACCCTCGGTTCTACCGCAGTGGATGGGCAGACCTGAGGGGCTGGCTAGGGTTTCTCATCGGGGGCCCGCCGGCCACTGGTCCGTTGGGGAGGATGTGGAAGTTCATCAGGGTTTGGAAGCGCGGTCTTTACAAGTAAACGGAGGAGGTGAGTCGCTTTTTTATCGAGTTGTGGTTTTTTTTTTTGTCCTTGTCCTCGTTCTGGGGTTGCTGAGTACGGGTCACCATCAGCCACGAAGAAGAAAGCCGATATAGCTACGCATGACAACGAGTTGTTGGCGACGTCCACGTACCTCCTTTGCCTCTTCGATAGTGAGGACTTCCACGACTCGCGCTTCCTTTTAAAGTCAACCAAGGATCACTTCCCGCCCATCACCATCCGCACACACAAGCTACTGATTGCGCGCAGCCCGTTCGTCGCCTCTCTCTTGAGGGCATCGACAAGCCAGCCGCAGGGGGTGTTCGAGATCGTTGCGCTGGCCGGCGAGAATTTTCTGCTGCTCAAGGCGTTTGAGGTCGCCCTCCAGAACCTCTACGGCCTGCCTCTCTTGAGCCAGGAACGGCTCCGCACCATGACCCTCGCCAGCCTAGGATACACGGAGGACAACATCAAGATGTCTCCGTATCCGATCAACACGGCCATGGCGGATTTTGCCATGTGCTACGCCAGCTCTGGAGCCTTCCTGCAGCAGCGCGCGATGGTCGAGACAGGCGTCCAGCTGATCGTGGAGAACATCACCTGGGACAACATCGAGCTGATCTTCTACTTTGGGTTCTGCATCGCCAATTTCGTCATCACCTCGCCCCCCGCCCCCACAGAACCGCCGACATCCTCCACACCCACAAACAGCACCGAAGCCGCAGACCAGCCCGAGGACACAACCGACGAGCTCCAGACAAAGTGGGCCCCGCACCTCCTCGCCGCAGCCCTCGACTTCGTCATCAGCCACATGCCCCGCGACTTCACTCTCTACCCCCAAGCCCACTGCAAGGGCATGCCCGACCGCATCCCAGAGTACCTACACACGACCGCTCCGCCGTCGCTCACGAACCCCAAGCTCGCGGACGTCAAATTCGGCTCCTTCAGCACCGCCGAGGAAGAAGAGAAGCGCGGCCCGGAGACCGCCACCGTCACCGCCACCGTCACCGTCACCGTCACCACCTCCGCCGTCCTCGTCTGCCTGCCCTACGCGCAGCTCAGAGCCGCGTTCGTGAAGATGAACGCCCGCCGCGTGCTCTCGAGCGATCTCGCGCAGGCCATCGTGCTGGAGCGCGAGACTCGGCGGCTGCAGGCGCTGCGTGCGTTTGCGCGCCTGTGCGCGCAGACCGGAGGTGCCGGTGCCGGTGTAGATGCCGAGCAGGAAATCCCGAGTGAGATCCTGGAGCTGGGGTACGCGGAGTTTTATACGTCGCGGAATGTGTTTGCGCATGCGCGCGAGGAGGAGGCGACGGTGTCGTTGGAGATTTCGTTGGAGAGGGAGTGGATTGGGTTGGCGGTTGGGGAGGTGATGGTTAAGCATCGGGTGCTTAGTGATAAGAAGGAGTGATGGGATGATTTGGGGGGGGGGGAGGATTCTGTTCGGGATCTGATGGTAAATAGATGATGGATGAGTAGGCGACGCTTCGGATTGAGGGCCTAGGGGACTTGGGGTTGACTGTGGTGTTGGGACGGTTGGCGAAGTGTACTGTGAGTCTCCTTCTTATTCTGTTTCGTGTCACAGAAGGATTGCTGTTGGATGTATCTATCTTTTCCCTGAGTTGGTCAGAAGTAGCATACCATCCTTATCTGTGTGGCCACCGTTTGATACAAGTTCGGTCAAGAGACCTTACCCTGGAGGAAGAACGTCTTTCTATGATTAAGGACCTCGAAACGAGACCGTCATTTACTCATTATATACAGCCCTTGCCGCCCCGGCCAAGGAACAACTCGCTTTACGACTTATCGGGGAAGCCAAAGTCGACGCCGAATGGAGGATAGACAAAGCGCTGGAAGGCCTTCTTCTCGGCCAGTTCGTCCGTATACTTGGAAATAATAGCCATATCCTCGTCATCCAGCCGGATCAGACTGGTGCGGTTCTCGTCGATACGAGCAGGCGTGACGGATTTGGCGAGCACGGACGAGCCACGGGCAACTGCGCAAAGCAAAGCGAAGTCAGTATCTTGTCGCCCACGGAAAAAAAGAAGAAAAAAAAAAAGAAAAGAAAAGACAAGGATGGTAGGAAACGTACTGTGCCAGCTGAGCAGGACGCTCGCGGGGCTGACGCCCCTCTTGTTGGCGACCTCTACGATGGGCGCTGCTGTGAATAGGGGACTGCCGGTGCTGCCCAGAGGGCTGTAGGCGGTGATGTGGATGCCCTTCTCGTTGCAGAAGTCGACGATCTCCTGCTGGGGGAGGGAGGGGTGATTCTCGATCTGGTTGACGGCAGGGACGACGTCGACCGCGGGGAGAAGCTCCTCGAGATATCTCTTGCTGTAGTTGGAGACGCCGATTGCCTTGACTTTGCCAGTGGCCAGGAGCTTCTCCATGCTCTTCCAGGTGGTGATGTGGGAGTGGGAGCGGACAAGGTCGCGTGAGCCGTCGGGGTGCTTGGGGAAGAGGTGGTGGTTGCCTGTTTTAAGATTAGACTTATTCTAGAACAAATTGTATATAAGGCAGGGAGGTCGAGGGTAAGTAAAGGCCGTACCCTCGGGGTTCATGGCCAAGGGCCAGTGCATCAGGTACAAATCCACATAGTCCAGGCCGAGGTTTTTCAAGCTCATGTCCAGGGCCTCCTCAACTCGGCTGTGATATGTGCACCACAGCTTGGTGGTCACAAACAGATCCTCGCGCTTGACTTTTCCAGACTCCAATGCCTCCTTCAGGCCGTTGCCGACCTCCGTCTCGTTCTGGTAGCAGAAGGCAGTATCGATGTGTCTGTATCCCACCGAGATGGCGTGGCTGACCGCCCTCTCGACCTCTCCTTTCTTCGACTGCCATGTTCCTGAACGGGAGGTCAGCAGATGAGTCTTCTGGCCACAGACTTGCAGTGGAAGAGCAGTACATACCGAGTCCTAAGGCGGGGATCTCCGCGCCTGTGTTCAGCTTGAAACGAGTGTCGTACACAGCCATGAGGAATGAATTTCTGATTTTGAGGGACAGAAGAAATTGGCGGAAAGACAGATTGATTCTTAGTTAACCTGACAGCGAGAAGGGGGATAATAAAGAGAAGGAAAAGAGAGAGAGAGAGAGACGACCGGAGACTGAGACAACAGCTCCAAATGCCCCTCTAAAGCGCCCCCGCGCCAAAATGCGGAACAAAAACCGTCTGTTTCTCCATCAATCAGTTCAGTCGCCCAGAGCGTTGATGGCGAAACACACGGGATTTGAATCGAGTCATCTTGTGTTGTGATGGTGGTGATGATGTTAAAAGAAGTCATTGTTTGATGCCTATTGTTCAGGGGTTTGTGTATCTATTATTAAAGGAGACATCTGTAGAATCTTCTTCTCCTATGAGAACTTGACCTGGTAAACATCTCTTGCCTCCATCAACAACCATCTGTTTCTTTTCTTTTCTTTTCTTTTCTTTTCTTTTGGTATCCTCCAGTTGAGTATTCTGGCTTCCAAGAGTCTTTTCAAATATGAGTAATGAGACTGACGATGGTCGATCTAGTGACTATTTCCCCATAGCGATTTAAAACCTCTTGTTCCAGCACTGTCACCCAGTCATCCAGTCACCCTGAGTGCTATAGTCCCTCGACGGGAGTATCCGCTGCGACGAATAATGCAGAATAGAATGAAAAAAAGGCCTCTCTCTAGGAAAGCCAGATAACTCGCATTCTGGGTTCCTTGACAGCCGAGTGATCGATCACCTCTCATCTGCACTCATCCCACGCAGATCAGATCAGATCAGATCAGATCATAACCTTTTCTTCCATCATTCTGCAGAATGCAAGTCGACAAGACAAGCCTCGGAAACCAAAATCCTCAACCGTCTTTACTCTTTTAGCTGCGACAACCGAAATCCGAATTGTTCCCCCACGGAATTCAACATGACGTCTCCAGTCTGTCTCCAGTCTGTCTCCACTACTCCAGACTGATCGTTAATCTGAGACAGTGAGACTCGGAGATGATTGCCACTGTGGAGCTGAATCAATCTGAGCTCTATCTAACCATCTAACTATCTACTGTGTAGTGAATCCTAAGACGAACGCGGAAGCCAGAATCCGTATATTCGGTGCCAACTTCCCCCCCTAAACTAACTCTCTATCTGGAAACCAGACATATGCCGGTAGAGACTTCGCTCTGTCTCGAATCAGCCCATCCTCATTGTCATGGGAATGTGGGATGTGCGATAATCCTCGGGCAATAATATTCGACATGGATTAATTCCTCGTCGGCTGTTGGTTTTGCCATCGGCATGGACTCTCTTCCTTCTCTGTCTCTTTCACTGCTCAAAGATCAATATATACCAGTCTTCCGGAACCACTGTGAGCAGTGAATGAAACACACTCATCCATATATAATCACGCCCGATCACTCATCGTTCTCTTCCTCACACCTCTCTCATCAGCTCTCCTTTACTCAACTCACACTGAATCCCAACGAAGAAGACGGCACAAAACGAGTTACCGATCTACTTTCTCTTCTCACGAGTAAAGATGGCTCCTACCGCTCTCGCCCCAGAGACCCCCATGTTCAACACCAAGCGTGATGGCCAGGTTCTCGAGGATCTCTCCGATGCTATCGATACCGTCAACGTGCTGAAGGCGGAGATGAAGCAGGAGAAGGGCCTCTACGAAGAGTCCGAGTTCGACAAGAACAAGGACAAGACCCAGTTCCGCCAGTACGAGGATGCGTGCGACCGTGTCAAGAACTTCTACAAGGAGCAACACACCAAGCAGACCGTCGCCTACAACCTCAAGGCCCGTAACGACTTCCACTCCAAGACCCGCGCCGAGATGACCGTCTGGGAGGCCATCGAGAAGCTCAACACCCTCATCGACGAGTCCGACCCCGACACCAGCCTCTCCCAGATCGAACACCTGCTCCAGTCGGCCGAGGCCATCCGTCGCGACGGCAAGCCTCGATGGATGCAGCTGACCGGCCTCATCCACGATCTGGGCAAGCTGCTGTATTTCTTCGACGCCAAGGGTCAGTGGGACGTTGTCGGCGACACCTTCCCCGTGGGCTGTGCCTTTGACGACCGCATCATTTATGGCAAGGAGTCCTTCAAGGAGAACCCGGACTACGACAACGAGATCTACCGCACCGAGTTTGGGATCTACAATCCCGGCTGTGGCCTGGACAACATGATGCTGTCCTGGGGCCATGACGAGTACCTCTACCACGTCGTCAAGGAGCAGTCCACCCTCCCCGACGAAGCCCTCGCCATGGTCCGCTACCACTCCTTCTACCCCTGGCACTCGGCCGGCGCCTACCATGAATTCATGAACGAAAAGGATCACGAGATGCTCAAGGCCGTCAAGGCGTTCAACCCCTACGACCTTTACAGCAAGAGCGACGATGTTCCCTCTATCGAGGAACTGAAGGTGAGTTTTTTTTCTCCTCAATCTTATTCCGTTCTACTACCTGACATTTTGCTAACATTGTCCCAGCCTTATTACCTCGAGCTCATCGACGAATACTTCCCCAACCAGGTGATCAAGTGGTAGACAGCGTGTTTTTCTTTATCTTTTTTTCTGAGGGGTCTGACTGGGTGTGTATTCACATTGTAAAAATGGCGTTCTTGTATGTTTGATAGAATTTCTGCACTTCTGCTGTGATGAAAGCGACGACTTAACGAGTTTTGTTTAATGCGTAATGCATGAATACTTTTCTACTTTTTTTTTTTTTGGCGAAAGAGACTTGATCTTAGATAGATGCAAATCTATGCAATTTACTCTCGAATCTGGCTATTATGCCAACCATGCAAGCACTCGATCATTTTTTGTAGTATACCTACTTGATGCTATTTCTGTGTAGAACTCACAATTGACAACGACACCTCCTTGTTTATATCTTCTCCCTCCCTCTCTCTCTCTCTCTTTGATAATTTTTCATCACTTAATTGACCTCCTTAGCTTGTCAACGTTGATATTTTCCCTTCATACTCAAGTACGTCTCAAGAACATCGGAAACGAGTTTCCGAATGAGTGGCGGGGAACTAAGGAGCATTCCCATCTGCCTCGAACAGCAGAGCATGCCAACGACGATACAATGTCGATCGTGGATCTTGCAGAACACACTCTGGTTGAGAAAAATCGAGTCCGCACGAAGTATGCAACTTGATGATGTTGAAGTACCCAGGGTAGCATTCATTGATATAGCAGGCGAATCTATGGACAAAAGTGACACCGGAAACCAGCCCCCCCCCCCAAAAAAAAGAGTCAAACAGACACGAACATGGCATGCGGGATATATCATGTCTATAGCTTCGACTTGTTGATACGGTTGCCCTCTGCGTCGAAAAAGATCTTCTGCTCGGTAATCATGGACTCCTGGAGCGCGCTTCCGATCTGGACAGCCTGCACCGCGCCCTCCAGCTTCAGCGGGACATCCGTGTTATCCAGGCACGAGGCGGTGAACTCGTTCGCCTCCGTGACGAACGCATGCTCGAACCGGTCGTAGTAGGTCTGGGGAATCTCGCGGCGCACGCCCGAGCTGTCGGAGACGTTGACCAGGTTCATGGCCGGCTGGGTGTTGATGCTCAGCTTGCCCTGGGGGCCGATGATCTCGGTGGTATCCTCCTGGCCGGCGGCCATCATGCGCGACGCGTAGAGGTAGACGATCGTGCCGTTGTGGAACTCGACGACGCCGACGGCGTTGTCGCGGTCGTTGTGCTTGCGCAGGTCCGGCTCGACGGCCGTGATGCCCACGGCGGTGACGGACTTGACCTTGCTGTCCTGGCCGAGGAACCACAGCGCCAGGTCGATGTCGTGGATCGAGCAGTCGACGAAAATGCCGCCGGAGAACTCGGCGTAGGCGACAAAGAAGCCGGACGGGTCGAGCTTGTCGCATGTCTGGCTGCGTATCACGGCCGGTGCGCCGATGGTGCCCGCCGACATCTTGGTGTAGGCATCGCGGTAGGAGGCGTCGAAGCGGCGGGAGAACCCGCACATCACCTTGAGCTCGGGCTTCCTGTTGGCTGCGTCAAGGACGGCTTGAGACTAGGTGAGGCGGAGGAGGAAAAGGTCAGTTCTATGGGGGAGCGGTGGTATAGTGCACGAGGACTAGGTGAAGAGACGGACGAGTTCAACGCTGGTAGACAATGGCTTCTCGCAGAGGACATGCTTATTGGCGTCCATTGCTTTGATTGCTTGCTCCGGATGCACAGCCGTGGCAGAGGCCACGACTACGGCCTCCAAACCTTCGTGTTTGAGCATGTCATCGTAGTTCTTGTAGAGCTTCACGCCGTACGGGGCCAGGTGAACCCTGGCCCACTCCAGCTCTATATCATCCGGGGAGCTGGCAGCAACCAGCTCGGCCCGGGGGGTCCGTTGGAGAAAGTTTAGGGCATGGCGTTTGCCCATGCGACCCAGGCCTGCGCAGCCGACTTTCAACTTTCTGGTAGACATAGTGGTTGTGTATATAAAAAGAAAGAAAAAAAGATGTAGCTCCTGGAGAGGCTCCAGCAATTGACCAGTGCTGAACGAAGGACGCGAGAGATTAAGTACTCTCGCCTAAGCGAGGTTGAAAGGAGATCTAAATCCGTTGCGATGATCTCTTTCGAGCACTGCAAACTGCAGACCGCGATGTCTCCCTGGTTGAACTTCGGACCACGAGCACCGACTTGTAACACCCCACAGCGAGCAGAGTCAAGTTGGCCAAGTCCCCACTGACTCGACCAAAGCGAGAGATTCAACCGCGAACTGGCACATTCTGCATATGCTCTACGCTAGGAATCAGGAACTCAGCGCGCAGACATTGCAAACTGGATCCTGGACCATCATTTCCGGGGATACTATTGCCAATAATACTATCAGATAGTACCCGCACATGTCTACAGGCGGAGAACAAGTCGGAAAAGGACTTCCTGGGGTCTCTGACTCTCTGGAGACTCTGGAGATCTGGAAATCATACTACGTACAAATCCTGGATATGCTTCCACGACTGGATCCCTGAACCAAGCCACTTTCTCCGCTTAGATGGCTGTACTATGATCGTCCTGCAGGAGTCAGTTAGCTTCGTTCAGATTCGGCGTGCGTCTGGGCCCTTACAGTCTGGCTCGGAACCTACCTTGATCAACTGCAGGACCGATGTTCATGAATCATGATAGCCAATGAAGGAAGCAAGGATGATGCTCCTGAAGACGGAGTAGCGCTGTACTGTTAGACCGTAGACTCCAGGTTAGGCTTCTGTAGTCAAGCAGCACAAACAATGCTTATCGTGCATCCGTTGTAGTGTAACGGCTATCATACCTGTCTTTCACACAGGAGATCGGGGTTCGATTCCCCGCAACGGAGTTTTCTTTTCGTTTCCTTTTATCTTACGGAATTGATCTCCTATAAGTTCTTTTTTTTTGGCTGTCACCTCTTGTCAATGGTTCTCTGGTGTTGTTTATTCTTGCGTATCCTTCCTTGGAAGAGCGGATCTATGGTATGGATCATCTTGATAGTGTGGTCTATTCACGTGTTCACCGCCGGAGCTGTCCCTATCGCTCCGCAAAGGATCAGCTATTATTGTGAGTGAGCAACCAAAAGTTGAACTGCTTGTTATTATTATTCGACCTGCTTGATGCAGTTCATTGGCTTCTATGAGTATTCGAAATGGCATATTGAGCGCTTAACCATCTTTGATGAACCTGGTGCCATCCATCCCATAACTACTCTCATCTCCACGCATCTCAGGAGCTTCGTCTCTTGATTATTTGTCGCGTTTCGTAAACGTTCCTTCTACCGGAGCAGGCAGGAAGGCACACCCATTCACATCTGCTTGTCTATCGTCTCTTGTAAGCTGGCCGCTACCCCATAGTTCTATATGCTCCGTTGCTTTAATTTCTAATAGATTCCAGCTCGTCAAACCAGGTTCCTGTGCATTCCGTCCGTTCCACCCCTCACTTCCATATCCATCATGGACTCACCGCGTCCTCGCAATTGGAACCAGAAGCTGTTCGCAAGCTACTTGGGAGGGACGGGCCAAGAATTGGCCGAGCTGAGACGGGCTCTGACGGAGTTGATGGCAACGCATGACAAACTCAACAAGGCATATAAATCAAAGGCGGCCAGGGCGGAGTTGAAGGAGTTCCTCGAGTCAAACCTTTACAGACTTCCGACCTTCGTCCAAGATGCGGGCTTCAGTGCGACTCGAATGGACGGATTGATGGGAATGGCGTACAAGATCAAGAATGAGTACATCCATTTTCAGCAGGCGCGCGAGCGGCAGAACCTGGCCATCGAGCCTTCAGCAAGCACCAGCGAGCAGGTGCCGGGGTTTGGCTACGAAGGTGAGGTGGTTGAGCAGGTACCTCTACCTGAAATCAGTCAACCCACCAGCCCTGCGCCTATCAATAGTGTACCCAGCAACGACGACATCGTTCAGAGATTCACAGCAGTCAATGATACCGGCTCTACAGTTCCCCCTGTGGAAGAGCCAGTTGTAGAACCGCCGAACAAGAGACAAAGGACAACGCCGTCACAGCCATCGCAACCGTCTCCCCCTCAGCCTCCACAGCAGCCAGACCTGCTTTCTCATAATATCTGGGTTCTGAACGAAGTGAACCCAGCCCGGCATGGGCTCTGCTCGATGCAGGAGCTTCTCACGAGCGAGGAAGCTCGCAACCCAAACCACATACCTCGGCTCATCGATCTCGACTTCGCTCACTGGCTATCCATCGTCCAAACCCAATGTGGCTACAGCTTTACCACCCATCGTTTGGAATATCGCCCTCCGTCCACTGTGATGTCTCGATCGGCGCAACTGCCACCAATTACAATTCCAATGTCCACACAAATCCAATGGCGCGGTGCATTGAATTCACAGCTTCGTTCTAAAACAGACCAGGATCCAGTTTTTTATTTGGTCTATAAGTGTGAGTCCTCAGCGCATGCAGCTCGCAATGTTCGAGTCCCTGACTCAAACCCGGCAGGAAATGATGCGCCATTCCCGTCACTACCTTCCTCACCCTCATCCTCGATGGGAAGCGAGGTTTCCCCCCCTCGTGACTCTCTTGTCATCAAGCAGGAGTACGCTGAGGAGCAAATGAGATTGCCTGGGATGCGATAGTCGGCAATTATGGGGCAACTACGCTGGCGAGTCAATTGCCCAAACGTCATCATCTCCTGCACTCTACACTTCTAATAGTGACTGGCCAGTTACTGTTCCTGACCTTCATCTATGTTGCCTTTTGGGACAAGCAAACTTGCGAATCGACGTTCAGCTTGTTACCATATACATGTTCGTTTATCTGCTCAAGGGCCTTCCTAAAAGAGCCTTTTATTTATGCTGAGGGGGAGAAGAAATCCTCAAATTCGACAGAGTATATGAGTGGATAAAAAGCAAAGGGGAATATAGGGCTGAGAGCAGTATTAGAAACTTGACACCGGGGCTGAATCACGAAAAGGAAACAACTTGTTGGCATCTGACGCTAAGACAAAAAAAAAAAAAAAAGACATGAAATTGAGATCCGAGTCTAATGAAGCTCAGGATTCTTCAACAGCCTGCTTTCGCGCAGATACCTTTTTGGCCTTCTTTTTCGCCGCAACCTCAACCGGGTCGACGAAACCATCTCCCCGCATCCAGGCCAATGCTTTTCTGACACCTTTGCCCTGGACAGAAGACGGCCTGCTTTCCAGCAAGGAGCCCATGACTGCCCAGGCGAAGACAATGATCCACAAGTCTCCGCCTTTCCATCCTTTCCACAGTCCCCGCTTTATGCCCACATCCCATGCCGAACGGATTGCTGCGCGGAAGAAGTACATGAAGATGTTACGGCTGTTGCCGAGGAAAGCAAATGGCATGCCTGCGATAGCACCGCTGAGGAAAAAGCGCTTGGTTGGCAGGACAGAGCGCGGTAAAACGGCATTCCAGAGACAAATGGTACCCCAAGCGGACCCGGCGGCGGCGGACAGCACGGCTGTCAGCTTGATGATCTTCTTCGACAGGTTGTTCACGGTCGAAAGTGGCTGGGACAGGAATGCCTTGAATTTGACCACCGACAGGGCCAGCATCACGGTTGTCAGGAACCGAGCAAGAGGGGGCACGGAGAGTAGGATGTGATGCAGGAATGCTGTGCCACAGCTGGGGCTGCTTGGATGGAGCAAAGCACATGATAGACTTGAGATGGATGGGTGCGCGGGTCCAGTGATGGGTGATAAAGCCTTGACTGCCGAGGGCAGAGTGTTTGGGTCGGTAGGATGCAGGATAGGAGAAATGAAGGCTCTGTCGAGCATGAGACTTAGCAACCTATCAAAAATTTATGAAGTCAGATGGTAATGGAGAACATACGGCCACCGCAGGTTGGCGATATTTGCCAGCGAGTCAATGACATCTTCCTTGCCAGGCCATGGAAACTCGATCGGCAGTGTATCCGGTCGATTGCGCACATAGCTCGGTGACAGTCTGAAGATAGTATTCCCAAACCACTAGTCCTAGTCAGTATACACCCGAACCCAGACAGGGGGCGAGAGAAACATACCTTCGGCACGGCGTCGCGATCAAACACAAACGCATGGAACAGCTGCGCGCACGACAGCGGCATCAACAACCAACTCCCGAACCACCAGGGCCGATCCTCAAAACACCCCTTCTCATCCAGCGCATTGAACACGAACTCCAGCGTCCGCGTCCCCGCATAGATCGCCGCCGTGATCCTCAGCTGCGTCTGCGGACAGATCCCCAGCGCAAAGCCGGCCAAGCTCGCCCCGACGGCGGGCGCATACCGCGACGTCAGCGCCCTGGAGACGCGCGGGTTGCGCTCGCGGAAGGGAGCCGCGTCATCTGTGCGCAGGTTCGCGCGGAGCCGGACGAAGAACCGGTGGAGGAACCGGTGGAGGAGAACGACGAGGGAGAGGGAGAGGGAGAGGCGGAAGTTGGGGGAGCGGAGGAGGGAGGAACGAGGTTTCTTTCTGTAGATATGATCTGTTCAGCATCCATCACTTCCACATATGGTTTTGGCCGAAGAAGGGACCGGAGGAGGAGGAGGAGGAGGAGGAGGAGGAGCCCCCTGGGGAGGGAGTTCTACCTGGACAAATCGGCCTGGATCCGACGGACGATCAGGTCGACGAGCTTCAACAGGCCGCCGGAGACCAGGAAGACGCGCAGCGAGGCCCGCAGTGCGGCTTCATTGTGCTTGTTTTTTGATCGGACGAGGGCCTCGTATCGAGCTGGCGAGGGGGCCTTGTTCTGGATGGAGGGCGGTGCGCGCTGGATGATGTATTCGTGGAGACGTTTGTATTCCTTGGCGCTGATGGTGATGCGGAGAGCATTGCGAACGAGAGGGTGGGTATCCGCGTCGGCAGGCGCCATGATGCCTCCTCAATTTCGAGAGGTATTGAGACTTGCAGTCGACGCTCTGGTGATGAGTTAGGAAACAAGAAGGATGGGAGAGAAAGAAGCCAAGGAGGATGAACAGGACAGGAGTTTCTCCGCTTCGTCAATGAGCTGAAAGTCACGCACTGCTGGCGACCTCGGCTTCTGAGTGGATGTACAAGGAGAGAGAGAGAGAGAGACCGAACACCTCAGGAGAAATGGTAGAGAATGTAGGGATGATCTATCCAGTATCTATCTACAGCTCAAGGGCACCTTTGAGAATGATCAAATCAAGTAATAATGTCTTCAAACCTCCCAGTAATTAATGCCCCCGACCTGCGCTCTACTCTTCATGTGAAGCCTAACAAATCCCGAAATCGTCGCTCCTTGAAACCAGCCACGACACAAGAGCAACGGGAATCCTAATAAGCAGAAAGAAGATCAAGTAGCGGTGATGAGAAATAACAACAGAAGAAGACAGGCAGAGAATTCCTACATACAAAAAAAGGGAAGGGAAAAAAAAAAAAAAAGAAAAAAAAAACAAACAGAAAAGGGGAATATCCACGCCATGCAAGAATCCATCATAACACACAATTCGCGCCATCCAAGATACCAGAAGACTTCAGTCGCAGGATACAAACTACCAGAAGCTGCACCATCCAATCCAGTGCTGGCATATGTTCTCGACGCTTGTTGCCTGCGCGAGAAGTTTGTCCACCTGATCACTCACATTGAGCTCTTCGCTGGGCTTGAAATCTCTACCTGTGAGCTTCTCCTTCACCCGAGCCAGCACCTGCACCGCTCGTGCATTCTGTGCTTCGCGTGCTTCAGGTGGGATACCCTCCTGCACATCGAGAATGCCACCGTCGAGAATCGATGGACGACGGTGTCGGGAGAAATTACTCGGTTGCACACCATGTTCAAGATTGATGACGGATGTGACTGACTGTCGGCGCTCCGTGCTGAATGGCGGCCGTTCTGGTGACTCTCGGATGTTCAGACGCCAATTAATCAAGGGATCGTGGATGAACTATAGATTGAAAGAGCAGGCATTAGTACCAAAAAGCCCGCCGAGACAGTTCCGAAGCGCTGTAAAGGGCTGGATAGAACTTACCGCTTCCAGAACAGCCATTAGTGAATCCTTGTTGTCTCTGATGACACGCATGACAGCCTCGCAGGTAATACGGTAGCTTCCCTCGATATTGCTGACTTCCATAGCGAATGTCAACATCCGAGTTAAGCGGAATGGCACTCTCTCCGGATACTTCTCACGGTGCATCGCAACTTCGAAGCAGTCACCAAAATCGATGTGAACCACTCGTCCGGTAGCGCGTTCCAGGAGAAGATTTGATGGATGACGATCACCCAGACCTAGGATGTAGCCGACCATGGACATGACACCCAGCGATCGTGTGTAGTTCGTTCGCCGCTCAAGCCAGGCTTCGGAGCTCTTGCTCTTGAGCCACAGGACGCGATACAGGTCTTTCCCGGTGGTGTTGTCCATGGCGTATCCGAATACTTCAACCTTTTGCATCAGGGTGAGATTGTCATAATCTGGAGCCATCTGCAACATGATACGATGTTCGATATTGAGTAGAATGCGGCGACTCTCACGGTACTCCTTGATAAGTGCGTGCAATGTATCACTATTGCAGACCCATCCCAGTATACCAGAGCTCTGAGACAGCGGAATAGCGGGGAACCGCTGTACCGACAAATGGCGTTTGAATGTCTCACCATCGTTATCGAGCAGAGTATTGACAAGACCAAACAGTTGCATGACTCGCTCATCTTGCCGGATGTCCTCATGTCCCTTGAGAGCATACATGTACGAGCTTCCATTGCTTCCCTTCAGAGTCATTCTTCGAGGCCGCTTCTTGGTTTGTAGCACGTGCAGTATAGGGTCAAAGCTGATGATACGAATGATAGGACGACCACTCTGGTAGGTTCCGGGAACAGCAAGGGCAAGATCGTGGCAGTCTTTCAGCCTGGGCGACACATATTTAAGATCGAGAGTCGATAACTGTGGAAGCTGCCGGCTGATCTTCCGGAACACAGTGTAATAGAGGTCCCAAGCCTGATTCAGATCACCAATCTCTTCCGTTTCGCGATACAGCATACAATAGTGCTTTGCCTCGGCAAGATCGCGCCCAAACGCCTGAGCGAAAGAAACCTCACGTAGGGTTTCCGCACCCTTGTCCAGCATTTCATGGAGGGGTGCGAGAGTGGAGAACATGCCCTCCACATCATGGTCACCAAAGTAAAGCCGAGAAGCTTCTTCCAGACCTTCATGCCAGAGTTCGTGCCATAAGACTGCAACCCGAATCAGCTCATGACTCACAAGATCAGCTTGCTCAACCAAAGTAGCACTGTGCTGCCGCATACTGTCCATGATAGTGCTGGCGGACTGTGAACGGCGGGTAATATGTGATTTCATCGCAACAGTCAATGGGTATACCAGTGCCTGCGGATGAGTCTTGCCAACTTCGGCCAGAAGTCGATGTACAGCCGTCCGAACCTTGAGGTTTGGCTGGTTGATACGTGCGATGAGTTGAGGGGTGACCGCGAGCCATGTATCAATATTTATCGCCGTAAACCCTTCTGTGACAACGTTGTTTACTTCCTGGTCGCCACCATAAGTGAACCACAAGGTGAGTAACCTCAATGTATCTTGAAGAGACGAAGTTGACGACAAAGCGATCGACCTGAGAAACCCTCCAATAGCAGGGATGACATGCTCCGCCACGATATGCCCAGGTACTACGGGCTTAACAGTCCCATCCCTACTGGCCTGACTGGCAATTGTTGTCACGACTTCAAAGTTCGCCAATGCCCAAGAGTGCCAGGCTTTGTACGAGTCACGGTTGTATTTGGTGGCAGCTGAGTAAGCACCGAGTACCTCACGGACATGTTCGGGCTTCCAATCGCCTCGTTGTAGAGACGTTTGCCATTCTCCTTGCCTAAGATAGCTTTTGGAAAGGAGCCTACGGAATTTGGCTACGTCGCCAATCCGTTCGCGTAGACCCATAATGTCGGCGTGGTTTGACTCGGTGATACCGTTGACACCGTTCATACCACTATGCTCAGACTGTGATACCATGAGCGCATTGAAGCGGTTGAGGTCATCTGTCAAATTTGAGGTGAATTCTTTCAGCATCTGAAGGGCGTCACGCTGACGGCCTGTAGCCCAGTTGAACTTTAGCCGAGCGTAAGTCACCTCTGGAGGAGCAATGGTCCGTGGACCATTGCTGTCATTGATGACGGTCTCCAAGGATGCAAGAGACCGTTCAGCAAGTCCCATGCGGTTAGATTTACGGCATAGGTTGGCAAACTTGATCCACATATCGAGGTTCTCACGTGGCGAAGTGACAAGCGCCCTAACCTTGAGCATGCGTTGCCAGACCTCAACATTCTGTTGGCAACCAAGTAATCTCTTGTTCCACGTCTGGCGCATGGACTCCTGCTTCTCAGGATCGCCGACGTTCTGCTTGTATGTAATGATCTCCTCCAGTTCCGCAAGCATTTGAACACGGACGACGACGTTGTATGCACGGTTGTACGATTCTCCAAGCAATGCCGACAGCTCCGTATCGAGGCCATTCCGTGCTTTCTCAATATACATGGTCGCTTCATCAAATTGGTTCCGATGAATTGCGAGGATCGCACCAAAGAATGACCGATCCGGTGACTGCTCCTTCATTACACCCAGGTAAGAGTCCATCAACTCCCACTGGCCTCGTCCCCAGGCAGCAGCTGCTGCTAGGGGAGCAATGGCTCTGCGATGTTCTAGCGAAGCCTGGTTCCACTTCTCCTGGGCAAGGTCAGACAATACCTTCCACTCGCCAAGTGCATGCAGACACCGCATCTTGCCCATGGTGACACCAAAAGAATCTGGATCGATCTTTTCCCGGCGTTTGTAGGCAGCAAGCGCCTCTTCCCATCGCTGGAGTTTCTCGAACCAGGTCTCCTTCAACTCCACATCTCGATAGGCTTGGGCTTTGCGGAGGATACCAATGGCAGCGTCGGATTGTTGCAGTTGGTTATTAATGGTGATCAAGGCTTCAACAGCCCCGGAATTCTGATCTTGCTCGAATTCCAGCTCTTTGTAATGGAGCGCCTTCGCAAAAGCATGGCATTTTGCGGCGTATTTGCCTAGTGTACGAATGTCAATGGGAAGAGCCTTGTCATCATGCTCCATAAACTCGGCAAGATTGAGCAAAATCTGAAGTATCTCAGGAGGGATGTTGGGTGAGGTGAGCGCCTTCTCGATCGACCGTACAAGCTCTTCTTGATACTGATCGTACAGTTCGGTCCAGCAGGACACGAAAGCAGCGTTGAAAAGATCTCTTGAGAGCGGCTGGTAGATGCCGGCCAAACTTGCGCAAGCACGTAGAGCTGGTGAGGGTGACTCTTTAAGTAGCTCAACACTGAAACGGCGTATCCATTCCTGCCAATCCTCCCGTGTTGATTTCTGAGAAGCATCCCAGGCATTCTTCAAGTGCTGCTGGTTCACAACCATCTTTTTCTGGCCAACATCAGAATAGCTTGACTCATCCGCCATGGTGGCTTGATTCTCATCGGGGTTCAAATCCTGCGGAAGAGGATCGCCTTTTTGAAGTTTCGAAACCAGAATCTGATAATTGACGTGATTGATTTGGTTGTTCTTCAAGACCTTGTTCAACAGATTTATGTAGTGGCAAAAGTCTTGACCGAGTTGAAAGATTAGGGCACAAATACAGTCCATAGCTGATTGTCTCAAGGCCCGGTCGTTGCCCGCAACAACTCGAGCCAAAGAGTGGATCATCAATGAAGAGAAGTCGGAAACATTTACTTGTCGGGAAAGCTTCGTCAGACTCTCAATGGCAGATTTTCTAACACTCTGCGGGTTTTGAGTCCTTTCAAACAGGCGTACCACCGATGGAATAATCAAATGCATGTATTCCTCCCCACTTGTGCCAAAAACAAGAAAGGCATGGAGAATTTTCTCTGAAGGCTGGCGGCGCGGCGTGGTATCCTTTTCGAGGGTGTCCAGCATAGAAGGAATAAGAGCAGCCAGGTATTTCTTGAATTCGCCTTCCAAGGACTTGGCGATGGCTTCCATGAGGGAAAGTATCGTCGCTTGAACTTGATAGGATGCATCCCAGAATTCCCGTATGACATCGATAATCTCCGGAAGAAAAGCGCGAACATGCTGGCGGACAATGTTTACCAGAATGGCCATCTGGTTAAAGTAGGATTCAAGGCGACTCGGTGGCGCTCCTCTGATGACCGAAATGAAGCCAGGGATGATCTGGCCGAGGAACGGCACACACTTCAAACCCAAAGTCTTGAAGATGGTGACGATCGCGTCGATAACTGCGGAGTGATATTGAGCAAGGGAGTTTTCGCGCAAAATATTCTGCATCAGGGTGTGAATCACCACAGTAGGGTAGTACTCCTCATTAGAGGGAGTAAGTCCCTGCATGATGAGAGCAACATCGGAGACCGTTTGAATCTCGTTGATGTGGTGGACATCAGGTTCAATCTCGCTGATCTGTTGATATTTGTACGGATCAAGAGCACCCAGTATTCCCAGTAGCTTGATGGTTTCCTTACGAAGGGAACCGGTTTGTTCGGTCTTGATGATGTTGATGAGAACGGCAAGTAAATGGGGGTATTCAAGAAAGGGGTCAATAACATAGCCAGAGTTGCTGGCCAACTGGCCCAGCGTCCGCAAAGCTGACTCTCGCTTAGCATGAGAGGAAAGATCCTGGAGCGAGTCCAAGATAATAGGCATGAGCTGAGGGAGATAGTTCCTCATCTCCGCGCCTCCAACATTCGCAAGCTCTCCGACAGCCTTCAATGTAGTTGAGGCGACGCCAGGGTTAGCATCCGTGGCCTTCGGAAGCAAGGTTGTCACCATGGGGTCGACATAAGACCTGATTAGCTTTGTCGCATTCGAGACGAACAGGCTGATGAGCTGAGCACTCTCCTCCTTTTGCCGCGCTGTGCTTGCAAATCCGAGGCCAGTAAGAAGATTGACAAGGAGTTTCCGTAGAGGAGGGAATACGTAGGCCGGATTGACACTGGACAGACGGCCAATGATGCAAATTGCAGCTTCTCGGACTGCAAAAACTTCATCATTGACGGCCAAGAATAAACAGCGAATGTTTTCAGGCCTCGCAAGATGACGATCAAACTTGCGATCCAATGACCAGAGAACAGTGCGACGAATTTCCGGATCTGGGTCGCCAACACCGACGGTCAACAACTTGTCAATCACTTCACTCACGACTTGGATGGAATGGCTGCTTGTCTGGTTAATGATCGGATCATGGACGAAAAGCTGGCAGCAAGTGAGTGCCGCGGCTTTTCTTATTTCGGGGTTGTCCTTCTCGACGTAGTTAATAGCGACATCACGCACAAATTCGTTGAGAATATGGCCAGAGAAGTCGAAACTACCAAGAGTGTGAAGTGCCAACGCGATCTCGGCATCGGAGTGCAACTCTTGCGGTGCAAAATCTTTCGCAAATGACGGCATGGGCGGTAACCTGCTCTCTGGGCATCCGAGTGGGCGAAATGGCGTCCCATGAAGGATAAGACTGAGCATATCCAAGAGCTTCTCCTGTATCGTAGGCTTTATGGGAGGGATATAATGAGCCATATCCACGAGCGCTTGCGTGAGTGATTCGCTCAGCCCACATGCGAATATGGGGTCGAGCAGCGATTCCATATATTTGCTGAGCGTCTGTCCAACGGCCAAGGATAACATACTGATGCACTCAAACATTGGTGCTTCGTTGATGGCGGCTCGATTGCGACTTTATAATATGTTAGCTCGCTTGGCGATAATCGTGCAAGTAATAGAGCCCGACTTACGCTTTCATGGCTAATCCTTCGCGTATGTAGATGATGATCCCATCGAGATATTGTGCGATGGCGGGACCAACCGCATTGGCGATTTTTCCAATGGCGATGAATGCTGCATCACGCTCTTTATCTCTCTTTAGCTGCGCCTGCAAATATATCATAAATCGATGGAGGTAGATCTCTGTGAAATCGACAGGGGCGTAGGAGGCGAGAATAGGGATGGTCTGGACAACTTGGGCACGGATCTTGTGATCGCGGTGATCCTTGAGGCGGAGGACAATCTCACAGGCATTCCGATAATGCTCGTTCATGAACATAGCACCTTTAAGGAGAAGCTCTTTTAGAACCAAGAGCGAGCCGTGTACCCAATCCACATTGCTGGATTTAAGGCCGAGCAGCGCCTCCTCGTATATCCTTGCGAACCACAGTTGCCGAACTTGGGCGTCTCTCGCAGCTATAATTTCAAAACACTCGGATACTGCTTCAGCGGCTGTTTCTCGGATAAGGACTTTGGGGTCCCGCAGGGCAACCCAGATGAGCTCAAAGACCTGGGGGACAAAGCCATAAAGTAGAGTTGGCGAGCCCTTGGCAAGCTCTCGGATAACTAACACAGCAGCGAAGCGTCTGCTTTCTTGCCGTTCGGATTGAAGCCATTCTAACGCCGATTGTATCTCACTTTCGACCAATTCCGCAGTAAGAGCTCCGCCCGGCTTTGCCAGACGTCCGAGGGATCTGGCTGCGTAGACTAATACCGCGTTATCGTTGCTGCGAAGAGCGCTGCGCAGATAGCTTGCGAACCGAGTAGTCTTCTGAGCGGCATCGACACCATCAAAATCGATTAACCGATCGAGCGCCAACAAGCCACCGATTCGTTCATGTGCGTCACTTCCCGTAACCACGAGCTGCGCGATGCGTTGACTGACAGCATTGTAAAATTCGAGGAACTTCTCCGGAGGCCAATCTGTAGAAATTCCACCACCACAAGTCAGTCATGTCTTAGATGCGACCAGAGGTGAAGACTTGCCTCTTGAAATAGCTAGGACGTTATCGTAGAGCTCATATGCAGCTCTTACCCGTGTCTCCTCATTTCTAGACTTCAACTCGACAAAGAGTCGCTGGGTGACGTCCGTGATAGGACCTGCTTGCGCCATACTGGTAAACCACACCCCAGGGTGGACATTTGAAGTCAACCTCTAGGGCATGCAATTTAACAAAAAGTTAACATGAAAGATAGAAGGTCGTTGGACAGTAGTGGGATTGATGGATGGGGCGAAGGTCTCGCTCGAGAGCCTGGCGGGTTTGTGCACGGGCCACAATTGTTCGGGCCTGGGGCATCTATCTGTTCTGCCCGGAAATTATTGATTCACTCAGTTGAGGTACGGCCAACCTCTTTCACACCCAGTTAACTGACCACCGGTGTACAGAAGTGCCCTCAAAAAGATCCGAAAGAAATCCCTAGATTCATTTTCTTAGATTTCACTTTGTTTTATGAGATCTTGACGCTATTGTGGTACTTGACACAATGAGCTCTCCCCAGCCTTTTTCTATCGAGAAACACCTTCATACTCCGTACCTATCTATAGTCTGGGAAAGTCCTCCAGGAGGACCAACAGAGCTCTCGTTCACCGGCTTTTTACTAATGCATCGTCAAAAGTCAAACTACTAAGGGCTTGCATATGCTCCTCTTATCCTGACAACAATCGATTTCCACGCTGTGTTACCGAAGCCGTCTTTCCATGGACTCGGGCACTCTTCGGGAACCAGAGGTGACCTCATCAGATGACCTTGGTCTCTTGCACGTGTTCATAAGCAACATTCTAGAGCAGAAACCATTCCGTTGGGCTCTATTAAATTCTTGGAGCTTATAACAATATCCCTGGCTACAAGTATTTCAGCATGGGGATTTTGGAATTTGCAAATACCTTGTGATTGGGCTTCGAGCCAATACTGGTTATTGCCATTTGGGCTTTATTACAATGTGAGATATCACGGCCTACGTACGCTACGTCGCTTGCTTCAAGTTCTCTGTGTTACATACAAAATTGATGAACAGCAGTTTACTTCAGACCAAGTGCCAGTAGTTAAGGAGAAAAGAACCAGCAGGATATGTCCCTCAGACGCAATGTGCCAGCAGAGAAGGAAACTCGCAGTTACAGACCGAAGGCTAAGAAAAGGTTCTGCAGCACAGCTCACGCCCATGTCAAAGCTTCCCCAGTATATCCAGGAAACCTACATTGACGATCATCACGAATTAGCAGTCAAGGACCTCGGTTGGCATATAGTTCAGCTCAAAGAAGAATCTGGGACTCGTTTGATTAGCATAGCAGCACTTTCGACCTAGAATGCCCAGAACGACATTTCTAAGTTGTAAGGGGACCTTTCGTGACGCCAAAGTTTGGCTAGAATATCCTCAAAAGTGTTCTCGAAACCTTAAGTAGAATGGGCGGTTTCCTTTGATGGTTGGGAGCTACTTCCTGGGATATCCTGGCCACGGTACAAACTGAGGCCGAGAAAGGACGGTCGATGATATTGGAAAGGCTGTCCAAAGGGCATTAGATATCGCTTGAGAAGGTCGGTCGTGATCGGAATCGCACGCAGATATCCCAGTCCACTGGACACAGATACATGAAGCATCCTCGGATCACCATGCATAGACTCCAACCGCTGTATCGTGTGGAACAAGCTGACCACCGAGGGGCCATAACATCATGCTCAAACTTGAGCTTTGTGTTTAAAATGATTTCTCTTGTCCAACAGATAGATATAACATTGAATCTGCTAGTCTTAGTTTCGTACCTACTACATACTGTGTAGATATCATGGTCGACGCCATCCATCGTGATCGGGAAAGCCCCACCCGAGGTACCCCTCTCCATAATCCCATAACTCCATATAGAGTACACAGCCCGAGCAGCTTTCAAGAGATGCCGAATGGTTTCTTGTCTCCGAAGACCCAAAGGAGATCATAGTAGTACGAACGGATTTACTATCGAAAACCAGGCTTTATCTTCGCTATCTCCGCCACGATTGATGCGAACCTACGACTGTTATTTGTAATCACCAAGACTCTCCTCAAACCAATGGCAACTGCAATTGAAAGTCGCAATAGTGGGGAAATTCATGAAAGAGGGGTTTTATAGACATACTTAAAAGAAGAGGGTTTCCAGAAAAGCATAGCAGCCTGGTTATCAGACACCTTCCATCTGGACTTTCCAATTTCAACGAGAGAATACCTCTAAACCCGACGCAATGGTCAAGGTTCTTCTGACTGGTAAGCTTCTTTCCAATAGTACCAATCGTTCGATGGCCTAATGGTCTTCATAGGAGGCAGTGGCTTCATTGCTGCTCATATCATTGATGTTTTATTGGCGCGTGGGTGAGTGCAGACTCATCCAGGTCATTGATTGACCTAGGCAATCTGACTGAAGGTGACAGGTTCGCCACAGTAGTCACTGTTCGATCCGAGGACAAGGGCCAGAAGATCCTGGGAGCGCATCCTGGCACACCGAAGGAGAAGCTTTCGTATGTGGTCGTCAAAGATGTTGCAGCAGACGGAGCTTTTGACAAGGTAAGCCGTTACACAGCTCTTGTTCGTTGATGCGAACCATTTCTCCAAGTGCTTCGATCGCCTAGTAGCTCTTGAGACTAAGGGGTTTTCGCTATACAGGCCGTCAAGTCTGACCCACCGTTTGACTATGTCCTCCATACTGCATCGCCTTTCCATTACAACGTCACCGATCCCGTTAAAGATTTCATGGATCCTGCAATCAAGGGAACAACGGGTATTCTGAAGGCAATCAAGGCCCACGCACCAACAGTCAAGAGAGTCGTCATTACTTCATCGTTTGCCGCCATTGTCAACGTGAAGAAGCACGCCGAGGAGTACAGCGAGAAAGTCTGGAATCCAGTTACATGGGAGGAAGCCCTAGAACCTTCTCAGACTTATAGGGGCAGCAAGGTACGTGAACATGCCCCTAACTTGGCGCTGGCTTCGACTAATATATCCAGACATTCGCGGAGAAATCCGCATGGGACTTCATTGAAAAGGAGAAGCCAAACTTCGACCTTTCAACCATCAACCCCCCTATGGTCATGGGCCCAATTGTGCATTACTTGAACTCACTTGACGCCATCAATACGTCCAACAAACGGATCGCTGATATGATCGAGGGCCGTTACAAGGAAAAGCTCCCCCCCACAGGCTCATATCTGTGGGTGGACGTCCATGACGCCGCACTTGCACATGTCCGAGCGATCGAGGTTCCAGAAGCAGGCGGCCAGAGATTCTTTGTCACTGCCGGCTACTTCACGAATAAAGCCATTGCTGATATTATTCGGGAAGCATATCCCGAGCTGGCTGATAAATTGCCTCCCAAGGACTCTCCTGACGACCTTCCAGCTGACATCTATAAGTACAATAACAAGAAGTCTATCGAAGTCTTGGGTATCCAATATCGGTCACTGAAGCAATCGATCGTGGAAACAGTCAAGTCATTGTTGGCTGTCGGCGCATGAAGAATCGTGATGGCATTTATATAGTACAGAAATAGATGTTAGAATAGCGAATGACGTGTATCAAAAGCAGAAGTCAACCCAAGAATATGAAATTCGTAAAGCAAATTGATATGTTACAGTTAAATTACTTTTAAGGGCAGCCGGAGAAAGACGGGCAACATACGCTGCACCTGTGGACGATATCACTCGCCGTACCCGCCTTGGCGGTCGAGTGGAATCAACTTTTCTCCAGCTCACTCCGCACGAGAGTGAAAGGGCCACGGTCAAGATATTGCAATTGTGTTCGAATCGCCCATGGCGACAGCAAGATTATCGCCGACGGCGACCCTTCTACGGAAGTCCCGTCTTTTCGCCCTTCCGTCAGCCCTGCCCTTACCTTCGCAAGATGCGACATCAAAGACCGTCTTTGAATCCGACACCGCGACCCTGCCTCATCCGATCCGAGCGTCCATCGTCACACCGGCTTCATCGCTAGCAAGAGGGGATTGGGGTCTCAAGCGGCCACTTCCCGGAAAGTCGACGTACGAAAAATCTTCCCAGCCTGTTGTCCGGCTAAACGCACTCGATACGTTCGAACATGTCACGGATTTTGAGTCCGCCGCAGACCACACGGTGACTCTGCAGAAGTTCCAGGAGCTGCATATGCCCATGTCTCTTCCTTCGAAGGTCAACTACGCCACTAGCATGGTTCCCAGACATCAGAGTCCCTTCGAATCCCGGGTCGATAACACAGACACCAGCAAGGGTCTTCAGGAGACAGGTGCCAAGCAGTTTAGACATTCTGGACCATGGCTCGCAGGGCAAACCGAAGCTGAGTTCAATGCGTATCTGAATAAGGTGCGCCAACGGAAGCCTGAACTCCTTCAGAAGCTCCGCGATCACTTTGTTGCCAAGCGAACTGCCGAACGCAGAAAGCAAGCCCAGGATAACGGCGAGGATCTGGAGGCTCTCGGTCCGATCAACGTCACCGAGGAGGAATTCCAACGATATATCAAATCTCTGCGAACAGATCCATTTTCTCTCGGTCCTGTCGTTTTTGAGCTCCTGGATCTTCCATCTCCACCCGCTGTCCCTAGTGATCGAATCGGCCACAAGTACTACCAATCTCCTGGTACCAAACTCTCGTCGGCGGAGTATGCTGTATCCGGCCCCCCGAAGACCCATCCTTCCGCCGGTCTATCCTATACTCGATCTCATGCTCTGATCTACAATCACCCAAAGTTTGGGCCCCAGGCGTATCAGCGTCCTGTCCAGGCTCGTATCCTGCGGCCCAAGGGTCGGTTTAAGGGTAAGACATCGAAGGCCATTGCTGGTGTCGGTGGTATCGCTGTGGAGGATCTCAACGCCATGACGTTCGTCGAGCAAGGATCGCCCGCCGGTCTGGCATACTTCGACGCATCCATTCCCGGTGGTGCAAAGTACTGGGTCACTCCCATCCGCGCCTCGGTGGATTCGGAGGGTAGAATTGGTTTGGCATCATACCGTGCCAGTACTACTGCCAAGGCTCCTTATGGCATTGAAGAATACAAGAAGCCTACTTCGACAAGTATCTCCCACGTCGCCCGTGGTGAACAGCGCGTGGTTCCTCGATTAGACAGAGACTTGCCCGCCTATGCTCGCGCTCGCAAGGTTGAACAGGATGCCGGTGTCTTGCCGGAGTCGCAGCAGGGCAAAGATGATGTTGCGCGAAACCTTTTGAGGACTCTCAGCTCTATCTAAGTACTTTTTAACGGCTTCTATTCTGGCGATAAGGAGAGCTGGTTGTACGATTAGATTACTTTGATTATTTTTGATCTTGTGATATAAAGCCTGATATATGATGTAAATTGAGATTCAGCAAGGCAATTCATTTGTATGGACACCAAGTCAAGTAACATACCTTACAACATAGATACAAGCTCAGAAAGATATAGCACTGGATACAGACCAGAATAGGAAAGGTGCACCTAAACCCGACTAATTTCTTGGCAACCAACATAGGGTAAGCCACATCATGTGATAGAACTTAGGGCTTTCGCACACCCGCACCTCCAATATAGCAAGGAATTGTAACACATACAGTTCTCTCGTCTTTCGAACATCCTTCCAGCCAGCACACAACCGCCAAAATGGGTCGCGTTAGAACCAAGGTGAGCTATTGCAAAAACCACAGACATTGCTTTCATGTCGAATAAAAAAAAGGAAACATCAATTCTGATAAAATTTGCTTTTTCCACGACAATAGACAGTCAAGAGGTCCGCCAAGGTCATCATCGAGCGTTACTACCCCAAGTTGACGCTCGACTTCGAGACCAACAAGCGCCTTTGCGATGAGATCGCCATCATTGCCTCCAAGCGTCTCCGCAACAAGGTACGAGCAATTCGAGGCTGAACGACTCCCGGAATCCCATGTACTGATTGATGATGGTCAGATTGCTGGTTACACCACCCACCTGATGAAGCGTATCCAGCGTGGTCCCGTCCGCGGTATCTCTTTCAAGCTGCAGGAGGAGGAGCGTGAGCGCAAGGATCAGTACGTTCCTGAGGTCTCCGCTCTGGATGTTTCCCAGACCGAGTCCGGCCAGCTCGACGTTGATGCCGATACCAAGGATCTGCTCAAGAGCATGGGCGTAAGTCTTGATTTATTTCTCTCTGGAAGCGTAAGCAGTTTGCTGATATGTCATCTTTGATTAGTTCGACAACCTGAAGGTCAACGTTGTCAACGTTTCCCAGCAGCAGGTCCAGGAGCGCCCCCGCCGCTTCCGGTAGATTCGTGCGCCCGAATCTCGATGAAAAAAAATAATGATTGTCTTGGGTCGATCTATGGCGTTTTGAATCATGCTTGCTTTGGCTGGTTTTCCGCAGCTATGATGTAGCATAGGGAGACTGCAATGAAAACATGATTCTCGCTGAGAAAGGTGTCGCCGATTCTCCTCTAGGGGATGACGCTCGATTGCCAAAATTTCTCCTTTTGCCTATTGTCTGCCTAGCAGCGGACGATACGTAGCAGGTTCCGGTTGGACGATCTTTCTATGATCATGGCCGACCTGATTTCACCAACCTAATTGCCAAATACGTCATGCCGGGTCAACTTCTGGAATTGTATTGGATTTTTTTTTTACAACCGTAGATGGGTATCGTGATGTAGTAACGCCGTAAAACCAAGCAAACAAAGGATGACAACCTGCAACTTTTTGGGAGAAAAAATCACCTTTCCTTTGGCACATATCCTTCGATAGAGCCTCCCTTGACATCTCCCGGACGCATCTGCGGCGCCGAGACTTGTTCATGTGAAAGGTTCTCATTCTCACGGATGTTAATGGCCACTCTGCCAGCCTGCAATGCTGGATTCGCGTCTCCGCGTTCCATTGCGAGCTCCCGGGAACGAGCAGTATCACCAAGGGACATCCCTGACAGACCATCCGCGACATCCTCCATATGTAGATCATCCAATTGACTCGTGACTGCTGCCACAGTGGTTGGACTCTTCTTTTTGCCCTTGCCTTGCTCTGTCCTGGCTCTGCCTTCCTCAAGTAGTAACAGCGCTGTGCCGCGTGTGTCATCGGCTCGCCGCTCCCATACAGGCTCTTCGGCCAGCTGCACTCGGATGTACATCGCTCGCTCAGCGCATTCATCTGAACACCACATCTCGAGTTTTTCTTTCGGCACAATGTTCATCTCGCGGCCGCGGCCCCCGGGACCACTGCCCTTGGCACCCCATGTAATTCTGAACTGGCCCTTTGCATCTTCTTTGCGGTGTTCACGGGGACACAACGCGTATCCACACAGACCCTCAATATTGCGCTCTAGAATCAGATTGTCGTAATCGGCTGGCTGGAATGGCACGAGCGCGGTTTTGAAAGCTCGGGCATCCTCGATGGACGGGGCCGCAGGATCTGCTGATGGCGAAGACGGCAGCGTGACAAGTTCCAGGATGCGGTCGAGAATCAAGGCTTCTGTGTCTTTCTGTGCTTGGATCTGGCGGGCATGGTGCATAGCTATCGCGAGATGGCGGGGATCCACGTCTGGCTTGTTTAAGGGTTGGCCCTTTTGCTGCTGGGACGTTTTCGAGCCGGGTGGCGCTCGACGGGCAGGGGCCGGACTCGATGACGTTGCGGCAGAGGCAGCATGCGCAAAAGGGAGAGAGGTCTTCAAGACTGATTTGTCTGAAGACATGATGAGCAGTAAGTAGGGTATTTCTGGTTTCAGTTGCTAGCTGTGGGAGTCTGTCAAGGGAAGAAAAATGCCCGATACTGGGAGTGGTGTTGGTCCACTCGGCACGAGGCAAACCCCAGATTCAACGAGAGCTTCAGTGAGCTTAGCAAGAGTACTGTTCTGCTGCCACAGAGAGTGGAGGTTGAGCGTGTCAAAGAGTTCGGATGGTATCTGTCAGTATGGATTTATGGCACCAGCCTGTCTGGCCAATTTGTCTCATAAAGTGGCTTTGTCTGAGTGAAAGAATCGATGCCAAAAGGTGAGGTTTGCAGAGTGGTAACATTATTATTAGCCGCTGATCACCCATGGTGGAGCAACTTGTCCCGCCCAACAGTGACGACCACCACTCCTCCCTCTCTCCCTCTCCATCTCCCTCTTCTCTTCCATCTCCGTGATTTCCCCTCGATCTCTCCTCCTCTTCTTCCCTGTAACTAAAATTATCTACTAGCTGTCCATTACTTTTTTTTTTCATCCTTGGCATCTCACATAGAGGCATTTTATCTCTTCTGAGGTCTGTGTCTTGGTCCTACAGTAAGTACTTGGCTTCCTGGCTGCCTCAGGGGACAAACACTCTGACGTACAGGGTGCATGCTTTGGATCGATCAGGCTGACATTTATTGTGTTGTCTTGCATCCAGCTCACACTCACTTTCTACAATCCGTCTTAATCCCCCTCCCACATGAACTACTGCATTGAAATTCTTCGAGCGGGTTCTTTCATTGCATTGTCCGCCTTGCTTCCTTGTTGATTGAGGTTGCTGTTGCTGCCTTAGCCCGCCATTTGTGTCAATTGAAACCAATTATCGCAACGCCCCACGATTCCCTTCAGGGTCTTGCCAGATGTCTAGCCCACCGTTTACGGTCAAAGCGGTCTTCGAGTATACTTCGGACCACGATGATGACCTTAATTTCTCCATCGGCCAAATAATAACTGTCACCGCTGAGGAAGATGCGGAGTGGTATTGTGGTGAATATGCCACCGAGTCAGGGGCTAAGATGGAGGGCATCTTTCCAAAGAACTTCGTGGAGAGATATGAGCCTCCAGCACCTCCTCGCCCGTCACGTCCGAGCAGACCTAAGAAGGAAGCCGAAGTTGCACCTCCACCCGAACCCGTCGCACCGGAACCTCAGGCGATCGAGCGTCTCCCTTCCCCGGAACCAGTTCTGCGAAGTCCCCCGCTTCCTGCGCAGGATTTCATCCCCCAGTCGCCCAAATCACCCCCAGCGGCCATCGAACCGCAGGTTGCTGAGCCTTTCTTCCCCCCTCCCAAACCTGCCGAAGCGCCTGCTCCCGTTCAGCCGCCTGTTTCAAATGAGCCAAAAGAGCCAGCTCCCAAGCCGGTGTCCAAATCGCCCCCTCCTCCCGTTGCAGACAAGCCATCCGGTTCATCATTTAGAGATCGTATCGCCGCATTTAACAAGCCCGCTGCACCACCAATTGCGCCATTCAAGCCAGGTGGCTTTGGCAGCCAGAGTGGCTCATTCATCAAGAAACAATTTGTGGCTCCACCTCCAAGCAAGAATGCTTATGTGCCTCCGCCTAGAGAACCACCCGCGAAGATCTACCGACGGGATGAGGATACAGAAGTTCAGGAGCATGCTACGCGTGAGCCTCCAGTTTCAGAAAGCCGGCCTGCACCGGTAGAGGCAGCAGATGAAGGGGCTGAAGACCAACCGAAGCCAACTAGCCTGAAGGAGCGCATTGCTCTGTTGCAAAAGCAGCAATTGGAGCAAGCTGCTCGTCACGCTGAGGCGGCCCAGAAGAAAGATAAGCCAAAGAGGCCTCCCAAGAAGCGCGTGGAATCTCACGAAGATGCCGACGTCGGAGAGGAGCAACAGCCTGAAAACCTGGACACAGCTCCTGCGCGGGACCACAGCGTTGAGACCGTAAAACCTGGAATTTTACCTGTGCCACCGCCGACATTACCGCCACCTGTGCAAGAGTCGGTCAGTGATGCCAATGATGCTGACTATTCCGCTGCTGCCGATACCGAGGATGCGGACGAGATGTCGACAAGCAAGGAAGATCTGGAAGACCGCTCTCGCACTGAAGCTCGGCCAGCCACAGAAATTGAGAAGAAGGCCGACGATGGCCACAAAGGCGAGCCAGATGAAGGTGAAGAACGTGACGAGGAAGAGGAAGAGGAAGAGGAAGAGGTAGACCCCGAAGTTAAGCGTAGGATGGAGCTACGCGAGAGAATGGCCAAGATGAGCGGTGGTATGGGCATGATGGGCTTCTTCGGACCTCCCGGGGGTATGCCCGTTCCTGGCGCAGCTCCTCGCAAGCCCAAAGCCGCTGTGGAAACCGACAGAAGGGAAGAAGATTCGGAGAAGGCTGCGCCAGCAGTTGCTCCCCCTGTTCCCGTCATGGCTCTACCAGGGATGAACACCGCTAGACCAGTGATACCCTCTGCAAGCGTAGAGAAGGAGGCAGAGGAGGAGTCTCAGACTACAACCATAACTGAGCAGCACCACCCACAAGAAGTGCCTGATGTTGAGGACGTCGTTAGCGAAGAATCTTCCCGGCGCGCTTCTATTGACAGACCAGCTGCACCCCAGGGTATGAAGCCTTGATCTCAATGCTAGCTTGAACCATAGTAAGCTTATTCTTTGCATTTTACAGAGCGTCCGGTACCTCCGCCTCCGCCGATGGAGCCACGACCCGTCCCACCTCCCATTGCTCACGACCGGCCTCTGTCTCCCCCGGCTGTTCCAGGAGGTAAGTCTTCGTCCCGCCTTCTTTTGCTAATATCAGGCAATTCTAATTCTCTTACGAAGCCCGACCTGTCCCCCCTCCCCCTATGACTCCCACATCCGCCGACCCGGGCGAGGAGTCTGATGACGAACTTTCCTTACACGCCAGAAATCTGTCTTTGAACGCCCCGGCAGCGGGTCAGGGCCAGCCTGCTACCGTTTCCTCGATCTCAGCCCCTCCTCTACCTGAGCATCTTGATTCACGGCGCTCTTCAACCTATAACCCTACATCTCCGAAGTCTCCTACGCTTACCTCGGAAAAGAGACTCAGTCGCCCACCTCCGCCAATTCCGACAAACCCTCCTTTGTCGCCCCAGGGCAGGGCTCCTCCTCCGCCACCTCCAACCAATATTCACCGCATGTCAACAACTGACAGTAGAATTAGCGCAGTCTCACAACCTCGCCAGGCTGGTGAAGATGTGGACGGAGAAATCACAGAGTACGACGGTGATTATGACACGGATATTGCATCTGGGGCCAAGTTCAAAGATGCTTTGAAAGCTCATGATGGTGACTCGAGTGTTGACGAAGGTGCCACGACTGATGACCATTCTCTTCAATCTCCACGAAGCCCTCATGAAGCTCGTCTTCCTCCTCCACCGCCTCCGTCCGCGCCCAGGGCAGTTCCCCCACCGCCCCCCCTTCAACCGCCAAAGAGCAGTGGGGGTGCTTCTCTCGAATCGCCCAGGGGCCCTCCTCCCCCACCTCCTCACAGAGAGCTGTCGTTCGATGATGGGGATGACGAATATGATCCGTTTCGATATACTGCCCCCCAGCATGGTCTACCGCCTCCAAGAGCGCCTCCTGTTCCTTTTGGCCGCTCAGAAGCACCTCCAGCTCCCCTGCCGCGGTCTATGGAAGAAGACGATGACTTGTATGATGCGTCACCCCTCCGAACCCCACAAGAATTCCCAGTCGCGCCTCCTTTGGAAAAGAGGACATCCTTTGCCCCCCCTCCCACTATGCCTCCAAGTGTACCCCCACCATCGGCGCCACGAAACACCCGTGCATCTCTAGATATCCCTAGAGGTCAGCATAATATCCGGAGGTCAATGGATGCCTCTCGTCCGTCTATCGATCAAGGTTTCATTGCCATGGATGTGGATTTAGCAGAAGGTTCTCTGTGGTGGACACAGCCCAACACTCTTCCGCCTGTTTTCCAGAACCGCAAAGATGTCCTGTTTGAAGTGGAGGAGTCGACTTCCAGCAAGCGCGGTGGACAAACCACAATCTCCAAAAATGTCTACATCCTGTTCGTCGACTATTCGCGAACTGTGATCACGGCAGTATACGATTCCCGCAATCCGGCAGATGTATCCCTGGAACAGCGGCACGATGCCCCACCCTTACATCCGCGCCAGGATCAACTCGAAAATGCACATGCACAATTTGGTGCTCGCATCTCCGATGCTGTGAATGCTATCCAAAACACAACCGTTGCAGATGGCACTCCGTTTGGCTTGGTTCAGCATCTGCTTAGTCCCCTAAAGGAGGCACTTCTCCCCGTCGGTACACGTGCGTATGGCGCTTTGGTATATGCAAACCTAGCAAATGCGTCGGTGCAACAGAATGACGAAATCCGGGCGGGAGATATCGTCACATTCCGGAACGCGCGATTCCAAGGTCATCGCGGTACAATGCATCAGAAGTACAATGCTGAAGTTGGTAAGCCCGATCATGTTGGCATCGTTGTTGATTGGGACGGCACCAAAAAGAAGATCCGTGCTTGGGAACAGGGCAGAGAAAGCAAGAAGGTCAAGGTCGAAAGCTTCAAGCTTAATGATTTACGAAGTGGAGAATGTAAGGTTTGGCGTGTTATGCCTAGAAGCTGGGTCGGCTGGGGGCAGTGAGAAGACCCCTGATGTGTGATGACTCGGGCCCTGCTCCCTCGAGCAAAATCCACGGTGATCCAATGACGAAGTCTATGTGTGTGTTATGTGTATGGGAGGGCATATGATCTACTTTTGTTCTTGCCTTGTCTTCTTCACCCTTCGGTGTCTTGCTGAGACTTCTACAAAGCGCGGACGGTGGGGGTCAAGGCTAAAATGTCATTTCGATTCAAGTACATCTATCGCATTCCGGGTACATGAATGATTCTCTTCATTCATATAGCTGCCTGCAAGTATCAAGTCTGCCCCTGCTATTTGTTTGGTCGGTCTTGAGCCATAATCGTCTTTTCATGTATCTACTACGTACTAATGTTGGCTTTGTTTGAATTACTGAAATGTACCTTTGGGGGTCACTTATCGCTCTCTTGCAATCAATCACCTGGCATTGCAAATAACACTACATAAAAAGGTCGTAACCTATTTTATTTTGTGGAGGTAACTCAATCTCACGGTCTGTTGAGGTGCGACTTCTCTGCATTGGAATTGTATTTGAACATGATGCCTGAGAACTCAGGCAACAACAGTAAGAGTGGCGACCTGATTTTGCTCCTTTCCCATTTGGGCATAACTCAGCCCAACCCCGATTTCCCTTATCTGCAACGACAAGAAACAGCTTCACCAAGCTTTCCCTCCCCCACAACACACCGCGGCCTTGTCTGCATCAACTACATTTCCATAATGGGTGGCGATCTGAATTTAAAGAAGTAAGCCCCTGGAAACCATGCGACATTGACTAATCCATCCGTGCTAACTAACAAAACCAAAACAGATCATGGCATCCATCGCTGCTCCGCAACCAGGAGCGCGTCTGGGCGGAAGAGAAGCGAGCCCTCGAGGAACGCAAGCGCATCGATCAACTCCGCCGTGAACGCGACGAAGAGCGCCAGATCCAGGAACTGCAGCGCCTGCAGGAGGCGTCGGGGGCGCCGCGACAGCAGAACCGCGTCGATTGGATGTACCAGGCACCGTCGAGCTCGACGGGCCACTATGCCGAGGAGATGGAGGGGTATCTACTGGGCAAGCGCCGCATCGACGGGATCCTTCTCAAGAACGACGAGAGCCAGAAGTTGGAGAAGGGGGCTGATGTTGTTGCGGCGCATGCGGCGCCGCCGCCTGTGGGCAATCCCCGCGATACCATGACGAAGGTTCTGGCGGATCCGCTGCTGGAGATCCGAAAGCGGGAGCAGGCGGCGTATGACAATATGGTTAAGGAGTCGGTGAGGCGGAGCCGGCATAGCGAGCATGGTCGGGAGAAGGAGAGGGATGGGGATCGTCGTCGTGACCGGAGCCGGGACCGGGACCGGGACAGGGACCGGGATCGTGGACATAAGCGCAGGAGACATAGCGATGAGGACGGTCACCGGTCACATCGGCATCGGTCACATCGGCAAAGGTCGCGATCGCCGGGGTCGCCTAAGCGATCTGAGAGGAGGCGAGAGGATGGTCGCAGAGACCGTGATCGTAGGGACGACCGCCGGAGCGAGAAAGGTCGGGAACGTCCATCGAGCAGATACAGGGACCGAGATGGCGCACGGCGCGGATCCTATCATGACCGTTCACCCTCTCCTCGTCCCGATAACCATGCGTCTGATAGACGTCGAGCCGAAGACAGAAGCAACCGTAATAACAGAGAACCTCGGGATCAGGATCGCAAGGAGTCAACCTACTGGGGCCCCGACAGACGAGACAACGGAGGTCCAAGAGACTCGTACGGTCGAGGTCCGGCCCCTAAACCCAATCCCGGCAATGCCGAAACCAAAGCGAAGGAACTGGAAGAAGATCGTAAGAGAAGACTCGCTGAAATGATGTCCAACGCAAATGAATTGGAGGAGACTCGCCACCAGCGTATCGTCGAGGTCACGGCCATGGAAGAGAAGCAGCGCCAGGCAGACGAGAAGCAGCGGTCGGATCGGGGTCGGTTTGTTGGTCAACTCCATAAGCAACTCCAGGAAGACAGTCTGGATGAGCGGATCAGGCGCAGCCGTGGTGGTTTGGCTAAGATGGAGGATTGATCTCTATCTTCTGGCGGTTTCTTTACTTTTGGTCATCTGAGTTAGGTTTATCTTACACATTCTGGCGTTCAGTCAATGCATGGTTTGGGGGAATGCTTTCACACGTGTCTCGTTAATGACTTGGAGGTTAATTATTTGGGCTCGTTTCTATGGACTATCTTCCTGTGTATTTCACAATGGCTTTCCAAATTTTAGATATCCTATCGCTATGACATTTTCAAGCCAGGTATAAGACTTATACCAGAAAGAAAAGAAAGAAAGAAAAAAAGATATGATGATGCAAATGTTTCGATTAAAAGGCATCACAAAAGTCTACGACAAACATCGCCGATGAAAAAGGAATACATCTCTCGTCGAAGACCCCATGAATAGATGCTACTCTACAGCAATAACAATTCGCCCGTCGCCGCTCCTCCAGCCATCTGTGATTGATACACGTGCTGCTGGTTCTGGTTGACTACGTACTGCATCTGAGGTGCTCCACCTCCGCCAGCACCGCCATCTTCACGGCCACCGAGATCAAGTGCCGCCATTTGCTGATTCCCAACACCGCTGAAGTACATGTCTGCTGCATTCACGGCTGCATTCATGCTACTGATTCCGGCAACGGGGCTGTTGGTCGCTGAAGGATCCGCGTCAGAGCCCGTGGGGGTTGGGAACTGCCATATACTATTGCCATTCTCATCACGCGGTTTCTGCAACGCAGGGCTGTACTGCAGACGTCGGGTGCGTGCGGAGCGGAAGACTTGCTGGACCGGTTTTAGGTAGACGGTTGCGAGCGTGCCGACGTTTAGACAAAGTTCTTCCAAGGTGCGAGAATCCAACTTCTCGCTTTCTGCGCTGATTGGGGGTTTCTGACCCATCACAACTTGCTTCGCGGTGGCTGGGTCCGTTGACAAAAGACGCCAGTACATGTAACCTCTATCCCTCAGGTCCGGGTCATCTGTTTCTTCTGTACACCATTTCAATACCTGTGGTACAAGTTGCTGGCCCTTGGTTGGACGCTGGATGAAAAGCTTCACCGTGGCGGTTAGTAGAGCAAGCTGCACCTCGATTGTCTCGTCGTGGAAAGTCGCTAGGTAATCCTGGAGCAAGCCGTCGGAATTCTCAATGCGGTCCGCGTATTGTCCGATAATCCAGATGATAGCCGCCTTTGCCTCTGGCTCATCCAGTTCGTCAATGTTTTGGATGACGTTGGTGATGATACTTTCGTACTGATTGGGGTACTTGCGGAAAATATTCCGAATGACAACCGTCGCCTCTTGCACGATATAGGGAATTTTGGCGTTGACCAGCTCAAGGAGAGTATCAATGCACTGCCGTGCTGCAGATTCAATCTTGATGGCCAGTTTACCAATAGCACGTACGGCTTTTCGTACGAAATGAACATCGATCTCGGTTGCATACCTGGATTGCGAATTAGTCGAATGGCCTTTAGTTTCAAGTGAAGTTCAGACTCACTCTCGCAGCTCCGCCAGGACAATGGAAATATTGTCCTTCGTCGTCAGCATGAATATCAGCTCGAGTTTGGTAACTTTGACATAAATAGGGTCATTGTAATTGCAGAAAAAGACTCGGATGTCGTTTCGTAGAACCTCAGGTCTCTTTTGTAGGATGAGGATGGCATTTCGAAGCGCAAGGTATTGTACCTCTGGAGGTTTGGAGAGAAGAGTGACGAGGGGTGGAGACAATTTCTTCGATAGGGAGGTGATGTGCCTTTCGTCGGATATATAATTCATTAAGTAGAGGATGACACGGATTGACGTAAGGACAACAGAAGAGTTGGAGTGGGAAAGACGAGGAGCTACTCGTTCAGCGAGTAGAAGTGCTTCTGCTGTATCCTGAGGCACATAGGACATGAGGGCGTCGAGGATGTAGGTTTGACCCCATCTGCGCAATGGTTAGAACAATGCACCATACAAAAGGAATAGATAGAGACGGAAAACCGTACTCAGAGCAATCTGGCAGAATAGAGACCAGCTTTGATGCGCTCGCGTAGTCAATAGCTAAAGATATTGATTCGCTTCGTCCCCAGATATCTGTTAAAGCAGCGAGAACACTGGATACGACAGTTGGATTCTCGTCTTTGAGCATACTATTGAGCCGGTCAATGAGATCAGAGCTCTCCACCATCTTCTTATCGTGCTCGTAGAGCTTCGAGACGCAGAAGGCGGCGGTCTTGCGAACATAAGGATCCATGTCCCCCATTAACCTTTTCACCGGCTGAACAGTTGCTTCGACGAACTCGCGAACATGTATATAGGAGATAGTACGCAATGCCAAGGCGCGCACGAGCGGATTCGTATCGTCCATGTCCTGCATTATAAATGTTAGATTTCTCAACATAGGACGATTATCAGGTTCCGAGTCTCTCATACATCGACAAGAATCGGCAACGCTTTCAGCGCAACATCTGGCTTCATCCTCGAATAGTTGACCAGGAACAGGAAGCACCTATTGTATCATGGTCAGCTATCCGGTTCCGCCCACAACGTACTCTTCCCATTCTTCCTCGCAACATACATCTTCTTTATCTCCAGACTCGGAAGGTTCATGCAACCAATGACATCGGGGAACAAGGCGACCATGTCGTTGTTGCTCATGGTCATATTGGCGACGATCTTCTTCAGAGCAATCTTCTTGGCCGAGAAGTTCTTATCCTTCTTGCCGCCGCTGTTAAGCTCCTGTCGCAACTCGGCGACTTTGCCCTGTAAAGAACGAGAGAATGGTAAGCCATAGTTCGTCGCATAAGGAAGCACGGCGATCAACATAGAGCAGGTATGAGATGAAGTCAAATCGGAAAGTAGATGAGTAATGTGAGGAAAGGCAGAGTATACAATAAGCTCAACAGTGCTACGGAGCGGCCCAAGGGGTAAGAATGCCAGCCAGTCCGTCGGTTTAGACGAGCCTCCAAGAAGCCCTGGACCTGAGGGGGCCAGAGAGGGGCAGATAAGGAGTGAACAATGGCAAAGCTTTGATCGCCATCCAACGTCGAGGTCCGATGGCCACTTTTCTTAGCATTTGAACGTACCCTAGCGAACAGTTTCGCATCTCCCCCGCTGGAACTCATGGTGGCTTTGCGGACGAGCAAATGAACGAGTCTCCTTTACTGCTCTAGCCCCTGCAAATACTCCGTAGGTTGTTCGAACTCGGCTTCGGTCGCAACTTCATATGAATCTTATCGCCGGCGATAAAACAAGTGTAGGGTAATCGATCTAAATAGCTGCGCAATGCTTATTTAGCTGCTCTGCTGCTTCGAGGGCTCCATGCCTCCGGGATCGTGTGGTGTCTGGGAGTGTTCAGGGAGGGACCGTTAAGGAGAGGGAAGGTCAAGGGCGAGGCAATCGGTCATAAATCGACGATGGTAGATTGTAATTTTCCGCTGATGAAGATAGACGCACGATAGGAAACACGGGGGGGGGGAAAGAAATAAAGAAAAAGAAAATCCGAATGATAGAACAATGAGACAACCGTGTCGAATCTCCCAGATGGGCTGGAATCGTCCGAATGGTTCAAGAATCAGGAGTGGATCGGCCGCCGCCAGCTCCGCGTGCTTGTGGGGAGTTTCGACCAACTGGCGGCTGCTTACAGTGGCTTGGACGAACTCCCCATCTCCGTCCATCCACCAGCAATCCAGCATCACATCTAATCTTCCTTGAGCTCGCCAAGTCGCCGGATCACCAACCCATTCGTGGGCTCTCTGATACTATCATGGCATCTCAACCCTTTCAACCCCCTCCGCCACCGGATTGGGTCGTTCGTTATAACACCCCTATGCCACGTCCGACTAAGGCGGCGGCCAGTATTCCCGATCCTCCAGGATACTCTAAGGAGAAAGTCCTAGGCAAGGGCGTGAGTTACTCCAATGGATTCAATTTACCTACTGCAGTACTCGCAGTCATGAGTTTACCCGATTTAACCATATTGGTATTCAGCGCGCCCAACAACAAGCGGCCGCCGCCGCCGCGAAGCCTGCCGAAACCGATGTTCTGAAGCTAAAGAAAGCCTGGGAGATTGCCCTTGCTCCCTCGAAGCAGATCCCCATGAACGCGATCATGATGTACATGTCCGGAAACAGTCTCCAGATCTTCAGCATCATGATGGTGTTCATGCTCTTCAAGGGTCCCATTCAGGGTCTGATAAGCACCAATACAGTTTTCGCCAAGTTTGAATCGGAGGGAATCCGCGGGAAGTTGCTCGGAGTGAAGGCTGTCTATGTCCTGATGCAATTTGGGCTGCTGGGACTGGGAATATGGAAGGTTAACGCAATGGGACTCTTGCCGTATGACCTTTGGTCCTTCTTTTGTTGGTTTTTGGCGACTTGGCTAATGTGGATATTCGAACAGGACGACGAGATCGGATTGGCTTGCTTGGGAGTCGGAACGACAACCGCTGGAGCGGGCTTATTTTGCATTTGGTTAGACATGTGCTGCACAAGGAGACTATGGATGACGAGAATAGAGAATCAGAATCTACGCGTCGATTTTCTTCGTTCATTTGTGAAGTAACTCATATAATGCTCATAATAATCCGTACCGATTGTAATGACCAAGGTATGTAAGCTCTTACCAACGGCTTCAACGCATTGCAAGTATCTTTTTACCCGCGCGCCTTGAGCGCCTTTTGACAAGCCTCGTGGAAAATTCGGCAGAATTCCCAGACGTCCGTATACGTGTTGTAAAGAGGTGCTGGTGCAACGCGAATGACGTCAGGCTTCCTCTCGTCTATGACTACTGCATTATCCTCCAACGTTTCCAGAACGTGGTCGAGGAGGCCAGGTTGGAGACGAACACTAAGCTGGGCACCGCGCTCGGCTGGATTGGAAGGAGTGATGATTGTGAAGGGCTTCTTTTCGGAGGGTGTGTCCAGCGGATAGTTGAGAAGGAGGTGTTCTAGGTAGCCTGTGATGTGCAGTGACTTTTTCCGAATCTCAGCCATCGAAGCCTGTTTGAACAGCTCTAAGGATGCCACTACTGCATTCATGTCCAGCACCGATGGATTTGATAGCTGAAATCCCGCGGCACCCGGCTGGGGTATGAAATCTGGACGCAGCTGGTGAGAAGGTCGAACCAATACAACAAAGGGAAAGGAGGAAGATCATACTGTTGTCCATGAGGAAACGAGTCTTCTTATCTCCTCCCCACCAACCTGACAAGCGTGGACGGAAAGGCTCTGATTCGGAATTAACCTGTTCCAAATTCACCCGGCCATGTCTTTCATGCACAAAGAGAGCGGCCGTGCCTCCTGGTCCGCTATTGAGATACTTGTAAGTGCACCACGCGGCGAAGTCGACGTTCCAGTCATGTAGCTGCAAATCGACATTGCCTGCAGCGTGGGCACAGTCCCAGCCAACCAGGATACCCTTGGACTGAGCGTGAGCAGTTATCCTCTTAATGTCAAAGTATTGTCCGGTATAGTACTGTATCGCAGATAACAGTATAACCGCCGTACTCGATGCATGTTCATCAATGGTTCGGATTATATGTTCGGTATCCAGGACGGGGCGGGTATGATCTTCTGGCTCTATGAGGACCATGCCATCCTTTGGGTCGAAGTTGTGATGCTTGATTTGGGATTCAACCGCATACTATTCGACTCGTTGTTAGCTCTACCCCCGGTAGCCTTTGGACAGCTTAACCGCAAGACATACATGGTCGCTGGGGAAGGCTTTGCCCTCGATGATAATCTTGTACCTTTCCTGGGTGGGCTGATAGAAGCTGGCCATGAGGATATGGAGGTTGGTCGTCAATGTGCCCATGACTGCGACTTCGCTTTCCATTGCTCCCACAATCGGCGCCATGAGCCTGGCTCCAGCAGCATCGACGTCGACAAATGGGGGAAGCAATTGGTCGTCATGTTGGACAAAATGGCCCGTTACACCTTTGGTTGCCCAGGCCCGGAGGTAATATTCAATGTACTTTCGGGTACTTTGAGGTTGAAGTCCGAGTGAGTTTCCACAGAGATATAAGCTTGGAGTGGGAGAATGTTCGGGTTCTAAGGTTCAACGCAGCTTGTTAGGACCAGGCGGAGAAAGATGCGGATGTCAACACAGAGCCTACATACATACCCTGATTCGGATCCAATGTCGTCCTCTTTAGATCTTCCTTGGAGGGAATGACGAACTCGTTGCGGAACCGGTGCAAAGGGTCTTGAGCATCGAGTGACTCTGCGTACTCCTTGCTAAACGCCCTAATATCATCGTTGTATGGAAGCGGGGGTCCGTTCTGGATCTCTCGAGTATGTAGACGAGAGCCCATCCTGTGCGAATTTCGGAGAATGACCAGCTGGGCGTGGTTAGCTTCCGCAGATATCTCTGAATCTCCGCAAAGTGATCTTCGCCTGAAAAGGAGAACTCACCGCAGTATTAATATTATGACAAGCAATTTCTCCTCGCCGCGAACCCCTCCATGACGATGATCGCCGGCGGTTGCCATTCTGCCGCTTCTCGCCGATTACTTAGACCAATGGTATTGTGCAAGTCTACTGACTAATGGGAAACTCGCCGTAGGTAGCCTCGGAGTACAGAGTACTCCAGCATATATAATCAAATCGTCCGATGATAAACCAACAGACCCAATACGTGAGATCACCTTGAAAGACCGTTCAGCAGCCTGCACATTACACTGCACCATGTCTCAATCAGCGCTCTCCACAGCTACGCGCCGGATGTTGCGTTTTCAAAACATCTCCGGAGTGGCGAGCATCCATTCCACTTCCATCAGAACATTGAACTGGTCCTGCCACTATTCCCCGTCACTCTGTGAATCTACGCCTCGTCGATCAGTCTCATATTTGTGCCTTTCGAGAGGCAACAGTGCCGCGTTGCGCACGATTCCCACAAGAAGTACGGCGTACTCGGTCATCCCCACGCAACGCTCAGCCTTCTCTTCATCGGTTATCCGGCCGGCTTCGAAAGTTGTACAAAATCCGAGGGTGGATGAAGATGGAAAAACATTAATGATCGACATTTCACCTCGAGCTGCCGAGGTACGTTGAATATTTTTCTTTCCACAAATACGCTGGGACGCCGGTCATGGAGTGCACTTTGTACTGTGGCAGAGTTGGGAGCTCATGTGCTTGGATCTTAGCTTCGCTGGGAGGAAATTGGTTCTATGGCCAGAATCTAATCCTTTTCAGCGGAAGAACAAGCACATACGACCACAGGGTGTGGAGAACAGGGCTTCCCGTCCGCTCAGCCGTACTTAAGCCACACGCCGGCCGGTTAGTAGTTGGGTGGGTGACCACCAGCGAATCCCGGCTGTTGTATGTTTTTTTTTTTTTTCTCCCCCTTTATTCTTTTTTTCTTGTTCCTTTGGGACATGCTCCTCGATCTCTCCATAGCTGTTGTGTATCTATCTATGGTTGTTTCGGCCATACTGACTTCTCCATCAGCGTCTTCGAGAAATCACCGATCCATCATCTTCTCCGTCTATCACCAAGGAAGAAAACCCATACCATCATCTCCGAATTACCGTCACCAGCGGAGGATGCCACGGCTTCCAGTATCTCATGTCTCTTGAGGCTGCATCAAAGATCGACCCCGAGGAGGATACGATCTTTGAGTCAGAGCCGGTGGATGGCCCAACCTCAGGTTCCGGCGAGGCAAAGGTGGTCATGGATGAACCCTCTCTGGAGCTATTATCAGGCAGCACGGTCGATTACACCATGGAGTTAATTGGCAGCCAGTTCAAGATTGTAGACAACCCACGTGCCACGAGTAACTGCGGCTGTGGGACGAGTTTTGATGTCAAGGATTAATAAACGGCTTCTGAGTTAAGCCGTTGAATGCTGGGAGCTTTAGATCGAAGACATTTAATTGATCCTTTTCTGCATTGTAGATTACAGCACTCCGTCGATAGAATAAATTATACTATACCCTTTCCTCTCTTTCAAGAATGGGCCAACTTAGCAAGTGATAACTATCTATCTGCTAGCATGGATTATGAGCCGGCCTTTACTCAGTGTGTTAAGCCCTCAATCAGCTACTTCATCCCCATTCATGAGAATTTCTCATTACGAACATGATGCATGGGCATAGAACATGGGATTTAAATAAAAAAACATGAACATAACATTTACGCCCCCCTGGATCCATTCTCTAGACTCATTTTGAATGCCACCCGAACCGTGTCTTGAGCAGGTCAAGGCTGTAACCCCGAGATACAGCCCGTGAATTCTAACCAGAAATGAAAATGAACATGAAAAAAAAAGAAGTGTGGACATGGAACGAAAAATCTCATAAGGTTCAAGGTGGGTGGCCATAACCCTTGCCCTGCTGCTTTCTTTTCTTACCCCCATTTGTCTCAGCTCCAGAGTCCTGAACATCGGGTTCAAACTCATGGGTAAGGATGTACCCCATCCACTCGACAACTCCATAACTGCACCTCTAGCCTCCGGGTATCCTCTCGTAATTTCTGGGAGTGATCTAGAGCATACCTGCCGGGAATGAATTCTCGGTGTCCGCTCTAAAACTCCACATGTCCCTTTGCACAGACATAACACATACCTCGTATCATACCCCAGAGGGTTTCGAAGAAGAGGCGGCCTTTTAGTAAACTCTGGCCAGGTTTCTCAGATACCAGTCAACCAGACGACGTCCGGCCTTGGTCTCGCTGACGTGGATCAGATCGTTCTCCAACGCGTAGTCAAGATCGTTGGCATTGACGGGCTCGCCCTCCAGCAAGCCACCCTCGACCCAGCGAACCTGGCGGCTGCGCTGCTTGTTCACGAGCAGCCAAGATCGGAGCTTCTCGGGCTCGACCTCGAGGAAACCGGCCAGCTTCTTCAGGTCCATGGTCGTGTAGAGCTTCAAGTACGACCGAATGGTGGGGTTGTACAGAGTGTTCTTGACCTCATCCATGAAGATCGCGGTGTGGTGATCGACAGGGTCGACGTTGACGGCCGGGTTGTCGAAATCAGGAGGGGTGGGGCTGATGAACTTGGGGCAGGCGGAGCGGAAGAGCTCCTCAAACAGAGGAAGAGCCTCAGGGCCACCGTGCTGAAGGCGAATGAGCTGCTCACCGTACTTCTCACGGAGAGCGGAGTGGATGGTGTCGTCCAGACGAGTAGGGTGGAGAGCCACGCAGATAGCGATAAGAGCATACATCTGGTCGTTCTTCTTGGCGATGGCATCGTAGCTGTTGCCGCCCTTCTGGAAATTCTTGGTCCGAGACACGTAGACCAAGATATGGCTGAACATGCGGATAGCATCGCCATAGCGACGCATCATCATGTAGGAGAAACCCACATAGTAGTAGGTGGTGAAGTGGGCCGCCATGACACGAGCGAACATGGCCTTCTTGTTCATCTCGATGTCATCGAGAGTCTTCAGAGCAAGGCTGAAGTCTCCGAGCAAGCAGTGGACGCGCAGCAGACCAATGATGGAGAAGTAACCCAGCATCTTGTACAGCGGGCGGGATCCGTATTCGCCAGCGACGGTCAGCGGGTCCTCTCCACGCTTGATAGCAGCCAGTTGTTCGTTGATCTGCGATCTCTGGATCAGAGAGTACAGCACGTTGAGCACGGAGTAGCATCCCCATGTGTTGGGGTTCTCGCGCAGAAGCTGTGCTTCTTCCTCATTGGAGCCGCTGCGGGCGACACGGTTACGGTAGCGGCAGAACGATTCGAATTGGTAGATGAACTCATCGATCACATCCCAAGCCCAGTAGTACTGTTCGATAGAAACGAGAACGTGCGGTCAGCATATCATGCACATAACTATTGCAGTACGCGTTGAAAGAACAGTGGGAGAAGCCAGCACCCGGTTTTGGGCAGAAACTAGTACTCCACGGCGGAAGCCGGGATCTAGAGGAACAACATACAGAGGGAACCTCCAGCTCAACAGGACCTTCGGAGTTGAGAATGTAGTGGAACAGGCTGCAGTAGTTGTCATAGCTTGCGAACTTGGTCTCGAGAGTGGCCTGGTATTCGAGAGGGGTTGCAGCAGCAGCCAGCTGTGCCTGGAGATCTTGCGTTTGGGAAGCAGCGCCGAGCGATGTGGTCCTCTCCAGCTCACTCATGCCATCGTCAAAGTTCACCTGTTCGCGGTAGTCGTTGACAAGAGCCTCCTCCTCGACATCAGACTCGTCGCCCAGGTTGGGGTGCGCATTGACGCGCTCTTCGTACGACATTTTGGCTCAGATGTTTGTTCCGAGGATGGAAAGAAATCTGTTGTGGACGTGAATCGGAACCGGTCGGCAAGCAAAAGTTGCGGAGGTAGGTACGTCGTTCGGCGTTGCTGATTAACGTCGGCGTGTGGAATTTCGATTGTTTCGGCGGCGTTGAATTTTGAGGGTTTTCGCTTGGAGAGGTTTGTGCTTATCTTATCTCCGCATAAAGGGAGGCTGAGTCATCTATGCAACATGTGCTGAGGTCCATGTTCAAATAACAGTCCCGTGACCTTCCTTCATCGCCCATGTATACAGGCAACCAGTATCTTTGGTATCATATCCATCAACCACGTTGACAGCTAATCCTGGATAAGTCATGACTGTGCTGTTAGATATGGTGTTTGTTCCATGAGCCAGAGTAGGTTTTTGGCCAGTTCTGTATAGCGTCTGGTGCAGATCAAAATTGCATATGAAATTCCCATACGCAACTATTATTTTGTTAATGAGCAGAATCTACATGAACACGAACACAAACAACATTGAACAAAGTATGGTACTGGTTAGTGCCGATACTATATTCTGACGTCCAAACTACAAGGCGGCATCCAGAGAGCGTGGCTACCAACTCATATGAAGTATCTGCTTCTACGCGTATTAAAAACATTGGGCCTCTTGCCTCCCCTTGTAACCATGGAATTGGCCTGAACTTTGGCTTGCTCAGCCCTGAGGTACCCTAGAACCATTGAAATCGAGTACATCATACAGAGCAGGGTCATACAGCGCAATATAGTAGAGTACATCCCTTTGTAGTACTTGGGATTAAACTCTAGGTATCTACCTAGCGTCAAGTACTGGACGTGTTTGAGCCTGTGAGGGATAAGGTGGATGCCGATTTTGGGGACGAGCCGGAAAACTTCTCCAGCCGAAGGTCATTTGTAGATATGGGAGCCCTCCCAAGACCTCACCGTGAAAATATCACCCATCCGCTTTCATCTCTGCAACTTCTCTTATCTGGTCACGGATGTCGAACATAACGAACTTTGTTCAGTGTTCGATGAGAGAAACTCGTTCTCATGCATCGCAGATTCAACAAACCATTTAGTGAGTGGATGGTTTCCAGTTATCCCAGATGGGTCGCCAGTCCATGCAGCTCACGCTTGAACTCACGCTTGAATGATGCCAGCAAAATGACCAAGGCACCAGTCATCGTGTTTCAGATTCGCCATATCGGTTGCTCCTCAGCATACGGAGTACATTGATCTCGAATTCAAAGCTAACCGCACTATGATGCTCATTACTGACCACCGCCCTGCTTCTCGGCTGGCAGAGTGGTCTTGCCTTCTTTAGGACGATTTCCCCTGCCCGTGAATATCATTTGCAGACCTCAGACCTAAATCCATACCTCTGCTTCATCAGTCTTTCCACTCTTTATACTTTTGCTCAAATCGAAGTGACATCAACCAGGGGAAGAGGGTTCACATACATCCAATTGCGTGAGACCGACAGCTATTGAGAATGTACCAACTCCGACGAGGCACTCGATTTTCTCGATCATCTCCTTGACACTTGACAATCTTCGTTTCATCGCGACCAGATATAGACATGTCTCCCTGAAATAACCTTGTGATTCTTCATTAGAAAGATCTGTGATCAGGACGAGACAGCTATTATTGACGGCTTCGAGCAGATACCGTGGGATCTGCACGAGACCGTATACTTCACGATGATGACGGAGGCAACCGCCGATTGCTCTAGCGGCTTGAAGCCGAATAGAACTCGCTTGTTCGACCTGAGGCGAACCCTGCCGTTGTTTGCGCGTTCCATATTCCACGAAATAGTCAAACATCGACATGATCATGGAGTGACATTTAATCCTGCAACTGTGGGTCAGAATGGGCATTTATCGCCTAACTGGTACAGTGTCACCCCTTACTGCAGAAACAATATGTGTGGCATAAGCTGACCATCGTCTTCACATTCGCCCATTAGAACAACGAGCCATTTCTCTAGATGCGAAAGACGTCGATTCGCCGCTGCCCACAATTCATCCACGGTCATTTCGAACGCTTTGTCAAACAGAATTTCTTGAATCTCAACGCCCATGACCGTCAGGTCCGCTAGCTTCATCATAGCATATTGAAGAAGAGCTGGTCTCCTGTTGCAGTCGAGCCTGTTTGTGAGAGGATACGGACTCCACATGATATTACCAGTGGAATCCTCCTTGATGTGTAGCTCGGCGATGGGAAGCTTCAGATCGGCGACTCTATGCAAATCCATGGACACCAGCCTGTACGAGACAATCAACAGCCGAATACTAATATGACGCTCACCATCTTACGAATTCATGATAAACAATCCCCAGGCGGTGATTGCAGCGACATGCTGCTGATCGGTAGTCACCCCATGCTCAAGTAATGCTCTTGATCTATGAAAAAGCCCAAAATCTTGTGCAAGCTGCACGGCCTGCCTTAGCATGAGCCAGCCCGATTGGCCTTTTCCCTGGCTTCTCAATCTAATCAGGATTTAGCGTCTGAAATCATGGGGGGGTTGCTATGATTAGCCCCCCGGCCCAGAGAGTGTTTCAAGAGTTACATACACATAGCTCATCAGGGCTACTGCCTGGATATTTGCCAACGAAGCTCGGCCTTCTTCAGCCCTCCAGAGCCTATCCGCCTCGCGATAGAAATGCTGACCACGTGAAGCAATTTCTCTAGGGACTGCGAACACGTCCGGGAAATCAGAGTACGCCTGTGAATGTCAGGGATTCTATGTTTCACTTTTACATAGGTGGCACTGGCGACATACACTTGCCATTGCCAACATACTGTTTGCAAGCAATGGTGTGCAAAATTCCGAGTCTGCTACTCCTGCTTTCATATGCTGCAGGAACAGCTTCTGATCCACGATTTGAAGCAGCGGATGGTCCCATGTAAAGTATAAGGAGACCAAGTGCGACACAAGTTGATTGGCGTCTGTAACCGTGGTCCAAGGCTTAGCTGGTACTTGGACCAGAGGAATGTCACAAAGCTTCTCCAACGTTATTCGGGAGTGAAAGTCCAAGTGTATAGATTCCTCTGTGCCAGCCAGCGAGCTAAGTTCTTCCACACTGCCTTTGGTATCTTCGGGAGCGGCATCACTTGTGTCTATGGTTGGCCCCCCGACGGCGGCAGCAATATTATTCAGAGACGGGCAGCCGCGTATCACTTTCAAGACGTTGCTGACCTCAGTTTCTTCTGGAGAGCGAAGCGAGTCGAGCAGTGCGTAAAGCAAACTTCGATAATAGGCTAATTCTTCGATGTTTCGTTTAGCGGCAACCTTGCGCCTCAAGTCCAAGGTCTCATCGAAAACGCATTCGGCATTTGTGTTTCTGCACGATGTACAAGGGGCTGGTCGGCCGCTGCACTGCAAACTCCGCGAAAGGGAATGTCGATTGTGGTTAGCCATGGTCTGTTGGGCTTGATTCAATTTCAAAGGGAGACTCGGGTAATGCAGACTGAGGTTTGTCCATTGAGGCCTTGGAGGAGGTTACCCCAGGGTTGGATAAGCAGAAGTCAAACTGAAGATACACTACCTTTCTCTTCGCCTGTTTGCACGGCAGACATGCCGTGGAATTTTTTTTTGGCCTTGATACAGTTGTGGAGTTGACTGTGATGGGGCCTCGTGGTCCCGGCGCAAGAGTCGGAAGATGCTTGTCCTGGTCTTCGGAAGCCATACCCAACCAGACCCTCACGCTCGGCATGAGGAGAGTATAACACCACGGAGACAGAAAACCTTGCCGCCCAACATTACTTTTCTTGCAAATCAGTCTGAGAGAACCCAGAATCGCATGATGACAGGCTCAGAAAAATTAGGAGAAAGAGATTGTTGAATATGACAAACAAGAAAACCTTGGCGTCAAATTGACGCGTTACGAGCTCTCGCCCTTGAATCCTTGCAGCCTCTACACTGCACGGATGGCAAGCGACGAATGACGTTGAAACATTCACAGTTGGCTCGAGGTCTCGACAGTATCCATGAGTTGCGTTTCCAACCGAATTTTCTCGAATGACACGATTCGGTAAGCTTGGGATGGGTGCTTGGTGCTATGAATGTTGGAATAACGGCGGGGGCGTTCCGTCAGCGGTGGTAAGATGCTTTCCAATGTAGGCAAAAACTGAACATCCATCTGTATTCAATGGGGGCATCTGCGGCAATATATCGCCGAGTCAAGGAACTGGAAAAGAGAAACTTTGGTACTGGCACCGACGTTCGTCCATCTCATTGATGCTATGCCTGGATTGGTCGGAAGAACAGTTGGACGCAGAACGCAGACGGGGGCATCGAATCTGGTTGCTGTGTGGATTGAGCTCACTACCACTTCGATAGGTGGAGCCCAGGAGTGCTGACAATGATTGAGCCTCTTTACATGTCGATGTAAGAAACGGTTCTGGATCGAAAACCACAAGACTGCTATTTACTATTATAACATCTACTCAGGAGCATTGGTTGGGTGTTCCAACATACAGAGAACCTCAATGAACGGATCTTCCAAGACCGTACTTATGCGGTTCCTGCACCCGGAGACCTTACAACTAACTATTGTATCAGAGACGACTATGAGAAACAGGCGACTACTTTTTAACAACTCATTTTTCTTCCTTCCGCCCCCCTCTCTTCTTTCTCTTGAGCTTCCCTCCTAATAGTTTTTATTCATTCCAATTTCTAATTTTGTCTGCGCCTTTTGCCCTTGCCTTTGTCAGGTAAACACCAAATTCCTGCCTGGCTACGGGCTGTCATCTCGTGATCCATATGACCGCAACCTTCCATATATGGATGGTGTGTCCAAATCTCCGACGGGTCGCTCGATACAGGCTCTCCCAGAGGGAGGAATGGATGGCGTGCCACGAAGACAAGAGTTCTTGAGAGGTTTTGAGTTTTCCGACTAATGAGATGTCTTACTTGTTTCTGGCTAGGCCGATCACGGTCTGGATTGGAGACCAGGTTTGAGAGCGACTGAGCGAGAGCATCAAGTCTTTGTGTGGATCTGCAGATGGTAGCAAACCGGGCTTCCAGATAGGCAAGGACATCAAACATCGACAGTCGTCTGACTGCAGAAATAGAGGAAGTAAAGGACTATCATAGGGTGGAATCGTGAAGGGATAGCTTACCCTGGGACGCTGAGGAACGGTCATAAGGCGGAGGGGATCACCGGATCCAAATTGCCATGGATATTCATATAGGGGTAAGGTGACTAGGATCCTAATAAACCGCCATAGTTGTTTAGGGTCTCACTACTTATATCACATCAGCCTAGGCTGCTTCGACGGCAAATCTCTGCATACTCCTAGTACTTCTAGATATATGCCTCTTTTGACCTACACGCCACGCCACGCTAGAAGGCGACATACCACAATTTATTTCAGGATGACATCCAATCTGCTACCTCTTCCATGCTGTGATCGTCCATCTCCATCCGTATTCGATGTGGAAACGGAACTGTGGATCGTGGAACGAAGATCGGATGATACAACCGACTGGTCTCCAACACTGACTTGGTCACGACATTGGATGAACCAAGTTCCGGCCTCACGGGCTTATTTGGAGTTACCTCGACCGCTAGTGTCCCCCAACACCGAAGCAGTAGTTCTATCAGGAAGTTTGTCCACCCCATATCTAAATGATGAAAAAGTGAAGTAAACCTTCCTTCCACCAGATCCCGAAGCTCGTGTATAGGCAGCTTTTGAAGGTATTTGCTGGCCGCTGCGCAAATACGTCATAGACAGTGGGCGGCGACACGTCATTTGCCTGGGAGTTCATCAGATCTTTTGTTGGGCCTTGATATCAGATACAAGTCACTATTCTGAATGCTTCTCCTCAAGATAACTGTTCCTTTCTTTATGTTGACCTTCCATCATAAACCGAGCAGACACCAGAACTAATGACGAAAACACTCAAATCAAGGAATAAGATCACAGATCACATTCCTTCCGGTGGTTGCGCTGCAGTCATCTGATGAGACTGGAGAGAGAGATATTGTTGTTTGCATATTTCTCTGTAATCCTCTAGATAGATAGTATATTTTGCGAGTCACTCCAGTTGGTCACCTAGGCATATGGTAAAACTCCATGGTATCTATCACAGGAAATTGGATAGCCAGCTGCGTTGGCACCCAATAGTATTTAGAGTGCTGACAGCAGCAACCAGATGTGGAATGAGAAAATCTTTTTTATTTGCTGTATTATTGGCAATAAGTCATGAATCCAGTGTGCATATCTGCGTGGCTTGTTGCAGTGCACGAGGGAAATATATCTTTCTTGTACCGACTCAGTGGCTGAACTCTGCCTTCAGATTTCCAAGATCCAGGTGTCATGCCGATGAGGATGTATCCATGGCCTTGGGTAGACTATTACTCCGACACTTCTCACGAGGGAATTGCCTAATTGTGTCAAGGTCAAGTTCAAGTTGCCCCCGACCTGAAAGACGAGGCATCAAGGCATCAAGGCACGACAGCCTTGACAACCAAATCAAGTAATTCACCGCCCGCGGCTAGAATCGGTATCCCAAGAGAGATAACAAGTAAAAGCAGAAGGCGGTGGACCGCTGACGGCAGCTTCCTGTTGCAGAGAAAGCGACCGTGGTCCCCCCCCCCCTACTACTTTTGGTTTAGTGCGGCATAAGCCCACGGGGACTGCGCTATTGCAGTTTCCGCCTGCCAATTCAATTCTTGTTCCCTGTCAGTAGTTGTATTGATAAAGATGCGGCTAGACGAGGATGTGCTTCTATATAGAGAAAGAGAGTATATATGTTCGCCTACGGGATTCGGTAAATCCACAAAGGATCTAGATAGCCAGTATCAGCTATGAAGGCTCCAGACAGTCCCAAACCGGGCAACAGAGCACAACTACTCTGTACTACCACTAGATAATCTCAATCGATACGTCTCCACGCATCGGATATCGATGGCGAAAGTCCCAGACCATGGACTCCGCTCGGCGAGAAAACTTTTCCTTTCGCCCCTCCCGTCGCTTTTCATATGGGGAAATCACGGCAAAGCAATTGTATAATATAAAAGCATGCGGATGGATTCTGGTTTAGGCTGTTCTCCTTTGTAAACATTCCATCCATTGCTTCCCTCCCGTCTTGCTGGTCGCAAGCGGTTTCTCTTGGTCTCTCCGCCGTTGTTATAGTTCGACAGTCGCCGATCAGATAGTGACTCACAAAAGTCACAACTTCTATAAAGTCAATTGAGCATTGTATCTCTCCCCTTCCACCTGGGGTCTTTCAGTGCTTAATCTCCGGAACGTACACCCAAAAAAAGAAAACCCACCACCAAATACACCATGGGTTCCGTCGCTCCTATACCACGAGAGCTTGATGCCTCGAACGTCAAGGTCACCCGCTCCACTAACCTCCGTGTGGTTCCCCAGCCGGGTTCGCCAGAGGAACAGAGCCATTCGCACTGCACAGATCACATGGCCACCGTCAGATGGACTGTGGACAATGGATGGGACACACCCGAGATCAGACCCTATGAGAACCTCAGCATCCCGCCCACCGCCAGCTGCTTGCACTATGCTACCGAGTGTTTCGAGGGCATGAAGGTGTACAGAGGATACGATGGCAAGCTGCGATTGTTTCGGCCGGATTGCAATGGCGAGAGACTCGTCATGAGCTCCCAGAGAGCCTCCCTGCCTGGGTTCCGGTTCGAGGAGATCAAGGTTCTCATCTCCAAGCTGATGCAGATCGATGGACCCCGTATGTATTCCCCCATCCGGAGACAAAATAACCCAGCAAATGAGACTGACTCAATAATTTTTCGTAGGGTGGCTCCCCAAGGATCAACCCGGTCGATTCCTCTACCTCCGTCCCACCGTGATCGGCAACGGCCCTCATCTGGGCGTGCAAACACCCAAGGAAGCCCTCCTCTTCATAATCGCCGTCCCATGGCCCGATCCGTCCAAGAAGCCCGTGGCTCCTGGTACCAAGCCTGGTCTGAAGCTGTTCGCCTCGCACCCTGACTCGATCCGTGCCTGGCCCGGTGGTTTCGGTTACGCAAAGCTCGGAGCCAACTATGGCCCATCCCTGGTTGCGCACGCCCAAGCGCAAGCCTCAGGCTTCGACCAGATTCTCTGGCTCTTTGGACAGGACCGCCAGGTGACCGAGGCCGGTGCTAGCAACTTCTTCATCGTCTGGGAGAACAAGGACACTGGCAAATTTGAGCTTGTCACCGCTCCTCTTGAGGACCAACTCATCCTGGCGGGTGTCACCCGGCGCAGTGTCCTGGAGTTGGCGCGCACGAGGCTGAACAAGTCCATTGGCAGCCTCGCGCCCGTCGATGTTGTCGAGAGGACATTCACCATCGCCGAGGTTGAGCAAGCCTGGAAGGAGGGACGCATTGTTGAATCCTTTGTTTCCGGCACTGCTGTAAGTTGATCTGTGCTAATATATCGTGTCATTGCTCTTTTGCTAACTAAAATGATAGTATTTCATTACCCCCGTCAAGCTCATCAGGAACGGAGATCTCGATATGGAGATTGATGCGGGCGTTGAGCGTGCTGGATACGCCGCCCAGATCCGGTCGTGGCTGGAGGCCATCATGTATGGCAAGGAGGACCACGAATGGTCCTATCTGATCGAGGGAGAGATCGGAAACTAAATTCGATGAAATTGCTCTTTTTTCTCAGGGATAAACATAGACTTAGAAATGCCGTGAGGCATGCAGAGGGAGGCAAAGTCTTCAAGCTGTGCGTTATTTATGCAGTTATGCTCAGAATGTCTAGAAATCATCAAATACCCATTCAGGTTTTCCTTTTGGATATGCAAATGTAGGTTAGGATGACGGCGAATATATATTCTATTGTTGGTCCAATATGGTTGAGTTGTAAGCACAAGGTGTCTAGAAAATTGCCGGCTCATTCGCTCCTGTGAGGCAATGGTGTTGTTGTGCATTGGGTGCTGTCATCCGCCTCGATATCAAGGTCTTGCGCTGTGGTCCCTTCTTCAAGGTCGACAACTATTGGAGCATACTCCCCAGTCTCGTCGTCTCCATCCTCATCATTCATTTCCAACTCAACTTGCTCCCCGTCTTCCAGCTGAACCATGCCTCGGCGGACGATCGCTTCGCGGTTCAATTCCCAATCATATTCGTTCTTAACCCATGTAGCTAGCTTGTCAAACTCGGTCTTGACTGCAGCCCCCGGGTTGTCGACGACTTCGTATAGTGACCGTCGGAATTTCATTAGGAGCCTGCGCAGGAATTCTCCACCTTCCTCTCCATCGATATCAAATAGTCCGCCTTCGACATCATCACACCGTTTGAGCTGTAACAAGAGTAATCGCAGTACGCTCGCCATGAATGATTCTCGAGTCTTGATGGCATTTTGGCAGGTTAGCACGAGCTCCAGCAGCCTCTTCCACTGCTGCAGGCAGGAGTAGTTCATGAGAGTCAGAACCATCAGGAAGGTGAACTGTAGTTCTCCCAAAATCTGGGCTTCTCCACTTTGGCCTCCTTCTTTGCCTTCGTTGTCAGAGTACCGGTCTACCAGATCGCCTAGCGCCCAGGACCGATCCTGTGCCGCTTCAGTCCTCTCGCGTCCAACAGCGCCTTCTCTCCAGGTTCGTTTCAGATCAACTGGCAAAAACGCAAACTCGCTCTCCGGCTCCCCAGTGACCTGCTCGAGTTCCTCCGAGTTCTGCTCCAGCCCGGGTATCCTATCGCTATCCCTCTCCGCACTGCTACCAGTAGTCACCATCCACCGCGGCCGATTGTCAACGTCCAGTTCGGGATCGCCTCTGATCCGCGAAAACAGTTTCGGCGTGATGTTCTTCGTCAAGTCTGCCCAATCCTTCCTGCCTTCCTGTTCTTCTTCTTCGTCAATCTCGTCCTGCATGGGGCCTTGCTGCTCGCTTTGCGCCTGGATCATCCGCGATGAGACACGGCTGCGGTAACTGAACAGCCCACCGCGTTGCGCCACAGTCCCTAGATTCGCTTTGTGCCGCATCGCTTCCTGTCTGTCTGCCTCGCTATCTGCTCTGAGTGGTTCCATTGTTTCTGATTCCGAGTTCCACTTCCAGATGTAGATGTCCGGCCCATGGCTGCCTGCTGATGCCCGCACGATCGTCCCAGCGTTGTTTTGGTTGCTGCCGCTGTCAAAGACGCCGATGTTGCCGACGTAAAACCATGCCCCGCATCTCAGTGAGAAACTTGCAGTTGTCCCTGTGTACAGGAAGTGCCAGCCGCTGGGTAGGTCCCGGATGCCGTGGAAGTTGGGTGTGGATGTGAAGGTGACGAGATCGATGCCGACGAGAGTCTTGGGCGGGAGCTGGGGGACGAGGATGGTCGGCGAAGGGATGAGAGAGAGAGGCATAGTTAAAGCCGCGATTTATTATCTTTCTGTGGCTTGATTGGATCCAGAGGATCTTAATTTGAAAGATGGCGTGGAGCTGCTTCGGATTGTTTTGACTTCTGACTTTTGGAACTTTGGGCTTCTTCTAAAGAAATGCGGGATGGAGATCTCGCTTCGTGCTTGACGTCAGGTCATGGAAGTATTCATCCGGTCAAAATTTTGTATTTATTTCTTCTTCGATGAGGCGATTATGAAGAGAAGAAAGGAAGTAATGTGTATGTACTACATGTAGCTTTGAAAACTGTAGCATGAAGTGATCAACTTGCTGCTGGAGAAGATTTGGATTGAAATATCCCACCAAAAGAGCTGGTCATAGCTCCCGAACCCGTTATCAGATATCTGATCTGGACTCTGATCCGAACTTTGAACTCCATGTCCTACCAAGAGACGAATCGCAGGCATACTACATGTTCTAGATGCATACTATGAACTCTAAGACGATAGGGTATGATTCCAATGCCTGCAAACCCCACATTATGATATAGCGCAGAAAATGATTATATAGAATGCTCCAATTCTGGTCATATTGGCAGGGATAGCTGCGATATTGATAACAGACTATGTAAACCTGGAACTGAAAACAAACGCTTTTGGACATGAGAAAAATTGAAGACCAGGCGATCAAGGCCGTTCTTCGCGTTTATTCCATCCACATCCGCGAGCACAGAGCCCTGCCGGTAGCCTCCATTCCATCCAGGCAAAGAAGAAGTTGCACCAGACAGATAAAGATCCACCCGCACACGTCTACAGACGACGACCACGGCGACCACCCTTGCGACGAGTAGAGTCGGAAGGAGTGGGGGTGACGTCCTCGATTCTGCCAATTCTCATGCCAGAGCGAGCCAGGGCACGGAGAGCGGACTGAGCACCGGGACCGGGGGTCTTGGTGCCGTTACCTGTGGTGTAGTGAGTTAGTGCGTTGATCTTGACAAAAAAACTGGTCATATAGATATTCCCAAGTACATACCACCAGTGGCACGGATCTTGATGTGCAGAGCGTTGATGCCGAGCTCCTTGCAGCGGGTAGCAACGTCCTGAGCAGCCAACATGGCAGCGTAGGGAGAAGACTCATCACGATCAGCCTTGACCTTCATACCACCGGTGACACGGCAGATGGTTTCGCGACCACTATTAATCCGAATACCCCGTTAGCTGTCAATTTCCTTCACACACAACCCATATTTCCTCGGTCAAATCGAAAGCCAAAATCGCATTGGCAGGAAATTGTGGAATCGTAGTTACGAACCTCAGATCGGTGACGTGAACGAAGGTATCGTTGAAAGAGGCGAAGATACGAGCAACGCCGAAAACGAGCTTGCCTGTTGAAGCATTTTGTCAGTCACGAAAATCGACTTCGCAAAATCGCAATGAAGCTGAACATACCATCTCCGGCCAGAGGACCGAGAGAGACGTTCTCCTTGGCGGCAGTGGTGGTCTTCTTGGGAGGCATTTTGAATGTGCTGGTCGTGGGATGGAATATGGAGAGAGGAAGGGAAAAGAAATTCAAGATGCGCTGATAGACTTGCGGATGAAAAAAGTGGAGAGTGTGTGTGCCCTACGAGTCTGCATCAGTTTTGATTGGCTCAATAATGCACCTACGGCGGTCAAGCGAGTGGCAGCCAAAAACATACACAGATTGGCACAAATTACTCGGTAAGACGGTGATTAGTCGGACCGATAGGCGGTGAGCCAGTAGCTTTTAAAACTAAGAGATAGATTTTCCGTGGCTGCGTAAGATCTTCGTCTTTGAATAATCAGCATCAGCATCTGAGTCACTGTTTCTTCCTTCGTGGACGAGGAGCAGAGATTGATAGTTTGCTAGTTTGCTGCTAAGATTTCTTCACTGATTTCTTCATCTATTAACAACACAGTCTACTCACTGTCAGTCACGAGTGACTGAAAACTCAGCATGAGCCTCACTAAGGAAAATGCCATGATTGGCATCATTGGACTGGGCGACATGGGCAAGATGTATGCCAATCGCCTCAGTGCGGCAGGATGGAGGTAAATATATTTTTATCTTCTCTCCTTCTCGCCGACAATCTATCATAAATGCATCTCTATCAGGTAAGGCATACTCTCTTCTTTCATCTTCCCTTGCCTTTTTTGATATGATGACTTGAGTGCATTTGGCTCGAGTATGACCTGGCAGTTACACTGCATCGCCTTTCTGGTACCGTGGTTAGCTGTCAGGTTGTCGATGATGTAAAATCTCAGCTACCTTTATTTCTTTGTCTGAATCTTCTTTGAAGATACTTTTTTTTCTCTCGAAAGTGTTGGTCCATGCTTGCTTTTAAACTGAGTGCTAACACTCCAGTTTTCTAGGATGAAACGAGAATCTTTGCCAGGTCTGCTCATTAGACAACAATATACTAACCGCTTCTCATCATACTTGGAAGGGTAAATGCATGTGATCTGCCTCAAAATTATGAAAAATTAAAGGAAGAGTTCGCTTCTCAAGTACGTCGTTTGTTCACAGCTCACGCTGTCAATCAGCTCATCGTATATATAGCAAGGTGTTTCTATACTGCCGAATGGACATCTGGTTTCAAGAATTAGCGATTATATCATATACAGTGTAGAGGCCGGCGTCATCGACAGGGTAGTTGCACAGTATGGCCCATGTATGTCTTGGTTCAAGCGAGAGGCACGATCGTTTCCCTTTTCGTATCAGTTCTGACCTCCTGTGCAAAGCAACCAAGGTCGGCGCGATCGTTGGCGGCCAGACATCCTGCAAAGCTCCTGAACTTGCCGCGTTCGAGAAACATCTTCCCTCAGATGTAGAAATCGTATCCTGCCATTCGCTTCATGGGCCTCAGGTCAATTCGAAAGGACAACCTCTGGTATGACATGTGTTGTGGATTGCTGTGAACCTTACCCGAATAGTAACATTGTTTGCTTCATCTAGGTCCTGATTCAGCATCGCGCCTCGGATGCCAGTCTCCGATTCGTTGAAGAAGTCCTATCATCGTTCGGATCGAAATATGTCTACCTCACAGGCGAGATGCATGATCGGATTACTGCGGATACCCAAGCTGTCACCCATGCAGCATTCTTGAGCATGGGAACGGCGTGGCAAGCAAACAATCAGTTCCCTTGGGAGCAATCACGCTGGGTGGGTGGCATTGAGAACGTCAAAACCAACATCACACTGCGCATTTACTCCAACAAATGGCATGTTTACGCTGGCCTTGCCATTCTCAACCCAGCTGCAAAGGAGCAGATTCGGACCTATGCTGAATCCGTGACGGAGCTCTACAAGCTGATGATCGGCGGACAGCGAGAGGAGTTGAAACGTCGAGTCAAGGCCGCTGGCGCCGCTGTGTTCAGAGACGGCACAGAGGGTCAGGATCTACTTCTGAAGGATGAAGTCCTCGATCGCTTTTCGCTGTCTAACCAGCCACGCGAGAATAGCCCGCCTAATAATCACCTGAGTCTCCTTGCCATTGTGGACTGTTGGTCGAAGTTGGGTATCGTTCCATACGATCATATGATTTGCTCAACACCTGTGAGTGTCCTTGATCATCATTTAATCCATTGCTGTCGTTTGTCCAGCTCCAAATAACTCACTGCTGTTGCTATTCATAGCTCTTTCGTTTGTGGTTGGGAGTCACAGAATATCTATTCCGCAACCCCGAGCTTCTTGATGAAGCCTTAGATACCGCAATCGACGACAACACATTCCGCGAAGATGATTTAGAATTTACTTTCGCAGCTAGGGTAAGCATCCAGACCCCTCCACCAGACTGCCAGTCATGGTGCTGCAAGACAGGGTCTTTCTCCTACTGTTGTTCATTGAGCCATATGTAATGCTGACGGCGGTACTTGCCGTAGGCCTGGTCTGATTGTGTCTCTTTTGGCGACTTTGAGTCCTACCGCGATCGCTTTGAGCGCATTCAGCAGTATTTTGCACCCCGATTCCCGGAAGCCGTCAAGGTTGGAAACGAAATGATGAAGACAATCTTGGAGAAGACGACTGTCCAGACGCCATCCAACTCCTAGGAAGCTATCGAAAGATCAAGATGATTGTGACGAAGCGTAAATGACTGGAAGAATGCATTGAATGAATTTCAAATCTTGTTTACATTGGTACTCTTGAGATGTCTCATTGAGCAGAATGTATGTCTATCAAGTGACTTTGTCAACAGTATCCTAAACAGCCTTAGGCATTGATTTTTGATGGCGAATTGCCTATCCATAAATCCAGAGTGTCATTTCCAGCTCATCGTTGCTGTAAATACAGAATTTCAGTGTGTTAAGAAATGTCCAAAATGTTTTGTTCTCCGTATATAGTATGCAACACACTCACATTGAGAAAGATGCATGAAATCTGAAAAGACTCCTTATTCATCTCAATAGCATTGTCAAGCTTGAATCATTTGCCAAGGATATAAAGTACGAGCTTGGTTGACCTAATGCACGTAATAATAGAAACGGCTGTCTTGCTTCATATGCGCAATCAGTGAGGTTTGCGGCCTCAGGCGATAAGATTGTTAAGTTAGTCAGCCTGTGGTAGCCAAGACTGGAGGTCCGGTCCGAAACCGTCAACAATGGCATCGTAGTCGTGCTCTGGAGTTCCGTTTGCTTGTGTATTTGGAAGATTTTCTTAGTCTATTATTTCGATATATGCAATAGACGTTTGCCGATACGAATACCTCGCCGGCATCTCTTGTTTCACTCCGAAAAAGCCTGGACTCCGTGACCGCAGCACACATCCCAGTCCCCTCCCTTCGAACTCCCCGTTTCCCAGACGGCAGATCGATCTAAATGCCTCAGCCCCTCCTTTACAAGCGCACCGTGCCATCCTATTAAGCTTACGATACTTCCTGCGAGCTCAATGCGGCCATACGTCCTTTGCCCATCTTGCGACAGGTGATACGCGCTCCTCACTTGCGGCTTAATGGAGATCTATGGCGTCTGGATATAACTCAGGATTCTCCGCGACGTCGATCCAACACCGTGGCTTAGGTGATGGACGGTCGTATACCAGTCAGGAAGATGCCTCCGTGAATGGCAGCTGGGCCGAGCCTGCTCCAAGGTCTGGAAGAAATGCTCGCTCCGAGTCGGGAAACAGTGCGAGCATTCGCCCTCGGGGTGGCTCTGGTGGCTCTCTAGCCCCCTCCCTTGGGGGCCCTGGTAGCTTCAGCTCAGAGCTCAAGAGCATGACTACATCGCGGAGTGTAACACCCAGACCTGATGGCACCTATAGGCGACGAGGGAGCAGCAACGTTGAATTGGATGACCTAGCGAGCACCGAGGAGCGACAGGCTGCGATCCGCGATAAGATCGCCAAAGAGATGAAGATAAAAACCGGGACTGAAAACATGCTCGAGGCACTCTTGGCCAAGGACCCGAAACATACGAAAGATCAAAGGTTGAGGGTGGAATCGGAGCTCAGTTCGTCCAATCGCAAGCTTGCGGAGTTGCACCATGAGCTTGAGGAGGAATTGCTACGTGCGCAGGCGCCGTCAACCCCTCCGCGAAGTCGCTTCTCGATGTCTTTATTTCGTCGCAGTCCTCGGCGATCGCCCTCTCGTATCGACCCTATGAATGATGATGATCGTTTGGAGGAGGCAGAGGCAGAGGCAGAAATGGAGTCGCCAACATATGTTCTTGCGGAAACACTACAGGCGCTGGAAATAGAAGGCATGGCGCCAGATTACTACGTTGAGCGTGCCAACAGTTTGGTTGAACTGTTTAGGCGTCATCCGACATTAAAATACGATCTTGCCTGGTCTGTTTTTGGATTGCGTGTCCAAGTTATGCTACTAAGCGATAGCAAGGAGGTGGTAGCGGCCGGCTACCGCTTGACCCGGTATGCAATAGCCGACAGAAAATCACTTCAGATCATTCGGTCATTACACACCGACGAGCTGGTGATCTTGTCTCTCGTCAAAGAGAGCAAGGCGAGCATCGAACGCGAGCAGGCGCTGAAGTTTGTTAGAGCTTTCCTGGACGTGAAGGACGGAGTTCATGAGATCTCGAGAGCTGTTGTCCGAACGATCGTCTCCATTGCTGAACATCAGGAGGATCGCCTTAGAAATATATCCATTATGACGCTCGCTGAAATCCTGGTCAAAGACCCAGAGCTGATCGCCTATGCTGGAGGATTTGCGACTTTACATGATGCCCTGGCAGAAGGGACATTCGGTGCGTCGGAAAGTCTGATCGCAAGCTTTCTGCATGTGCTCGATACGCCGCATAGTCGAAAGCACCTACAAGGCGGGTGTGAACTCGAAGCCGTTCTTGCGCCGTTTACTGATTCTCTGTCGGACTCTGTTCACAACGGGCGGCTAAAGTCATCAGCGAAAGCCATTTCGGCAATGCTTAAGACCTGGCCTGGCCTGGTCATTCTCGCACGGCATGGAGCCAAGCCTCTCCAATCGCTCCTTGAATCTTTACATTATCCTGATCCTCAGGCAAGAGATCTGATCATGGAACTACTTTTTGATGCTCTTAGAATAAAACCACCGTCATGGTCATCGTCGTTCCTTGCCGGTCGTCGGCTCACTACTTATGGCAGAGTCGCTAACCTCAGATCTGAGTCCGATGCCAAACAAGTTCGTGCATTTTACGAGAGCAATGATGACCGATTCGATTTAACAGCACATTTTTCAACTTTGATATTAGCAACGCTCATCGATGCCGGACTTTCAAAGGTGCGTTACACCTCTGCCATGCTTTGTCTTTCTAATGGGATAGTAGGCTCTTTCGGATCTCATCGAGGAAGAAACAGACCAATCGCTGAGGCGGAAAGCAACTCTGCTTCTGACAGAGGTGTTAAAATTAGCACATCATTCTCTACCTCAACATATCAGCGCAAACCTTCAAGTCCTTCCACACTTACTCCCAGCCGCCGTTAAATTTGATGTCGAGAATCATGACGTTTCCAGCTCGACCATTTACCAGATTGAGAGCATAAACCGGACATTGGCTCGCTCAGTAGGCATTTCCAATGGGACAGGGCGTTATAGCGTGGACGTCGACATCTCTGCTTCCTTTTTATCCGGTGATCAAGGCAAGGACCGACTAAGTCCTGCCATGGACGAGACCCAGTTCCGTAACGCAATTCTGGAGACGAATGTCTTGAATACCGTCAATTATATCAAGTGGAAATGGGACCTGATTCATCGGATTGTTGAGGGTCCTTTGACAAATCCGAAGAGACTTGATGAAGCTATAAAGGGCTCGAAGTTTATGAAACGACTCATAGGGTTCTATAGGCCTTTCAAGTACAGGTTTTCTATGGTTCCTAACACCAAGCCAAATCAGCGGTATATTCGAACTGGATGCGCCTTAATGCGCACCCTAGTCCAAGTCCCAGAGGGCACAAAGTACCTGGCGGAGAACAAATTCCTGCGGCAGGTCGCTGAATGCCTCGCTCAAGTGGATCGTATGAGCGGACTGACATCTTCCTCGCCCCTCTTTTCGCGAGAGCAGATGACAAATACGTTGAGTGGAGGATATTTTGCCTTGTTGGGGACTTTGAGTGGTGACCCCAATGGCCTTGCCATGCTTGAGCGATGGCACATGCTCAACATGTTCTATCACATAATCGAACTGCAAGATCGGGACGATTTGATACAGACGCTCTTAGGGAACCTTGACTACAGCCAGGAAAGTCACCTGAGAGTTTTATTATCTAAAGCTCTCACAACCGGCTCCAAAGAAATTCGCATCTTCTCGACGAAACTTCTGCGCAAGTATGCTGTTGGAGGCGTCTCCTTGGCATCTCAGCCAGGAATAGGTAGAGCGGACTGGGTTGTCAAGCTGCTAGTAACCCAATTATACGACCCTGACGTTTCTGTATGTCAAGTTGCCGTCAAAATACTTGAGGAAGCATGCAACCAGCGGGCTTACCTTGAGTATGTGGTCAAATGTCGACCGTCTCTTGATCACCTAGGTGAAATAGGGGCACCGTTGCTGTTGCGATTCTTATCGACATCGGTTGGTTATCATTATTTGGACGGTCTTGACTACATCACGCAGGAGATGGACGACTGGTTTTTGGGTCGGAACGATGCATATGTTGGTCTCGTAGAAGCCGCACTTTCCCGTGCCTATGTTGACCAACCACGAAGAGCCAGCTTTGCGCCTGAAGATTTCGTGGATCTGCAAGACATCGGAGTGGTACCGCCCCATTTCTATAGGGAACTTGCGAGAACCAGAGAGGGGTGCCGATTACTGGAGCAGTCGGGTCACTTTAATGAGTTTGCTTGGACAATCCGCGATTTTCGACTTGATGAAGAAGACACTGAAGCGCTTCTGAAAGTTAAAGGCTGTCTTTGGGCTGTTGGCAGTGTTGGCTCTATGGAACTGGGAGCACCTTTCCTCGAATCGGACCTTGTTCAGCAGATTGTGAAGATAGCCGAAAGCGCTGAAGTGTTGACCATGAGAGGTACTGCTTTCTTTGTCCTTGGTCTGATCTCTCGCAGCCGACATGGTCTGCAGGCGTTGCGAGAAGCTGGATGGGACTCCGCTGTAGACCAGAAAGGGGCCTCTATAGGCTTGAGTCTGCCCACCGACTTCAAGAAGTTGTTCTTGGTGCGTGAAAAATATTGCCACGGATATTGTCTCGTGATATGCTAATGATAAGTACGCAGATTGAATTTCCCTCGCATTCTCGACCAGCTGAAGCTAAACGGTTGTCTCATGAGAAATTCAAAGCGGCCACGACAGATCCGGATCCTGCCAACCAGAAGATCTTGAAATTAATGGTCGACATGGGCAACACTGTCTTGTCGAAGCGAGCGGCCACGGATCTTCATAGGTAAGCCCAGTAGAAAGCTCCCTCTTGGACCACGCTGATGGGTATGAAATGCAGCATCAAAGCAAAGGACCCTGATCGATTTCACCAACCTCACCTTTTCCGCAAAGCTCTCAGTATCCTTGAGAGCCATCACTTCCGATTGCCAGCGCGACGCTTCGCCCTTGATCTCTTTGACAAGAGTGTGATGCGGCGTATAGTGTTAGAAGAAGATTCTGACACTGATTCCGAGACGACATCATCACAAGATTCTGACTGATAGGGTTATTCCATAGCTCCACTATAAGTTTTGGAACTTGTAGTTCTCTTTTCTTTTCTTTTTCTTTTTTCCCTTTTTTTTTGCGGGCATCACCATCTTCGATGAACATTCCCTTTTATCATGGAACGAAGGATGAATAACGAAACGCACATTCACTGTTACATTCTTGATTTCCAGTCAGGTTCTGTACGCCACCTACTGCATTTCATTTCTTCTGATTACCCTTCTGTCTCGGTATGGCGTTCAGGCATGTTCAGGCATGAGCAATGAAAGGATGTTGCATATTAGTTCTTTTCCTCTTCCTTGCAGTCTTCTTGTTTCCCTTTCCAATCCGTCAGCAATGACATCTCTGGACACTCCCAGCTAGAAGAGGATCTTATAAGAGGCTATTCAGTGTCAAACAAGACACAAGGATCGTTTCCTCTTTGCTGATGCCTTCGGCCTGATGGTGTTGCCTCTGATCTACTTGATAGTTGTGTACATACAAATATTCATCCATCCATGCAGACAGGACCTTTAACTTTAGCATGAAAGGACAGGGATCCGGATATCAATGGGGTCTCAGTTGGCTTTGAAATGTGTCTTTGAAGTATTTCAAAATGTAGATTATATACTAAGGGTGGAGTGATAAAGTGCTAGGAGTGAGTGAAGTCACCCAGGCCCCTGGACCTCGGAATGGCTGAGCTCCAGTTAATGGCGCAACGTCTTCTCCGTTCTCCGCATGAAGCAACGAACATTACATTCACAACTTCACATCTGCCCAGCGATCCTTCATCCGTATATCACCATCAGATAGATTACCATACTCGCACTTAATTTGTCGATTTTATTGCATCCAGTACTGAACCTAACTGCCTCAGCAGTTCAGCACCCATGGAAGATGATCGACTAACCTCTTCTCCACACTCTCCATATGTTGGAGATACCACTCCGACCAGCGCCGCATTCATGAGCCCCAATAGCATCACGCCGTCGTCTACTATCCTAGCTCATTCTCTTATACAGCTGATTCAATGCTCGCATTGCTCGCGACCACTGCGCGCTCCGCTGCGACTCCCATGTGGCGATACGTTCTGTCGAGCTTGCCTTCCCCCGCTTCGGGAGCGGCGGGGAATCACGTATCCACCGAACGAGGATCGAAAGCAAGGGTTCAAGTGCCACTGGAAAGGGGCTGATAATTGCCTTGGGGACCATTGTCTAGGAGACTGTGGGGTTGATGTACTATTGAGCAGACTCGTGGATGTGTTCGATGAAGTTCTCGGGTCGGGAACGCATCCAAGCGCTGAAGAAGAGTGTGGCTCCCGGGTGATTTGGAAGAGCTCGGGAGAGCAGCAGGAAACGGTAACAAAAAGCGCGGATCTTGGCTTGGATGTACTTGGGGGTATCTACCAATTGGTGAGACAGGGACGCTTCGACTACGATGTCTCGGAAGTTGGATATGAGGGAGGGCTAGAGGGACGCTCTGGGCAAGTCGACCAGACATGCGCATCCTTTGGACAATTGAGAGATTCCCTTCGAAATGAGCTGGACTGCCAGGTCTGCTACTCGCTAGTCACTGATCCAGTTACCACGCCCTGTGGCCATACGTTCTGTCGTGGGTGTGTTGCAACTGTCCTGGATCACAGTGATCTCTGTCCTATTTGCCGGCGCAAGCTGAACATGTCTTTAACTGTACACCTAGAGCCAACCAACAGAAGAATTGTTGGCCTTGCAGAGCTTCTTTTTCCAGAGCAGGTTGCTGCGCAGAAGCAGAGCCTGGGCCAGAATCAGGCTGAGTTTGATGCTGAAACCGTTCTTCCGTTGTTTGTCAACTCGCTGGCTTTCCCAACCATGCCGACTTTTCTGCATATCTTTGAACCCCGCTATCGTCTTATGATGCGACGCGTCATGGAAAGCCCGGACCGCAAGTTTGGAATGCTCATGTACAACCGCTCTGGTGTACGACAGGGCTCACTAGGAGACGCTCAATTTCTGCAGTACGGCACCGTTCTCAGGATCGAGCGCTTTGAGCTCCTACCTGACGGAAGAAGTTTAGTATTCGCCAATGGGGTATCACGTTTCAAAGTCGCCAAGTTTGATATCGTAGACGGCTATCATGTCGGCCAGATACAGCGGGTTGATGATGTCCCCCTTGCAGAGGAGGAGAGGTTAGAGTCGCTAGAGACGTTGACCGTCTCTGATACTTCGACCGAATCTACACTGGCTAATCAGCCGCTTGAGTCAATGTCTACTCAAGAATTGTTCCAGTTGGGATTGGACTTTGTACGAAAGCGACGCAGTGAAGGAGCCAGATGGCTTCAGCCCCGTGTCCTAACGGCCTACGGAGATATCCCAACCGATCCAGCCAACTTTTCCTGGTGGCTTGCTAGCGTTTTTCCTGTCTCGGAAGAAGAGAAGTATGCGCTCATTCTGGCGACAAGTGTTAGGGAACGACTGAAGATTACTGCACAGTGGGTCAGAAAGGCAGAGAATCGAGAATGGTATGTACATCATCCCACAGCGTTGTTCTTAAATTCCTCAGCGAATAGTGAGGACTCACCATGCTGCGTCCTTTTTCAGGTCGACTTCGCAATCATTCGCCTCTGTCTTATGACTAGCCGTCCCTCTCCTCGTATTTGGCCTTATCCCAATGGCTCTTGGGCCGATGTCCTCATCTGCATCAGTACGATCAACGAATGTCTTCACCACTTTCACGCCATTCACTTTTTCTGTTTCTGTGTCATTCGGCTCTGGACCTGCCCCCTTCGAGAACAATCAACAGCGAGCTCAAATCCAGGAGACTGAGACTTATCTTTCACGGACCCTTGTTCTTGGCCTCTTCCTCATTATCTTTTTGACGCAGGTAGTAGCCAACTTTAGTCAGATATGGAGGATCACACGTCAAGGAACGGCAGAGAACAGAGCCGACATTGACCCGCGCCGCGAAGCCCGAAGGGCAGCAGAAAGACCGCAGGGCAATGATCAGAGAGATATCCAGCGAGAGCTCCAAGCACGAGCGATAGATTCAGGGTAGACTCAACTCTGAAGTCTACTAGCCCCAAGTCGTCTTCGTTTCGGGGAGGAGTTTCAAGGGTGCACATATACAGTGCCGATGTGTTAACCAATTGTCCATATCCCCAACACCATGTATCGCTAGGCACACAGCCTCAGAACCTCTGTGGCTTCAGTTTGTTTACTCTCTCACCAAAGCACAACGTTTCTAATGACGAAATTTAATGCGTTGAGCCCTTGCGCACGGCGGCCGACTAGTGCAAGATCAGGCACTCTTGTGACATGCAGCCGCTGAAACCTGCAGCTTGTAAATCTGTTGATTTCGACGAAATGAGGAAACTCTGCGAGCTATGGGCCGATGATATCCATCGCAATTATCCCATCTACACCCACTTTTCATTCTGTTGCTATAGACATGTGTAGATTGATTAGCGCCAACTGTACAGGTTCGGTGATCGTCAGTTTCAAGTACGTTTTGGCCTTCGGTACAGATCAATGAATTGAAGGGACACAAGAAACTTGCTCTCCCGGGACATCCTGATATTGGTTGGGAGTGTTTTTCCATAATTGATCAAGGACTTATTGTGGCGGCTGGATGTCAGAGATTGTAAGTATAGCAAGCAAGCGCCTTGCGTCTGTTCACCGGTTGTGCATCATCACCAATAGGAGTGGCTAGTGTAACCGGGCGGCTTGTCGCTGCGAACTATCTATCGCTTGCTTGACCTTGTCTTCTTTACTGGGATATTGGGAGCTCTGACTTGTCCAGCGCCACTCAACCAGCTGTTTCGAAGGATAGTTGGTTGTTGGGTCACACAACGCTGTCGTGTTGTTGGGACTAACTCAGCAGGTGCATGGATTCGTTTCATTCCTTTACTTTGTGTGGAAATAATGAGCTCTGTATATGGTACTTTGAGAGATGTTTCTGTGGTTGTATACTCCTGACTTCATTCACTTGGAATGCTCACCTATTTACGCATCAGGTTGATAGCATAGCTTCCTTGATCAAGTGCTCCGAAGAGTGGAAAGAGAGAAGAGGCCAGTATGAGGTCGAAATAAGAATGAAACGATGAAATGATATGCTAGAAAAGTTGGAAATCAAACACTCCAGAAGTCTACGGGATGGCGAAATAGATGGAGATGGTTGATCACCGCTGCAGAGCCAACGTGGGGTGATGGGATGCTGATTGCTGCGAGATGCCCTTCTCCTCAGAGGCACGAGATCATTTAGTCTTCCTTCTTCTTGTGGTTTTTCTCGACTTAGTTTCATTCTCTTCAGCCTGGTTATATCTATGGCCTGAGAGAGCACATCTTGCACTTGGATGTTCTCTGCCCATCCTGGTCTGATCTTTCTGCCCCTTTGGTTTACTTCTGTTGACCAATTTCACTATGTCCTCAATCACTCCATATGGAGGTATCCATCCAGGTAACTCGCCTCAGAGGTAAGCTCTCGAGATATTGTATCTGAATTCTTATCCATTCTTTCTACGATAAAGCCAAGCTAATGTTCTTGACAGTCTGAAAGTTGTATGTTCCTTTCTTCGTATGACATGTATCATGGGTCCTTACTCAACAACCTCTTGTGACTGTGCTTCAGCACAAACTGTCACAGAAATTGAGCCTTTTAGGTGTAGATTCTGTCGCCATTCCTAGATCTGAATATGAACAGCTGGTGAGTATTGCGACCATACGCCAATATTTAGCTTTCGTATCCCATGCTAACCCTTCTAGCTCCAAGAGGCATACCATTTTAGTATGTAACTCCGAACAACGCGCTGCTCGAGTACCATACATCTACCTTTCGGAGTATATGCACTAACTCAACCCAATCCAGGAAAACTGAAGGACTCACTTCTGGGTGGAGGATTATCGCAAGAAACCCTCGATGTAAAGAGTGACCAGAACCCCATATAAATGATCCGCTTGCTGATCTATGTCTCCTTCAGATATTGGTCTATGGATCGCCTCCACCAAATCCTTCTGAGACAATTGGCAGAAGTTGCGAGAATGGTCCTATTGAACATGAAGCCCATTCCAGAACATGTTCGGACAGCCCCCGCGGACAAGTCACCGGCACTCACAGAATCCCCAGAAGCAATGAGGAAGACAGTTCAGACGAAGGAGTCGGCGCATCTCAGAGTAGTGATGAGAAGGAGGACTACGAAGATTCAAGAAGCCCTGATTCGTCTACGACTCAGGCAGAGCAACGTACTCTCTTCATTCGCGGCCTACCAGACCGTGTCACTCTTCGAGATATCATTGATGCTGTGAGAGGTGGTGCCCTTTTGCATGTCTACCTCCGGGCTCGGGATCATACAGCCAACGTCTCATTTGTCGACCCGGCTGCCGCTCAAGAATTCCTTCAGTACACGAGATCTTTTGGCTTATACCTTGCTGGAAAGCGCGTAAGGGGTTACCAGAGCAGCAACCACATATTTGCAACTAACTCATCATGTCTGGTTTAGGTGGAGGTGCTCTGGAATGACCGCCAATTTTACCTCCCTCATTACGTTGAATCGAAAATCAACAATGGTGCATCTCGGAATATGGTCATCTACAACGTGAACAAAAGTATTACGGAGCCGCTCATTCGAAGGGATCTCGACCATATTCACAATCTCATAGTGGTCGACATCAAGTTCAAGCAAGGTAATGCGTACATCTCGACGAATTCAGTGCACAATGCACTCTTTGCACGGTCTTGCATGATGTCTCGGGCCACATACAAGGGCATGCGGATTGGATTCTTCTCTGATGAATGCGCAGCACCACGGGCCAAAGTCCAAAATGGCCCTAGGAAGGAAGCGCGAGCACCAATGAAGAAGCCGATCCCTGCCTCGAACCGCTTCCAACTCCTTTCTCTGGAGGGGGCTAGAGACGATAATAGCGAGGAGTACGGGAGTCTGCACAGTACATTCGACAGCCATTACTCAGACGAAGGCATCGCCTGGGTGGAGAACAGGGTTCCAGCCTAGGCCTAGTGATTGATCAGGGGCAGCTGTCTGTTGAGCCAGATCTAAAGGACGAGAGACCTTTCATTCATACTTGTTCTCCAGTCCGAATTAAGTTGCCTTACGGGGTATATCCCTTGCATATGCCAGAGTTTACGTAGGGTTTTGGTCGCTTGATGACAACGACGGGTAGCAAGTGGAGCAGCGTCACCAAATCGATTTCATTCATAGTTTGATTTCGGTAGGGTGGAGCAAGGATCACCATCTCAGAAAGCGTATCGACACTCAACAGACCGATTATACAGTATGGAATCAGATTCATGATCCATCAGCATCCGACGCTCCCCAGACAATCTTGCTCAAAACTAGCCTACTGTGTGCGGAGGAGAGGATGGGGCAAGTGGCACTTTCACAATAAGGCAGTAGAAGCAGATCATCAATCATAGGCAGAATGGTGCATAGTTTTCACGTCTCGCAATATGGTAAACAGGTCGCTGATGTTACTGCACTTTTCTTGAATATTTTGGCTCGCAGTCGGGTCACGTGAAGTCATAGAAAATGTATTCCTTTTTGAGGTCCAGACCCAAACAGACAAGAGGAAATGGAGAAAAAAAGAAGACCCCAACAGATGACGCAGGATAACCTCCGGGGAAACGCTCCTCTCTGTTTCGTTGACAAACAAGAAAAATGGGTAATATTTCAGATTCCTGGCCTATACTACTTCCATCCGAGACAGAGCCAGTAACCCATTCCACTGCCACAACCAAATTCGAACCTTCTTCGATTGCCCAGTGGGATTGCTCCATGATCTCCTCCCCAGTGCACCGTGAAGAGAACCGTAAAACACCAGTCTGCGCTTTTTCGTTGCATTTTGATCGGACAGGTCGTTTAACGGTACGATTTCTGGTACCTGGCACGGGCACCGCGACCACCGAACTTCTTGGGCTCCGTGCGACGGTTGTCGGCAACGAGCAGTGTGCGGTCGTACTGGACAAGAGCCTGCTTCAGCTGGTTCTTGGAGTGCTCGTCGACGTACTTCTGGTAGTAGGCGACGATGGACTTGGCGATGGCCTGGCGGATGGCGTAGATCTGGGAGGTGTGACCACCACCGGAGACACGGACACGGATGTCGACACCGGCGAACTTGTCAGCGCCGACGATCAGGAGAGGCTCGTAGACCTGTTTTCAAAAGAAAGGTTTGTTCCGTCAGATTCAGGGGGGTTTCCTTTTGCGTTGATATATTTGCGGGTTCCGGGTTCTTGATGGTCGTACCTTGAAGCGGAGGATCTCAGGCTGGACCAGAGACAGGGGCTGGCCGTTGACCTTGATGAGACCCTTGCCTTGCTGTTGATGACGCGAATTCTCAGCATTTGTTCGGTTGTATCCATGCGAATTTCAAAAAACAAAAAGACGAAGCCAAAAGTTCCATCAATCAATTCCGACACTCCAAATCGACTCTTTTACTCTTCCATTCATATCCACTCAACCCTCGGTATTGACGTCGAAGAAACGCTCGCAGCATTGACATTGCGATCATAGGGTAAAAAGGAGCAGTCTCTTCATACCTTGCAGTGGGCGACAGCGGTGGCTATAAGGATAATCCCCAAGGTCAGCAATCACGGTCATATTTCATCTCCTCCATGTCCATCTTCAAGGACCCGGAATCAAAATAACTCACCCGTCTTCTTCTTGCCGAAGCATTGCACACTCGGGACGGAAGCCATGATGTGTAGAATGGCCCTTGTCGGTGTCGAGAAGGAGTGTGCCGGAGGGTGGGTTCGAGAGAAAGTTGTCGTCGTCGCAGGGGCAATATTTCTCGCGGCTTTCACTTTCGATTCGAGATGGGCAGAATCCGTGCGGACAAACTCGCTTAGTGCGCCGCGCTAGTGCCGTTCTAGGGCTTGTCGGGGGGCTGCGGTCACGTGGCCAAGGAGCCTGCGGGAGTCGGGCGATGCGTGAAAGTTTGGCGTCAAGTAGGCGGAGAAGACTCGGCGGCTTTTTGTCTGGTCTGGGGGTTAAAGAATCCATTGCATCTGGTCTGTCCTCTGTGCTCAGTGACTTTTGCGTCATACTTGGATCTTTTTTTTCCTTTCAATTGATCAAGCTTTCGATTTTTCCTCCAGCTTTGTCCTCCATCGAGGAAAGCAGCCCAAGATGTCGCAAACCGTCGGAAAGGTACGGTAGCTCCCTTTGATGATGTCTGGGGGGAATCACACCCTGCACCCCTTGGCCATGATCATGAACACCGATCTCTGACTACCATGACCTTGACAGACCCGTCTCGCCTACTCTCGCACATGGCACTATGTCGACGTTGGCTCCGACCCGCGCTCGCTGGGCCGGCTGGCTTCCTCCATCGCCCTGCATCTCATGGGCAAGCACAAGCCCGTCTACGACCCTTCGACGGACTGCGGAGACTACGTCGTCGCTGTCGGCTGCAATGACCTGCGCACTACGGGCAAGAAGCGATTCCAGAAGAAGTACTACACGCATACCACCCGGCCCGGTAGCCTGCGGAGTATGACCATGGACATGATGTTTGAGAAATGGGGTGGAGGTGAAGTTCTCCGAAGGGCTGTCCGGGGGATGCTGCCCAAGAACCGACTCCGTGACAAGAGATTGGCCCGGTTGAAGAGTGAGCACTCTACCTTCCTTCATTACATGGGTTTAAGAGTTGGGGGGAACCAGATTTGCTGACGTTGTGAAACAGCCTTTGAGGGTCTCGCTCACCCCTACGAGGAGAATATTGTCAAACTCGGCAACAAGTCGGTTATTGGAAGCTTGCCGGAGGTTCAGCAGGCGTTCCAGGAGACCAAGACCTCGGCGTGAGACCACGCTTCGGAGAGGGTTGAGGCTGTTTAGATATCTTCCGCCAGGGTAGCGGTGTTTCTGCTTCTGTAACTTTATATCTTCTGTGCTCTTTTACGATCGATTTTTCTCAGCGCATGGGTGGGAGTTTTCTTATGTGATACATTACAATGTTTCCCTCTTTTTTTTTTCTTGTCTGCCAATCACCTTCTTCAAACTGTTCTCCTCCGTTCACAGCGGGATCCAATCGTCTACATGTCGGTGCTTCTGTACTATAGTATTACACAATTGAAGGTTGAATGATTGCTAGATGAATGCCCTATTCCCAGAGACTATGTACAGGTATGCCTTGGCGAAAACTCCGTGACCAGAAACAAATCGAATCTTTCATAAAGCGTTATGCCCTCACAGTCTGGGCTTGGATGTGCGGCCAACAGTGCACTTGATCAAGCCGTTGGGGTTTGTCTGGGGGGCGAACACCTCGGCATCCTTGCCGGTGTTCTTGAGGCCCTTGTGCCAGCTCAGGTCTGCGAAGATACAGTCAGAATGCAGTCGCGAAGAAAAGGAAAAGAAAAAAAAAAAGTAGTTCCTAAGGTCCAAACTCACCAACTTCGAAATAGTGCTTGTTGGGCAGCGAGTACTCGACGGTCTCGATCAGAGGCTCGACGGCCAGGATCTGCTCGGACATCTTGTACATGGTCGCCTGCACACTGGCGCTGTTGTCCTCAGCGAAGGTCTTGAGGGTGATATCGCGGGCCGCAACCCAAGCGGCGTCGAACTTGGGGATGTTGGCGCGGACCTCGTCGAGGCCGCTGAAGCGCTTCCACTGCCAGGTGGCGTCGACATCGGTGCTCAGGATACGGTCCCAGGTCTCCTTGAGGGTGGTGTACTCGTCGCGGAGGAAACCCCAGAACTGCGAGCCGGTGCTCTTGAGCACGGTGAGCTTGGAGATGGAGGACCGGATGTCGATGCCGGTGGTGCGGGCCACATCCACCTGAACGTTGCGGGTCTCCTCGCTGTCGCGGACAAAGGAGTGCGGGTGGGGCTTGCCGTCGATGTTCATGCGCGACCAGCGGTGGGTGACGATGTTGACGTGCGCGGCGTGGATGTGCTTATATTTCTGGATGAAGTGAGAGCCCAGGATGGAGCCGAACAGCTCGGGGGGAGTGACGGGGTTCTGCTTGGCGGTGATGTAGATGGTGTTCTTGATCGAGTCGGTCGCGACAATGACGCTGTTGTCGGCCTTGGTGTAGCTGTTGTACGTTACCCAATTAGTATTGCTCTTCTTTTCCTTCTTCTTCTTTTTTCTCGTTTCTTATGGGGTTTCCTGTTCAGAACACCCCAATCGATGGCTGTTAGACTTACGATGTCTCGATCTCGCCCTCCAGCAGCACGCAGACGGTCATCTCCACCACCGTCTGGACACCGGTCTTTTCATCACGGTGGACCTTGTAGACGCGGACATTGTCCTTTCCGTAGCGAGCAGCAGTGACAGGCATTGTGAATTGTGAGTAGCAAAGATAGCTTCTTCGTTTTGTTTGTGAAAGAAAAAAGCAATGGACTGTCTGAGGAGTAGTTGGAGAAGTCTGCGGGGAAGCTCAAGGGCGATAAGAGTCAAAGAGAGCGATCAAGTTCGTGCCACACGATCTATCGAATCCAGCGAGAAAAGGAAAATAGAAAAAGCTTATGAAGCAGCTGCAACAGCGACAGAACCGCTTTTAAGTCCGATAGCTGTGGACGATCCACGACAACATCGCATGATGGGCGTTCCTGGAGATGGACGTCGGCCACCTCCGAAACCCGCGCAATTGGACGGCCGCAGCCTCCCTACCTACTGATATAAGCATCACCAACGCCGTTTGGTCGATCTTATCGCGGTGTTTGGCGCGGGATTGAGGTCTTAAGGAGCGGAGGATAGTTGGTCTGGTCTCTGCGATGCATTGCATGATCGATTATTTCTGTCTGTGTCTGTATCGGAGCTGTCCTCCTTGATCGCGGAATAGTATGCCATTGATCGCGATCACTGTCAACTCAGTCCAACCCGGAGTGATCCAGATGATGAACGATGAAGGCCAAGGGCTTGCCATACAACCCTCGGTTATTTGAACATGTCTAGGCCATAACTTCAAGATCTCTACGAGGATACGTTCGATAGTTATGAGGCCATGGATCTGATGCGTGCTGATGCTTGGTTTTGGATCGGTGCTGTTGAATGTCTTCATGAGGAATGCAGGGAGAATAACAAATGGATGACATGCCCATCCTCACCATCGGGATGGAGTGCTTCAACACTGTACCCAGGAGATTTACCTACTTACTGTCTATGTGGATTGTTGATCTACATACAAAGTAGCGATTATCTACAACGTCTTTGTTGGCACTTCATGAAGCAACCCATCATTGGCTGCTCTATGCTAGACACTCTAAGCTCTTTGCTCCACAATAAATTTCGAGTTTCTACTATCCATCAGTCTTTCGATCCTATCGTTCCTGGAAGAAGATTCAGATGAGTGCTAGCTCGAAGTTATAGAAATATTGGTTGAATCGCACTATTATGGTGAGCCTTGTATACTGCTAAGAGACCATCGTTAAAAAAGTCTGCGCGCTGGGCTTGCGCCAGCCGATGGGGAACGCAAAGCAACAATTCAGTTATCACGACCCCAATTAAACACTCATTTTCGTTCATAAAGATACAAGATGCTGTCTTGCGCCAGTAAAGGGCCTAAACGCCCTCCGCGATTTCTAGAAATCCGTTCGTCGGCAGCATTCATTGTCGCCACAGTATGGACATCATCATTCACAGTGAGTCCTCCCATCAACCTCCTGGTGATCTGCAATGTATGTTGTTGACGTTTTTTTGAAGGACTATTTCCTGTATGCCATGGTGAGTAGGACTCTCTGTCGATTCGTATGCATGCTACTGCTCACACATCCCGACAGATCGTCCCAGTCATGCCAACAGCCCTAGTAGATCGAGCTGAAATCCCGTTTGCAGAACGTATGCTGCGCCAGCTCCTCTGGCCTTTCACCTAGAGCAACCAGCTGACTTCTGACTTCTGACGGCGCGCCAGGTGAATACTGGGTAAGCGTACTCCTGATGTGCGAGGCAGCCGTTGCCTTCCTCTGCTGCCCCATTTTTGGATACCTTATCGACATCGCACCCTCGCGCCAATTCCCCTATCTGCTCGGGCTCATCCTGCTCGGTGCCTCCATGGGCTTGCTTGCAGTCGCGCACACGGTGTGGCTCTTCGTCACGGCCCGGCTGCTGCAAGGCGGCGCCTCGGCCATGGTGGCCGTCGCCGGGCTGGCGCTGCTGACCGACTCGGTTGCGTTCGACAACCTGGGCCAGACGATCGGGTATCTAGGCTCATCGATTGCGCTGGGCTTCCTGCTCGGCCCGCTCCTGGGCGGTCTGGTGTACGACGCGGCGGGCTACAATGCGGTCTTCGCGATGGCCTTTGCGATCATCGCCGTCGACCTGATCATGCGAGTCGCGGTGATCGAGAAGAAGGTCGCTCGCGCATGGACGTCGGAGCCCGAGCCGGGTCCGAGCCATCCTCGCGAACAAATCCCGGATGAGTCTCGGGGCAAGCATGGTCTGGCTCTGCTGCGGATCGCCAGCCAGCCGCGGGTGCTCATCTCGTGCTGGGCCCTGCTGGTACAGGGCATCTTGTACTCTGCCTTCGACTCGGTGAGTTATCAGCCAGACCTATCAAAAACGAGTCTCAAAGAGCCCCCCTCCCCTCCCATATTTATGCAGCCATCTAACAGAGCCAGACAATCCCCATCTTCGTAGAAACCCGATTCGGCTGGACTCCGTTCGGCGCCGGAATGGCCTTCTTGCCGTCTGCATTCACAGCCCTCTTCGAACCCTACTTCGGTACTTACTCCTCCCACTCCCACTCCCACTCCCCCTCCCATCTTTCTCCTTCACACACACAAAAGCTAACCACCCTCGGGGATCCCCCAGGCTCCATCTCAGACCGCTACGGCGCCCGCCCCGTCACCTTCGCCTGCTTCCTCCTGCTCGCCCCCCCACTAATCGCCCTCCGCCTCGTCACCGACAACACAACCCACGACATCATCCTCCTCCTCTCCCTCCTCACCGTGATCGGCCTCCTCATCAACGCCAGCCTGCCCGCCCTCTACGTCGAGACGCAGCAAGTCCTCGACGACATGGAGCGCGCGCGGCCGGGCGTCTTCGGCCCCCGCGGCGCCGTCGCGCAGGCGTTCGGCATCCAGACCATGGCGCAGTTCGCGGGGCTGTTCCTGGGCCCGTTGTGGGGTGGGTTCGTGGAGTATCGGTTTGGGTGGGGGGTGATGTCGGCGACGTTGGGTGTGTTGGCGGCGGGGACGGCGGTGCCGATGTTGTGGCTTGGGAGGGGAGAAGGGGAGGGCGGGGGCGAGGGTTTGGAGGGCGAGGGCGTTGGGGAGAGGAGGAGGTTGTTGGGGGAGGAAGGGAATGTATAGGGCATGACTATGAGTATACAGTGGAAAGTGTGAATGTGGGTTTTGTATAGATTCTTGGGATAGAAATAGATGGATACAATCATTGTGCTCTTCTCTGCGACTCAAGCCGCAAACCTCACCCATGCGCCATTTACATCTGGCAATGCTACAACATACTAGTCCACGTACCACCTCCTTCAAACTCCATCCCTAAGCATATAAACCCCCTCAGGGGAACTAGAATGATAGAAAATTAAACTTAACAAGACAATGGCATTTTCTTTTCTTCACAAACCCCCTTCTCCCCCCATCGCCCATCAATACCGAAACCAGACGGAAACGCCAAAACACCCATCAGTGCCTCAAACGCCAAATCCACGGATAGTTTTCAAGTCATAATGCTTCATCAAGCTGAGAACAATCGAAGGGCAGAGAGAAGAGGGTGGAGTCGGCTCAAAGACTCAGCTGATCAATGCTCCCCACTCGCCCACTCCCACCCAACCGTCCACCTCCCTTAGTCACCATCCCCAGGCGATAGAACCGCTCCTCTCCCCCCGGGGTTCGACCGCCGATATACCACTTCTCCGGCCCAAGGGCATCCCGGAACCCACCCGAGCCACTGGAACTATCACTCCCTCGTCGCCGCCGGTCATCGGTGTTGGCGATGGGGATGGGATGGGACGAGCCCGGGGTTGGGGGCGACGAAGGCGTGGCACTGGAAGACGGGGACGATTCAGTGCTGCTGGGGGCCGGGTTCAGCGGTGACCGCTGGTGGGAGTGCGGCCGGGACTGGGAGGATGTGGCGGCGCCCGTCGAGGCATGGTGATGGTGGTGGTGGTAGTGGTGGTTGGGGCCTGTGGTCGAGGAGGATGTTTGTTCTGATGACGGAGGGGCACTGGAGCTCGAGCTGGCGCTGGCCTTGGTGGCCATCGCTCGCGCGCTCTGGGAGATCTGGGAAGCGGAGAGCGAGGAGGCGGGGCCTGCGGCAGACTGGGGACCGGCCGTTGAGGCCTTGTACGTTGATTGAGCGCGGAAGGCGGCCAGGAAGTTGGCCAGGAATGGTCTGTTGGTTGACATGGTGGGCGGAATTTCGACGGAGACGGGAAACGTTACGGAGAGAGATCAAGTTCGATACGACGAAGTATTCCGAGTGCTGAAAAGAATCACAGCAAGAAGGGATCTTCGTTTCCAGATGTCTCTTTGTGACCTGTCTCTGGTTGGTCTTTCGGCGAAATGCAAGCGAGGTGATACAGTTGTAGTGGCTAGTGGCGGGTATCTTTCCAAGTTTCCCACTCCCATCCACCGTCCTAGCAAGAACACGCTGTTGGAGCGCAGATTGGACCACGGTAGTGGCGGCTGGATGAACGACTTGGCCTCGAAGGATTTGGCGGAGATTCGGTGTGACTGTGAGAATGGGAAGAGGAGGATGGAGATGGGATGAACCCTGTGTCCGGAGTAATCCCGTTTGCCGTTGCTGGAGCCAATCAGCCGTTGCTGATATCGTCTGGGGAAAAAGCGAGATTCGCCCGGTGACGTCTTCACTTACCAGCAAGTCCTCAGCCGTCGCAGGAGAAACACCCAGCAAAGGGAATATGGACTTGTAAAGAGCGTGATGGATGGAGAATGCGGAGTACTAAGGACAAATGACAAGGAGGAAGAAGAACAGCTGATAACTTGAATGGACGTGAAGGAAGTGGCGATGGCGATGGTGATGGTGATGGTGATGGTGATGGTAATGGAAATGGAATCCGTCAGGGAATCGGCGGAGGGGAAACGTGGGGTTCGATCCACTTAGTTCGGACTGGATAGATCGTCGATAGTTTATGTCAATGACAGGTGGCCGATGAAGTCCAACTGTCCCATCTGTGATCATCTTTTTGGACACGGACTCGATGGGTGAGTGATCCTGATGACTTCGCTGTTCTCTAGCCGTAGGGAAATCCCGGGTCCAGGAGCGCATCTTCGCGCCGGATAGAGGGAAGACAAGAATACCGAGCTCTCTCTATAGATATCTATCTCTCTTACAATGCAGAACAGAAACACGTTGGAATCACTGAATTCTCCCATTTTTTTCCCTGTCTTGGAACTGTCAGGGCTAATCAAACACGGGCTATCTATATAATCTAGTTCTTTTCTCTTTCCTCTTTTTTTTTTTTGGTCTTGACCGTTCCGTTCTTCCTCTTCCTCTGCGATTCCTTTTTTCTTTTCATTTTTCCCCCCCTTCTCCCCTTCTGTGTTCCCATCCCCTGCGCATCCAGACGACAGACCTAGTTGGTCTGCCAGCACCCGGCTCGCCTGGAGAAATCCCATACACCGCCACAATTTTCCAGTCCAGATTCGTCCGAGGATGAGAGTGAGCCTAGCTCGGGAACACGCACAAGTTGCACACTCAAGCGCACAGCACGTAAAGAAGCAACTGGGTTGTGCATCGACCGAGTCCAGTCCCTGCGATGCATATGGTTTCTTGCAACTCAACCGCTCATCGTATGTAAAACAAAGAAAGAAAAAAAAAAAAAAAAAAAAAAAAAGAGACGTATTGCAACCATCCATGTTGGCACATATGAGGAAATGGGAAACAGAAGATCAAGAAGGGGGGAGAAACAACACGGTGAGAATGGAAATTTTATCAAGGAAAAGGCAGAAAATACACAATGTAACCAGAGATGACGAAAATAAAAAAGCAAACAACATGAACACCACAAATGTCTCTTGGCCCAAATCAAGCTCATATGTCCGAGCAGAGCGTACAGAATCTACTTACATGGTTGACAAGGGAAATGAAATGCGGATCTAGACGGCCGTAACGTAATGCAATCAAGAACCCGAACAACTTATCCATCTCCACGCGCGTTCGGCTGGCGAAAAGTACAAGAGGTCATGCGAGTCGATATTCGGAAGGGCGACAGAAAATCCGCTCGCAAGATCTTTTGATCGCGTCGACAAGATGAGGGAAGTGAACAAGAATACAAACACACAATAACACATGCCCAAGTCTATTCGTGGACGCCGGATAAACCACACACCAACCCATCTGCCACTCGTATTGGATCGAGGAAAAAATCAAACCAGATTCGGAACCGCCGCAATACTGCGCTCGCCGTTGAAAATGCTGACCGGAGGAACCCTTTCGTTTTTGGAGGACGGATAAAAGAGAAAAAAGAGAGAGAGAAAAAAAAAAAAAAAAGGATAAAACAGGAAAAACAGTTTGACGCTGTTTGGTGGTTGGATCGGACCGCAATACGTAGACCTCGTCTGTGGGCACGGATGGCGCGACTAGACCCAAATCGAGTCTCAAGAAAACCCCGACCTTCATTAGAAAGACCAATCACCCAAGGGTGTATCGATATTTATGTAAAGTACGAGAAATCAGGAGACATCAAGCGGAGACCAGCCACGTTTTATCTCTGCCGCAGACAGCTATTGTCTTGCAGGTTGAACGGTAACTGGAAAGTAGCAATCGAGTCAGGAATTCGTTCGACTGTATCGAAATGCCACGGTACGCAAAGTTCACCTACCATCACCACCAAGAGTAGTCGAAGCGAGGTAAAGACCGTTCATTCCGTTCTCCTGAGGTCCAGCCGTTGTAGTGGTGGGATAGAACTTGCGCTCGGCATCAACGTGCGCCTGAATGGGCTCCTGGCCGGATGCCATGGACTGGGGGAAAACCGGGTTGATGTAGCCGTCGGAAGCACCAGGCTGGAACATTGTGGTCCAGTCAAGCCCGCCCGCGTGGTTGGGGTCGCCAGGCATCATCGGGCGCTTGGGGTCCACAACAGAAGGCTTTACCTGCTCAACGGAAGGACGGTCAACATTAAGCTGCTGATTAGGTGCATCAGTGCCAGGCTGCACAAGGTACGGGTTCTGCTTGGGAGTGGCCATCCAAGATGCTCTCTGATGGGCCTGTCCATGAGCGAACGCATCATCGTGCTGACCACGGTTCATTCCATTGACAGACGACATCGTAAAGCCCAGAGGCTGCTGATCCGTGTAACTTGGTCGGGCAGTAGCCAGTCCATTTCCATTCACGGTTCCCTCGCCGAAAGTCGCACCCGCAAGCCCATTGGGAGGCGGGACGGTATTACTGACTTCCTCCTGAATAGCCTTTGCGGAGTTCGCCGCAGCTTGAGCTTGAGATCTCTTTAAGTGTGCGTGGGGATGAGACAAGTGAGTTGCTCCAGTCGGGTTGCCGCGTCGGATCGAGCACTTTTGGAAGTGACGCTTGAGAATATCACTGCGGGAGAACGTATCTTTGCAGAGAACGCACATATAGGGACGATCGCCAGTGTCTAATACGGGGAAGGGGGGAAATTTCTCATTAGTATTCACTTCAGATTCCAGACCGGGCTCATTAGGCGGTTTCAAGGATAACTCACGTCTAAGCAGGTGACGCTTCAAGTGCTTGGCATGCAAATACGTCTTGTTGCAGTGAGGGCACGGGAATTTTCCATCCGCGTCCTTGGCGGGGATCGTTGTGTTTTTCGCAGGACCATTGACACCATTGGCGACCGCAGTTGCGCGACCCGGAACGCTCGGGAGGATACCACGTCGGCCTTGAGATCCAACAACCTGAGTGCGAGGAGGCTCCTTAGCAGCATAGGGTCCAGCACCATTCGCGCCAGTGACCGGATCAGCATTCATCCAGGGGGAGGTCTTCCCATCCGGATAGCTGAACGCGCCGGATGGCAAGCCATTGAAATCCGGGCGCCGGTCCCGTGGCGGAGCAGGGGCAATTGGCTGTGGATAAGACTGCGCACTGGAGGCGGGGGGCAGCACACTGTGGGGGGGAGGATAGTGTTGCGGCTGTTGTGCTTGCGCCTGATGGTTCGGGTGCGAAAGGAAGGTCGTAGGTGGCAGGGTACCCACGGTGGTATGGGGCATGATGGGTGCCGCAGACGACGCGTAGACATCGTGGGTTGATGCAGGGTACCTTGACAGATCCGGCCTGTACGGCGGCTGGCCCATGTAGTGGTGAGGGGCGGGAGATTGGCTGTGGTGCGGCTGCAGCGGGGGGAGGGTATGCGGCTGGGACACAGGGTACTGAGGCTGCATGGTGTATTGGGGCATCGGCATACTCGAGATAGGTGTCGAGGAGAGAGGCGTGGAGCCTTGAGACAGGGTGGTGGATGGGGGTCGTGATGGATGAGATCTCGGATCCATCGTGAGGCGGAGGGGTCTAAAGAGACACGCGAAGGAAGTGGAAAAGGGTAGGGCTGAACTGGACACGAAGGATGTTCACGGTATCCCGATCATTGATCACAGACCAGAATGAATTCAATCCTCTTCCCTGATGTCTTGAGACGGGAAGCAAAGCTCAGCGCGATGCAAGGAGCCTTTCAATTGCAACCCACGTTCTTGACTTCTTGAATCCCTTTTTTTTCCTTGACCTTCAGAGATTTCTTCAGTCTTCTTCTTTCCTCTTTCGTCGTTTCGAAAAAAGTTCTTCGCACTGTAACGCGGCGGGAGGAAAGCAGGACAAAGGCGTTTGCGGCGGTGAGGCAATCCCTTCACAGCAACACAGACAGCGACAAGAAGCTGCAGGAACAACAGTCAAGGCGTACAGGATCGAATTCGACTCCACTGCAGAAAGAAGAGAGTCAGGATGAAGTTCAAATGCTTAATCTGAATTCCCCACGGTCACCCACAAGAAAATCAAGTTGTTGTGGGAACTTCTTTTTATCCGCACGTTGTCAGAAGAGTCAATGGTTCTGTATCCACCAGGGAAGCGGCGTGCGAGTGGGTCTTGAACACAACCAGCAGTGCTAGAGTGGGAAATACTAGCCAGAATCTGCTTCGCGTCAAAAAAGACGATGCGCGAGATGGACCAGGATCTTCGGATAAGGTCGGTCAGATACGACAACGAACAACAACAAGAAGAAGAAGAATGTCAAGAACAACGCGTATAGGTGCGGAGATCAGATTGAGTGGAGGAGGAGAGAAGAAGGGGGGGAAGGGAAAAAGAAAAGTACAGGATTTGATAGAAAAGGGCTAAGGGCGAGAGGCGCGAAGGGAAAAGGACGAGTTGAAATTTTTTTTTAAAACAAAAATTGGAAATATGAAAAAAAAGAGAGCCAGAAAAAAAAAATTCAATAAATTCAGAGAAGAGACCTAAAGCACCAAGCCTACTAGGTACCAAGGTAGTTGTCTGGTCACGGGGAATGGAGGGGGGCGACGAACAGCGGCGGCGTAAAGTTAAGTAAAAAGAGGAAACCGAATGGTAACTAACCAAACAACAGGTACGCGCAAGGGGAAAAAAAAAAATTACGGAGTACAGAAAAGAGAAAAAACCAACAAGAAGGATTCGGCAGGTAGACTCACTATTAAGGGAAGATTGATTGGCAGCTTTCGGGGAGAAGACAGTGAGAGGAATAAGAGTGAGAAGAAAGGAAGAAGAAGATCAGACTACATACAGTGCATACCGAGAGGGACGGGCGGTGGCCGATCGTAACTCTAGGAAGGCAAAACACAAGAAAGAAAAGTCGCAAAAAAAGAATAAATAATGTAAATAAAAATAAAAATCAGAGATGCCTATTGCCTACTCCGTACGGAGTATTATTATTATGATCTTTTGTGATCAATATTATTCTCATTAATCTAGCAAATGAAACTCTCTTCTTATTATCAATCATCGACATTCATAATCGTCTTTTTTTTTTTACTTCGGCTATCAACCTTCGAAATAGGAACATTCAATGAGAAGTCTGACTTGTAGGTCTACATGAACTATTATCTCAGTATAAAGAAGAAGAGCAATAGCCACAACAATCGGATACTTGGAAAGGCTCCCATCAAAACATATGGAACGGTTGTGGTGTGCCGTTGAAATGACTTGTACCTCACCCGGTTTCCGATATCCAGCATCCCATGAGCCGAGTTTCGATGTTGTTGTGTTCTTTTTATATCACTACTACGGAATACTCGACACCCATCTTTGCAGTTGTATGTAAATGAAGTAACGATACACACAGCAGGTACCTACCTATTATAGGTTATCAATGCTTGCAGCAGCTATTCCGAACCTATGTTCTCTGTTGAATGTCCTTATCCATCTGCTCCAAATATCAACTCGCTTGGTGCTATTATTGCTCTATCATTCTTCTGCTCTCTTGAGGCATGGAAACGGTCAAACAAGAGACTAGTTCAATGAAACTTTTTACCAAACGTAGGAAAACGGCAAACTCGGCTCAGGACCTAATCAGATGGAGTTCCGAACATGAGCCGGAAGACAGGAGGTCAACAATTGAATTTGGTTGGCAGTGGCGGCAAGCAGGGGAAAATCATGAGGGAATTGCTAGTCGGTCTCGCGAGGAATTGGAATAAATCTAAAATAATGATAATAATAATGATTTACAAAAGGGAAAAAAAAAAAAAACCCCATGAACGTTGTATCATTAATCAACATCCTCCATGGATTCCAAATCTTCATATGATGTTGATGTGGTTTCTCACATTTTCTCGGGAGTTCCTTAGAGACGCAAATACCAGATGATTTTACTTTTTGGATGAGGAAAGTGGTTGGTTATGTCCAAGAAGAGGCCGGGCATGTTCCGAAGACAGTTGTTGGGAGGTACCACGATGGTACACTTGCCACTTACAGATACGTAAAATATACTTGGCAGTGACTTGTTCACAGGTGACGTGCCAGGGTTCCTGAGCAACCTGCCAATCTCGGTCGAGAACGTCAACCACGCAAGCGGTTATGTGCTTCTTTCCAGTTCCAGGACTAGGTTTAGGCCATACTTTATCACGCAATCGGACATGGTTGAAGGACATAGATAGATATCCAGTATATGTCAGGTATTTTGATTGCAGAGCGAGAGTTAGAATTATCAGACTCTACAAAGTATCTACTAAAGCTGTGTCTCGAATTTAAAATCCAGATATTAATAATAATAATAATAATAAAAAAAAAACTAAGATGAAAAATAAAGAAAAAAGAAAAGAAAAGAAAAGAAAGAAACGAACAGCAAGCCATTCGCCCTACGCCATGCAGCTGTAGCCTGTTAAAGGCTGGTAGAAACTTAACCTATGGTCTATGCTGCTTTCAGGACAAGGATTAAGAATCCATGCTGGCTCAATCGCTGTTGTCTCTGACAAAGTGACAGGGACATACGTAACCGTACTTCCAACTGGCCGCCCAGCTGGCTCCGATTGCGCTGAGGTCTCTTTCCTCTCTCATGCGTAGTCTGCATATTGAGTTCGGTGGATCAGCGTCGATAATGGCTGGTTGCAGTTGTATCACTATCTGCGTGTCGAGTCACGATTGATAAACCGCATACTTAGATAAGTAGGATCGGTAGGGAAAGGTGCCCAGTATTGAGTATTGATGCTTCTAGCTGGATGCTGTCAGTTGTCATCCAGCATAAGCTCAAGTGGAGGGACTCCGTCTCCAGCTCTTCCACCAGTTCTCCGCAATTGACAGTCCCGCCCATCCCAGATGTTCTTTATTCAGGTTCAGGGGCTCAAGACGGGATCCTCATGGCACATCCACAATCCCACAAGCGAGGATGATATACTTACGGACTACGGAGACTGCGTAGTGCGGACTCCGTAGTTCAGAACCTTATCAAGGTTATCGCCGTTGAGATGGGTGGAGTGAATCCAGCGACATGAGATTCAAATCCTAGATTAGATCATAGATAAAATGTTCGAGGACCCGGACCATTGTTCACTTCCGCTCCATAATTTTGGTGTTCGGATTCTCTTGGGGACAGGGATGACATGCATCCATATGGGTGATGTGATCATTATCAACAAGATTTAGAAATGGACTTGGTTCGCACAATACTCCGTAGTAATTGTCCCTGTACCTTAGTAAACATATTTATATATATCGCAGGGCTATGTACCAATCGGTAACGCCATGCGTATCAAGCAACAAAAAAAAAGCAGCCACATTGGGACTCGAATGTCTGGGAATCGTTTAGGAATGAGGCAGACGCCAACGTCTCGATCTTCTGCAGTGTGACCGCGGACTGAAAGACCAGTATTCCGTATGCAGCCATGCCCTCGATATCTAGGCATCTCTCAACATCCAACGCGTATTGGTTAGCCGATAGCCAAACAGAATACAAATTCCTAAGTATAATCCTGCAACCGAGTTAGTAGCTGGCACTTATGAGTTTCAATGCTCCTATCAATAGATCAAAAGTACAACAGCTATGAAGCACATCGGTGCTGTATCAAATATCGAAAATTCAAAATAACTTATCCCAGGGGTGGATTTATTCCATTCACCCGATCTGAACACTATCTCAAACTCAAGGAGCCCACCCACCACAGCTTCAGAGACAATTCACAATAGCAGAAGTCCATACGTCGTGATGACTACCACCCTTGACATATTCCATCAGATGTTGGGGATCATAATGCTTGATTGGTTTTCAAGGACCCTGCAACAGACCGTCTAGGCTCTGCAGGTCTCCAAAGCACTGTGTTGTACCATCAGGTACAAAGTACTGGTTTTCTGCTACGATGAGAATGGGAATATTGAGTATTGATGTCAGAGATACTACACAAATGTCGTGTCAGCTTGTTCCATATCCGATTATTATTCCATCACCCATTCTCTGCAGCTATCTAATAATAATAATAATAATGCTGAAGTGACCTTCGAGATAGGAAGTACGGAAGAGACAGCAGCTCGAATCCATCGTACTTTGCCTGGCGCAAATCCCGGCGGAGGTTTATTTTCCAAAAACCCAACCCAGTCAACCAAACTATCTAATCCTCATTTGCTCTTCCGCGGTTCTGGCGCCGTGGCCCTTCGCCACCGTCCAGATGGGGAAAGTATGATGAATCATATCAGCAGTGCACGGAGAAGCAGCTGATACCTGTTACAAAGCGAATTACCAGAGCCAAACAAAGAAATAGAACTCATGATACGGAATTCGAAAGTCTCCCGATGTGCATTACTCTCGAAGAGAGTTCTGTTTCCGAGCAAGTTCATGGCTGGTTGTGATTTTGTCTTACCTTGAATATGAGTAAGAATGCCAATTTTTTAGTTGTTTACTTCTATCTTCTAAGTAGGTAGCTACTGCTGCAAGATCACACGATGGGCCCATCATCTTTTAGACTTCAGAAGGTTGGCGGTTGTTCTCCACCAGGAGATTTTCGCTGGGAGCTTCTCCCGCTTCGATTGTGGACCATCACCACAGGCGGATCGATTGCATATGAATAGATCGTTCTTCAGCGTCTGTCTATCTGATCTGCTCGAAGAACTTCAACTTCTAGGATTATAAATCACACGGAATACCTATCTCAGACATAGATTGCTAGAAGCCCTTTTGAGAGAATGCTTATGGAATGCAGGAGCATACCACTGTTCTCAAAAGCCGACAATACTCGTCGGTCGTATTCCGATTTCCGTGTACTTTTGAGGCAAATAGATAGGTATCGTGAGCGCGGAGCTGCAATATCCATGAATTCCGCGGGTTGTTATTCCATCCCGATCTTCAATCTTCTAACTCCGTCGGTGCCTCAGGATTCATGCAATAGGGTTCAAACAGAGAAGTGAACTCGCAGTCGCTGCAACCTTTCACGACCTATCTATCGACTCGAGACTTTCAAATTTGAATGATATTCAGAGCCAACTCGTTTCAAGCTTCGGCTTGGATCAGAAAGAAATGCTGTGTATTTTTCACCATACACATGATACACATCAAACTTGCGAAGCTTAGGTCGCTCGCTCGAGTTGCCACTTCCGAGGCGTCCCAGGTAAAAAATAAAAGACGTTGTTTCATCAACAATTGTCAGTTGTCAGAAAAGATGATCGAATCATACATAAGACCATAGTACGATGCAATCCGGGATGGAGAATGCAAGTCGCCCAATGTGGCGGTCCGATCCCGGCAACCTGCACTTCTGAAGGGAGCTGGCTCCACTTGAGACGCTCTGGGTAGGCTGGGTTCCGCTCATGGAAACTTCCACAGAAGGAGACACGGCGGTGTGTGGCTAGTAGATAGGAACACTACGGTGTACTAGTCTACATCCGTACAAACTACATACTAAATCCCTGGTAGACCAGATTATCGATTTTTACAGTACCTTACTACGTAGAACCGACCTCGAGGATTCTTGGTTGAGAGTGGTTCAACTATGGACTAGCATCATGATAACCATGTTTCGATATGCGAATGTGCCTGTTGAAGACCCAAGCGAGTGTACAGTAGAGGTAAAGGGAAGCTCGTAGAACTGAAGTTATATCATTCTACAGAGTACTTAGCGAAATCTACTCTACGGATTGAGAAAATCATGGGTGTGTCGAGCGATGTTAACCGCCTGTGCTATTTTGCTGTGTCATGGAATGGAATCCCTCGGTTGCATCGGTTCATTATTCGAATAGTCGTCTGGACGTCTTGACTTTGATGGTTACGGCCAGGTACCTTACAAGAACTGTGAAGCTGGAAAAGGCTTGAGCCATTGCCAATGCTACATGTCCACTGTCATACTGGAAATATCAGCTGATCTAGTAACCATTCCCATCCTTCAGATGTAACCTATTATTCTGCACTTCCAGTGAAGCTATTCGATATGTTCTGTATGTACACAAACAGGGATAATAATTAACCGCCGAGAATCTAACCTACCATCCACCTGGCTCGAGTTGCTGATCTAACCACTTGACTTTTTTTTTTTTTTTTTTTTTTTTTTTTTTCTGCCTACCCGGGATTCTCTCGGCCTAGGGGCTTTTCCCTCGGTAGTTTTGGTCTACGAGTTCTTCGACGTTGGACGACTCTTTCTGCTTTCTGGATAGTGTCTGCTTGTGTCCGGGCCACTACGGAAGAACGCCGAAGCCAAGTCTGGATCGTCTACTTTGTAGTTTCAGGTAACCGCGACAGCCAATCAAAAAATCAGTCTGCACTGGAGATGAGAGCGCCACACACCTCATGCCAAGTGGAGTCTTGACTTTTTCTGGTGGATGGTGGGCTTGAGTGTTGTCTGATTTGTTGAGTGGTTGAGGTCTCCATTTTAATCCCCTAAGGCAGCTTAGCGGATCTGGGCCTGCATAGCTGAATAATCAGCTTATCTGCATATCACTTCTTCGATCCTTTTGGTTTCTAGGCCGCCGTATTGTTAATTCGCTGCTGTTGATTTTTTCTAGAACGACAAAAGGTGTGAAGAGGAAGCCCCGCCAACATCAACGTCATTGTTTACAGAAATCAAATACAGCGTATGGACTTATCACTACGGAGAATTCGGCTCCCTCAAATGAATGTCAATTGTATCGGATGCCCAACTACAAAGGACGAGATATAGAAATTAGAAAGCGCACCCATACGAGGGATTTCGCCATGGACCAGAGAAGCGGCATCAACTGTCTCCATTTCCTCACCTGCCGCGTCAGGAAGCCGGGAAAAGAAATATCCTGGAGGCTATCAGAGTTTCGTTTTTTTTTATTTTTTTTTTATTTTTTTTATTGGCATTTGGATCTTGTTCAGGAGTTGCAATCAGATACAGCAGGAGATTAATCGACGCGCAATATAGAAGGCTGTGCTGATATAATTTGAAAGTGCTTTGTACCGTCTCCGTAGACCCCTTATTATCACGGCATCGTTGAGGCAGTGATCGATGGACGGAGTACTCCGTTGTACGTACTGTATCCCGTAGAATACCTACCTAGGTGCCCTATTGATTCCCATCCCGCCCCTGAGTCTACGGCTATGAGGATTGAGGATACTGCGGTAGTCAATAGGCATATTGACAAGAGGTTACTTTACCTACGGGCTGTTTGTTCCTGTCGAGCGCTGATTATCGAGACTACTTGATTTTGAAACCTCCCCTGTCAATCATGAGACCGGGGAAGAGGGCGTTTGATCGCCGAATGGAGTTCTGTCTAGTGTCTACGGACCTATGGAGGCTGGCAGGATCACACAATATATAAAGTTCCATAGCTCGAGTATAACTTCACTCTCGGCGACGGGATGGTACATTATAGTGCAGAACCGCCAATACCTATAGGCTATAGCCCCGTACAGGGTGCCTAGCTGTTTAGTGACCAGAGCACGGGGTCTCTAACCGCTCTATTGAGGACTAGCGATTCGTAGGGAGCGCTGAAGATAAATTGGCATCGATGGCAATTTAAATATGACTGAGTAAATGACTTCCCGTAGAACTATCTACTACTGTTCCACGTAGTTACAGAGTACCTACTACCAAGTCCTGAAGTCGGTATCGTCGAGTTCCATACGACTATAATCAACTCGGTCACGGCCTCTTGGTCAAGCCCCAATTCGTGGTTACCCCTGAAATGCTCATATCAGAATCACATATAAGGGAAAGGGTTACTATAATTATCAGCTTCTCGGCATCACCTGATACGGAGCCCCCCTTCGCGCAGTAGTTTATTGGATTTGCTGTACTTTATATAGATTGCAAGGAGGCCAGGAGGCCAGTTCGCCCTACAGGTATATCTGACCTCCTATATACAGGCTTGACCGTATTCGCCACAGACATGCATAACCCTCCGGGTTCATTCCTGGAGTTGGGATCGTATCCAAGTTCTCGCTGGCGTGAGGGTGTGAGGTGCAACTCGCGGTGGAGGTAGATAGCCACTCCTCACTCTCTGTAATCTGTATGCATCTGAGAAGATGCCTACAGAGGCGAGGTGGCGGAATGGGATTCCACATGAAATCAGAATGATATGTAAAGGTTGCCCCGTTGAGAGTCCTTGCCTTGTTAGATGGGAACGGTGAGGACATATACCGGACTGGCCGTGAATGATGACGATAGTTACCTACCCCTTGGGAGTGTTTTTCGAGGATTGAGTTGTACATGTGTATGTAGTTCATTTCCTTGAACAGGGCTCTTCAACCCAGTGAATTGCAGTTCGCTGCGTAAGTTTGCCAGATTTGTTCTTCTCTCTGCCCCCTTGGGATAACCTTCTTGACTCAGTCCCAGTCCTACCATGGCTCATGTGAGGTGATGGACAAATGCACTGACTGAATGATGGCCTGCCTGATATTATATGACAACTATAGCGAGATATATTCAATAAAAACACCAACGAACTACTTGGACGGCTTGCCTGTTGATACCTGCCCATCCTCCTCACTTTCACTTGGTTGATCCTCGACCTCCACCCCCACATTGACAATCACCTCCACGCCGTGGATGGCATGCTCCACATTGATCTTTGGGCCCTTGAACCACTTGCGCGCATCCACCACCCACCAGACGGTCACCGCCAGCATCGGCGCCCCCCAGACCAGACAGGTCCAGTTCATTTGGTCCGGCGTCAAATTCTCGCCCCTGACGCTGGGAAGACACAGAATAGGAATCATCAACAGCACAAAGAACACCCCGATACCTCCAATCGCCGGTCCGAACGGCCCCAGATGCCATGGCCCCTTGCGGAATCGGTTGCCTACGAAGAACACCCGGATTGCAATGGGGATAGCGAACGCCACGAACTGTGCGATGGCACCGATGGAGAACAATGCCCCAATGGCGACATCACCTGCAAGCATGAGGAGACACATGAGGATGCCCAGAACAGTGTTGAGAATGACGGCGTTGACTGGCGTCTGGGTGGTGTCATTCACCTTCTTCCAGATCCGAGACAATGGAAAGCAATCGTCCCGAGCATAGGCGTACGTCACTCGTGACGCGGCGACCATGCAACCCTGGCCCATGGAGAATCCGCAAACAATGGTGAGTCCCAGGATGGCCATGGCAGTCTTACGCGGCATGACCTGCAGTAGGTAAGACGCCCATGGTTGTCCGAGATCCGAGTCAATCACGGCCTCGATATCGAGCACAGTATAGGCGACGACAAGCTGCAGGAACCAGCCCATCAGGCCACCAACGCCGGAGGTCATCACGATGGCACGCGGGGAGGCAATATTGGCGTTGGAGCATTCCTCGCTCAGGTGGAAGGGAGAGTCGTATCCTGACATGGTCCAGATCACCCCAACGAAGGTCATGAGCACAGCCACCCCATCCGGAAAGTCCGTCATATTGGTAATGTTACCCCATACTTCCTTCGAGGGCGTGAACTTGGGTTCGTTCTTCGTACCCGCGGGAATGGCGATTATGACAACGACCAGAGCAATCATGTTGAAAGTCGAGCCATACGAGTTGAATTGTGCAACCCATTTCGTCGGCATACTACTGATGAAGGTATGTAGGATCATAACGAGCGTTGTGAGGAGGAACTTCTGCCAGCTGGTGGGTACATAATCTGGGTTGGAGATCGAGGCAGCAGCCAGTATCATCGCGGACAATGCATAGTCCACTGACGGCGCCGCGGTGATCTGCCCGATCCAGTTGGACCACCCTGTGAGCCAAGCTGCAAAGGGTCCGTAACCTGGGGGTGCGAGAACTGCTGCTGCATAGTACAGCCCTCCGCTGCATGTTTGTGTAAGTCGAGGGTGCCAAGGCAAAGCCAGTATAGGCAAGGTAAAAAAAGATAAAGAGACTCACCTCGTCGGCATCGCAGAGCAAAGCTCAGCCATTGACATAGCTACACATTGGATGAAGAGCATGGCGATGATCCAACCCCAGACCATACCCGCGGTTCCTGCGTAGCCCATGCCTATACCGCCATCAGTCCCAAGGTCGTGAGTTGCGCGGGTGGAGCAAGAACCCCCTTACCATAGTACAATGTGCTCGCGAAAGACGGAAGCAGTCCAAGCACCGCAAAACTGACGCAAAACGTGGTCCATAGAGAAAACTCGCGCTTGAATTCTTGCTTGTAACCCAGAGCCACAATCACCCGCTCATCCGCGTCCATGGCATGGTCGGTATAAGGAATATCCCCATTCGGCAGGGCCGATGTGACAGGATCATGGTCGACATCTTGAAAAATGGCCTGGGTCGATGAGTGCTTGGACGATGACATGGTAAGTATACCAAATATGATGCAGGTCTTCCCCCTCGTGCTCTCCAAGAAAGAGAAGGGTAGTAGTAGGAAGAAACCGAATCAAGGTGCCCCTCCACAGAAGATAAAGTCGGCAAAAGCAGCCTTGTGTAACCAGTGAACAGTGCTTGATGGGCGCATCTGCACAGAGCTGATCTCTATAACTCAGAGACCCAAAATTGGGCTACACGGCAATAGATATACTCAACCAAGCCAACCGCAAAGTTCGCCGACGACTGACGCTGGTATCAAAGCGTTCCGACAACCACCAAGCCATTTGGCCATCGCTATCGATGATATATCGGCGTTCCGACAGGAGACGAACCCACAGGTCTGATATCGAGACTAGTTTGAGAGAGATTAGAAGGCGGGGGGGGGGGAAGAGAAATGCAACAATATCTGATACGCTTGGCGCATTGGTCACGCTGAATCCAGATAATCTGCACTGCGCAACGATCACCAGACGCCAGGGGCGAATCAGACTCGATGCGGTGTCAGATGGGATGATATCCCCCGCTTTTCTCCAGGGTGAAGGCTTGGAGCATGATGAGTAGATAGCAACTATCAAGATTCAAGGGTATTCCCAGCCTTTCTCCTGCAAGCTCTTCGGCATTTACACAAAGCTTGGCGACGAGTCCATACTCAGCGAGGAAACTCCAGGCGGCGAGGGGATGAGGAAGCTTGAGACTTTCGAGCTAAGATGAGAACAAGAGTCTAGTGAGTCGAACGACATTAGACGATGGCTCTTATCAATAACTCGTGATGAATAAACTGCGTTCAACTGGTTGAGTGACTGGGGGTTGATAAGAGCAGAGATACGCGGTGAGATAGGCGACTTTCAGCTGGTCGTTGAGAGGTCGCAATTTGGAACGACTGATAACGTCGACTGATCGGGGCATTACTACATCCGCATTTATAGGGAAAAAAAAAAAAAAGGAACTCGGACATTGGCTGTTCTGGACTAGGGTATACCTGCCGTTGTAGGAAAATAATCGACAGGGTCGGCGAAGGATAGAAGCAGGCTTCATACATGTAGCGCCGAATAGATACACGCTTGCTGCACGCGAACGCCCCTAAGCAGCGAGTTGCTGACTCTAGTGTAGGCATCACTAGTCCGCTTGGCTTAGGTTGGAATTGCCATGTCCATAAATATGTGGCTGTCTCATGCCATCTGAGCCTATGTCCATGTCACACGAGAAAATAAATAGAAGGAGAAGAAAAAAAAGGTTTGTTGGTAACCAGACGTGTCTATGTGCTATCAAAAACCCATCGCTATTCTACACAGTACAGCACCGATCCCTTTGCTTTCACCACTGAGCTAGGACCGCACGCACATGACCAATCAATGGAAGTGGCTTCTCGGGGCGCAAAGAGACGGCGGAGGAATTGCAATTCGCGAGAATCGTTTAGAACGGCTAGCGCACAGTCAGCAAATCTAATACAACACTTCAAATAGACGAGGTCCTGGAATACGTACGTTGTCCTCAGCAGGGATGCTCCGGTCATAGTACTCATCAAGGAAGGGGACCTTGCGCAGCAGATCGTTGCGCACACGGGGGACCTCGCCGAAGAAGAAGAGGGCGAAGACACCAGCACTGACGCCGAAGGCGCTGGCAATAGTAGCACTAATAATCCAAATGTATCAGTATAAGTCATCCTCATTTTGTCCTCTTCAGACGTGCCGCGAGAGAGCAACAGGGGTTGAGACTCACTACTTGGTGGCAGTGCTAACGTTCAGACCCTGGATGTGAGGAGGAACATAGTACCTGCAAATCATCAGACACCGTTGTTAGTATAGTCCCTAGTATAACAGCTCAGTTGCTCGATCACACCCATCTGGTGCTTCTCTAAAACGAATGGCGCCAGAGATCAACATCACACAACGAGTCCCGAAGCATCAAGTAACCAGCCAGTTGACACACAACCAACGACTAGTGACTTGACGCATCCGATAACCTCATACACAATCCGAAAGCATCCGTTCCCTTTGCCTAGCATGTACCAAACGTGGAGGAGGAGGAGGTCTATCTCACTTGGGAGCAAAGGGAGAGCGGTAGGCGCCAGCATACTGGGCCGCAGCACGACGAGCGGTTTGCGAGAACTAAACGGCCAGAATCTCCGTCAGCAATTGAGCGAAATACAGCAATGATCTCAGAAGCGTCGTCATTGTAAAGCATGCGGAGGGGGATTGCTGGTTGAACATCACACAGAGAGCCTCTCGCGCGCAATTGCCAAGAAATCCAAACAGCCTGGCAGAAAATGCAGACAGCACTTACCATGTTGTGGCAGATGTATAGAAGCTCACTCGACACGAGGATTGCTCCAGTAAAGGATGAACAGCGACGGCAACGGGAATTCGAAGTCGTTCGACGAAAACCGGGAGCCTCCCGGGATGTTCAAGTGCTTGCGGCAGCCCGGGAGCCAATCAGAATGTGCAAATCGTACATCACGTGATTAACCCCGTGTCGAATAAAAAGTGTCCGATTTCCGATTCAGGCAGAACAACATACGGAGTAGATAGCAAGAAGTACTCTTGCTGTCAATCTATTTGAACGATGCACAGTAAGACAGATAATATCCATATTCTTTCATCGACACTGGTTCCCTGTCATCAAGAATAGAGATAGATTCGTTTGCATAGCTATGGAAGTGTGTATGGAGCCCATCTCTAGACATAATGCCACACCCGTTTCCTTTCTTATAATGTACCACATGTCCTGAAACCGCTCCGACAAAAGAACAACCAAAGTAAAACAGAAGAGAAGAAAAAATAAGAAGAATGTGAAGAAGAGGGGAATTGGAGATGTCATGTAGGGGGAGAACGAGTTAGTGATATTATGACAAAACATTGACAGAGACGTCCAAAAGAAGATTGAGCAATCAAGAAGAACATGATGAAAAAGAGGAGACCAGCTGTACAATGCTTTTGAGGCTGTTGTCTAATCAACTTTTCCGGTGGCGCCGCCGTTCAGTAGACCTTCCTTTCCATCGAGACGGAAGAAACCACCGTTGCTGGCCTTGGCCGCACCAAGGATGCCATCGCGTCCAAGACCGCGCTTGGCAAGTCTTCCTCGAGCTAGGTACGTAGTAGCGGCAATAGTGATGGTCAACAGGATAGCGAAAATAATAGGATGACCAGAAATAAAAGACCGGCTGACAAAGACAATAGACTCGAAAGTGCCGATAGTCGACTTGGGCGTTAACTTTGGCGAGTTGGAAATGACGAGAGGAATGGTTTCCAGAATAGACGTACGCGAGGCCATGATGGACGCTCCGCTAGAAGTAGAGTCCCAGTAGCGTCGGTTCTGCAGAAGGGTGAGAAATTAGCCAACGCTCCGCGGGGGGGGGGGGAAGAAAAAAAAAGGCACGTTGCTTTGGTGAACACTTACATCCTGGTCGTTGATGATCACACGCTCCCCATCCTTCACGTCGAGGCCAAATGTGGTCTTCAGCCAGCGCTCCCAAAACTCGCCATCAACCCAGGCAAATCCGACCTGCTTTTTGTCGTCTTCACGGATGGTGATCCGCGTATTCTTGGCTGCACGCAGCGCACGCTGGTCATTACGATCATCTGCCTCCTCGATACGTAGCTGTTTGGCATCCCGGAGTTCTTGGCGTTCCAACCGGAACAACTGAGTCTGCTTTTCCATCCATTCAAGAGCAGCACTCTTCAATTCTCTCTTGGCGAGAATGAAGTCATCCGAGCGGTGGCGGCTCAAAATACCAAGAACGACGTACCTTCCGTCCATGATCTCCCGCGCGTTCGAAACCGTGAGCTCCGGAACGATGGGCAGCCAGACCGACCGCATCCACTTGAGTATTTGCCGAATATCCCGCATATCTTTGGGAGCAAGTGCGTTGTAATAGCTGGGCCGCCCGTCTCGAGACACCAAAAGACGAGGCCAAGTGGTGATCTTGAATCGCTCTGCTAGAGCAGCACTGCTGGTCTTGACCATTCTAGCGTGACCAATCAGGCTGAGAGTCAAACGCTCCATTGCCTCAAAATCTTCCGAGGTAGTCGCATGGTCATAGAAATACAGGAAAATAACCTCCTCCTTCTCTTCAAGCTCCTTGAATTCAGCCGCATCAACATCCGGGATACCAGATCCGATATCCACGGCCTTTTTGGCGTAGTTGACTAGGTCACCTAGGCCACGCAACCCTGTGTATTCGACTCTTTCACCACCGCGGAAGAAATACATTGTCGGATAAGCGTTCACGCGAGCATCCTTGCAGAGTCTAGGCTCCGCGTCACAGTTAACCTCTCCAATGTTAAGGGTATGCTGCATCTCCCGAGCCATCCCCCCCCATACAGGAGCCAATGCCTGACAATGACCGCACCATGGGGCGTAGAACTTGATAAACCATGGGTCTCGAGTGGTCGTGACAAGCTTTTGGAAGCTCTCAGCTGTAAGTGGAACGGAGATGCCCTGAGGATTAGCAGGCGCAGACGGTTTCTTCTTGGCAACCTTGGCCGCAGCAGGTGACTCGGCGGATTCCTTGTTGACAAGTTGAGCAGCCTGTTCGTTATGCTTTTCACCGGCTTTAACGCCTGCTTCACGGTCCTTGTCTTTGGCAGCTGGAGTTTCCGGCGCGGCACCCGAGTCAACCTGCTTGTCACCCGGCTTGGGAAGTTTGACACCTTTTGGAGGACGAGAACCCGGCCGAATCGATTCCAATTTCCCTTCTATAAACTCGCTGAGACCTTCCATTGTCTTCGCCCCTTCAAATTGCTCGACAAGTTCACCATTACGGTACAGCGAGAACGTCGGGAACCATTTCACATCTAGCTTTTTGCACAGATCGGCGAATGCTTGGCAGTTCATCGAGGCGAAGTGGAAGTTATAGAATCCCTGGAAAGAGTTGAGAGACTGCGTATCGGAGGAGGATGATATCGGTTTCGATGTCTACCGCATGTTAGGACAACACAGACGGTTTCGCAAGAACGATAAAAGTACTCACATAGTAATATTCGTATAGAGTCTGCCATGTGGGAGCGATGGCTCTGCAATGCGGGCATGATGGAGAATAGTGCTTCACGAACCTGCTAGATGTTACCATGCTGACCTATGACCTAATCAAGCGTAACAAGAACACATACCAGTAGCCCTCCTTGATAGCCTGGTCAAAACTCTCGGCTGTTAATTCCTTCAGGGGTGGCACTTCAATGCCATTGAACGTGGTCGATACTGGGCCTGAGGCAGCCTTTTCAACCGGATCGGCTCTCTTGACAAGCCGGCTGTTTGTAGAGCCGATATCGTTCGCGGTTCCACCAGAAGGAATGGCAAAAGTTGGGATCGATAGAAGGGACAGAAGCGACCACGCCAGCAAGGTGGGCCTCATCCTGATGACCGATTAAGGGTAAAGTCCCGGGATATGGAAAACTGGATAATGAAAGCGAAAGTCGAGGTTAGTTGAAGAGAAGACAGAAGGATATTTTCACGGTTGACACATTGGACTGATTTCCACGTCTATCAACTGGCTCGATCGTCGGAACAATGTCAGGGGCGAGATAAGCAATGCAGCAAGAAGTAACTGCTTGTGATTGAAAGACACCAGACAAAGGCCCCTGACTGCGAGGAGATTCGACCTCGAAACTGGGGGTGAGTAAATGACGAAAGTGCGAATGAGTGTTGGAGGCCCCCTTTGGCACGATGGCTGATAAAGTCCAGGTCGACTGGGAAGTCTGGCCCCATGAATTAGTTCGCCCACTGATTGCTGACTGGCGACGGGGGGGGGGGGGCATTTGGCAGTGGCCTCACGGAAGCTGTGTTTCTCCGCTGTCCGACGGAACCTCAACCTTCGATCATTCCGCAACGACAACTCTGGAGATAGCAGATAGTCCCGCTATTATCGAACTGCTTGGCCATTGGGGTTGAATATCGACCCCCTTCCGGTCAATTCCTTTCTTTGATTCTTCTCAGATATCTCAGATCAACATGAGATCGACGTTCCGGTTGTTGGCCAATGTCAAGGCCGCCCGGTATCTGGAGCCCTTCGCTCCTACCGGCTTGACCGGCCTAGCCACTCACCCCAGTCCTCGTCCTACTCTGATTCACCTTTACAAGACTACGCTGGAGAACCTGAAGAGCTTTCCCGAATCTTCTGTCTATCGTCAATCCACCGAAGCCTTGACCCGTCACCGTCTGCAGATCATCGAGTCGGTAAAGCCTCCCGGTTATGAGGCTTGGTTGGAGCGCGTGAAGAAGGCCGTCGCAGCCGAACCCGAGCGATTCGCTTCTCTCCGCCTTGCCGATGGTACCTATGCCGGATCTATGCGCGATGATGGAAGCGACAACCCCCGTGGTGAGGAGTGGAATGGAGAAGCCCTGGAGGCGACTACTGAGGGACCCGCTCGCACAACGGAACAAGAGGAGCGGTGGCACAAGGTCATTGAGGATGCGACTACTGTGGAGAGAAAAGATGCGGACTTTGCGGTTGAGCAGATGAAGTGGGAGAATGAGCCCGCTCTGGAAGCCGAACAGTTCGTGTGACCTATGCTTTTGTCTTACAACTTCCCGGAGAAGCTGACCAACAATCTCAGGGTTTCTGAGATCGAGAAGCAGATTGGTGCCGGCCTTATTGAGGAAGTCATCCAGGTCGCAGAGGGTGAGCTGAAGCTTGTCCAGGAGATGTACAAGTCCAAGGTGTAAGTTTTTTCCCCCGACTATTCGTCGATACTTTCCCTGCTGATAAAACTGACATATTCAATAGCTGGGAAGAGCTCGAGGAGAAGCCTCGCCCGGGTCAGTGGGTCTATTTCGACCGCATCCCCCCTGCCGCACCTTAATGGACTTTGATGCTTCGCACTTTCTTTGATCCAAAACTACCTGTATTTATTAGCCAAAGTGGGACTACATTAGAGTGGGCACAAATCCAAGACAATCGCACCCATTATCACGAGCTGTGAACAAATTGAATCTCGCAGATATGGAAGATTTAAGTCTCGAAATTGATTCGTGCACGAAGCCTGTTCGTCGATACATATCCTGGCTCTCACGCAGTCTCTGACGGGGCCCTCCGGCGTATCCTTTCGGGCTGCTTTGGATTAGGATCGGATAAGAAGGAGCTTAGTTCTATTTTTCACCGACTAAAAATGAACCTGCTGGATCAAGAGGTCATTATCCGACCACTGTTGGCAGAGTGCACCTGGATGAGTTAAGCTTAGGGGAGGATGTGATGCCGTACTCTCCACTCATGTTGGATCCTCAAAGAAATTGACTATATGCAGAGAATGGCTCTTTTCCCAGTAGTTGGGCACTCTCACAGTTCATCTATATCTAATGGTGAGGTTGCAGTTGTACTGTTGTAGCGACGCTCTATACCTAGAGTGTAGATGGGTACGAATTGCGTAGGCGGTGGGCGTTGTGGGTCGCTAGCCGATTCGAGATAGCTGGCGGGAGTGCGTCTCCTTGTGGACACATCGCTGCCAGTCCCTGAGTGTTTGTGTTGACTTCCGCGGGCCAATTTGTTCGGGGACTTCCATCTTTGCTACGGTCGACAGCGTTTTCTGCTGCAGCTCATTCAGACGATTATTTTTGCACCCTTAGGCTGGGCTGTCCAAGCGGTTCGTGGCCGGGTTTCCACCTTCTCACAGGCCGTCCCCCGACGCCGCACATAGTGTCTCTACCCCCACAACATGAGATTGGATGTCAAGGTACGCATTTGTTTAAACATTTGCATTCTATGTTATCCCGTCAACTGCTTCCTGTCTCGATTGGATGAAGGAAACGCCTGCTAATTGTAATTGCGACCCAACAGAGACAGCTTTTTGCCCGCTCCGAGCGGGTAAAGGGCATTGACTTCCATCCTACGGAGCCATGGGTGAGCATTCCAATGATAGTGCGCTTTTTCAAAATAATGCTAATCAATAATTAGATCCTGACGACTTTGTATAGTGGTATGATAGGACACGAAGCAAGGAATGGGGACTGCGCTGATGAAGACATGCAGGTCATGTATACATTTGGTCATACGAGACACAGGTAGGTAGTCTTTTGGAAACACTCTTGAGGTGTGATTGACTAATCCTATTCCCAAGTCTATTATCAAAACCTTCGAACTCACTGATGTTCCTGTACGAGCGGGTCGTTTCATCGCCCGCAAGAACTGGATTGTTTGCGGTTCCGACGATTTCCAACTTCGCGTGTACAACTACAATACCTCCGAGAAGATTGCCTCGTTCGAGGCGCATCCGGACTACATTCGGTCGATCGCTGTCCACCCTTCGCAACCGTTCGTTCTCACCGCTTCCGATGACATGACGATCAAATTATGGGATTGGGAGAAAGGTTGGAAGTGCGTTCAGGTGTATGAAGGTCATAGCCATTATGTCATGGGCCTGGCTATCAACCCGAAGGACACCAATACATTCGCATCAGCATGTTTGGATCGCACCGTGAAGATCTGGAGCCTGGGCTCCCCTCATGCCAATTTTACACTGGAGGCCCACGAAACCAAGGGTGTGAACCATGTCGACTACTATCCCCAAGCCGACAAACCATATCTTCTCACAACTTCCGATGATAGAACCGTCAAGGTCTGGGACTACACGACAAAAGCACTCATTGCAACTCTGGAGGGACACACAAGCAATGTCTCATTCGCCTGTTACCACCCAGAGTTGCCGGTCATCATCTCGGGATCCGAGGATGGTACTATCAAGCTCTGGCACGCAAACACATACAGATTGGAGCAATCCTTGAGCTATGGTCTGGAGAGGGCTTGGTGTGTTGCATATCAACGCGGCAGACAAGGAATCGCTATGGGTTTTGATGACGGTGCGGTGGTCGTCAAGATGGGCAGGGAAGAACCTGCTGTGTCTATGGATGGGTCTGGCAAGATTGTATGGGCAAGGCACAACGAAGTTGTGTCGACGGTCATCAAGGGCGGTGACCCTACCATCAAGGATGGCGCACCGCTGTCCCTCCCCACAAAGGATCTAGGATCATGCGAAATCTATCCGCAAACACTATCACATTCCCCCAACGGACGGTTCGTGTCGGTTTGCGGTGACGGCGAATATATCATTTATACTGCTCTTGCTTGGAGAAACAAGGCTTTCGGGCAGGCCCTGGACTTCGCATGGGGTTCCAAGGACAACAGCAACGACTACGCTATCCGCGAGTCACCCACCAGTGTCAAGATCTTCAAGAACTTCAAGGAAGTTAGTGGGGGCCTCGATGTGGGATTCCAGGCCGAGGGTCTTACGGACGGCGTGCTTCTGGGTGTGAAGGGTCAGGGAGGAATTGGCATGTTTGACTGGGAAACCGGAAACCTGGTCCGACGCATCGAAGTTGAGCCCAAAGCTGTAAGTCACTCATTTCACCGGTTTGTGCAAGGGACCTTTTCTTACCATAATTTCAGGTGTATTGGTCCGAATCTGGAGAGCTGGTCACTCTCGCCTGTGAGGATACCTTCTATGTTCTCCGCTACTCGAGGGAAAACTACATCAACGGCCTGAATGCGGGTGAAGCTGATGAAGATGGTGTCGAGTCCGCTTTCGAGGTTGTTACCGATATCAACGAGTCTGTCAGAACGGGCCAGTGGGTCGGAGATTGCTTTATCTACACGAATTCGACGAACCGCTTAAATTACCTCGTGGGTGACCAAACCTACACCATCTCTCACTTTGACCAGGGAATGTATGTCCTCGGTTATCTGCCTCGTGATGGCCGCATCTATCTTGCCGACAAAGATGTCAATGTTGTCTCTTTTGGCTTGTCTTTGAGCATGGTTGAGTATCAGACCGTGGTACTGCGCGGCGACATGGACATGGCTGCGGAGCTGCTGAAGGATGTTCCTCAGGATCAGATGAACAAAGTGGCGCGTTTCCTTGAAGGCCAAGGCTACAAGGAGATGGCTCTGGAGGTGGCTACCGATCCAGAGCACCGCTTTGAGCTTGCTCTCTCGTTGAACAGCCTCGATACGGCCCTTGAGATTGCCCGCGAAGCGAATGTTGAACATAAATGGAAGATCGTCGGCGACGCTGCCATGGCAGCATGGAACCTCGCTCTCGCCCAGGAATGTTTCACCAATGCCAAGGATTTCGGATCTCTCCTCCTCCTGCAAACTGCCAGCGGCAACCGGGAGGGTCTCCGACAGCTGGCTGAACAAGCCTCTGAAGCCGGCCTCCACAACGTCGCTTTCTCCACTTTGTGGTCCCTTGGAGATATTGACGGCTGCATTGACCTGCTTGTGCGGACAAACCGCCTCGCGGAAGCCGCACTGTTCGCGCAGACCTACAAGCCATCGCGGGCCCCCGAACTCGTTGTCCAATGGAAGGCATCACTTGAGCAGGCCGGGAAAACCAAGATCGCCCGCCTCATCGGCGTGCCCCCCGGGGCTCCAGATAATGTAGCGACGGACGACGACCTGTTCCCAGAGTGGGACGAGTACATCCGGTTGGAGAAGGAGGGCGGTGCCCCCGAGCCGCCATCGTCGGAATCCCTGATCGATATCGATGCAGACGATGAGGAGACTGCCGAGACAGCGGAGAACGGTGCGCCAGAGGTTGAAGCGGAGGCTTAGGGGAGGGGCATGGTCGATGAGATGTAATAATGTGCAGAGAAAAGGGGAGCAGTGTTGTTGATCCAAGATTCAAACCCAATTAGTCCGAGCACCCTTTTTTTTTTTTTTTAACTTTTGTATTGGACACGATTCTCCTTTTTCCAACATAACTACCTAGATTCATTTGTTGAGTTTGCTTTTTTCTTCTCTGATCGAATTACTTTTGTCCCTAGCTTACTGTTGTTGTGCCTTTCATCCCATCCCCCCTTACGTGTTTTCACGACCGGCTTGGTCTGTATTATGGTCCTCATGGACAAATTTCAATAGTGATGACAACCCACCAAACATGAAGGCATGATCTCGTTCGCTTCGCTCTCCTTGGGGATGGTACGAAACTAACTACATTATACCTTACCTTTAAAGACTACATGCCAGCATTTGTATCCAGATTGCCCTAGTCGTCTGTTCTATGTCATAAGAGTCCAAACCACAAGTTCTACAAGCGAGAGACCCGTCCATGGAAAGATTCCATTGTTGTCTATGATCCAGTCATGTTCATGAGTTGTAATGGATGGCAGAAGGCTTTCGGGTATGCTTAAGCAGCGCAGAAGGAACCAAACCCAAATCCCAGATCAAAAGTATGAAAATGGAAATCAAAAAATGAAAAGAAACTCCAAGTCGGAACAAGCGAATGGTATGTCGTTACTGAAACCATCCGCAGCTTGGGACGTTCTTGAGACTGGCGGTTTCATCCGATGAACAAGGGAGGATCAGACCAGCAGATCAGGAATTCGAAAAACGAAACAGAAACAGGACGAATTCCCGGAAATCGAAGACTTGAGAAGAGAAAGTAGAACACCGGTTCCAAACGTTACTGCACTTTCTCATCCCTTTTGGACGGACAAAAGAGTGTCGTTGTATTTGCCCACATGGAAGAGAGAATAACATCTTGTGGGGGCCGACGGTGAGGAAGAGGAAGAAGCTGGTCGAAAGGGCACCTGCTTCAACCGATCTCAAATGCAAGATAAAACAGAAAACCGCTCAGTTGGGCTTGAGATAATTGAGGGGGGAAAAATTCCAACAAAGGGTGACGATGCCATAAGACTCCTTGTGCTAAAAGGAAAGGTCGAGAGAGACGAAAGGACACGAAAACAGGGCAGAAGGAAAAATGGAAATAGAAATGAAGACGGCAGGATTGTATCAAACAAATCCCCTTGGTCCCGAAATCAGAAAAGCCATTCCACCACCTCTCGGTCTAGGCTGACCATCTAAGAATACCGTAAAGCTGCTTACTCCGGGATGCTACCGAAAGACGGATCCCTCACACTGCCGCCGGCATCGCCGAGTCCAGCAACCGGTCTGTTGTAGGACCAACCTTCAAATTGCTGCTGCATAGTCGAAGACAAGACAGGTCCGTCTACAAAGGAGTCCTGCGGGGGCTCCCTGGTGAACTCTGTATCAAAGTTGGTAGTATCGGATGCACCCATCTACAGAGACCAGTCAGTCGGAATGAAGCATAGGTGGAGGGTGACAATAGGGGTACATACCACGTTCGGCCGGAAGCTAGGCTCATACTTCCTCTGAAGCAACTTTCTCCAATCTATGTTGGCAAAGAAGTGATGAGACTTGATCTCTGCGGCACCGTTGGCGCCCAGGCGACGCTGAGGGTCACGGTCAAGTAGGCGGGAGAGAAGATCGCGAGCGGCAGGAGGTACGATATCGCTGCTGGGGAAAGTCAAGGGTTCCTGGAGAATCTTCCGGTACATATCGTTCGTGTTCTCATCGTAGAATGGCGGGAGACCCGTCAACATCTCATAGAGAAGAACACCGAGGGTCCACCAGTCGACAGACTTTGTATAACCATTGCCGAGCAGGAGCTCGGGTGCAAGATATTCGGGTGTGCCACAGAACGCTATTTATACCGTCAGCCATTTGTTCTCCACATCAAGGGATGCATTCCAAAAGGGCCACCTACTGTTTGTTCGATCTTCGTCCTTCATGTCCAACTTGCATAGACCAAAATCGCACAAAGCAATGTGTCCTGTGTAATCGAGCAAGATATTTTCGGGCTTCAGATCACGGTAGATGACCTTGAAGCCGTGAAGGCACTCGAGCGCGCAGAGAAGCTCGGCGGTATAAAAACGGGCACGATTGATGTCGAAGCGCTGCTCTCGTTGGAGATGATGGAACAATTCGCCGCCATTGACAAAGGCCAAAACCAGATAGAGCTTCTCAGGAGACTGGAATGAGAACTTCAAAGGGACGATGAAAGGGTTGTTGATCTGCGCAAGCACAGACCGCTCTGCCAGGGTATGGGTGACTTCCGACCGCGAGATGATGTGAGCCTTTCGGATGGTCTTGAGGGCGTAGATTCGGCCAGTGTCTTTCTTCCTGTAGATGGGTCAGCGGCAAAGAAAATAAAACACCGGAGGCCACAGGAGCTAGGCACATACATGACCTGCATGACTTTGCCGAAACTGCCTTTACCCACAACCTTCAAAAGATCGAAATCCTCCAATTTCAAGCTACGTTGCTTGTTCTCGACAAAGGAAACACCAATCTTGATGGAGCCCGCGCCAAATTGAAGATCCAACCATTCTGCGCCGAGTTGACCCAGGTGACGCTCGTTATTTGCGTGAGCCGCAGCTGCCTTCTGGTTGTCCTTCTTGCTAAGCTTGGGATCCTCCACATACGGCTGGGCTTCTTCGAAACGAGGCATAATCTTGACCGCGCCAAGGAAGATGTCCTCACTGCGACCGACATCAGGTCTAGCCGCTGGGTTGCGCAGATATAGCTGAACGTTCAATTCCGTCTTGCGAGAGACATCGAACTTGAAGGCAGTATTGTCGCCAGCCCAGAGCGGATGGTCCGGGGAGCCCGAGACGGCATCAACGAAAACTTGATTCTTCTCGAAGTCTAGAAGGGCGTAAGGGAGGTACTTGGTCGAGTAGCGGCCATGGATGGTAGGTGCGGCGTTAATGCCACCACTGGTAGACTGCGGACGACCGTTCTGCGCGAAGGAGGTTGCCTGTCCATGGGCAGAGTGGGAGGAAGAGGAGCTAGGACGAACGGGGCTTGAGTAATTGTTGTTCTGGAAATGGTTTGTGAAGACCTGCTGGAAGTGCGGGGAAAGTGCGAAGCCCCGCCCTTCATGAAGGGTGACTATCAAGATACCAGGCTTGACCGGATCCACAGGGGGCGAGACGAGTGATTCCGAAGCATCTTGTAACCTGTTAGACAAATTGTTCCTGTCCACATGAGGTAAGGAGGAGCGCATGTGAGGGACGAGGATACGGTGGGATTGCCAAGGGGAAGAGGAGAGACGGTGTGTAGGCGAATAGGAGTCAACGTGACAACATACTGATTGTATTCGAATTTGTGGATGGGATACTCGGAGTCTGTGAAACTACTGGAGTCTCTTCGCCAGATTCACCTTTGATGGTGGATGTGGATGAAGACCGGGTGAAGGAATTCGTTAAAGGCGCAAGATGCGTCTCCTTCAACTCTGCGGAGGACAAGAAATGTTAGTCTTAAATGAAGAAGAGAAGCAACAGAGCGAAGGGGTTCATACTCTTGGTAAGCTTCCAGGACATCATAGAGGCGGTTGTGAATGGTATTTAAGGAGAGGGGGGTTGATAAAGTAGAGATGGATGGAAAGATGAATCGATCTGTTCTTTGAATAGAACCCCCAATAAAAAAGAAAGAGAGAGAGAGAGAGAGATAAAAGTCGATGTGACAACCAGTTTGGATAAGAGAATTGTTTCCAAAACAAAATCCAGGCTGTGATTGTAAAGTAGTGAATCAGCCTAATGCCGCAGACACAGACTTGCCACAGCCACAACACACAGAGGGAATCCTCTTAGATGATTGATAACAGACAATTGGTCTACACACAGGGAGACGGTAAAAGAATGATGACACAGATGGATAAATGGATGCTAAAGCGAACAACCGGGGCCGCGAAAAAAGTCGAGGGTCGGAATCAAAGGACACGACCCAGGTTGTGGGATGATGAAGTTGTAGATAGTAGGAGTACGGTCAGAATGAAGAAGGGGGGGGGGAGGAAGTGTAAGGGCGGACTTACTATGGAGTCGGTGATTTGATTGTCTCGAGGCTGAAGAGGGGGAGGAACCTCGCTGCCTGAGTGCCTCAAGAACTTGGCTGCCATAAATGAATGCCTGAATTGTTATCCTTTTGTTAGCCTCAGGCATAAGTGGCTGTGCGGCTCTACCAGCCTCAATTGGATTGTGGCAGCCACAGTCGCATTTGTCACCATGAAGATTACGTTCTGGATATTATCAGTACGACAGATTCTCAAATCTCAATTTCTTTTCGAGTCTCCAGCTTTTTACTATCTAATTCCTATTTACGGCGCTCATCCTTTACTACTCCTCGAATTGTTTGGGCTTCTAATCGTAACTCCCCGCGTACCTCCGCTGCGGCTGCGGAGACATCCCCTTGTTATCAGCCTCACTCTCATCCCGACCCCTCGACAATCTAGTTATCTTCCGTCGCAGAACTCTCACCTTTAGGATCTGATATCTGCCTCCTCGGAGTATCGGGAGGGCTTGGACGTGTGCTCGTAACGGATCAGGTTACTGCGGAGGATGATACGGTCTCACGATCGATGGGTGTAATCCGGAAGAAGACCGCCTCGCGCGGCACCGAAGCAGGCACCAAATATCACTGCGATATTTGCTCAGCCGATGTGACTTCAACGGTAGGCATTACCCCCAGATTTGATTGTCCGCAATGCCTAGGAGAATACCTCTGTTGACGAGATGCGATGATCTAGGTTCGCATATCATGCGCCCACCCAGCCTGTCATGAATACGACCTTTGTGTCCCCTGCTTTGCGGCCGGGGAGAAATCGAAGAACCACGACCCCTCCACCCATCCGTACCAGGTCATCGAACAGAATTCGGTGCCTATATTCCAGGAAGACTGGGGCGCCGATGAGGAGCTGTTGCTCTTGGAGGGAGCCGAGATCTACGGGTTGGGGTCGTGGGCAGACATCGCAGACCATATCGGTGGATACCGCAGCAAGGACGAGGTGCGCGACCACTACATCCAGACGTACATCGAGAGTTCCAACTTTCCTTTACCCGAACGAGCGGATCCCGACGATACGAGCCTTCAAGATTCTATCTCCAAGGAGGAGTTCCAGGCGCGCAAAAAGCGTCGGATTAAAGAACACAAAGAAGCAGCAAAAGCAGCGCCACCGACCACACCCAAGCAGAAGCCTACTGCCAGTGTCCCGGCATGCCACGAGGTGCAAGGGTATATGCCTGGGCGTTTGGAGTTTGAGACAGAATTTATGAATGAGGCGGAAGAGGCCGTGCAGCACATGACCTTCGAGCCAGGAGCTGGGGAGACGGTGAATGGGGAGACGGACGCGGAATTGGAGTTGAAGATGACGGTGGTCGACATTTACAATTCGCGTCTCACAGCTCGAACAGAACGGAAGAAGATCCTGTTTGAGCACAACCTGCTGGAATACCGCAAAAACACTGCGTTGGAGAAGAAGCGCACAAAGGAAGAGAAGGACCTGTTGAACAAGGCCAAACCGTTTGCGCGGATGATGAACCATGATGATTTCGAAGAGCTCAACAAGGGCCTAGAGTACGAACATAACCTTCGGTTGGCGATCGCGCAGCTACAGGAATGGCGACAGATGGGTATTGGCGACCTCAAGGGCGGCGAAAAGTACGAACAGGAGAAGCAGCAGCGTGCGCAGCGGCTCATGCCGCAAGGTTCTTTTGATCGATTTGCCAGTACGCGACCAAAGCAGTCGCAGCTACCCGAGGGGCCATCCGCTGCGAGCCAGCTCACGACACCAGAGCTACCTCTACGCTTACAAAAGGCCTCGGGCGCCCCCAAAGCTCTGGAGCCAGCGAACGTACCTATGAATGATTTTGACCGAGCATTTGCAACCAACGGAGACGGCACGAGCACGCCCCAGCCAGTCAAAGCCAAGTTTGTAGTGCAGCCGCTCACCGGCGTTATTCCATGGAAGCTGGAGAACGAAGGCGCACCCGATCTGCACTTGCTGACAAAAGACGAGGTGGAGGTTTGCAACGTGCTTCACATCCAGCCGAAGCCATACCTAGTGATCAAAGAGACGCTACTCAAGGAGGCGATGAAGCAGGGAGGTAGTCTGAAGAAGAAGGATGCCCGAGCTATCTGCAAGGTAACGCCGTTTGCCCGCACGGAATGATAATCAACGTACTAACAAAAGGTGTGTAGATTGATAGTACGAAATCAAGTCGAATTTACGATTTCATGGTGCATAGCGGATGGATTGACAAGGCATGAGCATGGTTTATTTTATTTTATTTTTATTCTTATTTTTCGTCCTTCTAAGGTCTTTGCACGATTCAATGCGTATTGTTTGATATACCTAGTCGCTTTTGTTGCATGGAGTCGAGAGGGAGTTTGGCGTTAGCAACCAGGGGGGAGGGGGAGGGATCTCTGATGAGCATGACAACCATTTATCCAACGTGAATAGTGTAGATATACTACTCGGTAAACAGTACTTCATTATTATTTTTAAGTGTCTTCTTTCCCTTCTTTCTAAAACACAACCTCTCATATGCTTGATAATTATCTACTCTGTACACAGTAGTCGATAGTCGTAGAATCGATTCTCCGCATCGCAACTTCTCCACCCCAATGACAATCGGGCCTCGGCCTGTCCACTACTACCCTCGTATTTTACCCCGTCTCATCCATATACCTCCTCCTTCTCCAATTTCCCAAGCTCGATCTTCCTCCCAACCACAACACCTATCTCTCTCTCTCAATAAGCCCACAAGCCTCAAATCCATACACAGACATCCTCGAAAAATGACCTTCACCATCCCCCCACCAACCCCAAAGTACAGCACCCTCACCTTCCCCTCCCCGCACATCCTCCTCGTCACCCTCAACCGCCCCCGCGATCTCAACTGCATCAACACCGAGGGCAACGCCGAACTCAACACAATCTGGACCTGGCTAGATGACGAGCCGTCACTGCGCGTGGGGATCCTCACCGGCTCCGGACGCGCCTTCTGCGCAGGCGCGGATTTAAAAGGTTAAAAAAAAAAAAAAGGCCCACCTACCAAGCCTCCCTCCCAAGCCCCGCCTAGATATATGTTTACTAACAGGCAGACACAAACAGAATGGAACTCCCAGGCCCAGAGCAACAGTACCCGCAAGCCCATGCCCGAAGGCGGCTTCGGCGGGCTCTCCCGCCGCAGCGGCAAGAAACCCATTCTCTGTGCCGTGAACGGGCTGTGTCTCGGTGGCGGGTGTGAGATGGTCATCAATGCGGACCTGGTGGTCGCGAGCGCACAGGCGTTCTTCGGGTTTCCCGAGGTGCAGCGCGGGGTGATTGCGTTGGCGGGGGCGCTGCCGCGGGTGATCCGGACCGTGGGGCGGCAGCGGGCGATGGATATGGTGCTGACGGGGCGGAGGGTGTCGGCGGCGGAGGCGGAGAGGTGGGGGTTTGTGAATGAGGTGGTTGCGGACGCGGACCAGGTGGTCAAGCGGGCGATTGAGATCGCCGAGCAGATCGCGGCCAATAGTCCGGATGCTGTGATCGTGAGCCGGGAGGGAGTCAAGCTGGGCTGGGAGGGACTCGGCGCCGAAGAAGCTACGCGGCTGCTGATCGATACCTGGTCCAAGAGGCTCAATGAAGGGGAGAACATCAAGGAGGGCCTACGCGCCTTTGTCGAAAAGAGAAAGCCACAATGGGTCGATAGCAAGCTATGATCCGGCAGACCTGTGCAGAGCGTGGGCAGATACCCAATCCTAAATGCGTACATATACTGTGCGAACTACTACAATAGTCTGAAAGAAAGAGGGGTCGTTTGATGAAGTGAGTTCATTAGACTCGATGCACTGCATCCGAGTCGGGTAAAATGTCATGAAAAAATGTATGCTAATCAGGTATCCCAGTAATCCGTCGCGCCGACCCTATGTTCGCCGTATCCCATGCGGTTCAGATTCCGTCCTGCGGCCAAACCGGTTTAACGTCGCTTCGAAATGTCATGTCTTCATGGACAAATTCACCTCCGTGATCGGCTCGCGAACCCCCCCCCCCCCCCAATGTCAGACTCTTCCTTCTGCCGAGGTTGTCGGGGAGAATAAAAAAGGGAAGATCAAGGGATGCTGAAGACGCCACGAAGAGTGAAAAGTGGTGTGGAGTCATCTTCGAGCTCACTGGAGATCACTTATTTGCCGCCCTTCTGCACCTTGGCGACCACGTTCTGTACTGGTTGGTACAGGGGATGGCTCTTCTCCAGGCCGGTGAGCTTGGCAGTGGCATCGTCGGCAGACATTTCGTTGAGAATCTTCGCCAGTTCGACGCTCTCTTCATCGCCAGGCACATTCTGGAAGCGGAGAGCCATTTCGACCGAACCCAGCAAGGCATCATACTTCATTCCCTTCTCCGCCAACTGCGCAGCAGGTCCGATGAAGCGCTCCTTGCGAGACAGCTTGCGCAAGGGGGCACGTCCCACACGTTCCACATTGTCTTCCAGGTATGGGTTGGAAATGCGGCTGATGATGGTGTTGACGTATTCCTTCTGCTCCTCCTCAGAGATCTCATGCTTGGCAACGATGAGCGATGCGGTTTCTTCTAGGACCTGGTGTACGATTTGGCGGATCTCGGGATCGGCCAAAGCCTCAGCGATCATCTTCTTTCCGCGCTGGTAGCCATAGTAGGCAGTGGTGGCATGGCCGGTGTTGACGGTGAACAGCTTGCGCTCAATGTAGGGCTCCAGGTGGTCGACCCAGTGGATGGCAGGGATATCGGGGTGGCCAACACTGCCGAAGGGGGTCTTCTCCACCACCCATTCGTAGAACTTCTCGATGCGGACATTCAGACCCTCACCGGCAGGCTGGTTGGGGACAATGCGGTCGATGGCGGAGTTGGCGAACTGGGCGCGCTCCCCCATGGTGCTGAGACGGCTCTCATCGGTGTTCTGCTTGATGAAGCCATGCAGGGTATCGGTGGCACCAATGGCGTTCTCACAGGCAATGACGGCGAGGGGCTTAGAGGCGGTGCGAGCATCAATACCCTTGGCGATGACGGGAGCAATGAACTTGAGGATGTTAGGACCGACGGCGCATGTGACAACATCAGCAGTCGCAATCTCCTGCACGACCTCACTCTCGTGGGTCTTGGAGTTAATGGCACTGTAGTTGGTGATGGTCTTGGTTCTCTCGCCCTCGTCGCTGACTTCGGTGACCTGGTAAGAGGGGTTGCTCGTCAGAGCATCGATGATCTTGTCCATGACATCAACGAAAACCACCTCATAGCCAGCTTCGTGAAGAAACTCGGCGACGAAGCCACGGCCGATGTTACCACCGCCGAACTGGATAGCCTTCTTGCCCATGGTGTGATGTTGTTTTAGTGAAGAGTGGAAGATGATGAGGTGAAGTAGATGACGAGGATGGATGGATGGGATGAATTGATTGAAGAAGGAGGGAGGCGTTGGATGATTGATAAATGTAGGAAGAGTACTTAGTAGTAAGTTGGTTGTGAATTGTAAAAGGATCACGAGGTAGGTGGAAGTGTCCGGGTGATGTGATGTAATGGAATGGAGGATGGAGAATGGAAAGTGGATGATGAAGAATGGAGGGGGCCAGAGGAGTATTTATTTGGCGAGGACGAGGGAAAGGGACGATAGTGAGGTAAAGCAAAAGTCAAGGAAGGAAAGAGCGATGATGCCACGAACGAAACAAGAAACCGGGATTGGCAGGAACGACGTAGATTGACTGGATGAAGGCAGTGGCAGCAGTCAGTACTTTCGAGTCCTCTCTGGTGACCTGGACACCTGGTCTATTCCCCAATTCTCCATACATTAGGGATTATTATTGACTAGGGAAACTACCTAAGGTACTGCATGAATCCAATCCAATCCAATCCCACCATCTAGTAAGTAAGTATCTATCCATGCCTCTCACTAGCTCAACTGTGGGTAGTCTTGCATGCATCGGATTCTGATACTGAGGGGCATCGGTGGGGGAGGGGCACAGAGGGTCAAGGATCCTAGCATGCTGGCTAATGGCTGGTTACTTCACCGGATGGCTTCATTTAGACCGAATTGTCCTGATGGTGGCTGAGGTTTACTTTGATTGGCATCATCGTGGTCTGCTGAGAATGTCGAGCAACCCTTTTTTGCCTCGTCCTCTGTCCCCGGTCGAATTATACCTACAGCAAAATCACCAGCTTCGCCATTCATCATCCCATACCGCGGATGTCGAATCCGTCTTCCAAGGAGAAGAGTACTCCGTGGTGAGATATCCCGGCCAGAAACTCTCCTGTAAGAAAGGACTCGTTTCTTCCAGGGGACGGACATTATTCGACCACTAACTACTACTAACTAACTCACTAAACAACCTAAAGGGACTAACTACAACACATTTGGGATCTTCCCACATGAAACTCCGTGTCGTCTCGGACTCTGTGCTCCGGCCATTCCCGTACTTCCAATCCTATCTTTCAGGTGGAATGTTGTACAGCTGAAGCTCGATATCCAGATGGAATGATGGGGAATAAATAATTCACGCAAAGCTGAACTTGGAAAAAGATGAACTCTGGAACTGCCTAAAAGCACTTGGGCATCATTCTCCCGGTTCCTGGGAGCTTTGACCGGAGAAGTAGCCCTTCATTCCGACGATTCGAGTCAAGGAGTTCTCATGATTGTCGCCATAAGTGCCAAAGTACAACTCCCTTTGTCAATCACCTGGGCTATCAATATTGACAGTCTATCTAGTTATCTCTTGAGCGATTTAGTATCGCAAGTCAACGGTTCATCCCGTATAGTGGAGCCGTTTGATCCTCCACGGAGTACCTCATAGATAAAGAGGATGGAACCGCCTTGAGCTTGCTGAGGACCTAGCTGCAGTTGCACAGAGTCTACAAGATTTGCACGTCATCGACTGGCCCAGCACGGTGTCACCATTTGCCCATCATTGCCCATCGTTGTCAAACGGTCACTGCGATAGTTGTCATCATCAGTCAGAACTGATGCTCGTTGTGGTCATTCGATGTGGATAATGGTTGAATGGTCGAATCCACTTGTGACGTCGCCAACAGCCAACTTGGCCGGCAGACCCAATAATTTCGCTGTTGTTTGCGTGTTTGGAGTTTTGGACGGTTGAAGTCTGAGCCCCATCCCCGACGCTAGTGCTTGGAGTAGACTAGTAGACAGTCCATAGCCACTATGGCTGGCGGAAGTCTGAATAACGGCTTCAACTGGTCCACCCATGACGAGGCAACAGTCAACACTCTAGAGTAGAGAGACTAGAGTGGAACGCAGTTATCTGTTATCGACACTTTCGATAGAGTACGTACTTAGGAGAAAGACATCAAATCGAAATAGGCGCTTGCTGTGGGTCATCATGTCTATATTCAACAAATACTATTTGCACAATCCTCCGTTCCTGGCCTTTCGCAACGCTGAGTCGTTTGACTCGTTTCTCTGCCTTTCCATCAATGGGGACCGTCCCAAAATTGAGGGTATTCCCTGTCGTTCCCTTTCCTTCTGTTGGCCCACCACTTTTCCTCCCGAGCTTTGTCTGCCCCTGACAATGTTCAATTTACCCATCCGTACACCCCCTTGGCGTCAGTCCGCGTTCACCTTTGTCCTGACCGAGTCCGAATCCTCCTCCAGCATCGGTTTCTTGGCTTCCGGTTCGTCCAGGACCTCCTCCTCTTCGGGTTTCGGGTGAGGCCGGGCACGGTCGACCAGTACAAACAGGAGACTGGTGATGCCACCGATCAGCAGCAGCCCGACGGCGGCCCAGGTCATGCCTAGAAACTGACTTCCGTACCTCGCTGTCACACCGGACTGTTTGCCATGCGAGTTGACAAGGTCAACGAATTGGAAGGCGATCACGGTCGCGACAATCGACGCGATGCTGAGACTGGTAAAACTAAGCTGTAGGTGCAAGGGGGGAAAAATTAGTTTGTTTTGTCCCTCATGCTACCACGTCCACCCCCCCCCCCCCCCATGCAACTATCCTGCCAATACCCCTGACGCCAGGCACAAATAAGTAACAGACCCAAAATGGAGGACTTACAAGTAACCCGGTCACCTCGGTGATTGTCTGCCGGGGCCCATTGCTGATGAGCAGCCACAACCTGGCCAGGATCACCAATCCCGCCGCCCCGAGCCCAATGCAGTAGAACACACCCATGCTCTGGCTGGTGATGCTGAACGCCTGGAAGTCGTCGCTCACGGCGACTGGCCACCCAAGCTCCGCCAGCGAGCTGGTATTTCCCGTCTCCTGTAACATCACCGCGGACGGCTCAAATGAGAAGAGGACCGTGCGGTTCGAGCATCCCGTTACATTCTGCCGCTGGTCCATCTCGCTGAATTCAAGAAATCCCGCACAGTACGACATGACATGTATCGAGTAGAAATCATGCATCCCGGAGTTGTGCGCCGCTAGTATCGGTGTATATATCTAGACACCCCGCATTGGAGTTAGACGGCGCGGTGGGAACAGTCGCACACCGGGGGAGCGCGAGGTCCAACGTACCGTGAGTATATCTGCTCCGGGCAACAAGCCCTTCTTGGTTCCCGCGAAGAGACATAGTATGCTCAGGATGAAGGCGATGAACGCGCAGATGGTAGGTAGGAAACTCAACAGACGAGCCATTTTGTTGGGTCTTGTGCTTGTTGTGTCGATCAATGACAAAGAAAGATCAGGTTGATCAAAATATCGTCTCCCGATCTATCCAAGAAAGACGAAAAGACCCTCATATTGTATGAGGTTTATTGTCCATGACGCTTTGCCGGATCATTCTTGCTGATGGCAAGTCGATGAAGACTCCAGGTATGAGGTATGCTTCCTTCAACACACGTGGGCGCTGAGCTTGGCCTTTCCCCCCTTGCCAATCACCCGGAAATTGATGTCCTCGAGCAAAGGGACAATCCTAGATCTGGGGAATGTCGTTATCTGAGCTCAGAGAAGATCCGAAGAATGCTGGGGGGGAGGCTGGATGGAGCATGAGGAATGTATGACCAGCCTCAGGCATGCCCGCTCCTGAGCCTCCTACCTTACAAGTGACACTTGTCTACCTTAATGCCTACCCCTACAAGAATATTACTACGATGAAGGTGATGGCCTGTGCTTCACCAGAGAGCAGAAGTCATGTGCCTTGGGCTTTCTCCCAGGCTCCATGAGATATGCAGGGTCAGCTATAAATATGTGTATATATATATATATATATATATATTCATTGCGGAATGCCCAACCACAATTAATGCGCGATCCCTTTGAGCAGAACCCATTGAAGTTGACTAGTCGGTCATTGATACAAGGGTAAGAACCCATATTTACTTTGATATTTTTGTGCTGGGTATGTATGACTCCTGGAAGTTATCAAGAACATCGTGACACGTCATGTGCCCACCGAGGATAACTGAGAGTAGCTTCCGTTAATTTGTCCTGTCTCGCATCTGTCATATCCAAGATCTGTCGCGAGAAATGTTAAGCATATACGGTGTACATTCAAGCTCATCTCAATTGCCAGCTCTCCTCTATCCTCTACGATAGTAGTTTTCCGAGCCTGTATGTAAAGTATACATTGACATATCATGCCCTCTTTGTCTCGACTTGGTGGGATATTGATGTGGTAAACAGCATGTGAAGGACATAGCGCAACCTTCTACAGATAATCTTCTTCATCGAAGTCATCAAAAATCCAATGCTCGCATATCTGCGCTTTCTCATCCTCAGGCTCGGCTGCAGGAAGCGCATCAGCCTTCAGCTTCTGCTCTCGCTGCTTTCGCGTCCTCGTACTGATCGGCGGGGACCCAGCCCTCAGGTCCAACCCCAATGATGTTTTTGCAAGTCTCAAGCTGCTCATCTGCTTGAATCTGCGCAGTGTTCAATTGCAGACAATCTTGAGCCTCCTCGTCCGAGAACGCAATTGGACAAGAGGTTGCCAGACTACCGCTCGCACTTGAATCCGAACGGACGATCTGTGGCCAGTGCAGGGTGGCCTGTATCAAGTCTGCTTTCAAGGTCACGTTATCGCCTTCCCGGGGGTCGCTTGCATCTCAAGGCAGCTGGGTCGTATGTCAGGGCATAGTGATGCATTGGGTTAACTTCTGCGGTTGCCTTGACATAGAAGCAATGAAGCTAGCGTCTGCGCAGGAGCTCGCCTTGTCCGAACTGCTCTCTTTCGCTCAATTCATCGAGGTTAGACGGCAGCTCCAGAACCATCATCGATTCCGAGACATTGTCACCGTATTTCTGGAAACTTGTTTGGAAACTGTTTGGAATACCGCTCTGCAGGATGAGCGGGAAGACGGTGCAGTGTTGCCAGTCGATTAGACCGGTAATCTCAAGTGTATCAGAGATAAAGACATTGTTTGGTTGGAGATCAGGGTGTCGTATCGTTGGTCGTACGGGGGAGTCATTATTCGGTACAAGATGAGGCGCGATTTGCAGATATTTCTCGAGAGTCTCCCTATACTTCAAATGCGATTGCTTCCGGTAATTATAGATCTCTCTATAAAGACGTTTAAACAGATGCCATTTCCTTTCGGGTTCCAGCAGTAAAAACTGCCAATGGGTCTCTGTCTATGACGGATCAGCATAGGCCAGCACTGCGTAGTGACCAGGTGATAGCTAAGCTGGAAACGTACATGGACCACGATCGACCTGCAGGTTGAGCCTCTTCCCATACCAAAGTCCAAGCGTGGTATCCGGTCCAATGCAAAAGCCTCTCTCCTTCGTAGAACTCGTGGTTGCAATGTCAACTTTATTTGACCAGGCTGGCAGGTCTTTAGCATAATTAATACTGCCACTTGCCGGAATCTTCAAAGCAAATAACCGGGATTCTAGCTCAACAAGCTTGGTGATGATCGTGATCCGTGCCTTTTCAGGAATATCAAACCAGATATCTGTCTCCAAGATTCGTGCCGCGGACACGCTCCATGACGATGTATTCAGTGCCCGCGTTGTTTTCAGTTGTCGCTGAGTAGCTATAGACTCTAGGAACCGGTATACCGTGTGCACGAAGAAATTCCATAGTTGCAAGTTCGCTGGCCACCGCTAGGTATTTTGGTTCAGTGACGGGGTAAGGAATACGTGCAACGAGTTGAAGGCCATCGCACATAGTCACCAGAAACATTCGATTAAAGCCGCCTTCGGCAAGCTTTTCAAAGAGACTGACATCTTCTGGTGTCCGATTGACTGACGCGGCTGCAAGACGCTTCAATTCGAGTACATTGAAAACACGGCGCCTCTCGGAATGCCTAGAAGCATCATTAGAGCTACAGATAATAATTAGCGGAGCCTCAGCCTTCAAGTCCCAAAGACATAATGACGAACATCCATCTCCCCGACGTGTATTCGAACAATTCTGAAGGCTCTTCCATTGATAGGCTAGCCCAAGAACGCGATGTTGATGTACTGCATGTCCTAAGCTTGAGATTGGATGAGACAGGCGAGGAACAGCAATAAAGGGGGGTTTTAATCGAGCGACGAGTCAATAACCAAGAAGTTTTCATAACTCATTTAGGGAATGATTGTTTTAGGGTGAAGGAGATTTGAATCAGCACTCAGCATGAGAATGCTAATCGGCGCGTAAGTGTTCACGTATAAGTGTAATAGTTTCATCCCCAGCGCGCTGCTGGTCGTAGGTATTGAATGGTGGCGGGAGGGTGGGCCACAATAATAGGACTTTCAAGTGCGTGGAACATATTGAAACGAGCGTCAGATCAAACCAGGCCCTATGCATTGTTGTTCAAAGAAGGCATATCCAGAATGTGTGCTTTAGTTGAAGAGAGATTGGGGACGTCGAAAGCCAGGAGGGTGACAACACCCGCCAGGATCAGCTCATTAGATCAAAATAAGTTGTCTTGGTAGTCAAGTAGTTTTGGCTACTTGTGTATCGTCGGGTGTCTAAAGCGTAGTTCAGAGCAAGTAGCCTGACATGGGCAGCTAAGGATAGAATAGACACTGTTGCGTTTTTGAGAAAGAGGTACTGAAGATGAATTCGATGTTCTACCTTCAGCGGCTGTCCAGCAAGTTTAACCCCTTGTGAGACGATGTCGAGAATGTGTCAAACTACATGTGGAGGAAACTCACCTTGTGAGATGACTCGTCGAATGTACTAGCTAGTGGATCCCAGTCGCTCAGTAGAATATCACCAGAAACGTTAACCTGATTTCAGTTGAAAAATTCAACGTGCAGATTCCATTCTCTTTTGAACCGATGGTGTTTTGAAGACACCTGGGGTATTTCCCGCCAGGTCTGTCCTCAACGTACAATTACAGATCTCAGACAAGTCCCTGCTGGCTATGTTCAATTGAGCCATAAGCGCGTACCCATGATTGTTGCCATTGATACTCTTTGTCATACCCTTCGTCATTAACCTTCTGAGGTACGGCCAGGGTAGTTGAAGATCTGGTCAATCGCCCCGGATTTGATCGAGCACCGAGCTCAGGGATGCTGTTAAATCGAACCTGCATCTAACATCGTTAGATCGCTAATGGGCTCAAGGAAAATGTGTAAGATGGCCTTTCAATATTTCACTGATTTGAGACTCGCGGCAGGCCAAATAGATATGCAGTATGACACGGCGATTCTGAGCTCCGCACAGGGAGAAGAATAGCTGTCCTCGTTCAGATCTGCGGCATTTCCCGATGGCCCCCACGCATCATGAACTATACTATTAGTCTCCAACCTCACTGGTCTCGAACCTTAGCTCCCAGTCCAATAATGGTCTTCTAGAGCGCCTCTAGAAGGCAGCGGTGCATATGCACTATGCAGCGCGCCATCGATACATAAGAGTTCGTGGGTTGCTGGCGCGAGGAGTCAAGAAAAGGGGGCTGCGAACTGCTGATCCCATGATCTGGTACGGGGCTGAATCAAGAATTGGCCAGGTTCCCCGAACATCCTGCAAGGGGCACATGGGAGGCCGAAAATGCGGCACAGCGGCCCAGAATGCTCTCGGATAACGCGGTAATAGTGATATAAGCAGGGGGTGGGATGTCATAGCAGAGGAAATATCGGGTTTCAAGAGCAGGAAGCATTATTCATGGGAACAGCAAGAAAGAGCTTGTGACCAATTGCCGTTCGATACAACAACAGGTGCAAGTCCGTAGAACATGCAAAGGATGCAATGGCTCTCATAAGAACCCCAACTCATCAAAACAGACCATTCTGCTGGGCCGAGGCGATTCTCGAGTAGTACCACAGCATGGATTCGACCAGCGAACGTGAGGCATTTGATACGCTCCGGAGATTCCTTCCTATATGGCAGGCAGCTCCGGTCCAGAAAAGGGGGTTGTCTGACAATCTGACCCTCAGCTTCTGATGCTCACACGACTCGTACAAGCCTGTCAAGCCACGGAACTGCTAAGCACAGCTAAGCATCCACGATTCGTAGCCATCACGCCGCATTGCACCGCCAATGATGATCGACAATGGCAATGGGATCAAAGCGTTCGTCTTGGACATCGTCCCACGGAGCGTGGGCCCCTTGGCTACGATGCTAAGGCAAGGCTTGCAGGCGTGCCGGTCTGTCCGAACTACGAACACCAGCGCGATTCATTGGCACCTAAGCCTCCTGCAGGTATAGCGATCGACTAAGCAGTAATTTCAACGAACGGGTCGATGGAGCCGATCCTACCTCATGCCCACGTGCTCAAGGAACTGAGGAGATAGGCCAAGTTGACGGTGGACCGTAACAAGAGCGTCTGTTTGATGCCCATGTTTCATGTGGCGCATCCAAAGCTGTTCGTTGGTACGGAGTACTTGACTTGATTCGCGTCTAACTATCGGGCAGAAGCTTGAGCTCGGCACTGACATCAGCTTGTCAGGAGACAGGGATCCATCTGAAACTATATCCATCCCGAGATGAAACCGTATACGTCGCGGATGGATAGGTAGTGTGACATGTCTGGGCACATCAGTAATGGTCTCTAAGAGTAGGAAGACAGCTACAATATTTACATATTCATGTTCAAACAGAGATCTGTCATGGGGATAATTGTCATCGCCATGATGTCTTTCCGACAAATCCTGGCCTGAAGCGTATGATTAATGTGGCAAACTGGTCATGGTTGAGTCTGATGATTAGTCGAATACTGAGGTCTGCCGCAGATGGAGGTTTGGTTGAGCTACGGAGTACTAGACTAGGCTAAGATGCCTGAGGCACCAACTGGGAGGAACGTGTTCGAATAACCCACGTTCACTGGCTGCGCGTGTGATCGGAATGATGCCTGTCCTGCACGCCAAGATCACCGCTAGCTGTCATCTCCGCGTTATTCCATTATGCGAGGGGGTCGACATTTGGCCACGAGTTGATTACAGTTTACACAGATCTAAATAGTTAGTTACATTTGATCGATTGTGGAGGGGGGAAGGATTCGATTTCACAGTCCTTCACTGCTCATTCTTGGAGGCATGGTCTGATGTCTGCACTCTGGAGGGGGATTGTGCACCAACTGCTGAATGCACACCGTTTCCTGGTGGTTTCTAGAATTTCGTCAGCTTGGCCATCCGATCAGCACTCGATCTAAACTTCCATGGCAAATGGATGATATCTTGGATGTCTCAAGTTCAACCTCGAGAGCAACCCCAGTACCTCATCGTAGAGTTACTAGTGTTTCCTCTCCATCCTAACTCGATTTACTACTTACTCCGTAGTCCAAGGGTCTGAGAGCCCGCCTGACCAGGCTCCTCTGCAGGACGATGATAATAGTAATATCATTGTTATACGGGTATACCTAGTATCCAACTATCCATGCTATACCCATTACCCATCCAGTCTCGCCCTCACCTGCAAGCGGCGTTCTGGTCCGACTGTAGGAGAGAAAAAAAAAAAAAAAAGGCCGGTGTCAGATTGGGAATTTTCATTGGTCGGCATAGAATGGAAATGATAATTCTAGAAGGCGGTGATGGGTGATCTGAAGTTTTCTCAGCCAATTCTGCCACCACGTGCATCAGTGATTGGCCAGCGGAGGCCAAATTACCCATCCCGTCCCGCTTTCCGTATCCATGACCCCATGCAAGTCTGGTTCCGCCGCCCACCTACTACTGAACTTCCCAATTCCCATCCAGATTTTATATTTTTCGATTTTCGGCATGGATTCGGACGAGCAAAAGGAAAGGAAGGCAGCCAATGAGCCAATCTCAGGAGCAGCAAGTGTGCCACTCAATGGATCCTTCACAGCCAAGATTCCAGTCTGTGTTCGGCCGTTCCAACAAACTTTTTTTTTTTTTTTGGGAGGAAGAAGTAGGTTGGGTAGTAGACTACTGACTACGGAGTATGGGACGAGAACTAGTAGTTAGGCATGGTCTATGAACGTTGGTTATGGAGTGACCGGGGGTTCTCAAACTGCCCGCTACTAACTACTTACTCGAATGAGCTTCTGGCTGCCCACCCCCCCCCCCCCCCGTGGAACCCGCCACTTACTCTGGATCTGCCCAGACCTGCATCGACTTATCACGAGGCGCGAAATGCGCATGTGTGTGAAGTGAGCCGTCGTGCTGGTTGTTGGTTGCCTCTGCCCAGAGATTTATTATTTCTACCTTCGACCCGTCCATCATCTTCCTCGTATATAGTTCTAACACCAAGTTTCCCATCTGACTTGGCTTGCATCGTGCACCTGCCGCTCCAATCTTTCCTTTGGCCGACAAGAGGACAAGGACACTCTTCATCCGTCTGCCACAACTCTTATCTTGAGGGCCAAGCTCGATCAGATCTCATCCTCACAGCTTCCTCGACGACACAATGGCCGACTTTGGCCCACGTGCTCCTCATGGGCCTGACATGACAGGAACCCATGATCCTTTGCAGGATATGGACATGCACGAGAAGGGTGCTTTTGATGCTCTCATTCGTCCTGACGACAGTTATACCCCGGAAGGCGTCTACTGGGCGGATCTGCCTTTGATGAAGAAGCTGAAGTTTGTTGGCTCCTACGATGCCAAAGAGGCGAAGCGCGAACTCAGTAGCATCTGGGAGATGACCAAGAAGGATCCCATGTCTCCGGTGTCTTACTACTTCCGGAACATGGTGCTTCCTGGTGCTGGTCTGGGTCTGGAAGGGTAAGTGGTCCCGTGCGCTTTTGTTAGTTGGTGTTGTGTGAGCGAAGCAAGCAAGCACAGCGGAATCTGTGGGGAAAGAGCGATGGCTGACTTTTGGGTTTCTTGTCCCCGTTCGCGAATAGTTACGTGCTCTTTTCCATCGGAAACGTCAAGCCACTTTTCCAAGCCGCCTTCAAATCGTGTTGGGGGACACACCAGATTTGTAATGCTCAATGGATCAACGCCGTCGATTATCTCGAAATTGTAGGTATCATTGTTGGTCAGATTTTGGTGGGAATTCTCGGTGACTGGTAGGTTCTTCCTCCATTTTCTCGGATATACTTTGGTTTTCGAAAGACGCAGTCTCTAAAACGGAGTCTCTAGGATTGGTCGTCGTTGGGGTCTCATTCAAGATGCCACTATTATGTTTCTCGGTTTGGTTATGTTGGTGGCTGCTTGGGGTGTTAACCAGAACGGCTGGGTCATCTGCTATGCCTGGTCTCTGTTTATCTATGGTATCGGTGTTGGTAAGCTCTCAATTGCTCGATATACGACCTCCCGGGCCTCTTCTCACACATCATTACAGGAGGAGAATACCCCATGACTGCGACTAGCGGTATGGAGAATGCCATTGGCTCCGGAAAGGTTTCCACCAAGGAGGACCGTCTCCACCGTGGTCGTAAGGTTACCAGCGCCTTCTTGATGCAGGGCTGGGGTCAGTTCTTCAACCAGGTTATCCTCATTATTCTGCTGCTGTGCTTCCACCATGGAAGTGGTAACCCACCTTATTCGAGTGTCGCGGCTCAGTGGACCTACCGTATCTCTTTCGCGATCCCCGCCGTGGGCACTTTGTGGCTCGTCTACTACCGTGCCTACCACATGAAGGCCGCTAGCAAGCAGTTGGCCGCCGCGAAGAAGAAGGCTTCGGTCACTGGTTACGATGTGGCCTCCCTCAAGCTGGCCTTCAGCCACTTTGGCTTCCGTATCGTGGCCACCGCTGGTGGTTGGTTCGCCAACGATGTCTTTTTCTACGGCAACAAGCTCTTCCAGAGTGAGTTCATCAAGGTCATCAGCCCGGCATCCACCTCGATCATGCCCACCTGGCTCTGGAACTTGTGCAACGTCGGTGTGTCGCTGTGCGGTTACTACCTTGCTTCTTTCCTGATCGACAACAAGCTTTACGGCCGCAAGTGGATGCAGATCGTCGGTTTCATGATGGACTTCATCCTCTTCATCATCCCTGCATTCCACTTCGCCTACTACAAAGAGCCCACGCACATCAAGGCGTTCCAGGCCATGTACTTCCTGAGCTCCTTCTTCAACCAGTTCGGTCCCAATTCGGTCACCTTCCTTGTTGCTGCCGAGGTCTTCCCCACCCCCATTCGTGCCACCGCCCACGGTCTGTCTGCCGCTGCCGGTAAGCTGGGTGCTTTGCTCGCCTCCGTCCTGTACAACTACATCGACACTCAGACGAAATTCTACGTCGTGCCCTGGTTCGGTCTGGGTGGTGTGATTGTGACTTGGCTCTTCCTTCCCGACACCACTGGTCTCGATCTCAAGGAGCAGGAACGTCGCTGGGATTACATCCGCTCCGGTCGCGAAAGCGAATACCATGGCCCCGCTGTGCACTCCAAGCACTTGTCCGTGTGGGAGCGCCTCCGCGGAAAGGGCAAGTACTACGACCCTGAACTTGACTACAAGCAAAAGGTTGAAGAATACCGTGCCGAATGGGAGGCTGCCATGGCTCGCAAGGTTGCTGAGAACAACAAGGGAGAGGAGCTTGAGCTCGACACCGATGAGTCTCTCTTGGAGGGCCATGTCCACTCTTACTTCCACCGCACCAGCCCCATGTTCCGTGGTATGGACAAGGCCACCAAGGCGGATAATTTCGCTCTGCCTCCTGCAGCGCAAGGTGATTCCACCGAATCGCTCAACGAGAAGTCAGAACTCTAAGCTTCTCTCCTCAATGCTCTTTTCTCCGAAATTTTTCCCTCAATATCCCTTTTTAGTATAGAGAATCTCCTTTCCTTTTGCACAGATTTGGAGGAAAGAGTCTGATTTGTGATTTTTCTTCTGCGATTGTTCATACCCTTCTCCGCGTTGGATTAATGTTCCCCAATACCCTTTGCTCTGTTCAAATGATGTTTGAGATGACTGCATGCATATCTTTAGCTGGACATGAATGAATAGAACAGCATCCATTTTACCTAAAGACCCACATAGATCATAGTTCCGTTCTCGCCTCCTGTATTTGATGATAGTAACATGATCTCATGATCGCCCGTTCGATCGTCTAGTTGATGTTCTGATTAATGACGACATTCAAGAGGACCCAAAGTCCCACGTAATCCGCAAAACAGTCTTATCATCACCAATGGGACGCCGATTCTGCCAAGAGCCAACTGGTAGGCGCTCAAGTAGGCGGTGAGTATGGGCTATTGTTGATTGACGATGGCCATCTACTACCTACAACTTTACACACATACATACGAGCCTTTCGCTGCAGCATCAACCTCGACAGACACGACAGAGACTCAGCAGCGGAGGGGGAGAGATAAGTCTCATTAGAATGCCCCTCTTCGCATTCGGCTCGAACGGATCGGGCCAATTGGGCATCGGCCATAACGAAGACGTCTCCACCCCCACAGAATGCCTTTTCGAAGAACAAGTATCATCTCCTCCAGAGGGGAATCGCAGCGCGGCGAAGCGGATCTCCCGCATCGTAGCGGGGGGTAATCATACCCTCGTGCTGGATGAAGACGGATGCGTCTACGCCACCGGCTGCAATGAAGACGGGAGATGTGCGCACACCCCCGCCGCTTCGCTGCAGAGGTTCAGGCGGGTGATTGTCGAGGACGGCACCGGCGCGTCTGCGCGGAGCTATGCGGCGTTCCGGGACGTGTCGGCGACGTGGGAGGCGTCGTTTCTGGTTGCTAGATCCGAGGATCCGTCTGGTTGGGTGGATCGCGTCTTTGCGGCTGGTTCGGGTGCGAAGGGGGAGCTTGGGCTCGGGGAAGGGTGTACGAGGGTTGTTGAGCCGGCGGCGATTCCGGACTTCCCGCCGCGGGGGACGGGGGTTGTGGCTATTGCTAGCGGGATGGGGCATACGGTGGCCGTGCTCTCCGACGGGGATGTTTGGGGCTGGGGAGGCGCGCGGAAGGGCCAGCTCGGGGACGCTGCGAAGGCGATGAAGATCGCGTGGTCCCCCGTCAAGATAGGTGGGGTTCCCTTCCGCGCGACGGGTGCGGCATGTGGCCGCGAATTTACAGTGATAGCTGGGGATAAGGCTGCGGGGGAATTCGTTGTAATTGGCTCCTGCGATAACAAGTGGGATATTCTCTCTGGTGCTGCTTCTGCTTCCCAGTCCTTGACGGCTTATCGGGGTATAGCTGCCAGCTGGCATGGTGTCTATGTACATCGGAGTGACTTTTCTGTTCTTGCTTGGGGACGGAATGACCGCGGCCAGATTCCTCCCACGGATTTGCCTAGTCCCCAGCAACTGGCGGTGGGAAGTGAGCATGTCCTTGCGCTTGTGGACGACCACGCTGTTGTGGCTTTCGGGTGGGGAGAACACGGCAATTGTGGCCCCGAAACAGATCCGCAAGGCAATGTCAAGGGAGTGTACAGAGAAATTCCGCTTGAGCTCAGGGAGGATGCTGAGGTCGTTGGCATTGGTGCTGGTTGTGCGACCAGTTGGATTATCACGTCGTGAGTACGCGGCCACTTAAAGGGCCAGGCGATATATCGATGGCCAAACGCAGCGTGTGGCCCGTCCGAAAATACTTGATGCGACGATGAAGGTAATCATCATTCTAATCAAAGAGACCGAGACCGTGAAGCTGCCGAGTATTAGCTTGTACTTCCCACGACGGGATTTTACGAACCTGCGAGATGCGCTGCGTTGGAGGTATCCCCATCTCATCCTGAAGCTCTTCTTGTTCGCTTGGATAGACCGGGATGTTGGGTTCAATATCTCTTAACCGGGGCCCGAGGCTTGCATTGAATGTTTCCTGGGTTCCACAATTAGCGATGTATTTCAACGCCCCGTTTGCGAGCAACTAACATGGTCCGTTGTTGCATCCCAACCAAGTGTATCCTCTGCCATGGTCTCACTGTCCTCGTTGGGCACATCCCATTGTCTGTCATCATCCGCTGGGACGAACAGGCTGTCGAACTGGGTTGAAGGCGCTTGCCGCTGACTTTCGATGTTCGTCTCTGTAACGCGAGTTGGGTTCCCAGTAAGCGGCCGGATAGATCGACTACGTGGAGGCGGCATCCTTTCGGCGTTCGAAGCACCACTCCGCTGGGTGTTGTGCACTGGAGCCGGTGTCTGTCTTGCGGATAGTTCAGGAGCTGGTGCGCGCGATGAAGTTGGAAAATCTTCGCTATCGACTTCGCCCGTCGTCATCAAGGTGAATTCGGATCTGACGCCGGGGAAACGATATGCCAGCTGTAGCGGTCGACACGGGCGGGTATATCGGGCAGTAATAAGTACGTCTGTGGTTTCTGCATGCGCTATGATCGTTTTGAAGTCTTTCAGGGTGATAGCAATGTGTAGTTCATCTAGGGCTGAATAGTCTTCAAAGTCTCGTTTATCAATAGCCACCGATGTGTGTACAGGTTGTTTGAGGATTTCTAAGGGAGTCGTTAGTACTGCATTACTGCATCTTTCCATCGAGAGCAGATACAGACCGTTTCCCTCGGTGATCTTCGTTGTGAAGCTAGTGAAGATGACCTTGCCTCCGTCCGAGTAGATATCCAGCTGCTCTGCAGAGACACTAAAGTGATCTGTTATCTCTTTGAGATACCTGGGGTCAATGCTCCACTGATTCGTCACGCTTGACCTATCAAAGATCGCGTGTTGGATCTCAACGGGTTCATAGGTGAGCTTGTAGGTTCTTATAACACCTGGGCACCCGTAAGCCATGCGATTAGTACATCAATCCGGAGGGAGGGATGCACACACCAAGTCCACAGATCATCTTGATGACAAGCCTGCACTCTGTCTCGTCCAGGTCCTCGTGAAGGTCAAACTCGCATCTTTCGACTGCAGTGTCCTTATCTCGTCCAGTTGTCCTTCCTTTGAAGATGGATAGTAATGTCTGTCTGCGTTAGTCATACCTGTTCTACACACAATCCCGCGTCGACCTCACTTTGATATAAATCTGACAGCAGAATCTTTCCGAGCGGGCATCTCTGGCAATGCTTTCTCTGGCAAACGAGTAGCTCGCCAAGAAACCATCCTTCTCGAAAACAAATGCGGCATATCCAGTCTTGGTGGAGTTGAGGACGCTCAATCGAAGCTTGCGGATCGTCAGTCACGGTCCTCGCTTCGCGTTGAGAGAACTATGCAGATATCTTACAAGATCGGATTCGGCTTCGATAGCTACCGTCTCGCTGAATTTGGCGAGACATAGCAGGGCATCGTGCATTCGCCCTAATGCATCTGGGAGGAGGGAGAAGGAAAGCAAGGTCATGGTTTTTTCTACAGCACTTGCGCTATTTCCTTCAATCTCATAGTCAGAAAGGTAGCACGCTGCAACCCGATTTCATTTAGTAAGGATTTAATAATTCGTCTGGTCTGTGTCCATCCGGTCGTTTGTTCAATTGTTCCAAGTCACGTCAACTGCAAACACGACGCGAGCTTACATAATCAGTACCTGGACGTAAGGCATCTTTCATCGTAGTCAGATCAACATCGTATCTACAACCCCGTGGGCAAAATATCTACTTCGAGCAGGCTGTTCACATGCTGAACTTAATCGCTATAAACTCTGCAGCTATTGATGCAGACGGGTGAAATTCCGTCTTGAAGATGGCCTCGCCATTGCCTGCCGACATAATCTACATCATAGTCGAGCTGCTGGAACAGGAGAGGGACTTCAATAGCTTGTTCCAATGTGCTGTCACTGCGAGATGCTTTGCCGGGCAGGCTTTGGCAGCTCTGTACAAGTCAGTCTCCAGGTCTGAGACAGATTTGTCTACAATTCTGTTAACAAATCCGTGACCCAGATCATATGAGCTTTCTCCCATTAGAGGCGGCGGAACTGAGATTAGCGACTCGACGCATGTTCGGAGGAAATGGGCCCTGATGTGGCGCTCCATCATGCTTTCTACTCTAAATCAGACGTATCTCCCGTACTACAGCTATATGCGGTACCTGGATCTCAATGACCTATCGAATCTTCTCAGTCATAGTTCGTTCACTGGCGCGATCCAGGAGTACGTCTTGGCATGAATTGCATCGCGCTATATCTGACCAGGCACAGGAACTTCTTCACATTAGAGCTCCAGGACCTTGTGTCCCATGGCTATGAGCCAAAGGGGAATAAGCGTCTTCGATCATTGAGGAATCTGCCTGACAACAAATGGATTTTGTCTAAATTTGGCTCCGGTAATCCTTTCCTATTTCCCACCTGTCCCAAGCATTCTTTGCGAGATATTACACAGGAATTTTAATCTGAGCTAAATGGCCCAAGCGATTATTCAAAGAACCTCCTCGATACGTGGAATGTCGTGTGACGGTAAGTAAGACATGCGGGAAACCTATAACACTGCAGTCTGATATCCTGACTTCAATAGTTGAGCCGTCTTTATTGGCTGAATGGTTGAAAATGCTTCCCTTACTACAGGCTCTGACCATTTGGTCTGGCGTCTCTCTCACAGAACATGCTGGTGACAGAATTCGAGAGTATTGTCCTGACTTTAGACAAATAATAATATATAGATGGTAAGGTTCTATGGTGGATTTGATTAGCAGTGCACTCGCTCACCTGCTCAGGATCAATGAACAGGGCAGAAATTCCGAGACAGATGCCGAAATGTTCCTCGATGAACTGCTACCTCACAGTTTAAAGTACTTTGAGATGCTAAGCTCTTGCCATCTGGGACCTCGCTCGATCAGAGCCATAGGCACTCAATTAAACTCGCTAGTAGAGTTAAAATTGACGAGTCTTGGTATAGAGGCAATAGCGGAGCTGCCCACGTTGGCGGTGCCACCAGTGTTGAAAGTACTGGTGTTGACTGACTCCATTCCAGCAGCACGAAACGAATACTTTTATTCCACTGTCACCCGGGTGGCAGACTGGATTCGAAGTTGCAAATCCCTGCGCCAACTGGAGCTCAGGAGGTTTGTTGACGATTCTCGTCTACTGTCACAAGTTCTTAATGACGAGAGCGTCCGCCTCCGCGCATTGTCACTAACAGGATATACAATGGTGGGCAGTCATGATTTTCACAGTGCTCTAGCATGTCAGCAGTCTCTACAGCATTTGCTTCTCCGAGGTGAATGCTCTGAGATTCCCGCAGACACTGAATTGCTTATTCAGGCCATCGGCCAACTTGCCAATTTGCGTGAGCTTGAGCTTAAGGATATTTCGGACTACTTCACTTCAAATCATGTCAAAGCTCTGACACCTTGCATCCCTCATCTCGAGAGACTTTGGATTGGAGGGGATTTTTTCGACGATGACATTTGGGCTGCCTTCCGGTGCCTTCCAGAGTTGAAGAGTCTTGCGATCCATGCGCTCAGCGAGTTCACAGCTCAAGGCATACTAGATTTTATCTCCAGTCTTGGAGTTGATCATCGAGGGATGAATCTCTCGATTCTGAACTCGGTGGCGCCAGGTCTCACTGCGGAAGCACAAATCTTGATTCGCGACACTTTGAAAGGACATCTGGACGGGACATTCGACTTTGGCCTAGCACAGGGTAGAGAATTCATCCAACCTCAAAAGACGTCCTTACTGACAGTATCGCAGAGGAATACAGTGATGTTGACTCAGAAGACATATCGGATTGATCAACTCTTAACCACTATGTTGAATATCGCTCTCGTGAAGAAGCATTGATTGAGTAGCAGCATATGATCCCAACTTAAGGATATCTAGTCGTAACTCCACAAATGATCAAGGAAAAATTGGTATATGACAGAACAAAAGATTCATAGTGTATTCGAGCACGAGATCCTAAGCGTTATGGTCAAATCAGTGAAGGAGATCATCTCGCAGTCCACCACTTAAGCTAAATGGGGATTGGCGGAGGGCGCGTTCAACCCGCGTTCCGGAACGCGTCGTCTCGCGCGATGGCCCGCAGTGATTCTGCCATCCCTTCCTCATTCCACACACAGTTGACGATCCAGAGCCTGAAATTCTTCGGTCTTTGGAGAATCAGAAAATTTTCTAGAAGAAGAATCATTCATGGACATCTGCCTGTAACCAACAGGAAATTATTGCGCCATGTCTGCCGCACGCGCAAAACTCGAGGAGCTTCGGGCCCTTCGTGCCGCGGGAAAGAAGCGTCTTTCAACGTACGAGATTGAGGAACAAGACGATATTTACGAGGAAGTCGATGATGAAGGTTACAAGAAGATAATCCGCAACAGACTAGACCAGGACGATTTCGTGGTCGACGATAACGGGGAGGGCTACGCGGACGACGGTCGAGAAGTTTGGAACGAAGCAACCGCAGAGTACAACAGCGAGAGCGACGACGACGAGTTACCCGCACGAAGCAAAGCTGCTAAAAGAAAACGGGAAGAGGAGAAGCAGAGGAAAGAGAAGATCAACAATGGCATATCGAAATACTTTAACAGCGGGCCTGCTGCCTCTGCTCCGAAACCAAAGGTGAGTGGGATGATACTGTCGGTTTGAGGTGGAAGACCTCCGATTCTGACATGATACAGCCGGTTGCTACAGCTGAAGATGATGCTTTCATGGCTGATCTCCTCGGAGAAGTCGACACCAATGTGGTTTCCAACCACATCCCAACCAAAAATGTGATCAAGTCAGAGACTCGACGGAAAGTTCGCATTCTCTCACCGCCGCTATCTTCAAGGCAACGAAGTGGACGGATTAGTAGGAAGGATGAGAACAGCGAGCCGGTCTCGCCAGTCGCGCAGCAGTCAGATCTCGATTTCGACAACGACGACGGACCCCTCCCTTCGATGGACGACGACGATGTGCACATGAGTGATCCCATGCCGTCATCACCTGTCAGTAAAGCAGTCGAGCGCAAGTCCGCCATCAACATCAAGAAGGAAGAATCCGACGGAGAGGACAATGATATAATGGAGGTTGCTCAAGTCACAGGACAGCATGAAGCCAAGACAGCGAGTGTCAACATGGCCGGAAGCCGTCCACCTCCCAAGATCAAGAAGGAGAATTACTCCACGCCTGCAAACTCTTCTCCAGCGAAGGCACCCGTCGATATTCTGGACGCTTCTTGGAATGACGTTAGGAGTAAGTTGAACGTCTTGAGTAGCCCGGCATCAGAAACACGAACTTTCGGCAAACTGCATGCAGAAGATGTGGTGGAAGAAGATGGAAGTTTGCGATTCTTCTGGATCGACTACACAGAGGTCAACGGCAGCTTGTGCTTATTCGGCAAAGTGAAGAACAAGCGGACCGATTCCTATGCCAGTGCATTTGTAAAGGTCGACCAGATTTTACGGAAGCTCTTCTTTCTTCCTCGCGAGCATAGACACAAGCATGGTCGGGAAACCGATGAAGAGGTGGACATGAAGGACGTCTATGAAGAGGTTGATGCGCTGATGTCGAGGCTCAGAGTTGGGATGCACAAGATCAAGCCAGCGACGCGCAAATACGCATTTGAGATGCCCAACATCCCAAAGGAAACCGAGTACTTGAAACTGCTGTACCCATACGACAAGCCAGTGTTACCCATGGACACCAAAGGTGAAACATTCTCACATGTCTTCGGAACCAACACATCTCTATTCGAGCAGTTTGTTTTATGGAAGAACATCATGGGCCCATGTTGGCTCAAGATTGAGGATGCAGATTTCTCGGCCGTTAACAATGCATCTTGGTGCAAGTTTGAGTGTCAAGTTACTAAACCAGTGTCGATTACTCCAGTTCCTGACACGGAGAACTTGGATCCTCCCCCTCTTACCCTCATGAGTCTTGCTTTCAGAACTCATCTCAACGTCAAGGAGAACAAGCAGGAAATCCTAGTAGCAAGCGCAAGAGTCTATGAGAATGTCTCCCTTACAGACACTACACCCCCCGAGAAACTTCCTTGCAAAACATTTACCGTCATGCGACCTCTTGGCTCTTCATACCCCCTTCATTTTGAAGCCGAGACGCGAAAGCAACGGGGCACTTTTATGCTGGAGAAGAGTGAACAATTCCTCCTCAGCAAATTCATGGCTTTGTTTGAAAAGATGGATCCCGATGTACTGATGGGCCACCAACTGCAAGAAGTTGACCTTAGCATTCTGCTTAGTCGCTTGAGGGAAAAGAAGACCCCAGGATGGCATCGACTTGGTAGACTCAGACGTGGCGAGTGGCCTAAGAACTTCAACAGGGGTGGGGGTTTCTTCGCCGAGAGGCACCTAATTGCTGGAAGGCTGATGTGCGATGTGGCCAACGACATGGGAAAAGTAAGTTTCTCGATGTCAGACTATCATAATTTGCGCTAACATCTCCAGTCCCTCATGATGAAATGTCAATCGTGGAGTTTGACGGAAATGTGTGAGCTCTATCTTGGAGAGGGTAACACCCGGCAAGAGCTCGATTCCGAGGCCGCATTGAAGACTTGGGCTACATCAAAAGAAGGTCTCATGAACTTTGTGAACCATTGTGATGCAGATACCTACTTCATTGCTGCGTTGGTGTTGCGGCTTCAGATGCTGTCGCTCACCAAGGTGCTCACTAATATTGCTGGCAATTCTTGGGCCCGAACACTTAGCGGTACACGCGCTGAGCGGAATGAGTACATTTTGTTGCACGAATTCCATCGGAACAAGTACATCTGCCCTGACAAATACTCGTCCAAGCTGCAAAAGGTGGAGGAGAAGAACCAGGACGGTGAGGAAGACGATGCTGCTGATAAGAAGAAGAAAGACAAGTACAAAGGTGGTCTCGTTTTCGAGCCTGAAAAAGGGCTTTACGACAAGTTTGTCTTGGTCATGGATTTCAACAGTTTGTACCCTAGTATCATCCAAGAGTACAACATTTGCTTTACAACAGTGGATCGGACCGCGACGGTAAGCCTTGCACTGGTCAATCTTATTTAACATTTCGCATGCAGCTGATATGTGGTCTAGGCCGAAAACGAGAACGAAGAAAAAGTTCCCGAGGTTCCTTCCTCTGACCAAGAGCAGGGCATTCTTCCCCGACTAATCGCCACCCTTGTCGGCCGTCGACGTGAAGTGAAGAAGTTGATGAAAGATAAGCGCGCAACGCCTGATCAACTGGCCTTATGGGATACGAAGCAGTTGGCTTTCAAGCTTACTGCTAACTCGATGTACGGCTGTCTGGGTTATACCCAGAGTCGCTTCTACGCCCGTCCCTTGGCAATGCTCACGACATTCAAAGGTCGTGAAATCTTGAGGAGCACTAAGGAGCTTGCAGAGTCGAAGCAGCTCCGTGTCATCTATGGTGATACCGACTCGGTTATGATCAACACCAACATGGACACCATAAGCGATGCGCTCAAGGTCGGTGAGGAGTTCAAGAAATCTGTCAACGAACGATATCGGCTCTTGGAGATTGACATTGATAACATCTTCCGCCGTCTGTTGTTGCACGCTAAGAAGAAGTATGCTGCCGTGAACATGACTGAGGTAGATGGCAAATATGTCGATAAACTTGAGGTCAAGGGTTTGGACATGAAGAGACGTGAATATTGTGCCTTGTCGAAGGAGGTATCGCAGAGACTTCTTAATGAGGTTCTCTCGGGCGAGGATCAAGAGCTGGTCCTTAACCGAGTCCACGACTATTTGAAAGAACTGGCCGATAAGATGCGGGCGTATCAAATCCCAGTCCAGAAATACGTCATCTACACAGTAAGGATACTTGACAGATGGATGATCATGCTCAGCTAACGGTTCTCTACAGAAACTTTCCAAACGTCCAGAGGAATACCCCAACAAGGAGTCAATGCCTCCTGCACAGGTTGCTCTACGTGAGCTCGCTCGTGGCAAGACCATCCGACCCAACGATGTCATTTCATATATTGTGACAAATGGCGACGCTGAAACCTCATCTCTTGCTCCTGCGAAGCGGTCATATACTCTCCAAGACGTCATGAAGCCCGAGTCTGGACTCAAGCCTGATATTGAGTTTTATCTCCTTAAACAGATTTTCCCTCCGATTGAACGTCTCTGTGCGCCTATCCCAGGAACTGATGCTGTTCGATTAGCAGAATGTCTGGGACTTGATGTTCGCAAGTATCAGATTAATACATCCAGCACAAGCAATCAACAGAACGCAGAGATTTTCCCACTAGAATCACAGATTCCAGATTCAGTGCGTTTCGAGAATGCCGCTCGCTTGACACTGACATGCCGGTTCTGCAAAGAAAAGTCAATTTTCGAGGGGTTGGTGGCTTCCACTCACATGTGTACCGCCAACGGCATCATTTGTCCCAACCAGGCATGCCAGAAGCCTTTCACTGTTCTGACGATCGTTGCACAACTGGAGAGTCAGATTCGGGCTCAAACCTCAAAGTACTACGAGGGCTGGCTGGTCTGTGATGATTCAGCATGCGGTAACCGGACGCGGCAAATGAGTGTCTATGGACATCGGTGCCTTGGTCCTCGCGGCCGCGCAGAAGGCTGCTTGGGACGTATGTCCTATGAGTACACAGAAAAGCAGATGTACAATCAGCTGCTCTATTTTGCAGGTCTCTGGGATGTGGACAAGGCCAAATCCAATGCTCAGAGAGAGTCCGGTGAAAAGAAAGACAGCATTGCGGCGCTGGTGGAATTCAACCGTACTCGATTCGGTACCGTTAAAGATGTTGTGGACAGCTATCTGAAGAAATGTGGTCGTCAATGGGTTGAGATGGATTCGCTATTCCGCTTCATGCTGCCATAAACGACCACATTCATTACCGGTCTATGGTCCGGCCTTGGGGTAATTTGTATATACAGGGACATTGGGTTGGTTTGGACTTGGTTTTGTTTTTATTGTGGGTAGCGTGATGGTCTTTCCTTGGATGATAATGAATAGCACTTCTTCATCTGTACTGCAATGGGGTCTTATCTTGTCAATATGCCTCTCCCAGAAAAAAAAAGTTTACGTGGATATCTCTGCAGAGCGTTCAATGCCTTCTGACTAGACTCCTTACAGTTGGCATATGATAAGTCTGTAGTTCCTCACATTAGTACAGAATCCTCCGTAAACTTCAAGCCACGCGCATTGTCTGCTGGCGTGTCTCGGATTACACCGCAGCAGTCAGCTCATCGAGAACAGAGATGGTGCTCCACTACTGTGGAATAGTGACAGAAGGGGGAAAGCGTGCCAAACTGCCAATCTCTAAGTGGTAAACAAAACAATAGATAGATAGATAGGCCCCGAAAGACTCCGCTGTACTGTGTAGGGATCCACTCGATCAGAATGTCTCACCCGTTTTTTTGGCCCTTCAGAAAGCCACACATGCATTGTCGATAATCGAGATCCCAACTCCTTCACGGGCTGACTGATCAGACTAATCTCGATTGCGTCTATGCAGATCTAGTACCCATGCATTTTGCCTTCGCCAATCGTGCCTAACTGCAACTAAAAGCGAATCCACTGCAGTGATTCAGCTCGAAGGACTCAAGGCTCAGAAACGAATACGTTTTGCATAGTCTGATGGGGTCTTCGTGTGTCTTTATCTCTTCTGGGACTCTGGGAGATATATTGGCGGGGGGGCTAGATGTATATAACTGTTCATGCCTGGCTAGGCTGTCTGAGGAGATATGCATTCTATTTCGGAGCATTTTCTTCTAAGTGACAAGACGGAACATGACGATCATTCAGCAAAATCAATCCCATTCTGATTTCAGGGATTCCTTGAGAGGCCAATCCGTCGTTCTGCCTAATCTATACTCTCTGTTTCCGGAATGGAAGCCTCGTCTTCACCCTGAGTATGCCAGAGCCCGCGATGAGAGCCTTAACCCTTGGATAGAACGGTAAGTGTAGACGTCCTCCGCTGGTTCGAGCAAGGGAAATGCCCTGACGCAGAACAGATGGGTGCCCGACCCAGTCACAAGCCGCAAGTTCCAGGCGGCGGAATTTGGCGTCTTTGCTGCGATTATGTGCGCGGACGCTTCGTATGAGAAGCTGTGCACAATGTCCAAGTCTTTTGCCTGGGTATGTTGTCGTTCAGGTCGATCACGGCAAGACCGAGAGCTGACGGATCATAGTACTTCGTCTGGGATGATTGTATATTTAATCAATGCTCCAGATTTTTGAGGCGTACATAGACTGACGAGATCTAGTGTTCGATTGCGGGAGTTTGACCCATGACCTGGATACTATCAAGCAGTACCGAGAAAAAAGCTTGCAATACTTCAGGCACGTTCTCTGTGGCGAAGGAGAGTTTCCTGATCTTTCTGGCTTCTCTTTGGAGCTGCAGTACGCGTTACTGTGCTGGGACGAGGTTGCAGCCCATATTCGGGAGGTCTGTTCAAAAGGTAAACATTCTCCCACCGCTGATATGTTAGCGGCGGGCTAGATGGGGCTGATCACCGAATAGAAACATGTGAGGTCCTACTGGAGAAGAAACTTTACTACGTGTCCAGTGTGGATACCGTCGATACCATCTGTGAAGGCGACCAGATCCCCTCGCTGGTAGAGTACTGGGACCGCCGCGAGCGAACAGCAGGGGTGTATCCAGTCATTGCGACAATTCCGTATGTTATCACACAGTGACCCGCATGTGGTAGGTATCCTCGCTGACAGATCCAGGTTCATCTATGGACAGGATGTCTCGCACGCAGAGCTGGCCACGGAAAATATGAGGCTGTTGTGGAGACATACTTCGTATCTTGTGCATATGTAGGCGCTCCACTATCTTCTGCAGACTGTTCGATCTCACCAATCATGTTAACTCTGTCTTAGGAAGAATGACATGTTTTCGCTAAGGAAAGAGATCGTATGTTCCGATCTATCCGATTAAGCTTGTCCCCAGATGCTAACGCTTGTCCTGCAGAGAGACAACCAGATCGAAAACCTCATCCCGGTTTTGATGCTGAATGAAGGCATCGACTGCCACGAGGCCATGCAACTAGGGTTCCGTCTGGTGCAGGACATCGCCGACGCTTTCCATGAAGTAGAAGCCAGCATGCGGGGCACATGTCACGGCTCATCCAGCAAGGTCTCAAAAATGTTCATCGAAGGTTGCAAAAACGTGGCCATGGGGTTGACACATTGGAGGTACTTGCTCTCTGTTGACGTATTGGCTAATGAACATATGAGCTAATAAAGAGCAGCTATTCGGGACAACGCTACTTCAAGCCCTCTGAGATCGGCGAAGGAAATGTGATCAAATTCAAGATTTAGGGACAATAAGCTTAGCGACGATTAGCTTCTCGAATTGACGTTATGCTGCAGCTTTTTATGATGCGCAATGGGGTACAATATCCCCTTACCATCCACGCGATTGAATGTCAGCAAAGTATATACCGATAGAGAATGAGAATATGAAATAGTCAACAATTTTAGCTGTTTTTCAAAAATTTAATCTCTTCATGGTATATAGGTAGGTATTCAAGTCTATATATCTCCAATGATAGGTCTGATCGTGCAGTGGCAAGGTTTGTTGACTGTTATCTATTCAGCTCTTTTCCCTCGAAACAATATAGAATCTCTGAACTGCGTGTGTATAAGATGAACAAACCTAACCATCTCCTCTTAATAGACTTCAACTGAATGTAGTATATCTAGAGACTGTCCGTTGTTCTCTCCGTTGTTCTCTCCCAAACTGATCTTATCGCCTTTATCGATTGCAGCCCCGCAACGGAAATCCCCCCCACTACTCGAAGGATCTTTGGTGACCGACATTCAACAATATTGTGGTGAACGACTTTTGGCTGTTATGCATGGTCGCATCTCGCTGCTACTGTTTATCCAATAAGAGCTCTTGGACAGTATATTTCCACGGTCTTTTTACTCTTCAGCTGGATCATCATAATCAGCCCTGGGGTATCAGTGTTCAACATGGCCGTGTCAAGGGTGCTGGTCATTGCCGGCTCTGACAGCTCCGGCGGCGCGTAAGTCACCGTCCCATAGCCCCAAAAGAGGAAGAGAAACCGCTAACATTCTAATCCAGTGGCTTAGAAGCTGATCAGAGGGTTCTGGCTGTACATGGCTGCTATGCTTTGACTGCCACAACTGGCCTGACGGCTCAGAATACCCAAGGAGTGCAGGATATTTTCGTTGTCCCGGCGCAATTTGTGAAAAAGCAGATTAATGCTGGGTTAGAAGATGTTGGAGCCGATGTTGTCAAGCTGGGTATGCTCTTCCTTCCATTCTCTGCTTTGCTTGTGGGGGAGTTCAGTTGTCTATCTGGCCATGACGGCTAATTTGAATAGGAATGCTTTCATCGGCGGAAACGATCGATGTGGTTGCAGAAGCATTGACAACACATCAGGTCCCTTCGGTGGTGCTGGACCCGGTATGTCTTTCATTACCAGTCAACCTTATGTGCCTACGAATATTGATCATTTGGACAGGTCATGATCTCCACGAGCGGATCTCAGTTGTTACCCGAAGCCGCTGTTCAAGGTCTGCGCACGAAACTATTACACCTGACGACGATTCTCACTCCCAATATTCCCGAGGCGCTACTATTGTTAAAGGACTCGGGGCTGGATGTGCAAGAACCCGAAGACCTCGATGGTCTTATCGAACTCACGAAGCAGGTTCGCGCCTTGGGTCCCAAGGCTGTCCTTCTCAAGGGCGGTCATTTGCCGCTCACAAAAGACCACAAGACAGCGCGTTGTCCCGAAGATGCATCAGCAGTCATTGACATTTTGTATGATGGAGAGACTGTAACTCTCTTTGAAACCGACTTCTTGGTATCCAAGAACACTCACGGAACGGGCTGCTCTCTGGCCTCGGCCATCGCTGCCAACCTAGCTCTCGGCAAGGATATGAAATGCGCAGTCCACAATGGCGTTCGATATGTCGAGGCAGGTATTAGGACAAGTACCGACCTGGGCAAAGGAAGCGGCCCGATCAACCACTTCCACTCTGCGTTTTCTCTGCCCTTTGCACCGTAAGTTTCCATCAGTCAGGGCATTAGTTGACAACTCGGCTGATGCAGTCCTAGTGATCGATTCCTGGAATATGTGCTGGACCGGCCCGACGTCAGCCACGTTTGGAAGAGATTTACAGAACATGAATTCGTCCGCGGTCTGGGCAGCGGTGCTCTTCCAGTGGAACGGTTCAAGCAGTATCTGGTGCAAGATTACCTCTACTTGGTAAGTACTTCCGCGTGTATGTCGAATATCTTGAAGCAACCACTAAAGACGCTATTGTATCAGACTCACTTCGCCAGAAGTAATGCTCTGGCTGCTTACAAAGGGAAATCCATGGCGTCTATTGCGGCGGTAAGTTTGCCTGCCTTTATATTTATAGTCTACCTCCAACAGGAGTAATCGACACTGACTTTCATTCAACACAAAAGTCTGCCAAGATCGTGCTACATATTGAGCGCGAGACAGCCTTGCATCTAAACTACTGTGCCTCCTTTGGCCTTACAAAGGAAGAGATGGAGAGTTACCCGGAGACGCTCGGTGAGTACCTCAGTTGCTTCAATTAAGGTCGCCTGCCGTTACTGAGTCTACAACTCCAGCCTGTACCGCGTACAGCCGATACATCCTCGACGTGGGACAGTCAGACGACTGGCTGGCACTGCAGATGGCTCTGGCGCCGTGTCTCATCGGATATGGGGCCATTGCCAAGCGACTGTACACGGAGAAAGAAACCCTTCGTGAAGGGAACCGGTACTGGCAGTGGATCGAAAACTATGTTGCAGAAGACTTCTCAGAAGCTGTCCGATTGGGTTCCGGTAAGATATAGCTTTTCTCCCCACTCTCTACCTGACATTAACATGGATGTCTGACCGATGATACGTGTAGAACTGCTGGAGTCACACATGCGGCAAGTGTCAGTCAGTCGGATGGAGGAACTGATCAAGATCTTCATCCGAGCCACGGAATTGGAGATCAACTTCTGGGACATGGGACTGGGTGAGCGACCACAAATGCATGGTATCGCTTTGAGGACCCAGGGATCTGTACAATAATAGACGATTCTAGAGACCTGCTCCTCTCAGGTGACCAGCGAATTTGACTATTTCACGTGATTTATTACGAAAAAGGCGGTAAAGGAAAAGTCTGGCTGGCGCTAACCATCTCAGGAAAGTGCCATATTCGCCGCTTCCTCTTTTTCTTTTCTCTTTTTCGCCGCTGCGATTCTTTTTTTTCTTCCCTCATCCTCCCTCATCCTTTCCTCTCTCTATTCCATCTCTCTCTCTCTTTTTTTCATCATCGGACAAGGTTCCGCCTTCATCTCATTCACTTTAAATTCGTTACCTTCTTCCAGGTAACTCTCGTTCCCCATCTAAGCTTTTGTTTTCGCCAAAAAAAGTCGTTTCTCTGTTCTTTAACAAAAACAACACAAATTCCATCATGTCTTCCTACGGTGGCGGTTATCAGCGCGATTCTTATCGGTAAGTTCAGCTTCGATCGTTTAACGGTCTCAAAAGCGCAAATATTGAGTCACTGGAATCTGGCTTGTGCAAATGACACACTGCGAGTTGGGCCGCAAGGAGTCAATCCTCGAGGGCCACTACAGTGTCCTGCAACACGCCAGATATCGGCACTCAACCCGAATTGTCTTTTCAAGACGTTTCAAGTATATTTTTTGGAACAGAAGCTAATTATATCTATCGCTGAACAGCTCTAGAGGCGGTCAGGGTGGTTATTCCAACGGCAACAGCTACGGAAACGGTGGTGGTGGTGGTGGTGGCTATGGCGGTGGTGGCTACGGCGGTGGTGGTTTCGGCGGCGGCGGCTATGGTCGCGGCGGCGGTGCTGCCGGTGGTGACCGCATGTCTAACCTCGGTGCTGGCTTGAAGAAGCAAGAATGGGGTATGTTTTGACCGTATCAGAACGGTTGTTTAAACAGAAATGCTAACTTTGACTAGACCTGGAGACCCTTCCTAAGTTCGAGAAGTCCTTCTACAAGGAGCATCCCGATGTTACCGCTCGCTCCCAGCGTGAGGTCGATGAGTTCCGTCAGGAGCACAAGATGACTGTGCAGGGAAAGAATGTCCCCCGCCCCGTTGAGACTTTCGATGAGGCTGGTTTCCCCCAGTACGTCCTGAGCGAGGTCAAGTCTCAGGGATTCGAGCGCCCTACTGCTATCCAGTCTCAGGGTTGGCCTATGGCTCTTTCTGGACGTGACGTCGTTGGTATTGCCGAGACCGGTTCCGGAAAGACCCTTACCTACTGTCTTCCCGCTATCGTGCACATCAACGCCCAGCCTCTTCTTGCTCCTGGTGACGGTCCTATTGTTCTCGTTCTCGCCCCTACCCGTGAACTTGCTGTTCAGATTCAGACCGAAATCACCAAGTTCGGAAAGTCGTCTCGTATCCGTAACACCTGTGTGTACGGTGGTGTCCCTAAGGGCCCTCAGATCCGTGATCTGAGCCGTGGTGTCGAAGTCTGCATCGCGACCCCCGGTCGTCTGATTGACATGTTGGAAGCTGGCCGGACCAATCTCCGCCGTGTCACATATCTCGTTCTTGACGAGGCTGACCGCATGTTGGACATGGGTTTTGAACCTCAGATCCGCAAGATCATTTCTCAGATTCGCCCCGACAGACAGACTTGCATGTGGTCCGCCACCTGGCCCAAGGAAGTTCGTCAGCTCGCCAGCGACTTTCTCAACGACTACATCCAGGTGAACATCGGTTCCATGGACTTGTCTGCTAACCACAGAATCACTCAAATCGTCGAAGTCGTCTCTGACTTCGAGAAGCGCGACAAGATGATCAAGCACCTCGAGAAGATCATGGAGGACCGTTCCAACAAAATTCTTATCTTCACCGGTACCAAGCGTATCGCTGACGAAATCACTCGCTTCCTTCGCCAGGACGGATGGCCTGCGCTCTGTAAGTTCACTTTAAAAACCTGTCCTTGGAATTTTCTGAACCGTTCGCTCATATAACATCCAGCTATTCACGGTGACAAGCAACAGCAGGAAAGAGATTGGGTCTTGAACGAGTTTAAGGCGGGCAAGAGCCCAATCATGGTGGCCACCGATGTGGCTTCCCGTGGTATCGGTATGATTACATCGCAATTCTTCCCTTCCCATTCCCCCTCCCCCACTCCTTCCTACGCACCCTCATCCGTATTGACGTCGTGTGACAATGGCACGATGCTTGACTCTCTTCTAAAGAACCATGTTGGTATAACATGACTCGTCCAGGCTATATCGGGTCTCTTGAAAATGGTGCTCATGCCATGAGGACCTTGGACTTACAGTGCAGTGTAGCAGTTTGAACCGTCCATTCTGTTTCTGGGTTTTCCATCTCCATTCTTTGAACCTTGTTGGTTGAGAGATGGGCTTTCTCTTCTTCCGACTCGTTGAAGCTGCATTCCAAGGTTACTCTAGGACCACGATCTTTTGCCGAGCATGGACTCGCCCACAACGGATTTTGACCTCAAAATCCGTGAGAGAGTGAACGCATCAAGTCTCACATGACTTGCGAAAGGGCGCATAGGCCACGTTGCTATCGTAACTAATGCTCTGTTTGCTAACCTGAATTTGTCTGAAGATGTTCGCGACATTACTCATGTGCTGAACTATGACTACCCCAACAACTCGGAGGATTATATCCACCGTATCGGTCGTACCGGTCGTGCTGGTGCCAAGGGAACCGCCATTACCTTCTTCACCACTGACAGTGAGTTTCTCCGCAATACATTCGGGTTGATCATCCAACTAACATCTCCATCACAGACTCTAAGCAGGCTCGTGACTTGGTTACTATCCTCACTGAGGCTAAGCAGCAGATTGACCCCCGTCTCGCTGAGATGGTTCGCTACGGTGGCGGCGGTGGCCATGGCCACGGTGGTTATGGTCGCTGGGGTGGCCGTGGCGGTGGCCGTGGCCGCGGTGGTGGCTCGACTGCCTCCAACGCTGCCCCTCTCGGAAACAACCGTCGTTGGTAAACTGACCCATCGGCCACGAGTTTGTAACCCATCGTCACTGGTAGACTTTGCTTTTTTTGTGTTCCCTTGGGCTTTTTCCTCGTAATTCGGTACGGACGGCGTTCTTCGATGTCACGATAGACTTACTTTCTTTCTGTTGTCTTGCCATTTCCGCAGAAGCTCTCGCCGAGCTTTCGAAATCCCCTCAGACGGCCTCGCTGTTGCTGAGATTTTCTAATTATGCAGATCATACGAGATATCTTAATTGATTTCAAAAGTCAGCCAATCATATGGCACCTTCGTTTTTTCATCCAATACTCCAATGAATCCAAATGTCGTTCTTGTCTTGCGTTGAATGTCAGCAATTGATGTTATTTAGTGGATATCTTATGAGAAAGAGCACACTCTTCAGTAAACCTGATTATCATCCTCGATAGTAAACATAGGCAAAATGTAGACCCCAATCTCTTTTCTACTAATATCACTTGAATCATGTTATCCCAAACATAAATTCCATATGGAAGTTTGCTAATTAATCAATACAACGAGTAGTTATTTGAATCAGTCAACCGAATCAGCTACGATCAAGAGCTTTTCCAATTCCACTAGCACTCACCCTGCTAATCCTTTTGCCTAAGAGACCTAATTGTCCCCCTATCCTATGAGCGAGGGACAGCCGTACGTTAGGTAGATTCTTCAATGCCAGTCATGTTAGGGCCTGTAACCGATACCTACCTATATCTTGACCTGACATCGCAGTGCACATCCTATAGACTCGTATACACGGTCCTTGTGTCTGATATCATCATGCTCACAATATAGAGTGGAAATCGTTTCCATGATATTTCCAGTAATGCTGGCTGAGTGACGCGGATGGTCTTAGCCGTTGCCAGAGACCGCGCTCTATCTACGATCCAGGTGACTATGAATCAAATTGCCGACTGGATATCTGTGAGCTCCCACAAGACAGTTATCATCTTCGAAAGATATATTCTATGCGTAGAGGCAGCTTGAGCACTGGATTTAATTCCCATAAGAACAAACTTGAAATGCAGAATTCCATCAATTGCAGTCTATGCCCAATGGTCTTCCTGGTTGGGGGTAATACAACATGGTCATGAGCCTGGATATACCTACAGCAGACGCGTAATGAAAGACGCGTTGTTTACCTTGATCCTTTTCGGAAAAGCCGAATTTGGCCATCCTTGACCACCTGAGCTAGGTTATTGCGGATATTGATCGGTACGGTATTTCGTATTCTATAAGGAGTTTAGGAGGTGGAATTATTCCGCGACCTACTTAGATTCCCGTTACTATCTATCTATCTTGTGGGCCAACGGAGAACTACTGTGTACAGTTTGCATGTGGGAGCTGTTGACGATTATTATTTGTTTCTGTAGTGTATGTTGATCCCTGCTCCTATCTATCTTACCTGGCACCAACTATGATCTATGCCTATATCTCAGGCTAAGTTAGGACATAATTTCCCCTTCCACATTGGTTCACATTGACATGCAGACATCTACGGCCGCCCAAATGAGACAGCGATTTCGGTGCCTAGGTAGATACTCTGTTGATATCTACAGTACAAGGTACAAAGGTACTCCGTACCAAGGAACAGGTTCTCGCACCTCAATCGTTTCAACAGCGCGGAAATTGGGAACGAATGGCAGCTCTCCCAGCAAATGCAGCTTTAGGCATATGCGTCCAAGCCAAGAGGGGTTAGGGCGTAATCAAACCCAACCAAGACTGGGTCTGGTGGGGGCCGCTTGATCAGTCGGTGTATCAATTAATCTACTCCGTAAGAGCTAAGGAGGTACTCGCTAAGTATCGTATCTAGTCCGTGGTTCAGTTCAGTCCTGTAAGAAAGTGGAGATCTCGAATCAGGTACTCCGTAGGTGCTAAAAAAGCACGCATGTCGGAAGTATGAATTGTACGCGATACCAAGTTCGAGTATCAAGTGATGAAGACCGATACGGAGTGCAGCAAAATATTGATAGATTTTTTTTTTTTTTCTTCCCTTCGAAGATTATCTTTTTTGTGAGTATGGGTGGTACTCTCTGCGAAATTCGGCCGACTTGTGCTCTGTACAGAATACAATACGGAGGACTCTGTATAAGTATAGGTACAGTCCAGTCATAGGTACTTAGAGCGAACCAACTGCCTCAACTGGAGGACCGCGGAACATTGACTTATCTGGTGGATAAATCGATATGACCGAAGCTCCATCAAAGAAAGTTGTCAGTGCGCTGGAGGACCACTACATGTTGATATAGTACATACTTACTTCGTAGTCTAACTGTCTACTGTCTAGTGTCTACATCCATAATAGTGCGGGATACAGACTAGATGGATCACTGAGGTAGAAACAAAGTTGTCTTACTCTACCAAAAGAAGTAAAGGACGCAGCTGCCATTGTCGCTCGCCCATCCTGGCTTGTGACATATGATCCTAGACTCCTAGAGCAACCGTAGATCATGCATAGAACATGTACATAGGTTATGTCAACCTTGAATTTGGTGTCAACCTGGAACTCTTCAGGCCTGATGCAAATACCCTGCTTAATATGCAATTCTTGGGCAGACTGGGAATTCGTCAAAAGACCGACCTCGTGACGTTTGCCCCTGAGTTCCGTCCCGGCCCCCTCCCCCCCCTTTTGTTTTGTTGGATTCTCCGCGGCTGTACCGATATTTGGTATTTCGCATTTCAATTCTGGATGGGTTATTCTGTACGGGAGGAAATATATGTCCAATGAACCGTCATGATTCAAGTCAGCTCTCTTGGGTGGATCAAGGTCGGAGATATGCCCCCCTCCGCCGCCGGGGGCGATCAAAAACAGCTGGACTTCATAGGGATAGTCCAAGACCATACTACTATAGTACTAGGTACTACTTTATAGGCGCAAGTACATACTACGTAGTAGGTCCATGCTGACAACTCCGCTCTCAATTCGTAAATTGATACGGAGCTACCTGCGTTGCCAATTGGTCCTTTGCTTGAATTAGGAGAATCTTGACTTCATCCGTTGTCACTTGTCACAGACACACAGTACTCCGTACTACTTGTTGAAATCTCAGCTGTGATGGTGCTCCCCGTCTCCCTAAGCTTATTGTTGAGGCTGTGACGGTCGAGCTCTGGAAGATGATTACGAAAAAAAGGTGTATACAGCACTGTATCGGTCTACCGGAGAATCCCATATTCAATGCTTGCTTATATTAATTAACCAAAATTCAAATAAATTATGTTCTTATTTTTAGCACCGCCCAAATATTCCCTACCGAGCTCCCTTAGCATTCATTATGAGAGCTGGCTGGTATTGAGTATCTTCTGGCACTTGACTTCAGAATCTTTGTCTTTCTCATACAACAGTGGTGCTTCTGTACTGGAGATATGGATGGAAGTCTATCAGTAGACTAGTACCTAGATAGTATCTACTCTAGTCATAGGGCATATGGCTGGGGCATCCGAGATCCGAATCTTCGAACAACAGCAAAATCTGCCTCAGTTGAAATCATACCCCTACTAGTAGATGAACCTTGCAGCTTGCTACCTACTTTACCCTTAACTTTGAGTTTGAAGGCCGTATGAGTCAAGACTCAAGACAATGACCGCTCTTTCAGCAATCCAATCAACAATGATAACTTAATAACCAATTCCAATTATCCAATTATCAATGGCTCATGAATTGGAATATGGCCATCTCGCGCAACCACACTCCAGTCTCCACCAAGGCCATATCGGACGTGGATTCGTGCCGTCGGCCGACTAACCACCAGTTTATCTGGTAGCGTCCCCTTTCCCGCTAAGATAAGTTCAGATCAATTCCTCTTAAGCGATGTTTATAGTTACATACGGAGTAGACCAAAGTGGCGGGGGTTGCTACTTATGAGATTTGAGGCTGGCCATTGCGGCAACTATAGGCCCCAGGATTCTAGCTTAGGGAGCATAATCTGCACAATTCCTGTTGGCGTCACTTTGTTCTTTACTCCATATGATCTGGATAGTTCCAATTGTTCGGTATCGGAATCGGTTTGGTACGGAAGAAAAGTGGATGACCAGCCCTGACTCAAAGGTAGGAATAAATTAGAGAAACAATACAGGTCTTCAGAACCTCAAGGCTAGGGTAGCATACAGATTGCCAACGCAGAAACTCAGAAGCATAACTCCCTGTATGGAAGTCTGTAGGTAGTTATCCTATGCCATCAGCACATCAGCAGGTACAACAAAGCTGTGCCTACGGAACACCGCCTTATTGTTATCCACGTGGGGCCGAAGAATTATGAACTAGTCGAGGGCTCCATCGTCGTAATCCCGAGGCGGACATGGTCATAATTATAGCGTGACAGCGCACTAGCCGCATAAATAATAGTACCATGGCTCAGAACCGTCGATAGTCTAAATCTATACTCCGTAGAGGCTGAGAAATGCACCTAGACAGGGAAGGGTAATACAGATTTATGAAGGGATTTCGATTGACACAAAAAAAAAGCCTGTAGAGCAGTAGAAGACATTATGAAAACGGAAGCGAGGGAAGGGCCTTACCCCTATTATCTGCATGGAGCAACATACCAAATCATAAAGAGGAAAAATCGGAGAGGGAGAAAGAAATGCAGGGAAAATTAGTAATAAAACGGTGGAGTCCAGCAATCTCAAAGGTATGGATGGCTTCTGTGTGCTGTCAATAAAGTGGGTCACTGTTGAGTCTACCTACTTTGAAGTTTGAGAGAAAAATACACATCCGAAAGTAAAGTTTCAATACAGCCGATCAAGTCCCTGTCCACAGTATGAAGCATATTGATTTGGAAAGTACGTTGTCGTTGTTCTTGTTGCTGAGCGCCCTCATGGGAAGACATTCTCAAGATTGTCCAAATGTAGTGTCTCATGACCTGATTTCACCATGGCGTCGACTTTATATTGACGTCCTTGTGTAACGCCACACTATGTCAGTGCCAGGTAGGACATTTACCCGATCAATTATCGGAAGCATTATTGTGTAGGAAAAGGGGCATCTAAATCGATCGATAACGATCCATCAGAGTGACGGCCATCGGTCAGCATCCGAAACACTGTACTTGTTCTGTTAAAACAGAGGATCATAGGTAGGAGTTTAGCATCCACGGTGATAGCATAAGTTGGGCTTAGGGATAGAGATCGCAGAGTATGTACGCAATAATGGACAACTGCCTATGATAAGCCTTGATGATGATAGTATTAGCTAAAAAGACTATATACCCCATACATCTGGGGACCGGATACAATGGTTGAACGTTGCCCACTACTGTCAAGTGCCCACCGATCAACAAGCTATTATTCGAGTCTGAGGCTTAAGCAATAACACTCTTTCATGTGCTCAAGATTGCAATTTTCTACCGATTTACTGAACCCATGTTGAAAGACCTCTTGTCAGTTGTCACTGATTACGGGATTAGAAATCTATGACGGGGCCTTGATATCACCCGTCACCCGTTTCTCTCTCCTTCGGCAAGTGTGTTTTTTGCCCACCCGCATTCCGGAAATCGTCGATTGGCGAGCGGGATTCGTTGCAAAAATGAGTTTCCTGTCAAACTCAAGGCACGTCTCCATCAGCTCAGGATAACGCGGGAATCAAACCATCAGACTCGGAGCTGACACTTATTTTTTTTTTTTTTTACCTTCTCTATATTTCTCATCTTTCACATCTCCTTTGGCCCCCTGTTCTCTTCACCGGCAAGCACTGGTGGGTTTGTTTGGGCCCGCCTGCGCGGGGTATGACCCAGTCAGAACGCCAATCACCAGCAATAAAACTCGCAACTCAAGACGAGGGCCTTTCCGAGGTTGGAACCTTGCATGATTGTTGCATTCCCAAGGTTTTTGCTTCCCACCCATACGGAGGAGGTATCATGCATGGTCTTCCTATCAAAAGCCCAAGTCAACCTCCCTCTTTTCCTTCGTAAAGGTAGATGGGAAATGGTTGATCCCATTACCATTACCCTCATCAAGGGTTTCTCCATCGTCAGTCTGATGATTCATGCGCCTGGTAATTGTCGTTCCAGAGCTTGGAAGTAACCCATTTTTGCCGGAATACTGCCGAACTTCCGCCTGTACAGTGTACACCCCATCGCGTTTGCACTGTGCACTGTAAACATGAGATATTGGTTTTGTTTTCTGATACCTATTATTTAGGCCAGGTTCGGAGTATCTCTTTCCATTTAACTTTCCGCGCCAGGTACTATATACACCTACCTACCTACCTACCTACCTACCTACCTACATACTCTGTAGGTACCTTTTAAAATCACCACTTATCACTGTTCCAACATCCAATGGGAAGGATTCGTGTTGTGCCGAACCCGATACCTATTCTCAAGGTAGGTAGGTAAATAAATAGTTAGTAGTCCCCCGGCCTGGAAATTAGATTGGTTACCGCGTGTCCAAGAACATCAAGTATATTACCTTACATAGTATACAATGCAACCATGACCTCAAGTTCAAGAGCTCTGATTGTGCCCCGGCGTGTGATGCGACAAAAGTACCATCTACAATAATAATGCCGCTAGTTAGGCAATCAATCTCCGAAATTATTCTATCCTAGGAAACTACGTAGGTCGTAGATATGGGGTGGGCATCTTTCAAAGTGACCGAGTAACTCTGTATTACTTGATACAACGCGAGAATCGAAGATCTCTGGATCTTTGTTCTAGACAACAATGAAGTCTCAAATCAACCATCAGCGGGATGTTTTTCGATCAGATAGAACAAGATACATTCTGTCTCGTCTGATGTTGCTCTAATCTGCTCAGGAGAGATCGAAATCTTGAGGATTACCAACAATATGTGAGATCTGGTATCTAATGAGTGTTTTTAATATCGTTGTTATTGGGTTGTTTCCTCGTGGTCTCCACTGACGCGTTCCTGACTTGCGCACAGAACCTATGTACTGTATCTTACGGTGTATGCAAGTACTATAAAGTTGCAACTGCCCATAGAAGTACCCCTGTGTCTATGTAGACTGAGGTAACAAGGTACAAACTATATAATACTTCTACGTCTTGGAGAAGAAATTATGTAAGATGGTCATCAAGCATAATATTGCCACAAATTAATTGGAACCTCATAATAATGCTTTCTGTCGATATCACACTGCCATGTCACGATAAGGTATCAGTGAATCTTACCTAAGCTTCTGTTGTATTCAGTACAACACAGGGGTAGAACATGGGTACAGAGCAGACGGTAACAATTATTTTCCGTGTTCCTCTCCTAGCTTTCCATCCTCTTCTCCAAAACAACCTACGTAGTAGATCAACCTGGCCAACCGAACCACCTATTTTACCCAATACAGTCCCTCAGACTAAGCAGAAAGAAGCTACTACCGGCATCAGCCGCCATTCGAAAACCAAGAAAATAACTACTACCTACTAGTAGTCTAACCATTTACCAATATTCTTTTTCTTTTTTCTTTTCTTTTTTTTTTTAATCGTTGTTATCGTTGATACCTACCTGCTCCTTGATCTGTGTCCAGATTAAATTTGATCATTATCTTCAATCAGTGGGACAACCTCTTTCCAAAGCTTCTGTCATAATTATTACACGACCCTTTGAACCACTGCGTTGTTTTCTGTCCTTTTTCTTTTCTTAGGTTTTCTCTCCGTTAAAAGCCTCCACTAAGGGAACCAGCACGCGCACCTCGCTTTTCCCCGACCTACACTACACTCTCTCTTCCTTACTAGGGACGCGCTATTTTGGCCCGTTACCCAGATCGTTCAAGCCGTTCCTCGGGCACGCCATATTAGCCCATCTTCATCTGTTCCCTAAAATCCTGACTAGCCTACTCGACTATCCTGACAAAACGTTGGCCAGTGATCTTGGATGGTCTCCACGGGCGCATACGCTAGGTTCACAACAGTCTCCCTGCGGCCGACCCTCGAGACTCTCGACACGCGCACCGTCTGTCCCAAGTCGCGGGTAGACTATCCAAGCTCCAAGCCTCTAACAGCTCTCGTCCTACTCCGTACTATAAGTTTTTTTTCGACATCACCCTTGATATCGTCGCCGATACCGCAACACACCACAACGGGCAAAACCGCTGGAAGCGATACCTCAATTGAGGAGACATAATACGAAGCATATCCAATCAAAGGGAAAAAGGGGGAGCCCGGTAAAATCCTAATCTCGCCACTTTTCTGCGGAGAGCTCCGCTCTTTGGAAAGAAAACCAAAAAAAAAGAGGGGATAGAATTTTTTTTATAAAAAAGAAAAAAAAGAAAAGAAAATCAGACAAGGAAAGCTTAGCCGGAAGAAGTCCACAAGAGCCTACGGAGTACATCTTCCTCGAGGACACTGGCCAACTAAGTGACTACTGAGGGGGAAGAAACCTATACTGCTGCTAATACCAAGTATTGGAAAGGAAGGGAAGAAATTGGTATTTACAGTTGTTTTGGGGGCCCTGATATTTCACCATACAAAAGTGGGTCAGGGTTACTGGTAACGGATCCATCGCTACAAAGCGACGGCACTCCGACTCTCCAAGTCCAAGAGTCAAAACAGAGAGGAGACAAAAGGGAAGAAAAAAGAAAAGAAGAGAGAGGGAAAAAGAAAAAAGAAAACAGCAAATCAAAATTCCTCAATCACGGAGTCCAGTACGGAGTATCCGTAACGAGAATACTAGTACCAAAATCCGCCCCCTCTTCCTCTGACCTTGGATCACTGGCTATTGTCCTCTCAGTCTCCTCCTCTCATCGTCTCCTTTTTACCACTACGAAAGATTACGGGGTCCACACCTAACCCATCGCACCCTCGGATCCCACGAGGTGCTCTTGAATTTTTTTTTTTTTTTTTCTTCTCTCTTATCCTCCTGCCGAAAAGCAGCATCGCTCCTTCGTCCATCTGAAGCCTTTTAGGCCGCCTCTTCTGCCCAGGTTTCTTATCCGGGTGGAGTCCAACCAATTCTCCCACCGTCTCGATTTTTAGGGTGATTAGTTTCTCTGGGTTGCCACTTGATCGAGACATCGTCTTTCACACTATTTCCCTTCGAGCCTGGTGACTGATTTTATTTTATTTTATTTTTCTTTTTCGAAACTTTTATCTAATCATTTCCTCGTTTCGCTTGTGGACGCCTTGGCCCTGGGTTGTTTTCTAAACCCTCTTTCCCCCCGACCAGGCCTAAAGTGACGGTTCCTTTTTTTCTCCCGCTGGTTCCTCGTGCTGCTGTGCCTACCGCCACCTGCAAGGCATCCTCCATCCACCCTAAAAGGCGACTAAGCAATTAAGCATCATCTTGTTCCAAGCATCATATCTATCCCCCAAAGCCAGCAACAGGTGCTTTTCCTACTATCTTTATTCACCTCTTACACCTCTTATTTCTCTGTCAATTTTCCTGTGCGCAGTGTGCTTGGCTTCTTCACTACAGAAGCTCAACGCGCCGCATTTCTTTTCTATTTTCTTTTACCTTCGATTCACTTCTTGATTACTCGCTTCTAGTGTGAATTATCACACATCGAGTCCTGTTCTCCGATACTGTTTCTGGACTGGGCAGTTTCCATCCAGATTCACTGAAAAGTACGTCCTGAAAGAAAGAAGAAGAAGAGGAACGAGAGAGGGAGGAAGCAAGACAGAGAAAGCAACGCGCCACGAGATCACTTTTTCTGAGATCTCCCGCACTATCATCTCCTCCCCCTGCTCTAACTCGATCAACTCGACGTTCTTATTTTTGGTGTCCACAAAGCTCATTGTGATTCTTCGACGCGTCTAGAAACAGACACGCGAGTTTGGAGGAAGATCAGGAACGTCTCTGGTACCGGCTGAAATCTGTGTTATATGGACAACAGACCTGCCTCCGAGTACGCGCAGTCAGGTTCGCTCTTTCCGTATTCACCGTCTGCCGCCGCGCATTCTGAACTCCCAGCTGCAGACCAGGCTTCTGCTGCTGCCACTGCTCAATACACGCCTCAGCCCGAGGTTCGCCCTACGCCTCAGTACACTCCTCAGCCCGAGGTCCGACCTGCCTCTGCCGCCGCCGGCGCTGCCGCCAATATTTCGTCCTCCAACACGCCGCAGTCAGACTACGGTCTGAACCAGCCTTCCGCCGCGCGCTCGCCTGCGTATCCGGACTACCTCGCCCGCCCACCTCAATACCATCACGCCCCCAACACCCAGGCCGGTGGTGCGGCAGGTATGGCTCAAGCAACAAGTCCGTCCATGACCACCCTCCATGATGGACACCACAATGACCATCGCAATCACGCGAACGTAAAGTCTGACGCGGACGTTCCTATAGATCCCTCAATCGCGGCCTCCAGCCCTACCTATCCTCCTCCCTATTCTCCCTACCAGCCTCAGGGTCATGACATGGCCCAATATCAGGGCCATCCTCCTCCACCGCCTCCTCAGATGTACACGCGTCCGGAATGGTCGCATGGTTATGGACAGCACCAACACGGTCTTCCTGGACCTTATAGCTCTCCTGCTACAACGGTTGGTCCCGCCTCCCCTGCCGCGACCGCAGGGCCGCGCCCTGGCCAGGTATGTTTTTGATGATTTCGGCGTCTGGTTCCAAAGGCTTGCGCTCTTGCGTTTTTTCTTGTCTCGGACGCCTCTGGAAATTTGAGGTCTCTGCCAGGCTGCCTGTCGGGTTGTGGAACACGGCTCATTTTTTCTTTTCTTTTCTTTCTTTTCTTTTCTTTTTTTTTCATTTACATGGAAATGATCGGTTCGGAAGCTCATTCACGATCTTTTAGGTCTATTCGTTCGTTCCTATCCCTGGTGCGCAGCAACATAAACGACCTCGGCGCCGCTATGAAGAAATCGAGCGCATGTACAAATGCGGCTGGAATGGGTGCGAGAAAGCGTATGGTACTCTCAACCACTTGAACGCGCATGTTACAATGCAATCGCACGGAGCCAAGCGAACTCCTGAAGGTACGTCTTTTTTAAGATGCCTTTTTTTTTGGCTCCTTTTGTTTTAAGGATATATTTCATCTTTTTTACCGCCATATCCCGAAATCATTTTGGGGTCACTTTGTTTGGGGTCACGCAGTTGTTTTGATTAGGTTGTTGCGGATATTCGCGCACTAGTCGAGTTACACTGCTTTAGCGCCGCGGATCGCAGTAGTGCAAGACGCCGGCGTGGAGTTAAACTCTACATACCACTGCAACTTGCGAATCTAATACCAACGCCCCCCCCTCCCTCTGCCAGACTACTTATCCACTTCTTGACCGGACTTGAGCATTAACATGTTATTTCCTCACAGAGTTCAAGGAAATTCGCAAGGAATGGAAGGCTCGAAAGAAGGAAGAGGAAGCTCAGCGCAAGGCTGCGGAAGAGCGTGAACGTGCGGCCGCCGCACAGGCTGCTCAAGCGAACCAGGTTGACGCTCAAGGTCCTACCGATCCCGCTCAGGCTCAACCACCTGCTTATGCCGGCGGCGTTCGCCCCCAGCTGCCGCCCATCGGCTACCAACCTGCTGACGGCCAAGTGCCTGGGCAGTACGGTGGTGCCGGTGGCATGGTGTACCAGGGCAATGGTCAAATGGCCTATCCTCCCACGAACTATCCCCACTCCCCGTACGGACAAAGCGGGCAGGTGTACCAGCAACGTAAGTAGCCCGTCCTTTGTTCTCCTTGCATTGTCAGGACCGGGCCAAGAAGAAGAAATAGAGGGGAAATTGAAATGACAAAAACACAAACACACATACACACACCCGCTATACCCAGTCAGCATGCCATATGATATGGCAAAACAGAAACATTTCAATCAGGAGGCCCTTGGATTTGTGACTCTAGGGATTATAGCTGATCGATGATGGCTTCTTACAGAAAATCAATCGACCAGCTACCCACAATAGATGCCCAAGATTCCTGTGTTCTCTCAGGTTGCATAACTAATATCACTATCTCCCCAATCCCGTATCGCCATCGCGGATCTAATTCTTTAAAGTCTTGCGCACATGATACCATCTGGCCTTGATCATTATTGTCGAAGAGCGGAACGCCGACTTATGCTCTATTCTTGTTATGTTCTTTTTTGCCCCCTTTTTGAATTAGATCGCCTGCGAACAAGAAGAGAAGACAAAATTTCGTTTACCGTTTTATCAAGGACACCGTTTCCCCGTTCCTGCCAGAGCCGGCTTCCGGAATTGTCATGGTTTGGGACACCTGGCGAGGCACTTTGCATTGGCTAAGCATTTCCTGTGTTGCATGTGGATATTTATTACTTTCACGCTTTTCCCCTGACACCCATCAATATGTCAACTCTGCTTCGTGTTGAATTTCTTCAACCTGTCTTTTCATCCTCCATTTCATCTCGACTGATGTTTCTATTTCCCTTTTGATTTTGCCTACACTGGTTGGTTTGAACTTGTGCATTATGTCCTTTGCTCAGTGGGCCTCTCCATACGGTCATGATATTGTTTGGTGGCTATAGTCTTACAATTCGAACTTGTTCAGTCTCTCCTCTTATCTTCTGGTGCTCCGGATCAGCTTCCTGCATTCTCTGTTCTATGGCATCTTGCAGACGAGCTGAATTGCGGCCTGCTACTGCAATGACAATTCTTCTATGAATCTAATCCTTGAGTTCGTCGAAGACCACCAGCATCAATACACTGCGTAGTTTATTGTTCAAAAAACATGCAAATCTTCATGACTTAGAGGAGTCCGTTAGATTAGGCACGGGCTCTTTACAGTCCGCAATAGCTTGACAAAAACTGCTTTGTAAACTCAAACTTATCAGGTCTGTAGAGATCTGGCTAATGGTTGTTCTGATCGACTGAGGAGTGCGTTCGGCTTTTGTAGCGTCTTGTTGGAGTTCCCACATTCGTCGAGATTGGGGAGACAGGTCCTAGACTAATATTTTATAAGGCTTAGCCGTAAATAAAGCTGGCGGTTCGACTAGTCGATCTGGAGGCATGTACTTAGGCCGTACGGGACACTAAGGTAGGCAAGGCCGCAGGAGACTAACTAACTCAAGCCCATGCCCCATGGTCTCATAAGGCTGAACCAAGCCGGGGAATGTGCTACGGACTACGGAGTACTAAGTACTACTAACTACGAACTACGAAGTACAGAAGTAGTAGTATGGACTAACCGCGAAGGGTTATCCATTGGTGCCTGAGGCTTGAGGTTAAAAATGTGCTGACTAGTACGGTCTGCCTAAGGCCCCAAGCAATGACAGCTCGGAACCGGAGTCATATACCTCCGTCGATGGTTAAACTGCGCTAACCGCAGATTGTCTAGCCCGGACAGCTGCGATAACTGTGATAGCACGAGACCATCTTTTTTTTGGTCCGATTTCCTCGTCAGTAGCCGTTGGAAATTGATATTGTGTTTCATATTCTTTATGTGTTTGAATTTTTCTCTATCACCAAATACTAGCGCTTCTACTGTCTGTCAGTGGCCTTTAAGTTCTAATTGAAACGGAAAATCCAAGCCTGTGACATTGCCGAGACGTTCCTTTTGCTCTCCTGGTTCGATTTGCCTTCGAAAAGAGACGGCTGCCGTGGTGCTGAACACGGTTTATTGCGAAGAGAAAGGTTGGAACTGGCTATCCAGAGCTCGGCGACAAAAGGGAACAGGGGAAAGTCAAGGTTCCACTGCTCTAAATGCTTCGCTGTAGCAATGCGGCTGCGCTTCGGACAGGTGTTGAATATACCATGTCGTTGAGGCGTCTAACATCGTCACGATGGACAAAGTCCGCACCGGGCATGTTCTACGCTACTCCCCTTGCGCGCGCCGCACAGCGGGGTCTCGTCGGGAGACAATTGCCGTCCTGGAGATCAATCGCCGTGAAGCAGTACTCGACGGAAACTTCGGTGTCAGATCCCACGGCTGAGGTGGGTGTTACGACCACAGAGACGAGCCCTGCAGATGTTGCCGAGCCGCAGAAAGAGGTTCGGAAGAAACGACGGGACGATGGAGGCGGGTCGCTCTTGGATCTTGCCATGGGCACATCCTCCACAGCGCACGGGGAAGACCCCGAGGCTATGGGGGCGACAATATCCAGGAAGGTGGTGGAGATGGAGCTGAAGTGGTTGAAGGACCCGAAGGTGCTGGCGGACCGAGTTGCGAGAGTCCTGCAAGCGGGAGACGCACCTCTGGCGGTGGCGCTTATTCGCAAGGCACAGATGGAGAAAATGGAGTGCACAGTGGCTTGGAACCACTTATTCGAGTATTGTTTGAAGCAAGGAGAGCCTAAAGCTGCGTTCAAATTCTGGAATGAGGTGAGAATCCTTTCTTTTGTCGTCAAGCTTTAGCTAATCTCTGGGGTTCTATCTTGCAGATGAAGAAGCGTGGACGAAAGCCGAATTCATGGGCCTATACAATCATGCTCAACGGTCTCAGCACATCGAAGAAATCTCAAGGGTTCAACCCGGTGAAAACGGCTTTATCCATCTACAGATCCATCTACGCCAGCAACTCTGCCGTCAAACCGAGTATCATCCACACCAATGCCATGCTCAATGTCTGCTCTCGCCACGGAGATATGGATACGCTGTGGGAAGTCGCGGGTGAGCTGCCGGAGGACGGGCCCGGTTCGCCAGATCCCTTAACCTACACCGTCATCCTGAGAGCAATTCAGAACGCCGCTCAGCGGGACGTGGAAAAGCTGGGACCTTCGGATGTTCAACAAATACTGGCCCGGAAGGCCCAGGCTGTCAAGGAAGGCAAAAGGATCTGGTCTGACGTTGTCTACCGCTGGCGCAAGGGTCAGATCGCTCTAGACAACAAGCTTGTGGGCGGCATGGCCAGCCTTCTTCTAGAAGGGGCAACTCAGCGTGACTGCTATGACATCTTCGCGTTGATGAATCAGGCGTTTGGAATTCCTAACCTTGCGAGCAAGCCGCCCCCCGAGGCCCAACACACATCCGCACGACCTGGACAGTGGAACACTTCAAGTGAAACAAAAAACCTGGAAGACGTTCCCTTTGTGGATGCGGACAACCGTGTGTACAGGCCGACAGAAACCGAGACAGAGCCAGCGAAAGAAGAACAAGAAGAAGATGAAGATGAGAACTTTGAGAATCTTTTTGATCCAGTGATCCCCGTCAGCCCCGGATTCGCACCAAAGACACATTTGATTACAACTGGAGGACCTGGTCCCCAATTTATCACTGCTGGCAATAAGGAACTCTGTACGATTTTGGAGGCTTGTCTGACCATGACTCAGGGGCTGGGTCTTGCGAAGAATTATTGGCAATACCTCACGGAAGAAGGCAATGAACACATAATACATGCAGATATGGGATCTATTCATGCTTATTTACGAATCCTCAGGCTGGCCCGTTCTAGTCGTCTTGCCACCGACCTTATTCGCTATATGCCTAATCCACAGCCAAAGACATTCCATATTGCCTTGAGCTGTTGCCGTCGAGACCGCAGGAATATGAATGCCCTCAAGTATGCCAATGAGCTTCTGGATATCATGTCCAAGACTTTGGTCCTTCCTCACCCCAAGGCTCTCGAAGATTACTTGGACTTCGTGCAAGTCTTACTGGACAACCCGCAACACCTCATGGCATTGAATGGACTGAAAGTCAAACGGAATCCCATGGATCCTCTGGCCACATTAGGTCGCAAACTACGACTCGGCTTGCTAAGCTTCGCTGTGCAAAATTTGCAACCTCATATCACAAAACTCAAAGAAGCCATGGAGCATGGAAGGATTAGTCGGAACTCATCTCTGGATCGACCCAGAGATCAAACAGAGCAATCCATTTCCGGGTCTCTTGCGCTGAAGGTGTTAGTTCGGACAAGAGGCTTGATTGATGAGCTTTTGAAAAGTGAAAATACTCCTCTACTCAACAAGTATGACTGCCAGCAATGGAAACGCGAGGCAACCGCACTTCGCAAATTCTCCGATACTGAGATGGTCAACAAATTCAGAAACACCCTCGTGCACCCGACGCCGGCGCAGCTCACAGCCTTTGAAGAAAAGCGTGATATCCCTGTTGATACTCAAAAATGGGTCAAGTGAGCTTTGTATATCACAACGGAACTCATCATGGAACATTCCAGGCCTTGTTTGATCCTTTTTATGGGTTTATATAGATAATCACCTCAGCAAATGTTCCATTCTTGGATCTGGCATTTGCATGCATATCATGGGCGTTGGGGTCAAAAGACTTACATGTACATTACGCATATAACTTTGCATCATTTCTTCTAGCATTTGAGGAATCTCTATTCAATCATGTATTATGTTCCAGTTTTGTACTCTATTCTAGGTGGATCGACTCCCAGAATCAATCGACTTTCATACCTATCACATTATGAGCATCATCTGGAGCCACTCACAGTATATCCAAGCGTGTCCTCGCCAATCCCCATAATGAATCCCTGAGTTCACCTTTCTTCCTTTCTTCGCCTAATGTAATTCTCACAATCTCTCATTCTCCTGCATGCAAATGATGGCATGTTTCATCTGATGTCTACATTCAGGGTACTATTCCGCCTGCCCGTTTCGGCCCGTGTGCGTACGTAATGCCACTCTAGCCTCTCCGCCCTGAGACAACAGCAATGAGGGAGACTCCGCGGACTGCATTGACAAGGACTCTCATGAAAGACAAAAGGGTTTTCTATTTCTATTACTCACTTACAGCTGTTGAAGGACTAGAATATCCGTGGATATAGAGTCTCTGTGCGACAAGCAAGGCTCCTGTGTTTAATCATTTTGCGATTGGACCTAATCCGGCACCCAAACAATATACCTGCCTACTACAATGGCCAGCACCTCGCACAGCTCGCACAACTATCCGCACATGGAATTGCGTGATGATGAATCGATTCTTGATGACGATGTGATCGAGGCTGATGATGGTGGGTTCCCTCTTATCTCTTTCAAGTGCATATCGACTTTATAATAAGTACTCTCGGTTACCATAATAGAGCTATTGCTGATGCGTCTCGTACTATCGTTAAACAGCCCTCGATGCCGAAGATCCCCTGTCCACTTCCGACACTGCTCCGCTCAGAGGCAACATCCAGTCCGGTCCTTCAGGTTCAAGCCGAGGAGGATTCGGAAGCAACCTATCGAGCAACTACCTGACATCTACGATCCCCGGAGAGGACCGTCGCGCAACTCAGAACACCATCGATGAAACAGTGTGGGAGACGCTGTCGCGCGACCTGCGAGCGGTATGGGAGAAGATGCGCCAAGTGCTGTGGCCCAAATACCTGATGGGAGGGATGCTGCAGCGCAGCGGAGGCGGCATCGGGGCCGCGGAGCGAGGAGAGGCCACCGGGTTCGGCGGCGGAATGAGGGGCATTGTGGGACGCTGGCCGGACGCCGATGTTGTTCTACAGGGGGGGATGAGCGAGGGTCTGCGCGACTGGGATCTCTGGTGAGTGTTGCGACTCTTTGCGGGACCGCTTGGAAGCGTTGGTTGAAACCGGGATGGCTAACATATCTGATACCGTGTGTAGGGGTCCGCTCATTTTCTGCTTGCTGCTGAGTATGTTCTTGTCGATGCGTGCAAAGGGCGAACAGGCATCTCTTGTCTTTTCGGGTGTCTTCTCGATAGTCTGGATTGGGGAGGCTGTGGTAACATTGCAGATCAAACTGCTTGGCGGGAACATGTAAGTTTCTCCTCTAGTGAAGAGGTCCATAGGGGGGGGGATTCATGAAGGACTACCACTAACGCAAGCCTTCCGGGGCGACTAGTTCCTTCTTCCAGTCGGTTTGCATCATCGGCTACACTCTCTTTCCCTTGGTAATCGCTGCGCTGCTGAGTGCATTGGGCCTTCCGACGATCGCTCGGATACCCGTTTACCTGGTTCTCATCGCATGGTCCCTTGCCGCCGGTGTGAGCATTCTAGGTGGTTCTGGCGTGATCAAGAACCGGGTTGGTATTGCCGTCTACCCTCTATTTGTCTTTTACATCGCGATCGGGTGCCTTTGCTTCATCAGCTAGGAGATTGAAGATGCGAACCGGCCGGCCTGGTATCCTATCATTCATTAAGCCAAAGAATGATCAAACAATACTACGATCGCAATGATGGGATGAGTGGATAGTGGAACATGAACACCAAGTATATCCAGCATTATCAGTGATTGGGCTTTCATTTTCCGTCTTTCTGCCAGCTACATGTACTCTTAGTAGTCTTCCATCATGTTCTAGATATCCAATGATTGTTTTGTTTTTTCATGAGGACCGAGTTCTGAGTATAACTTCACAGTACGGAGTATTCACCCTCTGCTTCCAATCATTAAGCAGGGTGGAGCCGAGCGGTGACCGGGCGACCAGACAACACAACAGCTAGCTCAGCATCACGATAACTGGAGACTCGGACCTCATATTCTGTTTCATCACCATTCCTGTCCGCCTCTTTGACAGTGCTTTGTCCCGAGGTCTTGCCTTATTCGAAGGCGGCTATTCGCAGTTTGACCGTTTCTGCTGGTGGATCCAATCCGATCGTCGCACGACGCAAGCGTTGTCACGATATTGATGGCACCAGCGACTCCGTTCAGCAACCCTCAAGCAGTCTTCTCAATTCCAGCACCGATTATTCTTTGTCGGCCAACTTACACTTGAAATCTATAGTTGGTTCAAGTCTCGATCTTCAACTTGATCCTCTCCAAGAAGGTACGTCGGTCGGCCCCGTTCGCATCGCACGTGTCGGCGAAGCCTCACTGCACAGCGAGTGGGGCTCAAACGCCTGCTGCTCTGTGTTGTTCTCCCTTTCTCTCCCTCGCGTGTCTTGAAACATAGTGACTAGAGAGGATTTGCGCATTCTACGATATTTGTTATCTGACAACCATCTTGGGTGAGCTTCATGAGCTAACAATGCGATAGTCAACGTCATACGGAGCTCGATCTTCCGTACGCGACGTTAGGGAGGGTGAAACTCGATCCTGCTATTGCAACAGCCTTTTTTCGAGAACATATTTTTTGGAACTGGCCGTGAAAGAAATTCGCAGAGACGGCGTCCGATCCACAACCTGTTGAGGCGCTGGAGGGTATGCATTGTTCCTCATAGTGCCCATGAACTCATTATTTTCTTGCTGGGCTGGCGGAATTCAGACTGACAACATTGCTTGTTAGACAATCCTCAGAACGAAGCTATGGAGACCAAAGGTACGAGAAAACCTGATTATTATGCTTCACCATTGGAGTTCGAAATCATGCACATCTGCTGCAGGAAGACGATGTTCTGTGCTGGGCTGACAATCTCGTGTGCCTACAGAGACCGCCGCGGAAGATAGCCACGGCTCTGATAACGATGGTAGCCGCCCCGTCCGACAGAAATTGAAGCAAACGTCGATTACTTCGATCCCGCTTGAACAGGCGGCTAATGACGATAAAGAGACCACCGGGAAGGGGACAGACTCAGCCAACGGGCCTGAGAGGTTCCAGAGTGGTTCGGATAGTCGGTCGAGCAGCCGCGGCCGGAAACGGTCCTTTGAGGACGAGGAAGACGAGAACGACGACGAGGAACACGGCCACAGGCGCAAGAGATCGCGTGACTCTACAACCGAGGGCGACGATCAACAGCCCCAGGCTGAGGTTAGCAACTCCAGGAAAATCCTGAGCCCGAAGAAGAAGAGAAGCAGGGACCAACTCGATAAAGAGGAGCCCAAGCTAGCTGCTTCGGAACAAACGGTTAGCAAGACTGAAATCGGGGAACTGGAGAAGGAAGGACAGCCTGAAAAGAAGCGACACCGTGATAACTCGACAGAGAGGGAGCCAGTAAGTAACAATCACATTGTCTTGGTTGCTGCTAGAACGACCACCGATTCATCTTCTCAGGCAACGATCACAAGTGCTTTTGCCAATACGTCCTCAGTCTCTCCATTCGGTTCACTTGGAGCGACAGAACTAGAGGAAAAGCCTGCCAAAGCGGCCGCGGTAACTTCCAATTCGGCCTTCGCTTCATCAAGTTTGGCGGCGTTTGCTAGCTCAGAACAATCACCCTTTGGTTCACTTGGAGCTTCAACACCATCTGTCTTCAAGTCGCCCACTCCGGCAGAGGCCGAGAAACCAGCCACAACCGGGTTCGCAACTGCGGTGGGTACTTCGGGCTTTGCATCATTGGGTTCTGGATTTTCAGGCTTCAGCGGTGGCTTCGGGGCCGCTGCGAAATCTGGGGGGCTTACCAGCTTCGCTTCTCCCGCTGCGACTAGTGCCCTGGGTAGCAGCACTAAAGACAAGCCATTCGGCGTAGCAGAGGACGAAGAGGCAGAGGAAGAGGAGGGCGAAGGCGAGACTCGGCCCAAGGAATTCGAGCAAGAAAAGACCGATGAGAGGTTTTTTGAGCAGCAGAGTATGTGGCAATCCATTTGCACCGATCCAGTCTCCGTGCTAACCATCTTTCTACAGTCGAAACGGGCGAGGAAGAAGAAAAGACATATTTCAGCTGCAAAGCTAAACTCTTCCAATTTACGAATAAGGAATGGAAGGAGCGCGGTCTCGGCACATTCAAGGTGAATGTCAAGGTAAAGGACGGCAAAGAGGATAAGAAGGCAGCTCGGATGCTCATGCGAGCCGACGGCGTTCTAAGAGTCATGCTCAACTCACCTATCTTCAAGGGAATGAAGGTTGGTGACGGTGCTGGCAGCGAACCAAAATCCAAGCAGATCCATCTGGCTGGTGTCGAAGATGGCCGCACCGTTCCTCTCCTGCTGCGGGTATGTATTCTTTCCATACACTTACAAAACAGAACATGACCACTGATATGGCACTAGACGGGCAATGAGGAGCTTGCTAAGGAGCTCTATCATGTTATTCAAGATCTGCTGCAGCACCAATAGATGCGCGCAAATACTGCGGAGATGTGGTCCTTCCAGTAGAGTCTTGCTTAGGCGACAAGGAGCAGAGTGCGCTGGGTCAGACCCTTTCAAGGTACTCATTAGTACGACTTATTTTAGAGACATACTCTTACGGATTGACAGACAGAGTAAACTCGAACGACACGGGTTGACTTTCTTGCATTTACTGGCTGGGGTGTAGGTTGTCTGGGGCTTTTGGCTTGGGCTTTGGAGCGGCACCTGAAGCATCTACACTTGAGGTGCAAACTTCTTTTTGTGTGTGTTAGTTAATACATATTCGATTCTCTTCATGTCATTTTGCTTTTCAAACAAACATATTCCGCCTGTGTACGGTTCTATCTCTTGACCATGTTGCCCTGTTGTATGAGCGACGCTAGTCCTCAACTGGATATATGACAATGGAGTAGCACGTGATTCCGCGTCTTCCCTTTGCCTCGCGGAAATCTCCCCGTACACCAACAACTTCAAATGAGCACCATTTGACGAATTGCGACCACAATGGGGCATCAACATGGCTGGACCAGTGTTAGACTCGGCGCCGCAGAGCCCTGCACTGAAAAGAAAAAGAGCCGATGAAGCAGATGGCATCAGCAATTCCATATCCACACCCAACACCAAATTGACCACCGCGTCTCCAGAGCAAACCCCCTCTCAGGAACAACCTGTCACCAAAAAGAAGCGGGGAAGACCTCGCAAGACAAAACCAGATGACGAGAATCCTATCCCAAAGAGCGAAACAACAGCGCAACCCCAGACCCCTGCACCCGAGCAACCCAAGCCAAAGCCCCGATCCTCCAGGACGCCAAAAGCAAAGACAGAAGCCGAGAGCGCGGCACCCCAGCGCACGCCCTCTTCACCCTGGCCCGAACCCCTCAAGACGCTCTGCCAGACCCACCGCGCCTTGAATCTGGTGTACACGTTCTGCTGCACGCGAAAGCATTTCGCCACGACGTTCGAGAATATCCGGACTGCGGTGCAGGCTCAGCTGGGCGGGCGCCGCGAGCTGACGGTCGAAGATATCGCGCGGGTGAAGGTCCTTGTGCCGCGGGCTGTGAGGCTAGAGTATGTGGACGAGGCTAAGCTGGAGGTGATGACGGTTGGGGAGAAGGAGACGGCGAGGAACCATGCGTATGGGCTGTCGCGTGCGGAGGGGGAGGAATGTGCCGATGGGGGTAGCGGTGTTGAGGCGAAAGATGTGCTGCTGTTTGAGTTCGTGGATGGGGATTTGAAGCGGGAGGTGAGGCATCCGAAGACCGGGGAGCCGACGAAGCCGACGCGAAAGATGAAGGATGAGGACTTGAAGATGCCGGTGTACAGCCAGAAGCAGATGCTTGGGCTGATTGAGAAGCGGAATAAGAAGTTCTCCGACGCCATTGATGCGTTTCTGGTGCAGTGCGAGGATGACGGCGCCGAGCCAGTGGAGAGGTTGGAACGGGAGAAGGAGGCATGGATTCCCACTCCTCCCTCTGCGGATAATAGCCCGCAAGCAGAGGCTATTTCGAAACTACCCCGGGAGATTCCCAAGGAGCGCAAAAGCATGGCAGAAATTATCGAGGAGATCCGGACAATGGACTGGTATTCCGCGCAGATCGTCCCTGAAGGCCATAGAGTGTTTGATGCTCAGGCTCCTGTGTATGGAGACTTGACCTTTCAACTTTCGCAGGATCTTGTCAATGCGTTGTATAACACCAAGGGCATCACGCAGTTCTACTCGCACCAGGCGGACGCGATCAACTCCCTCTATGCAGGCCGGAACGTCATTGTCTCTACATCTACAAGCTCGGGCAAGTCGTTGATCTACCAGGTCCCCATGCTCCACGAGCTGGAAAAAGATCCCCACAGTCGCGGAATGTATATTTTCCCTACGAAAGCCCTCGCACAGGATCAGAAGCGTAGTATGAAAGAGCTGTTGCAGTACATTAATGGCTTGCAGGATGTCATGGTGGAGACCTTCGACGGCGATACCCCCATGGAGAACCGTAACCTCATCCGTGACGAGGCGCGCATCATATTCACCAATCCAGATATGTTGCATATCACGGTGTTACCACAGGAGAGTTCGTGGCGAACATTTCTCAAGAACCTCAAGTTCGTCGTCGTCGACGAGTTACACGTCTACAACGGGTTGTTCGGATCTCACGTTGCGTTCATCATGCGACGTCTTCGCCGAATATGTGCTGCAGTAGGCAACCGACATGTCAAATTCATCTCTTGCTCCGCCACCGTGGCCAATCCAGAGGCACACATGAAGGCGATCTTTGGCATTGACGAGGTCAGGTTAATTGACTTTGATGGCTCTCCTTCGGGTCGGAAGGAATTCATCTGCTGGAACACCCCTTTCAAGGACCCCAACGACCCGACATCTGGTCGCGGAGACACCGTTGCTGAAACGGCTCGTCTTTTCTGCCAGCTGATACTCAGGGGAGCTCGCGTGATCGCTTTCTGCAGGATCAGAAAGCTATGCGAAGTTCTCCTGCAAGCTGTTCGGAATGAATTTCAGAACCTCGAGAGGCCAGAGGTGGGCAAGCTCGTCATGGGCTACCGAGGTGGTTACAGTCCCCAGGACCGACGACAGATCGAGAAAGAAATGTTCGACGGTCATCTGATGGGGATTGTTGCGACGAATGCTCTTGAGCTGGGCGTTGACATCGGCTCCCTTGACGCTGTGGTCACTCTCGGCTTTCCCTACTCCATCTCAAACCTGCGCCAGCAGAGTGGTCGTGCGGGACGACGCAACAAAGACTCTCTCTCCGTGTTGGTCGGTGACAGGTATCCAGCCGATCAGCATTACATGAAGAACCCAGATGAACTCTTCACCAAGCCGAACTGTGAGCTCCAGATTGACCTCGCCAACGAACTGATACTCGAAGGGCATATCCAGTGTGCCGCATTTGAGATGCCCATCCGGCCAGACGAGGATTGTGTCTACTTTGGCAAGCAGCTGCTTGTGTTCGCAGCTACCCGACTGGTTAAAGACAGCTTTGGGTTCTACCATTGCCACGAGCGATTCCGACCCCATCCCTCTCGATGTGTCCCTATCCGAGACACGGAGGACCAACACTTTGCGGTCATCGACACCACAAACGCGCGCAACATCGTTCTGGAGGAAGTCGAGGCCTCTCGCGCCTTCTTCACCATCTACGAAGGCGGCATCTTCCTGCACCAGGGACAGACGTACCTAGTCAAGGAGCTGAACACGGACCAACGGTTTGCCCGCGTGGTCCGGGTTCATGTCGACTGGAGCACGATGCAGCGCGATTACACAGACATTGATCCGATCGAGACGGAAATGATGCGCCAGATCAACATGGTCTCGGCGTCCCGCGCATTCTACGGCTCGGTCCAGATCCACGCCGTGGTGTATGGTTTCTTCAAGATCGACAAGCGCGGACGCGTGCTGGACGCCGTGGCCGTGGACAATCCACCCATCGACATCTTCACCAAAGGCATGTGGCTCGACGTTCCCAAACGAGCCCTCGAGATCCTCGATTCCAGACACCTCAACGTCGCCGCCGCCATCCACGCTGCCGAGCACGCCGTCCTCTCCCTACTCCCCACCTTCGTCATCTCCTCGCCGGGCGACGTCAGAACCGAATGCAAAGTCGCGAAGAAGGAACTCGGCCGCAACCTGAAGCTCGCGAACGAGATGCGCGATCGGCAGACCGCAGAAGCCGCTCGCAAGCTCCAGCCCCCGGCCCGGCAGCGGCCCGCGCGGCTGACCTTCTACGACGCGAAAGGCGGATCGTGCGGCTCCGGCATCGCCAGCAAGGCGTTCGAGTTCATCGATGTACTCCTCCGCCGTGCGGTATCGCGCATCGAGGCATGCCAGTGCGTCATCCCGCAGGGGTGCATCGAGTGCGTCGGCGACGAGCGCTGCCAGGAGATGAACTCCGTCATGAGCAAAGCGGGGGCGGGCGTCGTGCTGCGGTGTCTGCTCGGGTGGGATGTAGACATCGACTCCTTGCCCTGGGGCGAAGACGTCGTGGGTGAGGATGGACTGGCGGAGCTGGCGGGCGGTCTGGAGACCGTTGTTCTAGCGACTGAGGTGCCCTGGCGGAGCAGATGTCAATCTCGCGAGAACCAAGTAATTATTAATCAATAAATGCTACACTTTGGGTTGACAAAACGTCGGCGCAGAGCGCTGGCGGAAACAATGCTGGCGCTAGAGAGAGCATGACAAGAAGCAAATCAAGGTAACCGTCCGACATCTATGGTATATCACATTTATGCAAAAACCAACAGTCCTTCAAAAAAAAAAAAAGAAAAGAAAAAGAAAAATAATTACCATAATTCTCCACCGAGCTCTTAGATAACCTTAGGGCAGGCATATCCAAGAACGCGCCGGCGGCAAACAAGAATGAATTTCTAGTATGACATGATGTATATAGTAGTAGGATGCAATCGGAGAGAGAAGATATCTAAACCACCCGTCCAATATAACCCAAAGCAAAAATAAATAACAGAATCGCTGCACGCCAGCCTCCCAATGCTTCAGCTGTGGGGATAACCACATAGATATGACATGATGATAGAAGACGAAGAACAGATGACGACGAAGATCTGGCAAGAGAACCGTGTCTTGGGGTATATAGGTTTGAAAGAACAGAGATGGATAAACCCAAAAGAAGAACAAAGTACAAGAAGTAGTGAGATTGTGTTCGAAATGCCTGTTCTCGGTGGAGTCAGTGATTGCGGAGACGGGAAAAAATTCTCCATCAATGAATGAGGAAGATGAGAAGGTGAGAGCTGATCGGGCAACTGAACAAGATCCGGTTGAGTGGGTAGAGATACAGTCGGCCCGCTAATATAGACGAAGCAGCGGTTCAACGCTGTATAGTAGATGTATAAAGTACATAGTTGGGTGATAAAAATCCGTCTAAATGCTTGTGTCGTCCAGGTGCGACTCTAGAAATTTGCTTGTTAAGGGACAAGGGCCGCTTCCTGAGCATCCTTGATTCCAGGGGTTCGCTCCTGAGGGCGGCTCGTCGGAAACCGTCCGAAGCGTCGATGGTCGAGGTTCCACAAACGCCTTAAATTTTCGGGTGGATGGAAGGACCATAAGGTCAAGGAGCATCCGGACCGATAGACGCCAGACTCGTCTCGCTCTCAGTGTCGTCGAAATTCAGTTTCCAGAACATGGTTCTCATATTGCGAACATTTTCCCGAAAGTCATCTCTAGCGTGGACTGTCCTTTCTTCTGTCATCGCGCGAACCTCACGGATGATCTCCGGGTAGCCTGAATCGTCTGGAAGCCACCAGTGGTTGATTTCGGGCAGATGCCATAGAACCGCCAAGCCAGCACGAAACTTTGGAGGCGTGATGTACCTTGTTATGGTTAGTTAGGACTGCGGAAGGGGAAACAAACGTTGTCAAGCAACGAATGATCACCGCTGCAACAATTCACCATAGAAGATAAGACTAAGACATACCCATTTTGCTCCATCTTCGCGAACTTCTCACGGGCCCACATCACATGCCTGTTGTCTCTAGGGAGAAACATACTCGCCATTCCTACGGAGTTCTTAAACGCGAACATATAGCCACTCTCTTTCTCGGGCCACCGTGCGATTGTTTCAATACGCCGACATTGTTCCATGGCGAGGCTTTCCAGCTCCGCCATGGATGATTGTTGGATGGCTAATAAGGACTGATACTTGAACATCGCTTTTGCGGCAAGGTAGTCCAACCAAGCGAAGTTGATCTCCCATAAAGGACCGGTATGAAGACTGCCTGGAACATAGAGATCAACGATATCGTCATCCGTCAAAGGTTCCTTGTTTGGGAAGTTGGTGACAACGTATTCCGAATCGTTGAATAGTTCGAGGATGAGTTTCATTCGCTCCAACAGCTCGGCAAGCTGCTCGTTTTGAACGGTGAAGTCTTCGATCGGAATCAAGCCACGCGATAGTTTTGCATACAACGAGGCCATCTCTAATCCAAATCGACGGTTGATTGATGAAGCAAGTGCGATTTGCTTCTGGGGATCTTCAGGAAATAGGGCAGCTTGCTGAGCATCATATTCTTCTTTGGCCATGTACCACTCCCGACTGAGGACCGTCTCATTTCCAGCCAAGAGTCCCGCGACGATGTCGAATCGGGCATGCCAACAAAAGAGATCGCTGTGCAATTCATTGGTTTTGATAGACTCCGGCGTCAGGAGCTCGCGAACAAGAGCATGGGCGGCTTGGTGGTGGTCAATCAGGTTTACCCAATCGCCAATAAATTCCTACATCCAGCAAGCAATGGTTAGTTTTTTTTTTTTTTTTTGTTTTCCAACATAAACAGGGAACAACACGATGGTTTAGAAAATCATACCTCGAAGGTTGTAAGTGCAAGAACGGTGATTAGCATTGGCTCACAATGCGGCTCCCCAGATGCCAAGGACTTTCGCAAAAGCTTCAAAGCTTTGTCGTAGTACTGGAGAAAGATATAGAGCTTCCCGGTACTGGTCTGCACGGAGTGATGGTATGCTGCGAAACCAACGACTGCATACAGAAGAGGTTCGTATTGCAGAGCGGCTTGGATTATGCTCTGACGGAAAAAGCGGTCAAAAGTTGACTTCAAGAAATAATGACGATAGGACATGTGATCTTGATGAAAGGCAAGGTAGAATCGTATATCGTCTGGGAGATGCGAAGCGCCAGGAGGGCCGAGCGACTCTGAACCGAACAGTCCCACACTGGCCGATCGCGCACTCATAGACTCAAACCTCGAAGATGCCTCGGTTGAAGGCGAACTGCTACCATCTGCGTGCGGAAGACTCGGCTCGCCCGCTGGTTGTTTCGTTCTGCGCCTCCACAATGATTGCACACTCCTTTTTTTCGCGACACCTGGTTTGGTTCCCGGTGGGACTGAACTCGATGACGGGGACAAGAGGGGACCCGATCCAACACTCCCATCTTCTGCTTCGCCCTCATCCACGATCGGCTCCAACGTATGAATATCGTCCAGTTCCAGGTGGCTGGACGAATCGCTTCCCTGCGACGGCGGGCGATGCGCTCTCGGCTTCGACCCCGAGCGTGTGCCAGCCTTGGAGGATGTGCCCGTCGCGGTGGGCGATGGATAGACACAGTCGCGATTTCCCTTGCGGCATCTCTCGCAAATTGGGCGGGTCTCGTCGCACTTGATCCGGCGGGATCGGCAAGTGAAGCAGCCGCTTCTTGTGCGCTTGTGCTTTTTCTGATCGGATATGGGTTGCAGCAGCGATGGCTGTTGCGGTTGCTTCGGTGGAGCCCGGGGATACGGCGGAGCCGGAGGGATGACTAGTTGCGGGGGGGCGTTGTGCCAGAAGGCCACACTGTCGGGATACTGGCCAGCACCGAAGACCGAGTAGGCAGGGATCTGAGTCGGCTCTTGGACTGGCATGGTGGCCGATAGATAGCCGGTCAAGGGGGCTTGGGCCGGGTCGAACGAATGCGCCATGGCTGTAGGGATGGCCAACCGAATTGCATCCAAGGAGCAACGCGGATAAGCTGCCAAGGTGGCGGCATAAGCTGAGGAACGATCAGCTCGAACGGTCGGGGAACCTCTGGAAGAGAATCCAGGCAGCTCGCATGTTCCCGGAAGGGAACGGGGGAGAATAACGGTGCGCAGTCGATCGAGGGGGGTGATGGAGCTTTGAGGGAAGAAGGGTCTGCTCGGTGAGAACGGCCAAGAAGAGATGGAGTGAAGAAGAAGGAGAGAAGAGGCGAGAGACCAGCTGGATGGGGGATGATGGTTTAGAGCAGAAGAATGGAATGATTGGAAATTGATGGTTGAGAGGAGATGGTTGGAGGATGAAAGAAGGATGGATGGATGGATAGAATTGTCAAGGACAGGCAGACCAAGATGGCGGCGGCGGAAAGTGATGATGGTACTACTGGGTACTAGGTCGACCAAGGGTACCTAGTACTTAGCTTTTAGTGCGAAATCAAACTGAATAAGCCGGTACTAGGTACTCTGCTGGGCTGTAGGGAGTAGGGACTAGGGATCAAATCATCAAACCCACAGACAGAGCTAAGTCTAACTAACTACCTAACTCGCACGTCGCAACTACTCCTCCGTCGACCAACGGAGGAGGGGAGATGGCCGGGAGGGACGCAGTAGTTCGAGGGAATAATAGTAGAAAACTATTAGGAATAGATAGACTGGTTAGTGTTTACTGCTCCATCAAGCGGAAGCCAAGACTCTTTATTGGCACAGGAGTCCCGAAAAGAAGAGATGGATCATACAGTAGTGTAGCCTGTGTATGTACTACTATCTAGGTAGCCGTAAACTGAAGAGAGATGGAATAGATAGATAGATAGTCTTCTACTAAGGCTAAGCAATATCGTGTTGATCTCTGGAATCAGATCATTTATGCTTCTTGATGGAGACGGCGGCTTTACTCCAGCCCTTTTCTTCTTTTCTTCTTTTTTTTTCTTTCTATTCTTATTATCCCATTGAAATCGACAGTGAACTGATCGTATTACCCATCCATTGCTATGATTTGTCTTCTGGACCATGGATGATGACTTCACAACTGCTGGTTCTTGTGCCGGCTTCTCCCCGGGATACTACCTACTAACCTAGGACCCAACGGAGCTTCTCAGCTCACAAATATCTTTGATGTCATCGAGATGATGGCGAGAAGTCCAAGGTAGTCTACCGTTGGAGAGAGGGGAGTGCAGCAGGATCCCTTAATACTCATCGGGGCTGATCAGGACTATCATCAGTCAATAGTCCTCTAACTCAATAGACTGTGGGACATGGGGAGTATGATTCAGGAAATCCGTCGATGGAGAGAATTGGGAGGGACTCCGGAGAGGGAACTCTGCGCCAAGAAAACCAAGACAAACGGACTGGTCGCCACATCCGTTGATGTCGGATGAACGATTTATGCAGATTGCAGTTGTGACACTTGTGACGATTCCTTCTTTCTTGATCCATGACCAGTCATAGTCATGCAGCATGCTAGATCCAAGTACACGTCAAGATACAGGAGACTTATTGCATCGAGCAATAGGACACACGATTGATTTCCTAGTATGTACTGTAGAGTGTATCCCGTAGGTCGTACAGGACTCATTATGATCATAAAAAGGACAATTCAAATCGATCAACGAGCTAGTTAGAGTGCACAGTCGACACCCCAAATAATAATGCCAGGTAAAAAAAGGAGATCCTGTGGTCCAGTGGAAGAGAATGCAGACCAAACCGCATCTGGTGAACCTTGAGAGCTCAAGTGGGTACCTTACAGCACCAAGGCACTACTAGTCTCTTAGGGGTAAAGCAGCATGGCATATTGGAAGCCAGCTTACGGTATAGCATCGACCCATTATATCACCGTGTTACCAACTTGGTAAGGTCCTTGACTCTTTGAAAAGGGAACGAACTGGTTCCCTACCTTTGGGGATGGGATGAGATAAGATGGTAAAAGGTGGTTGTTTTAGGTATAGCGCGGGTTGCTCTGAAGTCTAGATCAACTTCAGGTCATCTATAGAATTTATGTGGCAGTTGTTAACTTGTTAGTACTTAGTAAAGGCGTCTTAACATAAAAAAAAAAAAGAAAATTGGATCAGACCACTCATTAAACCCAGGAGACTAGTGAGCTTCCAGCTTCTAGTATGATTCGAGGCCGCCATAGCAGCACCAATTGAAGCTATAAGCGCGGCCTGTTCTGCTGTATCCATGGCCTACCTAAAAGCGTTGAGCAGTGTGATATTGCAGCTAAAAATTCGTGAGCGCCGGATTTCTTACCATCTAGTCATCTGAATTCATTTTACTACCGAGGCTGAATAGATTACTACATAGTAGAACCATGGCAATATCAACGCCACAGGGGGAGTAGAGAGTGGAGAGTAGAGACCATAATAATGTTACAATACCTATCTGAATTTACAATCTATCATCTATTGCGCCAGTATCATGATTCAGCTCTCTACTCGGGATAGTCCCCTGATCCAATACCCTGAGGGTTGACACAGCAACAGTAGATTGTAAGTACATTGAGCCATTCATAGACACAATCTCAATCCCTGCGCAAATCTCCCCAGTCACAGCCCAAAAAAAAAAAAAAAAAAAAAAAAAAAACAAGACATCGTCACCCTGCATATTTCGTTCGAAGTTACCCAAAGCACCTCTCCATCGACGGTCCTTCAACATCCAGGTATCCACATATCAAACAAACCCTGGGGCTAGTCTCGTCACGAACTAAACCTAGAATCAACTGAAGTTCGGAACCAATTATTAACACTCCGTATATTGGCATTTGGCACGAGTACTACGACTCGAATCCAGCCCAACAAGCTCTGGCTCCAAACCTTATGTCGGAAGTGCCGGACGAAGCCCGGGCCGTGGAGCGGTAGTAATCAATACTCTTTCAAAATGAAGTTGTTGTACCTCACACTAACTAACTACTACCACCACCACTACTACTACTTGTACTCCGTACTCCCTGTAAGTCCGTATATCAGTCAGGATTTGGTAATGATGATAATAAAAAACCAGAGTGAAACATGTAGCACATCGTTCCTACATCTACTATCTATCTGCCATGCCTGCAAAGACTCTCTGCCACAGTGCCAATAGTAGGAGGAACCATTCCCACCCCCCCCCTCTCTTTAGTGTCGTAAAATCGACTCGTCGGGCCACCTAAGCCAGCAATAATGCAGAATAGCCTCGACTTTCTCAACTCTTTTTTTGCAGTCAACTTTATTTTCTAGGGTTAGTCGGAATTACGGCACAGTCGGATGTTCCTGATCGACACTCCGGGTCGGACAGTGCTACCAATATATGGTCATTTAGCCTATGACTCTATGGAGTAGATGTTTTATCCTTCAGGGAGGACGTGATGTGTGATGTACCAAGGATGCGACTATCAAGCATAACTCAAAATCATCAGTAGAATGAGAGTCCATGTTACTATTGTCTACCTACTCTTTTCCTCCAGCATGAGTAGTAGTCACTTGTCTTTACAAAGGCCTCCAGTAAGATAGATGGAAATAGGATTTCACAAAACACTTTGGAGGATCCATTTCGGGAAATCCCGCCATGTTCCAGAATCCAGAGCATGGACTCTGCAGTCTACACAGGGTCACTCAAGTCACTGGAGCCTTGGGGGGGGGGAATCCTTTCTCACATGCCGTACTTTAACTGTGAAGTCTTAACTCCGTACCAAGACTGTGGCCCCTCCCAATGGAAGTGGAGACTGTCCCATATTCAAAACTTCAAGCCAGTCAAGCCACTTCCATATCCCAGTGCCAATGACCAACTAACCACAACTAACCACAGCGGTTCGCTCGTACTGCAGCCTTGCAGGCTTGCAGCCGTTGTCTGATGATCTGCGTGACCACTAGTCACAGAATTGCCCGCAGTTGTTCTGAAGGCTTAGGATTCCGGGGCCTTGGGCCACAGGACTGCGAGCTAGGAGGATCAAGGGTCTTGGGAGTCAGGGATGGCGTTGGAAGAACGCTGCGTGATGCGTCAAGATTCAGAGAGACAGAGACAGAGTGCTCAGCTGCTCCCTCTGATCTAGATTTCATCTGAAGCCAGACCCTCAACTCGGAGTTTGGGTGAAATCTGGAATAGACTCGATTGCGAGGTGGATCCCAGAGTTCATACTCCATCAGCGAGCGGACACTGTACTGAGCAGTGGGAGTACAGGCCACGGAGAAGGTAGTCTCCTCCCCAACATCCATTCCTCTGGTCGGATATCGAACCTGCTGGAGTCCACCCTCATTTCCTTCATCATCCGATATCGAGTTTGCAGTTCAGTCCCAGCGACCAGGAGCCACTGGATTCATCGTTCGCATGTGGATACCTCAAATCTGCCGCCATGTACCTCTGGGCAGACCCTTAACCCCCACAATTGCAGTTTGTGGTAACTGGTAAGAAGCTGCAACTAGATAACCGGCAGGCACTCCCTAAGTAGCGCACTACCAAGTAGGAGCTGATAAATAAAAAAGAAAAAACGTGGTGGCGAGATTAACGCCTGGGATCAAGTCTTAATTTTCCCCCAAGGATTGGTGGAAATGATGGCGCCGATAGTCAATCCACGAGGAGCGACTCTAGCCACCAGGGTGCACAGACAATGTACTCCGTACCACCGACGGCTATCCCTTGTAGATCATGGCATAAGAGGCGTGGGGCGCAATTGGCTAGCGACCGGTCAGACTATATGCATCAATTCTAACTGATATGCTGTGGATGGCGGATGTATCACTATTCATTATTAGTGTCCTCAGAGCTTGTCTTTATGGTTCAGCTGACTAGGAACACTGCTTCATCACCCTCTCTTGCATGAAGACAAGCATGATGTCGCAGTCCCAGTGGAAAATCAGGCAGTACAGAGTAGTAGGCGATAACTACTATCCCGACTGTGTACACCAAACAGACATTGTGGATATTGGCCAAGGAGGTGTTAGCAGGGCAGGAAGGAAGAGGAACGAGAACAAGGAGGATTGGGGAATAAGGCTTCATTAAAAAAATGTTTCCGAGGATGACCACATTGTTCTTGTCTCCCGGTACGGAGAGTAGAAGACACAGTCTGTGGTCAGCTGGCAATCCTGTATGTCTCCAGGCCTGGGCATCGACCTCAACTCCGTAGCTCCTCTACTCTATGGAGTATTCCGGAAGAAGCACACCCATGGTGAATGACTCAAAACATCGAGCTTTTGAATTCCTTATATACAAGAGAAGCATATGTACCGCTAAACTGACCCAAATAGCGTAGAAAGAACCCATCAGCAGCGGGCTCGCAGAAGGGGGAAAAAGGAATAGAATAACAAACCAAACACATACAAAATGGTCATACCATCAACTCTCAAGGTATCTCACAGCAGACATAATCATGAATATAATCATGGTATCATAGTTCAATCAACCGCCTGTCTCTCTAGATCTTCGCCCTTCCAGGCTCTCAGCGCTCATCGCCGAGACTTGATCTCGTCAATCGCGAGCTGTACGCCTTCAATCACAACCCCCCATTCGATCTCATGGACCTTCTTCTCAAAGACATGCAGATCCTCATCCTCGCCCTTGACGAACGGAATCTCCCGAACAAGGATCGGCTCGCCCATATCAACCTCCGAGATCACGTTGTGGATCATGACGCCCGTCTTATCAAGTTTGCCCTCGAGCCATGCGGCATGGGCCCGTTCAATCGCATTCTATCACCCCATCGTCAGCACCACGCGCACATAACAAACAACCCACGGGGGCCAAAAAAAAAAAAGACAAAGGACAAAACACAAAAACTCACAGCTCCATTAAACGCCCCAGGCAAAGCAGGGTGAAGATTAATAATCTTCATCCGCGCCGCCTCCAACGGCTCCAGGAACTTCGGCGACAGTACATGCATGAAACCCAAACAAGCCACCAGATCCGGCGAATCCGCCAGTACCAATCTCGCCAGCTCGGCGTCGTACTCCTCGCGCGCGGCCTGGACACCCTCCGGTGTCGCCGGATGCCGTTTCTTGTACTTCACCAGATTGTGGTACTCCGTGGGAATGTCTGCGCGGCGGGCACGCTCGAGGCCGTACGCATCCTTGCGGTTGGAGATCACGCGGACGAGTTTCGCCGGTAGCTGGCCGGCGCTGACCTTGTCGATTACGGCTTGTAGGTTTGACCCATTGCCAGAAATGAGGACTGTGAGGCGGATTGGGATCTCCATGTCTGAGCTCCCGGCGGAAGGTTGGTGGCTTTGGATCTTTGGGAAGCGTAGAGCAACTCAATTCAACTGCAGACACTCAATTGAGCGTTACCTCGGCGCACAAATAAATCAACCAGGGGTATAGAAAGGGTATGTAACGTCCTTGTCGGCTTTGGCAGCTGAAAGGTCTATGGAAATTATTTTTCTGCTGATAAGGAGCGCGGGGTTGGAAATCGACGTGGGCTGACTCAGCGGATATGCGGGGCATTATCCTATGATCGCTATCAATTATTCTTCGAAGTACACATTGATCCCATACTACTCTTTGGTCAGGAAATCGAAGAAAGGAGATATCAACATGTTCATTGCACCTACTACTTCATAAACCACAAGGGGGAATAATGCAACAACGCTCTAAATTGAACAGACAAAGTGGCCAAAAACAACCGCAGTGAGGGGGTATAAGTTTCCATCACGCAATATCATGCAAAACCCTGTAGAGCTATCCTTGATGATTCTAGTGAGATAGCGCAGCAAGAATTGACCAGATGGATCATAAACCGATCATGAAGTGATGACCAAAACAAAACTGAGCGGGGTCTGAGAACAAAGCAAAGGAGGAAGAAATGCAGATTTCACATACAATCATGATGCTATCAGTGCCTCATGCCAATCTGGATATGTTGGACGAGCGCAAGACGAGAAGTAAGAAATGAGCCAAGATAGGTAGAATAAGTAACTAGGTAATCTTTGAAGAGAGGAAAAAGGATAGAGGGAGATACGGAGGATAATGCTCATCGAATGCATCGCATAATATCCGTGCTATGGGCAATATCGGTACGTATGCGTGGGCTTGGAGGCAAAAATGTCGAAGAATATTAAGCAGCGGTCGTGTCCTGCGGGCCAGGAACTGGCGGAGTATCGCTCGACATCTCGGCGACGCCTTCGCCTCTGCAAAGAGGACAAGAATTTCGGCCTGTAGTCAACCACTACAAGAGACGGACACGTTAGCTCACTTCCCCGTATCAATACAAATTGCTGCGCGAAAGAGTTTACGAACCTGGTCTATGCAATCACGATGGTAGACATGTTTGCATTTTGTCAACTGTCTGACCTCTTCCGCCACTTCGTAGTCGCTGAGACAAATCAAGCAGCGATCGCCATCTGGAATCTGAATAGCGCCAGCACCATCCAGAGCCTCTGCAACGAGCGTGCCAGCGTACTCGACGAGTCGATAGAGTCCCCCAGCGGAGTTAATATCGTCCTGCGTGGCAACAGGCGGCTTCGCGGGTCCAAGGAGGGACGAAAGTAGGATCATATCTTCGTAAGTGGGGTTCTATACATTATTGTTAGCTATATTCAATCCAAAACAGATAAGGAGGACTTACATCCGTAAAAAGGCTCGGTGTTGCGAACGCAGGATGATTCTCGGACAGATTAGTGCCTACAACGTAGATCAACCAGCTTCTACCCGCAGGGGGGGCGGGTGTGTCAGGTTCCACGACACCATTTCGGCGCACGGCGCCAGAGCCGAGCTCACGATGACGAGCATACTCGGAGTCGCTGCGGCGTCGTTGATGCAAGGGTTGGAATGGGACTCTGTCCTCGGATGGTTCCCCAGACGGTTGCATAGGCGCATGCTCATTGACATGAGGTAAATGGTTAGACGGTATCGCGGAGGACGAAGACAACCTCCGGCTCGGTGTTGAGGCACCTGAAGATACCGCGGACAGGCCTGGCTCTGCCGGTGTTGACGGGGGTGGATGAGGACCCGGTGGGCTTTCTGACAGAGCCGAGGGGAGTGAAGACGAGAACGGAACACGACTCCCCACGTCAGAGAATCTTCGAGATGGAGCCCGAAGCCCAGACTCATTATTCACCGAGTTGGTGGGAGCGGCGATCGGTTGGCGAGTAGACGGAACCCTAGGTCGATTCTCGGCGCGAGGCAGGCCGAGACCAGTATCTGAACCTCGAGATGGGGCCCCGGGAGTCAAAAACGGTAATCGTAGCAACGCATCTAAACCTGGCCCGGCATTCGACTGCTGATCGCCAAATGAAGCGCCACCAGATGGCACAGACCGAACACCCACAACGACCAAGGTTACAGTGCGTCCTTCAGGCTCTCCAGAGGATCCAGGGGAGTTATCAACGTCCATGCCACCTTCGTTGCTACCGACACTGTCCGGTTCACCAGTCGACCGACTTGAAGAAGCAGGAGGCCGAGCGTTATCTGAATTGGCGAATCTAAACACCCGCAAGAAGTTCACAGGGGCTGGAGGCTCGTTATCAGCCGGGGTAGTTGCCGCATCATTCGGGGCAGACTGTGCGGATGTGGCATGTTGTAGACTCTGTACAAAATTTTCCAGTGAGCCATCTAAGCCATCATTACCAAGAGACTGGATGTTGGGCAGGACTGGGCCGGATGCTCCGGAAAGCTGTGCAGCAATTGCAGCAGCGGCTAGTTGAAGGACACGAGATAGAGGGGTCTGTTCCTCGCGGCGCAAGACTCTGGACGGTCTCGCACGGAGTAGTCCTGGAAGCCGGCGCGACGCCGGCGAGCCTTGGGCGGATTGGGAAAAGAGCGGTGAGGTTGGTCGACTGCCTCCTACTGCGGGTTCCACAGAATCAAGTTCATGAGTTTCGTCGAAATCCATACTGGTATCCATCGCTCTCAGAGGAGGAAGACGAAGCTCGGAGTCGTCGCTAAAGCCTTCCCCCGCTTCTGGCTGATGCGCAAGTCCGTAGTCTGCGCCCGAGGGGCTCCCAGATGGCTGGCCGAATATGTGGGTGATTGGGCCCGACAAAGAATTGCGGACACGGCTTAAGCGAACACTCCGACGCCATGATGCTCTTGCGGGTTGTGCTGTCTGCTCCGACGAAGAATCCAGGTATGCAGAGCTAGTCGTTCCCTCCGAGACCAACGATGGGTCACTGCGAGGGATAAAATACGGTCCCCGAAGCGATCGCCGTCTGATACCTCTTGAGCTGAGCGAGCTGAATGGGCTAAAGCGACTACTGCTATGAGCAACCTCTGATCTCGGAATTGGTCTTGATACAAATGGGATACCGTGTCGGTGCGCATGACCTTCTGCAGGCGTTTCCTCCTCGCTATTGAGAAGACCACGAATGACCGAGTTTGGCAAAATTCTAGACCCCAACCTGGACATGGTGGACTGACGTCGAGCTGCCATACGGGCGAAAACCGCAGAACGGTACTCCCGCTCACCCGACTCGTACTGAGAGCCATCTTCTTCATGAATACTCTCCATCGGTTGTGTATAATTAGGCTGCGCCGTAGCCAAAGGACTCGATGGCTGCCATGACTCCAAGGTCGGATCCAGTTGACTCGACTGAAAGTTCTGGTTGTTGTGAACGTCACTTAGTCCTGAGGAAGGAGCCGCATTATCAGCTTGTTCGGGATTTAATCTGTGATTCATGTCTTCATTGATGTTGCGCCGGTTACGATCGCTTCGCGGATATGTTGAGTGGTTTGAGGCAAATGTGTGGCGTTGGTCTCTCTGTGTAGAAGAGGACTGTCCCATAGTAACAGAAGGTGAGGAAGGGAAGTGGCGATGGGTGTTTATAGATCGCTGATTGCCATGGAAGGACGGATGACTAAAAGAGAGAGCAAGCATTAGTCAGATGGGCATCGACAGCTAAGAAACAAACAAGTCTATATGAAGAACGAAATGGTGAATGAAATCAAAACCTGCTCTTTCGAGACCAAAACAAAGAGACCGTAGCCAGTGAAGGTATACAGCGAGGCGTAGGGAAGGAATTCACAAGTACCTGCTAGAAGCTCGAAGAAAACCCACCTTCAAGGCATACCATTCAATTCCTGCGTGCCAGATAACATGAATCTTAGATTAGGGGTCAGGCTATTGCGAAAGTCTTGTTTGTCACAGTTAAAGCGATGTACCCAATGGTAATTTCTCCGACGTGTCAGGATCTTTCCATTCAAAAGCGCCCGCCAGCCAGGGGTTGTAAAATAAAAAGACAACAACCACGGTAGACAGATACTATATCTGGACGTGCAATGACAATCGAGGTGGATTTTTCGCAGAAAGCGTTTTCACAGTGCGAAGCAACGATGCGCAGGCAAGAGACGAGATTGAGGGAGTTTCGGCGTTGAGCGATCCAGTGACGATGACAAACGAATCTCCTGAGTGTGCGACCCCAAATGGGACTGAGTTTACCACCAAAACGTATCAGTAGTAGGGCGACATCGGGTGTGGCAAAGAAGAAGTTATTGTTGATGTTCGGGTAGTCAGATACAGAAGCTGGATGGCGTTAATATTCATTTGTTGATGCCGATACTGATATCTGTTGAAGACGATGACGACTGTCGTAGCGGGACAGGTCGGGCGGCTTCTGCTTACCACTGTATCGGACTGGCAGACACTGGGCCCTTTTAGGTAGTCTTTAGGACTGTTTAGGCTCTAAGCCACTCAAAGTGTCCAGGTATCAGTGGTATCCTGTCCCAATCTAGCCAGTTATCTGGACTCTGAACGCCCGGCCGACTTGTCCGTTGACTCCATTCAAACGCTTGGCGGTTTCGGTCAATTTCCAGCTGGGCGGCTGCTTAGTCACCCGGCTTTCACGGCAGGTGATTCGTCTTGTTCTGTATCGAGCCTGGTGGGGCCTGAGGCTCGCAAGCCAAGCAAGATCGAGGTATGGTTCTTTCTTGACTACCTCTAATAATAATCTTTGCTGAACATAGTACAAAACTATGAATATGTTGACCTGCATATGCCATTTTCATTCTGGTTTGTTTGATGTGTCAAAATCCCTCACCATCATTTTTGGGGGATATCATGTAGCTGCATTTGAGCAGAGAAAAGAGAAATAAAAAAAGACCGGACAAGGAAATAGTGGAGGCTGGCGTCTAAATGAGCAGAAAGACAAAGAAACGCTGAATCTCAAAGTCCCGACTACCTACCAGACTCGAGGATAATCTCTGTCTAAGGATAAGCTATCGGCTTTGATCTGTCCGATCAATCCATGGCTTCTGTGCCTACGGCCTCGGCATTCTCCTTGCCTCTTCCATCATGGCAGCAACCCCCTAGTGTGCGGGTAGCTCGCTATGAGCCCAGAAAACGCAAAAAGTATTCTGATGATTGGGATGATGATGATGATGATGATGATGGGGAGCAAGATGACGGGGAGACAACGGATGCTGCATCAGAGATGGTACCTACCGCTCCATCTTTGACGTTGTCCCCTGACGAAGCCCATCAGTATCGCGTCGCTGGTCTCTCTTTCGATCGAGAACTGCCTGGAGGATCGTTCCCTCATGCCCCTGCTAGGACTGGGCGGGCTAAGGGGGAGACTCACGGAGACATCTTGAAAAGTCTTTCCTCCCTGTCACCTCCCATTTATCCGCCACAGTCTGCTGCCCATCAGGGAAACCTTCGACTTCAGCATTTAGCGGCGATCACAACAGTATTGCACCGCTGCCTTCTTCATGGTGATTACATTCGAGCCGGAAGAGCCTGGGGGTTGATTCTTCGTGAAGAATACGCTGGTTCACCAATTGATGTGCGTGTTGACGGCCGATGGGGCGTCGGTGCTGAGATACTGCTTCGACGGGGCCGTCAAATTTCAGAAAGTGCAGCAACTCGCTCGGAGGAAGAAAACGATCTGGCTCGAACTAGATATCTTCCCAAGCCATGCTTCACGCGAAAGGGATTCGAGGACGCCAAGCACTACTACGAAAGACTTGTCGTTCAGCATCCATATCGCAAATCAGCACCCGATGCCGTCAGTGCCTTGCACTTTTATCCGGCTATGTTCGGTCTGTGGGTGTATGTTGCCCAAGAAGAGAGTGTAATTGCTCGAGAAGAGATTCAAAGTCGTCCGGAAGATTTACCCGGAGAATTCTCGGAAGATGAGGATACAGAGCCTGGCTATGATGGCAAATCCGGCTCGAAGCAGGGCAGAATTCACCTTCTTGCAAGTGTCCGAGCAAAGGAACTTGAGGAAGCTCAACAGATTGCAGCCAGGATGGATGAGATCCTAATGTCTCCTCCATACTCGGATTCTCCAGAATTATTGGAGCTTCGGGGCATGGTATCACTTTGGATTGGAGATCTCCTAATATCATGTTTACCCTACGAAGACGAAGAAGGATACGATTTTGACGACCACGATTCTGGGAAAGCGGAAGATCTGCATGGCTCCATTCAGGCCAGACGCGAACGGCGACTCGCTATGGAGAAAAGACAGGCTGAAATTCAGAAGTCGCGAGAGTTCTTCGAAAAGGCAAGACAACGGGGCAAAGGCGTGGCTCACACCTTGGAGCATTTTCACATTGATGATAGTGTTTCATTGGGTTCGTCTGGTATGGGATTCTAGGACACTGTTATACTGTCTGTCATATGTATATATATCACCCAAACATACTGGTCATGACAACCAAACAAGTAGGAACCGAGGTTGATATGTTACTCTTTCCATAATGCTCAATTAATAATACCACAAATAAGACCTTCAATCGTACAATTTCGCCACCATGCTAACTGGCGCCAAACCCCATACGAACTTGCAGGTTCATTGCGCTGTTGAGAACTTGAGAGTACTTATCAACACGTGATCTCGCGATTATGGGGTGTCACGATAACGCGTTCGAAATGTTCTTGGGCAGCTAGAATTCGAACACCACGCTGGGGTGCGGCCAACCTCTCACTTCATGTGATCTGTTGTTGCGTGTGGCAGAATATTCGTTCTATGGACTCAACATACAATTGAGATACAAAGTCACATGCGCTGTATCAATTCCTTCGAGGTTCCTGTTCCAAGTAGAAATGGGTGTCGGAGACTATGTCCACTCTAAGGAGGCTGGTCCTCAATCAACTACAAATGATGCCTCGAACCAATCTCGTCAAGCTTTAGCAGCGCAGGCAAGAGTCGAGATTCCCGCCACGAAACTGGTGGCACCTGTACCTGTGGGGATGAATGGACGAGCCCAATTAGATGCATATGGGGGAGTGACATTTCCGCAGCCATCGCAGGTAGCGCATGAAAATGCCATGCATCGAGACATGTTCGATACAGATGTCGAGGGTGTCGATGACTCTACTGTTGCTGAGTTAAGCGTGGTCGGTGTTGATGAAGCTACACCACAGCATCAGTTGCCGCCGCCTCCGAGTGCGCAGTACCAGGAACCAGAACCAAAGGCTCTCTACCAGTTGCGCCATGGACGTCGTCCCCAGACATCGAACTGGTACGAAAATTTGGGCGACAAAGCCATCAAGACGGCAGGCTTTGAGTCTGACGATGCCGATGATGATGCTAGCCAAATGACGTCCGTGGCGGGCGATGACCGAGCCGATGAAAACAACGATTGGTACTTGTCTCACAAACACCGTCATATCGAAGAGCCTCTGAGCAAACGCCTCGAAGGCTTCTGGAGTGCCAGCAGACGGTCCTATTCCAAGCCTGGTAATCAGCCTCAGAGGGAGGCGTCGAGAATCCCAGCCCTCGGAGGTACAAACGGAAACAGGAAAATTGTCCTCCCTCGCAGTATGACGGCAACTCCGAGGACAAGATTCAGCCCCCCGAAGCCATCACTCCTTGACAAGCTCGAAATATCGCCGACCCGGCCCACGAACGGCCCACGAGCACAGCCTGGAAGGAAGAACAGCCTGGCAGGCTTTACTCATGATCCCGAGGGTGATGCTGGTCTCTTTGCAAATGACCATGGAAGACGGGATAGCGAGCCATCGATAACCGCCTTTGATATCACCAATTTCGATGATCTGGATGATGATGATACGATCCGCGATCCTTTCTCCCGTCGTGCTTCGGTCAAACGCATAAGCTTAGATACTACCCAAACCAAGAAGCGAGTTCTTGAGCCTGATTATCCCCCGGAGATTCTGGCCAAGAAGACGTTCGATGAACTCCAAGCCGAGCCATTTGATTTCGATCCTGCCACAGCACGTACCACAGTCACTTTGAATCCATCACAGGACCCCTCTGCCGCAGAACAAGACAGAGTCGCTTTTCTCTTGAGGCTTTCTGAGAAGGATCGCCAGACCTACCTTTCAAACTTGAGCATCGATGAATGGGAGGACTGCGGCGACCAATTGATTGAACAATTCACCAAGCTTCTCACGGACATGAAGGATCTACGGCGTGCTCGACGGAAGACAGCCGCGGTCTTCGAAGCGGAGGTTAAACGAAGACATGAGGTTGTTCAGGACCAGCGCTCCGACTTGGCCAGGAAGTTGAATGAGATGAGAACGGGCGGCGTGGAGGTGCTACGTGGCCGTACCCCCTGAAAGTTGGCGTGCCAGTCTTATTCAGCCCTGGTGGTTGACGATGCCTCTGTTGTTGAAGCCATACTTGTCTTTGCCGTTCCATTCGAGTCTCTCCCCCCCTCTCTTCCACGCGGTTACAATCATCATACTCGCATTTCTCGATTATGGAGCTATGAGGATGTCATTTATAACTTTTTTTTCTACGTTAGGAACCCCTTTCATTGGGGCAGGGATGCAGAAGTCATTTGTTAGTAGTATCATTATACCCTTGAGAGATTTGATTTTCGAGTATCGATCTGATGTCTGCGAGACCTGAGAAATAGAACATCGCTTAGTATAACTCCATTCGCTCCACAAATGCTTTCCACCCTTTAAATCAAATCCATAAACATCGAGCGCCAGCGAGTCTATTCCGAGTGCTTGTGGCGCCGACTAAAAATGAAAAAATAATGAGGACCCCAAAGAAGACAGCCGGCTCAGAAACAATAAGAAACTCGGAAAAAGTAACAACATCTTCGTTATTTTGGATCTGGAGTTGAACCGAACAGCGCTGATGCAAGCCTTTTATAGTCTTCCAGTAATATGGAAACGTCACCTATAGTCAGCTCGTTGGCGCTGGAAGTTTGCAGGAACCTCTGAATGGGCGGATTGAGTTTTGGTCGGGAGTCGCTAATAGTAGTAGGCAACTCTCGGGTAAGTGGTGATGCCTTGGTCCGGTCTGAAGGAGAAAGAGATGCCAGATTCCCGGGTGAGTCAGACGTGCTGCGCCCAAAACTTCTTATCATACCGGGTATGTGGTTGAGAGGGTTGAGACTATTGCCAAAGTTTCTCATTGACTCCAGAGGTGTGGTAGGTAATGATGACGGAGGCAGAGAGGTAGACGAAGGCTCAGCTTTTTGCGAATCTGCAATCATGGTTGCCTTCCTCGAGCTGGTTTGCGTCCTAACGCTGTCGGCGCTTCGGTCACGGGGAGTTCTGTGTCCACTGACCAGTCCCATGAATGTATCTTCGGCCTTTGAGCCAATGCGTCTTAGCGGGGGGCGATCAGAAACCGTCAAAGAATCTTTGATCGCATTTTCATCTTGGACAAAGTTCTCATTGACAGAAGATGGGGCAGTGACCAGACGGCGAGCCTCTGCTAATGTCTTGGGTAAGATTGGACTGTCACCGTCCTTGATGGACAGCTGGCTGGACTGCAGCTCTTTGAGACGCCCAAAGAGAAAGTTGAAACTGCTGTCCAGTGTTGCGCCGATATTCTTTAAACTCTGATCAGCGGTGTTGCGGACAGCGTCGTTGGCAGCACCAAGAACCTTTGCAGGGGGCTGAAACAAATTATTCAAGCGTCCCTGCTGGGGGACCGGGGGTTGCTGAGGCTTGGACAGTCTTTCAAAATCGGCTTCCTTAGTGTCTGGCTTAGAGATCACAGACGAAATATCCACTTTGGTGACTGAGGTCAGTGGGCCTTTGTTGGTCAAGCCAACGGTATCAATGGTGTCGGACGCAGGTGTTGTGTTGTTGGTGCTTGTCTTGAGCTGCCCTTCCGGCGTCTCGTCAGTTCGAAGTTCTGATAGCTCTACGTTCTCCAAGAAGCTAATGGCTGCTTCAAGATTTGTTAAACAGTAAGCAGTTTCGCCGTCGATCTTACTTGAAGATCGGAAACGTTGGATGAAGAGAAGATTGCTGATGATGTTGATGCCTTCAGGTGGGCAAGTGACAAGTGTATAGATGAGGGTAGGTAGAATTTCATCAGCTGACGAGGACGAAGGAAGCAGCTTGGTCAAAGCGTCGACAATCGCCTTATGCGCAGCAGCAAGGTACTGTAGTTTTCCTAAAGGGTATTGCACATCGTTCATTTTGGCCAGACAGTCTCGGGCAACAGAGAGAAAGTGATCGGCTTCTTTCTGTCTCTCTTCACTGACCGTGTCCAAGTCAATATCAATTCCGAGGTCTTTCAAGTTGATTCCAATCAAGAGCAATGCCGCTGTCTTCGAGCGCAGTTTTTCATCTCTGACTTCATCCAAGGTGCTTTTGTGTCTCCAGATTTTATCGTAGATGCTTTCACAAGCTCTTCGCTCGATGGCCTCTTCCAATGCAGGGCCCTTGGACGCGAGAGATTTCCGGGCTTTCCTTCGTTCAGTGACTTCTGACGCGGTTAGCATCTGGCGACCAGATATGACAGTGGTTGAGTCTTTATTATTCGGTCGCGGCTGGCCAAAACCCCTGGTGCCTTTGGGTGGTGGAGGGTTAGGAGAAGGATCGCGGTTTATTCTGGACGCAAGAGCCGAGATGTGGGTAGCAATGTGTGATTCCGCGCGCACATAGAAGTCTTGGAAGAGGTGCGATATCTTTTCGATTGTAGGTGGAGAGGAGTGTACCTTGACGGTCAATGAGTTCACGAACCTAGCCCGCCATATTGTCAGCAATTGATTGCATGGATGATGAGGTTGCTGTTACATACCGATCAGTTAGGCTGATGAGCTCAATTGGAAGTTCTTCTGGCTGCTCATGAATACCCAGTGATAACACAGAAACTTCTTCACCCAGGTGTCCATCATCTCTAACGCTTGAGTCCGATGAGCCTCTCTTTTCAAACAAATCTGGACCGGCTCCAGGCTCACTCTCCGGTGATAGAGGGATAGGAAGCACAGTCGACTCAACCGCCTCTGGTATGGCCACTGATTGCACTGTCTTCGCTCGGTTGCGAGCGAACGAGCTCACTTCGGGGTTGTCCATTCTGGGAAACGATCGAACAGTATGAAGGCGAGGCTTCCCTGCCTCACTAATAGAGGAATGCGACGACATGGCTTTTTCAGGCGAACACGTTGCGCATATTATAATCAGGTCCAGCTGATCGGCCCATGCAGATCGCGTAATATCAGCGTCTCCGCAGCTGTACGTTAATCAGCCGATACTCGATGGTCAGGGGCAGGTTTCAATGAGCATTAAAAGCAGTCGCAGAATAGATCAAGCGAAGGTATGACAGCAACCACAAAAGACGCATCACATAATACAAACAAAGTTGATGAAGCAGTAATATCAGTGACAACCTAATCAACTGGCCATGTAGGTGATTATCCACTGTTGCATGCGGCAGATAGCTGAAGCTTACTCCTTTGGGAAGCCCCACTTGGCCTGTCACGCGTTTTCACTGTGTCACGTGCACTTATCGTCTCCTCACCAACTGCGTCACCGCCCCCGATAAGTCATCGCCGCCTCGATAGGCATCCTAAGCAATGGCTGGATTGTCGACTCATCTCAAAGTATCCTTCAGTCATCGATTTTCATCATGAAAAGCAGCCAGAGACGGATCAAACGACACGCTATGCGAGACATGAGTATCTCCACCCTTCTATTGTCCGTTGTCCTGCTTCCGAGCGTCGTCTCCGCCAACGATCATGTATACTTCAACCCTCCATCCCCGGGTTCGCCCTTCCTCGGCCCCCAAATTCCTCTGACGGGCCCTCCATCACTTACCAACGAACATGAATTCGTGAGTTTTGATCGCTGTTTATTTGTACTGTGGAGAGTGTCTAATCAAGTAAAAACAGACCCTGCGTCATATATATGAACGGGGTACGAATGACCAACCTGATCTTCATCGGAGACTCGATATCAAACCGCATACACGGCTGTGGGCTGTTTCGGATGATGGACTTGAAAAGGAATTGGTCACCTTTGATACTCCCCTTGTGGCCTCATCGAGTCCTCTTACCATCCAACGTCTCGCAGATCGCCGGCCTTCGGTCATTGAAGGATACTTGACAGCTGCAAGGTACAACGGGGAGGCAGTGGCTCTATCCTCGTCTGATTGGGTGATGGATACACTAGCTGGCCCAGATGTGACTAAGAAAGAGACCGTTCTCACTTTCGCCAAAATGACGGCGAATGACTATATCGAAGAGCCGGGCACGGAGGATTGGAACTATATCCATGGTCGTTTCAACTATTCATCGAGTTTCGGATGGCAGTCGGATGGGCTGAGGGGCCACATATATGCCGATACAAAGAATAACACTATCGTGATATCTTTGAAGGGAACCTCTCCGGCACTGTTCGACGGTGCCGGCACGACGACGAATGACAAGATCAATGACAATCTCTTTTTCAGCTGCTGCTGCGGGCAAGGGGGCTCGTACCTCTGGCGGCAGGTCTGTGACTGCCAACAATCGGCATTTACAGCCAACTTGACCTGCATCGCCGAAGCGATGAACGACGAAAATAAATATTACCGAGCAGCCATTGATCTCTACACAAATGTGACAGATATGTACCCGGACGCAAATGTTTGGATGACGGGTCACTCGCTAGGGGGTGCGATGTCCAGCCTTCTCGGTCTGACTTTCGGGTTACCTGTTGTGACATTTGAGGCTGTACCTGAAGCTTTGCCTGCGGCTCGCTTGGGTCTCCCCAGCCCTCCTGGTCACGACCCTCGACTTCCTCAGACGCGAAAATATACTGGGACTTATCACTTCGGACACACTGCCGATCCTGTATACATGGGAACGTGTAATGGCGTCGGTTCCATTTGTACTTGGGGCGGTTATGCGATGGAGTCCGCATGTCACACCGGCCAAATGTGTGTTTACGACACAGTGGAAGACAAAGGTTGGCGTGTTGCACTTTCAACACACCGTATCAAGGCCGTAATCAGCGATGTTCTCGAGGTATATGATAACGTACCGCCTTGTGCCGCTGAAGAGGAGTGTTACGACTGCGAGCTATGGAAGTTCTTCCGTAGTAATGGTTCCGAAACCACGACAACTTCGAGAACCTCCACCACCACAACGCCTACCACGACCAGGACGTTGACATGTGAGACGCCCGGCTGGTGGGGCTGTCTGGATGAAAGCACCACGACTACAGCTACTACGGCAACGTCTACAACAACGACAACATCCACGTGCAAAACACCAGGTTGGTTTGGCTGCAAAGACTCGACCACGACGGTGGACGCGACGGCTGCGCCGACAGTCACAACCACTATTGCGACCCCAACGACATTTCCGATATCTAGTACTACATGTAAAGACCCCGGATGGTTTGGCTGCCGTGACCCCAGCAGTACGACAGCTTCCGTGACAGCACCGCCTTTTTCCACGTCGACGTGCGATACTCCGGGATTTTTCGGGGGCTGCCATGACACGACATCCACAGCAGATCATCCGATCACGTCAGGGCCGACCACTCCATAGGCGACGGCGCCGCCCACCCACTAACGCGCATGTACCTCGAGCGTCTTCGTCAGGTTGAATTTGCGTGGGGTAGCGATATTGAACACTACGAGATCTAGCCTGCCCAGCAGAAGACGTGGTAAGATGATCAAACAGGACTACGATGCCCATCTTCCCCGTTCCATCGCATCCATGATGACCGTATACGAACAACTCATTCAGGTTTGGCGTTGCTTTCGCGATTTTGCGCAGTATCCTCGTTGGCTTTTTTTTTTTTTTTTGGCCTATGTCAACATCCTGCCACATGCGCGAGTTGAAATCAATTGCATTTATCCCCCTCCCCTCATCTTCATTGTTGGCTATCTTGGAGTATATTGTCATTATTAAAGTAGATTGGAAGATTAGATACCGCGTGTCATTTGACTAGACGCAGCCTTCAACGGTGAATACCTTTTTTTTTTTTTTTTTTAAAGATGTTTGGAAGATTCTTTGATCGGATTCGGGTAACTACTCTGTCAGCTGCATTGCTATCAGAATGGATAGAGAGTCGCAACTCGCAAGCCATGTCTGAGAGATCTCATGGCCGGAAGACAACCGGACTATGGAGATGAGAAGGGGGTAGGTAGGTACGTGTGAGGCATAGGAGCTCTCTTACCAACCCACCTGGGCTTATGGATGAGCTTATGCAAGATGAGACAAGTTCCAGAGCGAAACTCTACGGGGTATCTGCTATTTGCAGGGACGGTATGTATGTAGTATCAGGGTAGGTACCATGGCGTCGTAGGCTTCAACCACACGATGCCACTAGTGTAGTGACTTTGGAGTCTGGGGTCTGGGGTCCTCGCGGCGCGGCGTCCGGCGTCTGCTTTGAGACTAAAGCTAACGACACCCACGACAGCGGTCACCAGTGGGGTGTCGACATTTACGTCCGGATCGGCAATTCCCAGATCACTGTCGATAGAGCCGAGTGGGATCGGGGAACGGGAATCTCGTCGAGTACCCGAGGCATTTGCAGGTTGCACGATATGAAACTGGGGAGCTACACAGACGGCTATTGAATTTGGAAGCTCGGGGGGGGGGAGGGGGAAGTATCTGGATTGAGAGGTCCCAGGTTTGGAATCTGGCCAGTAGCCGGTTAGATAAAGATAATTCTCGTCCTTCAGTCTGTTCGTGTCAATCCCCAGCTCTGTGGATGGTTACACCCGATTCGTCGGCTGCAGGTGTGAAGCTGGGTTGCGAGAACTCCATAGTCCATACAGGGAGTGAACATTCGCGTGGCATTTGTTTGTCAAACACCGCTCAATTAGCCTGTGCCGAGCTGAGCTAGAGGACAGTTGTTGCACGAGATATTATCGTGCAGAACCACGAGCTCGTGGGGAGGGTCCATTGTGGTTCTGGATGATTCAAGCGATCAATTCGGGGGACCATGCGGCAGACAAGCAGGATAGCAAGAGTAGTGGTGGTACCCGACAAGCTCAAATTCTATCGTGTAGATCAATTCTGGTGGCATGTGTAGATTGCAAGTATATTATTGCAAGTATATTGCAATTGTAGATAGCACGTTTTGATGCGGAGGATTGAACCTGCGGGTGGTGGACTGTTCGACTCGCCATACAAAAACAGCAGCGGAAGTCGGTTTCCGAAGCGCAACAACCGACATGCCTCGTTTTTCACCCATTGAACGCTCGTTTTTCGTAGTTTTTTCGAGTCAACCAGTGAGAGGGTCAGCTGATAGACTCACATTCTCGTTTTCAGCGGCTGATTCGGTGGTTGGAGGCCGGAAATCCAAAGGAAACGCTGGCGAGAAGCGCAATGCCTCGACCTCCCGCCCCGATCGCCCTGTCAGAATGCGGGACAACGCCAGTCTTTTCCCCACGCTAGAAGTGAGTGGAGTCTGGGGTTGGAATTCGATCTAGTTTAGACTCTGGAATCTGGAGTCTAGATATGTAGATGAAAATGATGGTCAGTGTTGATGCTGGGGGAGCTGTGGTGATGGTGAGTGAAGGGTGCTGGTGGACGCGGAGAGCGTAGAGGAGGAGGAGGAGGAACAGCAACAGCACAACAGCACGACAGCAACCAGTCAATCCCTGCTCAGTATCAAAAAAAAAAAGACAAGCTCTCAGTTCTCATCCTCAGCCCTGTCCACCAAAAGCTTCCCCAACTCCTAACATTAACGATTAACATCCTGAAGCCTTGAAGCGACTAGATACCATTTTGGCACCAGCACCAGTCCCCCCTAAGTGGGCTTGGCTCTAACCGAATGGTCAGATTGGAAGAACAGCCAAATTTTTTTTTTTTTTTTTTTTTTTCGACCGTTTCCTCGATTCCCCCGCAAACGCCTGTCACTCACTCTCTCTTCGGCTTTTCACTATTCACACAATTGATTGATTAGTTCTCTGGCTGGAATTCTATTTTCTTTCTAGGCCCAAATGAGAGAAAAGTACAGAAGATCACGGACTGTTTTCCTGTATCGCCAGAAGGCCTCTCATCCTACTCCCAAACCGGCTCGAGAACAAGAGAGAGAGAGAGAGAGAGAGAGAGTGGGGATTGCTCATCGCTCTCTCTAGTCCTCCCAACGCCTTAAATTCAGTGGACCTTCCCACCTCCTAGTCTTCTCCTTTCTCCTTTCACTCAGTTTCCAGTTCTCCCATTGTCGTGGTCATCTCAGACCGTTGGGTTCTCTTCCGTTCCTCCTACTCCTACTCCTACATACATACACACATACACACATATACATACATACTACTCGCACTTACCCAGTGACCATCTGTCGGGGTTCGCATCATGGACTCCAAGGTGCAGGATGGCATTGAGCCAACCAAGGGCGACGATGAGCGCCGGGCTTCAACGGCATCGGTGGCCAAGATCATTCAGAATGCCAAAGCAGCAACAGACAAGGAGCAGCGCATGTCGCTCTGGGAGGGTATCAAGACCTATCCCAAAGCGGTCGGATGGAGTCTGCTGATCTCCACCTGTATTGCCATGGAGGGTTATGACATCTCCCTCGTCAACAACTTCTACGCTTTCTCGCAGTTCAATCGCAAATATGGCGAACTGACGGCCGATGGTACCTATCAGGTTCCTGCTCGGGTAGGGTGTTTCTTCCGCGTGCTCTTGTCGCATATACCTCGTGCCTTGTTTTGCTGATATGCGATACCTGTAGTGGCAAGCAGGCCTGAGCAACGGCGCCGCAGTGGGAGAAATCATCGGTCTCTTCCTCAACGGCTGGGCTTCGGAACGGTTTGGATACCGCTATACCCTGATCACCTGTCTTATCCTGATCACCGCATTCACCGCCATCTTCTTCACGGCTCCCAACGTACAAGCGCTCCTCGCGGCGGAAATCCTGGCCGGTGTTCCCTGGGGAGTGTTCCAAACGCTGACCATCACCTATGCCTCCGAGGTCTGCCCCGTGGCTCTGCGCGGATATCTCACCACCTATGTCAACTTCTGCTGGGGTCTCGGGCAGTTGATCGGTATCGGGGTGATCAGGTCGATGATCAACCGTGACGACGAATGGGCCTACCGCATTCCCTACTCCCTGCAGTGGATGTGGCCGGCGCCGCTGCTTCTGGGGATCGCCCTCGCGCCTGAATCGCCCTGGTGGCTAGTGCGCAAGGGCAAGATCCAACAAGCCAAGAAAGCCCTGCTGCGCTTGACCAGTGTCCGGGAGGAATCCGACTTCAACGCCGACGAAACGATTGCCATGATGGTTCACACGACCGCTCTGGAGGAGAAGATCACCAAGGGCGCCAGCTACTTCGACTGTTTCAAGGGGGTGGACCTGCGCCGCACCGAGATCGTCTGCATGGTCTGGGCCATGCAGAACCTGAGTGGCAACTCCTTCTCCAACTACTCGACCTACTTCCTCGAACAGGCCGGCCTGGACGCATCCAAGGCCTACTCGTTCGCCATGGGCCAGTACGGCATCAACATGGCGGGTGTCTTCGGCGCCTGGTTCCTCATGTCCATGGGCTTCGGGCGTCGGACCCTGTACCTGGCCGGCCTCTGCGGGCTCTGCGTCATGCTCCTCGTCATGGGCTTCCTCGGGCTCGTCCCCGAGGCGCACCGCGACCAGGCCTCGCTCGCCACGGGCTCGATGATGATCATCTGGGCGCTGGTCTACCAGCTCAGCGTGGGCACCGTCGCCTACTCGCTCGTGGCGGAGATCTCCACGCGCCGCCTGCAGATCAAGACCGTCGTCCTGGGCCGCAACCTGTACAACGTCGTCGGCATCATCTGCGGCGTCTTCACCCCCTACATGCTCAACCCCACCGCCTGGGACTGGGGCAACTACACCGGCTTCTTCTGGGGCGGCATCTGCTTCCTCTGCATCATCTACACCTACTTCCGCGTCCCCGAGCCCCGGGGCCGCACCTTCGCCGAGCTGGACCTCCTCTTCGAGCGCAAAGTCAGCGCCCGGAAGTTCGCCACCACCCACGTCGACGTCTTCGACGAGACCCTCGAGAGCCAGGTCGTCGACAACTATAACGCGCAGCGCGTGATGGCGGTCAACGAGACTCCGCACGCCGATGAGAAGCAGGCAACCCACTCGACGCAACCGGCTTGAATGTTTGCGCCGCCTCGCCGAGTCGTAAATCCTCATCCCCCTCTCCCCCTGGACATGATGTACTGTACATATCCTCTTTCTACTCATGCAAATACGACTGATGCGCTTATGATGTCCTGTTATATACTGCCAGACTCGCTCTGTTTAATATACTCTTACAGTCAAACAATACTTCAATTCATATATGGTTCCGTGCCCATGTGTAGTACTTATTTCCGTGTCATTCAGTCAGTGGTAACAATCTCACAATGGATCTAGTGTTGATTCAGCAATATATTCGGTTTTACGAGCGTCGGTACGTTCAATGGGTATCTGGCATGATAATAGTAGAGCCCAGGCCCGGCACTTCAACCTTCTCGGTACGCATGCATCATGCACCGTCTACTCATTCGACCACTCGGGCTTCTTCTTCTCCGCGAACGCCGTCATGCCTAAACCCCCCCCAGGTCAGTCAGTCAGTAACCAAAGCCTCAAAGCCCAACCCACATGGAAAAAGAAATTCGCTCAAAACTCACCAATCTTCTGATCGCGACTCCCGAACAACGCATGGAACAACCGCCGCTCATACTCCACCCCCTCCTTCAGCGACAGCTCCTGGCTCTTTCCCACCACCTCCTTGGCCGCCACCACCGCCACACGACTATACCCGGCGATCGTCTCGGCCGTCGCCAGCGCCTCCGCCATCAGCTCCGCGTGGCCGCCCTCGACCGCCCGCGCCGCAACCCCCCACTGCTCCGCCTGCGCGCCGCTGAAGTTCTTGCCCGTCAGAATCAGCTCCATCGCCTTGCTCTTGCCGACCGCGCGCGTCAGCCGCTGCGAGCCGCCCGCGCCGGGAATCGTGCCCAGCTTGATCTCGGGCTGCCCGAAGGTCGCGCCCGTCGTGCAGTAGATGATATCGCACATGAGCGCGAGCTCGCAGCCGCCGCCGAGCGCGTAGCCCGAGACCGCGGCGATGACGGGCTTGCGGATGGAGTTGGCGAGGTGCGACCACGGCGCGATGAAGTTGTTGGTGTACGCGGCCGAGAAGGTTAGGGGTGCCATTTCTTTGATGTCGGCGCCGGCTGGTTTGGGTGTGGGTTGTTAGTTAGTTGTTTGTCTGTTTGTTTGGAGGAGGAGGGGTGGGGGGGGGGGAGGAAGCGCACCCGCAAAGGCCTTCTCGCTGCCTGTGATGACGATTGCGCCGATTTCCTTGTCATCTTCGTATTTGGAGAGAGCGTCGTTGATCTCTTTGAAAAGAGGGCTGGAGAGGGCGTTGAGGGCCTTGGGGCGGTTGAGTGTGACTTATGGACGGGTCAGCTCGCTTATCCCTAGATACATGTCCACTGGCTCCAAATCTTCTCCCAAATCTGTGTTTGTCTACGTTGCTAAGGGGAATACATACTCAGTCCAACACCAGGCTTGGGAGTCGACGTGAGAATGTGCTCGTACGCCGGAGCAGCGGAGGAGTATGGCCTGCCGACACGGGTAAGATAGGATGTGAGAGGAACCGCGGTCCTAGAGGACACCAGGCGGGAACACTGCCGAGAGACCATGATGGGCTGTGTAGAGGGAAGAGAGAGGCAGCAATTGGGTGGAAGGGGAATGTAGGACGACTAGTATTATTATATTCAGATGGTATGTACGGAGGGAATTCTTAAATATCCCAACAGCTCAGTCGTAACTTAACAGAGAGTTGAAGCTCGGCGTTGTCCAAGCTATGATGCTTGTTTCTCCCCGCAAGCGCCGACGAGAACCGTTCACTCCGAGGCAATGCGGGGCACGTGAAGTGCAGCGCTGACATAAACATTCACTAACCCCAATCAGGCCTAGTGGCATGTCACCTGTCTCTCACTGAGGCGCAGTTCTAGACGCGTGGCTAGTGCAGCCAAATCGGGCTAGTTTCTCCGCCACGTCTGCCGGCGCTGCGCAGTCAGCAGTGGACACTTTTTCTCTGAACAGACGGAACCAGACAGACACAATAATAATACAGATACCAAGCAAGACAGATAACAACTGTGGTCCGTTCCCCTCCAGTGAATAACAAACGCATCTTCCTCAGAGTCGATTCGAGTGATATTGCTCCTGCCTTGTCGTCTGGTAGTCCCATCAGGCGTCGTTGGTTCTCTCTTTCCTTTCTCCCGTTCTTCTCTCTCTCCTCTCTCCTATTATCGACATGGATGTTCCCGAGCCCGAGCAGACGCCGTTCACGGCGGTGACAGCGCAAACCTCGAAGCTCGCGCGCGTGAGTCAATCCCTTTGTCCGAGTCGATGTGCATGGCAGCGGCCGTGATATGCTTTCTGTGAAAGAAAGAAACGGACGTCAAGCTGACCATTTTCGGCCCAACAGCAATACCAAACCTACCTCGACGGTTTGACACCCTTCACCACCTACCGCTGGGTCGGCACAGTCGTCCTCCTTCTCGTCTTCTTCCTGAGAATCGTTCTGGCTCAGGGATGGTACATCGGTATGCGGCATCACCCCCCTCCCCCTTCTCCGGCGTTCTGATCCGGTACCCTTGGAAGCAAGCACTAACCTAGCCTCACGCAAGTCGCATACACGCTCGGCATCTACCTGCTGAACCTCTTCCTGCTCTTCCTGCAACCCAAATTCGACCCCTCACTCACCCAGGACGAAGGTCTTGAGGACGGTGACGCCGCCGCCAGCCTCCCCACCAAGCAGGACGACGAGTTCCGTCCTTTCATCCGCCGCCTCCCCGAGTTCAAGTTCTGGCACTCGGCCACCCGCGCCATCGCCATCGGCTTCACCTGCTCGTGGTTCTCCGTCTTCGATATCCCTGTTTTCTGGCCCGTTCTGGTGGTCTACTGGATCATCCTGTTTGTGCTCACGAGTAAGTTTCTAAGCCCCCACCTGCCCGGAATGTTCTTTTGCATCCAACTGACCCGCGACACAGTGCGACGCCAAATCCAGCATATGATCAAGTACCGCTACGTGCCTTTCTCCTTCGGAAAGACCAGATACGGCCGGTCATAAGAGTAACGAATTATCCGCGAATGGTGGGGCGTGTATGCGCCGCTGCAGCCCTAAACACGCAGCACGCACACCTTCTTCATCGCCCTACTCATCCGCTTTCCGCCCCTTTTTTTTGTCCCTCAGAAACGGACACATTTCTTTGATTCAAGGTGGTTTGCAATCCTGCAAGATGCGACGCCCATGAGAGAAGACGAAACACTCTTAATACTTGATGTTGATTGATGATGACCCTTGTGTGATCTGAATTAATGAGCCCTTAAACCATATTTCTATTGTACAGAGCTTTTTTTTTTAGTCTGCGATGCTCCCACTATTTTTTTTTCTTTTTCTCTTCTGCTTCCTACGCTAGTTTAGAACTATATTCATTGTATTGATTAGACTGTTCGTGTGTAACTCTACGTCTTCGTTTCTTGATCAGTGGAATCAATAACAAAAAAATTTGTTCATGGGATTTGCTATCATTGAAGATAAAGTCTAGTCCACCTCCGGCTGGCTGGTATCACGTAAACCGTATATATCATTGAAAAAAAAAAGAAAAAAAGAAAAAAAGAAAAAAAGAACATTGGATATAGAACATCTCTTTCATCGAAACCGCGACACTCACTGCCAAAGAATCGAAAGAACCATGACATTCATTGGAATATCTGACCGAGGTTAAACAAAGAACAAACTCATATCTCAAGGTGCTCTACACTCTGCGATCTCTTCCCACCAGCCTCACCCAGTGACAATGCCGATATCGTGCGGCCAGAAGTCGGCCGCTCCAGCTCCGTTGTCTTCGTGCAAATCCACGTCGAAGCATACATGTTCACGCTATTTCCAAGTCAGCATGTTGCAAGGGCGTAGGATGAAGGAAAATAGAAAAGCTGCGAGAACTTACCGGTCGATGCACGAGCCGGGGAAGCGAGCGCCCACCCGGCGGGCTGTGAAGCCGTTCTCCTCGAACTGCTTGATGTACCATGGTTCAATGCTGGCGGAGCGCAGGAGGATGCGGCCGTCCATCTTCAGGGCGTGGTTGAGTTTCTGGGCTTGGGTGGAGGCCTCGGTGCCTTCGGGGTCGAACCAGTCCATGGAGTCCATGACCTGCGAAGGGGGATTAGTGAGAAACTATGGAGTCAAAGTCAAGAGAAGGGGTGGGGGGACGGCGCTCACCACAGCGATTGTCAGACTTCGAGGAGTGATCCGTCGGATCACCTCGTTGATCTCGTCTGTGTGGATACGGAGGCCATCAAAGGCGCCGGGTGATGAGAGCTTCACGTGGGCTTTGGGGGATAGGTAGGTGGGGTGGCATCTAGTAGCTTGTTAGCTGGACAGACTCGGCATTCCCTGCGCGATGCGCTTACCTTCTTGAGAATTGTCCCTGCAGACACAGGAAGTAGAAGTAGTTGTCGTTGCTGATCATGGTCTCATTCACGACTGGGTCCAAGGTGTCAACGACATATTGCCAGATCGACTGGCCACCAATGTCTTTGCCTTGGTTCATGTCCTTGGTCAGGCCCATTCGCTTGAAGTAATCGTCAATGATCATGTTTCGCTGGTTTCGAGGCACGCCTGCGGCCTTCCATGCGAACCATTCGGTGCTGACTATGGCCCAGTGGAGGGGTTTGCTCAGCAGGACGGAGCGGATTCGGGGCCAAATCTCACGTTGCTCAGCGAGCGTCTGGGCCTCGCAGAGCTTCTTCACTTGCGCATCGAGGCCGAAGACCTTGAACAGATACCGGACCATCTTGATCGCATGCCGGGATCCACCAGTCTCGTACAAGCCTCGGCCATGCTTCGAAGTGAAAATCTGGGTGTGTTCCAGCCAGTACTGGAATGCCTGACTTGAGAGGTGAGGGCTGAGACGAGAGATCAGGAGCTCGCGGAACTCAGAATGCTTCCCCTCGCCAAAGATTTTCCAGATATCACGGTGGCCCAGAGCCATGAAACTGGCAACCTTGAGCTCAAGAAGGTGGTTTTGGTTGGGATTCAGATCCACTGCGTGTATCCTTTTCGGGCTCTTCTGCAGATAATCTAAAATATTGTCTCCCGCACTGGTAATTGCCAGAATGACATCATCTCGCTTGATGTCCAGTAGTCTGTGGTCGACGCGAGGGTCTTCCCAATTGAAAGCATAGATGTACTCGTTCTTAAACTGCGCGTGCTTGGGGAGCAGGTCATTGTAGAAAATGCGGCAATGGTGGTTCTGGTAGAAGGACGAAGGAAGAGGCAGATTCGCGCTGAGGTTGACCACAGCAGATTCATAAGCCTTTGATCGGATCTCCTGGGCGCTCTGTACCATTGCCTTTTCCACCTCTCTGGTATGATTTGCAGGAGACAGATATGGCGACTCGGTGAATGAAGCGTCCAGTTTCTCGATCGTTTCCTGGCCGGAGATACTGGAGGTGAGTTCCTTCTGACGCCCAACGAAGATGTAATAGGGAATGCCCCCCAGGAGGTAATTGCGCTCGCTGGCAGAGATGACAGTTCCAAAGCGGTATTCCAGATAATCTCTGCGCGCTGCCTCGAGACTCACGCGATCCGCATCAAACCAAGCACGCCAGAAGGCACGACCCAGCCAGTTAACGTGACGGTTAAACGCACCGCCGATGTAGTTGCGCGAAGAGACGTCAACAATACTTTGGACTACTCAATGCATCAGCGCCCACTCAGTTGTCATGCTCCTGTGGTTCTTACCATAGAAATCACAAACACCCAGAAGACCCGAGGGCTTCAATAGGTCCGTTAACGAGTCCACCACGCTGTAGTAGTCTGAATTTGGTGAGCGTTGTACTTCTCAAGCCATCAATCGGGGCTACTGACCAGGAATCATAGACAGACTGTAGCTCATAGTGATGACGTGTGCGCCTGCATTGGATGTGACTCGGGCGCGAGGGTCGATTTTCTCTTCGTCTGGTAGACGGAAGGTGCGTGCATCCTGGCAAACGACAGTGACATTTTTCCAGCCCAGGCGTTCAAATCGCTGACGGGCGACGTCACAGAGTGAAGGAGACAGGTCGACCAGATAGACGTGCGAGAAGAACGACTGAACTGGTAGGAAAGCAGCCATCGCCTCGATGTTGTAACTAGGTTGCAGTTAGGCAGGGATTCGATACTCATGGGGCTCATGTCGCTTACCCAGTTCCTCCGCCAATCTAAATAAAATTAGCAACATGTTCTTGGGGATATTAACGAATATGGAGTGTCTCACATCAACCCAGATGGCTTTTCCGGCCTTAAGCTCCTTGCTCTCCACTTTGTACTTCAATTGCGCGGCAACGAGTCCCAGCATATCCTCTCGTCCACGAAGGAGCCGTTTGCGAGTAGCGTCATACACACCAGCCTGCGCAATGTCAGTATCAGTCCCCTTATGATCCCATATCAAGCTCCCACTTGAGTCTTGTAGAAACTCTCCAATGCATCCTGCTGACCATTGCCGTTTTTGTCGTGCGGCTTGAGGAACGATGCATAGGCAAACCGGAGGTAGGTGAAGATCCCACGGTTGTAGTCAATTTTACCCTGCTGAAACGATAGTATGAGAACAACACTGACAAGCGCACAGACTAGGAATCCGGCGCCTGCAATGTACACATGAGTAGGCTCCATGCGACTCAATAACGAGCCAGCAGGAATACTGCTGAAGGAGCTCATGGCACAAAGATGGTTGTTGGGAGACGTTGATGCACTTAGGTGAGTTCAAAGTAACAGCGATGAAGAGAGATTGGACTCAATCAGAGCCCAGTCAAGGGAAAGAGAGGGTTCTTGAATCAATCGCGTCGACATTCGGGGCAAAGGCACTCGAAAGCATCCTCAGGACGCCCCACAATGACCCCTCGATCGTACATTTGGCTCTTACTATCGAGGCGGCATGCTTCGCAATATCCTATCAGGGTTACACATGGTCCTGAGAATAGATAGCATGCTAACGTTGCTAGGTGAAGCTTGGATAAAGGCTGCGAAAGGCAAAGTCGCCTAACATGGAGACACCGTCAAGGACGGCTCAAGTGGCTATTGGTAGCCCGTAACGTACAGAGCATCATGAAGAAGTTTGCAGTAAGGTCCGAATACCATTGGACCATTGGAAAAGAGGATCTGCTTGATTGCACTGGAGCACCGAAAAGGGCAAGGCATGGTAGATACCTGGAGATGGCGGAACAACTGGAGCTATTCATGCCTGGACAAGTCAGAGCGCTGAGTGACCGCATGTGGAGGAAAGAAGTAGACGTGGGGACTCCGTTCCGGTCCAGGGTCGCAATCAGCAGGATGCTCATGGGCAGGGAGCATCAGTGTTGAGGGTGAAGTTTAATGGCGAGTCTTGCTGTCTGAACTGCTTGGATGTATGAGTGGTGCGGAGCCAATCATAACGCCGACTGCCGGCACACTTTGGCTGGAGGAACGTCGTGAGGTCCATCGATCTTCTTGTGTCCATCCACGGATCGATAATGAGTAATTGGGAGGTTGAAACACCGATTATTCTGATGATCCGCAAGTTCTGAATCTGGCAGATAAGAGGTTGGACTTGGATTACTGAAATGATGCAGTGCATGGGAGAGAGAGGGACCAGAGAACCGAAACAGGAGAAAATAGCTTTGCCAGTTGACAGGTGACAATCGGGTTGAGCGGCATTGAATCCGCCAGCAGCCTGACTATCACAAGAACAACAGCGCCATCGCAGTGATGGCAACTGATATCTTGCGGTGATCAAATATTGTGTTTGTTAACATTGATACAATGGCTCAGAGATCTCTCATCAATTGGGTTGCTAACCTTGCTAGGAACCGGATATGTCACATCACTCATTCACTCACAGTTCTCTATCCGCCTCCGTGCCAACAATCCTCAAGGACTTAGAGAATACAGGACCTCATTAGGTGCAAATTCAGTATGTACATCACTACTACCATCATCGGAAGAGCGAAGTCTATATACTCCTCTTAGAGAAGCGCAGAGAAGCATCTTCTTCGCCAGGCTATCCCGCCAGAGTATAGCTATCTGCGCCAACACTATCACTCCGGAATCTTCATCACGGCTCGCCCGTCGATCTCGGCATTCTCCAGTAGTCGTAACACATCATTGAAGCAGTCAAACTCAAAACATTCGATGTGTGCCTTGATATCTCCTGCGACAGCCATCTCCATCAACTCTTCCATCTCTTTTGCAGTGCCAGCGGAGTTTCCAACAATCGTTAGACCTATATTTAAGAGTCATTGATTATTCCACCTTGCATGGGGACGTAATCATTCTCTGCGCTAAGACTTACCTTTCAAAATCATATCGAATGGGGTTGCCGGCAGCCTAAACGGCGTATTCGGGATACCAACACAGACAAGAACTCCCAAACTGCGGAGCAATTGCATGCTTTGCCGATATGCGGTCTCACTATTAGCGGTACATATCACCGCATGAGCGCCCAAGCCTGAAGTAAGATTCTTGACCTCCCTCTCGATGTCATCGACTTTGTAGTCAAAGAAGGCCGTGGCTCCGAGAGAGAGACATAGATGTTTCTTCTTTTCTCCACTAGGATCGACATCAGCAAACTGATTCCGAGGTGGGAGTAGGAGGATCCTTTTACCTATCAATGGCGATAACCTTGAGTCCTTTTTTCACAGCAATTTGAATTCCCCTGATGGCACCGTCAGTCTGGACCGGGGCTATCATGTTTTGATAGGGACATACATGTGCCCAAGACCCCCACCAGCTCCGGGAAGAACAATCCAGTCCCCAGGCCGGGTTCTCGTCTTCATGATTGATGAGTACATGGCAATACCCGCTATTTGTACGTTAGCTGTAGCTCAATCAAGCTAACCCATACAAAAACATACCACATAACAGGGGCGCTGCTGTATCAGGCGCCAGTTCCGATGGGATTATCGTGACATGCTCTGCAGGGCTGACAAGAAATTCTATGCGGATTATTAGACTCGCTATTGAACGCTGCTGCAGAAAGGTCGATCACCCACGTTGAAAAGTTCCCGGCACATTCTATCCCACGTTAGCTGTGTCCCTGCAGGTTGGACCCTTGTTCAGAATCATAGCGATGAACATACCGCACCCGCATTCTTCTGGTAAGGACAGGCCGTATGGTTAATAGCGCAGATCTCACACTTGAGACAAGAGCTATAAAGCCATCTATCATCGACAACCGCATGGTAAGCCTTGAGTTCACAACGATCTTGCCGAAACACTAGGCTCACCTGATTCCGACCCTTTTACCCAGCCAAGCTTCTTCTTCTACCCCAGCTCCCACTATCCGATTGTATACCCTGTTAGAATCATTTGACACGTGCAAGGCATGGCATCCCTCACCCTTGACCACTTTCCCCACACCCTCATGACCCGCCACATCGGTCAGCATGGGCGTGTCCCGCCGAATGCTGTGCACATCGGAATGGCAGACCCCCGAATATTCAAGCTTGATGAGCAACTCTCCCTCCGCTGGAGCTGGAACAGGGCGGTCCGAGAGGATTTGCACCTGGGCAGTTTGATATGTTCCCGCAGGTGGAATAACTGCTGCAGTCTGCGTGAGAGGAATTTGCATGATTAGTTCTATTAGATGGTCCGCGGTTGTAGATATGCCTTGGAAACCTCGAAATTAGTAGAAAATTGCATAGAATATTAAGGCCGTACTTATTAGACCATCCCAGGATCATTTGATAGCCCTATCATGGGAAAATGCGGGGACGATCTGATACCTGGTATCATGGGAGATCGGGCGACAATCACGAGATATTGATTGGTGCAATGTTCGATGATAGGCATTCAGCATCGATAAGACGTTGAGATTGCAGTTCTTTTGATCAGATAGGGACTCTTGGAGTTGATCAGTTCGTTAGATAGTCCCTGAAGACATACTTGGCCAGTGTTCATTCTCACGGTAGTAGCTAGTAGGGAATGAAACATCAACTACAAAAAAAGGGGGATAAGCAGATATCGCAAGATTTTGACCAGACCATAAAATCCATTCTACTCAAAACAGTCAACCTGGACATTCACACCATCTCGAAAATGCTGAGGTATGGATTTCAAGTACGAACCCTGCAAGGCCATCGATCTCTTGCCGGGCTGATTAGGATATTATGCTAAACCTTCCAAGACGCAACCAAAAAGTGTACCGGATAAAAAACATGGACTCTGTGCAACATAACAGAGTCGGCAAAGAATAAAAAGATTGGAGGCATCTCGAACTCGACAAACATGCATTTCGAGTCCTTCAAGGAGGGGACATCAAGAGGAGTTATAAACTGCGAAGGAGAGGAAAACGGGAATCTAGGACAGAGATCGAACAACGCCAGCGCTTATGCGTTCTCCGATTGAAGAGTTTGCTTGAAGAAAAAAAAAAGTCCCAATTTAGTCTCTAAACATACACTTTTTTCAGGATAAGGAGGGTAGGGAAGCACTTACAACCAACCAATCCATGCCTTCGTCAAGACCTTTGCCGTCGATGGCGGAACATGCTACGATGCTCCAATTCCTATCGCGCAGTTCTCCCAGCTTCAAGGCCTCCGAGATCTCTCCCGCACCCTTGGCACCTGGTTGATCTTGTTTGTTGGCGAACACCAATAGAGCCGCATCACGGAGTTCCTCTTCATTTAGCATAGTCGCAAGTTCGTCCGCAGCGGTACCGAGTCGCTCTATATCTGTCGAGTCAATGACGAAGATAACGGCAGCAGTGTTGGCGTAGTAGCAGCGCCAGTATGGTCGAATAGATGTTTGACCTCCAAGATCCTGTGTAAACCCATGATTTAGCGATTGTCCATACCTCCACCGGCCCAAAAAAGCATCTGACGTACCCAGACGTTGAAATTCAGATTCCTGTACGTCACCGACTCGACGTTGAATCCAATGGTTGGTATTGTGGTAACAACTTCACCGATCTATCAGAGAAACCCTGGCTGTTAGCGGAACGGTCAAAAAGGCATAGCTCAATTTTGAAGAAATGCTCCAGCATACCTTGAGCCTGTAAAGAAGCGTAGTTTTTCCAGCATTGTCCTATAGTATAGAGAGAGCGCGCATGAGCCTCAGAAGTCACACGAGCAGATCCTATGCTCGCTAGAGCACAAGTGCACCTACAAGGCCCAGAATAAGAATTCGGATCTCCTTCTTGGTCCAGAAGAAAGACCACATACGTGATAGTGAGCCACCCATGATTGCTCCTCGGGTAAGGGAGTATCTCTGGTGTGCGATCGGTGGATGAGCTCAGACGGGACCCTGAAAGGTAGGTGTTTGCGGAGACCTTGAGTGCGAGGAGCCGGAAGAGAGATAGACCTTTCCGGAGGTGATAATGATGTAGGACTATTAAAAGATGAGATTTAGATCAAAATATGTCTGTCCTTTCCCAAGAGTTAAAGTCAAGAAGCTCCAAGCATCACTGAGCCATCAACAGTAGCTGACTAAATCGCGAGGTTCTGTTGTGTCTTGTGGCAATCATTGGACCGCGGATGACCTTGTGGCGCCGATCGGCCTCCGTCGCTCTTTTGGAGATGGGGATGACCCGTTGAAACCCTTTGAGCGGCATCACGCCGAAGATCCCTATTGTGATCAAACAGCCGCTTCGTGCGTTTGTCCTTTGTCTTCTGCGACTTTGATGTCCTTCTTAACTGGAATAATCCACGGCGCTCAGGGCATTCCACCTTCATACCTCCCATAACTGGATTTCTTATCGCTACGCCGAGTGTCTCTGGGGATTGGACCAGATCACTGTTCAACAATCGTCCTCTATCCTTTGCGCGTTTATAAGAAGCGATTCGACTGATTCAAACTCATCATGGTTGGTAAAAAGTCGGGAAAGGCCCTCCGGGATGAGGGTGAGTATCCCTGAGAGACAGCATATATGCGCAGACAATTGATATGAAACAACACTGACATTTTCTCCCATCATCCAGGCCTTGAGCGGACGGATAATAACATGGAGTTGTCAAACTGGCCTCAGATCGCCCCGATCAACCAGAAGAACTACTATACGTATGTCGCCGAATTCGCGCTATACGATCTGTCCCATTCACTGTTTCTGATTCCGTTGCTCACGCAATTTCGCGCTTAGTGATTATCTCAAGAGAGACGACCAGTATTTGGCCTTTAGACTGCAGAATGAAGAGACAAGGAATAGGATGGCCAAAACAGCAAAGGATCGGGATCGTGCTCTAGCCCTGGCGAAAGCGAATGACTTGGGTTTGCCCGAACCGGAGGCGGATGCGGATGGAGATACGAACATGGAAGATGGTACGGAGGAGACGGCTGAAACGTTAGGCTCCAAGGTGATTGTCATCCATGTTGGTAGTCAGAACCTGCGGATTGGTTTGGCCAGCGATGCATTGCCGAAGACAGTTCCCATGGTGATTGCGCGCAAATCGACCACGAGTGAGTCCGAAGACCACGATGAGCCTTCTCCCAAAAGGCTGAAACTGGACGACGGCTATCCAATGGAGCCTGAGAAAATGTTTGGTCCTGAGGTATGTAATCTAGTCCCAAATGCACATGCGCCGCTTCTAAAGTCTTGCTTGAACGCAGTTTTCGTCGCAATATACCACGATGGTCGCAGAACTCAAGGGACATATGCGACAAAACAAACGCAGAACTCTACCTAATTCCAAAGAAATGGTCATCAACTACAACCGAAGGACTGTACCGGAAACCATTCCTGAACACAATGACCCGCTCCGTATTGAATGGACAGACATTGAGGACCAAGCACCTGAATATATCGTTGGTCAAGCAGCACTGAGGATACCTGACGATTCGAAACCTCGATACAAACTCTACTGGCCCATGAGATATGGGTGGTGCAACGAAAAAGACTACGACAGCAAGAGACTCTTATTCCTGGATGTCGCGCTTATTCTTGAGGACACGATCAAAAACCAATTGGGTGTGACCAGCAAAAAGGACTGGGCGCAGTATTCATGTGTCTTTGTTATTCCAGATTTGTACGAGAAGACGTACGTTACCCAGGTCCTTGATATGCTGATGAGGGAATTTTCGTTCGCCCGCGTCTGCTTCATTCAGGAGAGTTTGGCCGCTACCTTTGGTGCCGGATTCACATCGGCATGTGTTGTCGACATTGGTGCACAAAAGACGTCGATATGTTGCGTGGAGGAAGGAATGTGTATTGAAAACTCTCGCGTCAATCTGAAATTCGGCGGTGCCGATGTGACCGAGGCATTTATCAAGATGATGATGTTTGATCATTTTCCGTATGCAGAGATCAATCTGTGGCGTCGGTATGACTTCTTGCTAGCTGAGGAGTTGAAGAAAAATGTCTGCACGTTGAACGAGGCAAGCGTTTCAGTGCAAGTTTTCGACTTCCACCTTCGCATTGCCGGACAAGACACTCGGAAATATTCCTTCAAGGCCTACGATGAAGTCCATCTCGCCCCCATGGGCTACTTCCAGCCTTCCATATTCGACAATTCGGAAAAGCTCGAGGGACGCAGGAAGTTCATCATCCGTTCCGTCGACATTTACGATAGCCAGCCGAACGATCCTACATCCGCAGCTCAGTCTGAGATCTTGACCGCCATTGCCCCTCCACTAGCTAATGGCCAGGTGAATGGCGAACCTCGGCCTGTCACATTAGATGTCCAAGCGACACCAAGTCGCTCACAACAAGTGAACGCCCTCAGCCGTGTACAGGAACTAGATGCCACTCCTCGATCGTCGGTTGCTGGATCACCTGCACCAGAAGCGGTCGGCACACCTCACGCTGGAGGTGGTGGCACTCCACTTCCTAACGGACAGGGACAGAGCGTCTCGCAACCTCCTCGTGCACCTACTGTGGAGGAGCGCGATGACATTCTTCCAGTATTCCCCTTGGACAACGCGATTCTCACATCCATCGCACACGCTGCTCGATCTGACGAGCGCAAGATGCGGGATTTCCTCGGTGGGATCATGGTTGTGGGAGGCGGTAGTCTCGTCAACGGCTTCCATTCCTTCCTGGAAGAGCGACTCCAAACTCTGCGACCGGGCTTTGCCAATGAAATCATGGTTGGCACGCCCCCAAGAGATCTCGACCCTCAAGTAGTGGTCTGGAAGGGGGCAAGCGTATTTGGCAAGCTGAGTGGGACGAACGACAGCTGGATTGGACAGTTGGAGTATGACCGGCTGGGGCATAGACTGATGGCGTACAAGTGCATGTGGGCTTACTGATTTCATTTTTATTGTGCCTCACTCTTATGTCTCTTATATCCTATGAATCATGGAGTCAATCTTATATTACATGGCTGTACCAAAATCGCCTATGTTAATCTTCACCTTGATACGGTGATCTGGATTCCTGAGGCATCAGTCCTTCACACCCCAGTGATCTGAGCGTGCAGAATGCCGCAGTCACATGATAAAGCTGTGCTGGGACTAGCATAGAAACAAAGCAATGATAACACACGGATCAACATTTCTCCGCCATACAAAACACACATCCTCTAAGCCATAAGTATCAGGCGGTCGGAAAGTGCAGAATGGAATATCCGACTCCATGTAGGTTCATCCTCAAGCTGATATTTCCGCGCATCCACAGCTTTCTAATTTCCTTTATCTCTGTCATCCTATACAGTTCTTGCGCCGGTAAACTCCACTGACGGGAGCCCCGACGGATCTCTGGTTCCTGACTCTGAGATACCTCCAATTGCGCTTCCTAGCCAACGTGAGTTCGAAGCATTAGCTGGCGCATTCCAACAATCAGCGTTCATTTCTGACCGTCCATCGCGCAGTCTTCAGCCCTCCTCTCACTCTTACACCCTCCTCGGAGCCGAATAGCGAAACCGGACCCGCGATGTCGAAGTCCAAGGACAGCAGCTCCTCCGGGAGCTTCCATCAGGAGTATATCGCGTCTTTGCGCTACCGGAATGACCTCCCCCCTCCTGATATGCCGCCCAAGTTTCTCGATATTCCGCATGAGGGCTTAGAGAGATTCTTAACGCCTGGTTTTGCGTCCAACCTGGCGAGACGCGAGGAACCTAACATTGACGTGGACGCTGAGGGTGGTATGCCGATTGACCTCGTTGGTATTCCTGGACTTCATCTGGGCGATGAAAGTGGTTAGTGCTCTCGACTCTGCATTCTGCACGCTGGAGATGGTGCTAACAATGCTGCTATTACTAGCTATAATGGCATCCGAGAATTCCCAACCGATTGATCCCGCCGACCTCCCTCTTCTCATGACTCTGGACCAGCTGAAGAACCCCGCACCCAAGAACGCCAACGTCAGTTTCCTTCGTCGCACTCAGTACATCTCTGCGGGTCTTCGCGCACCCGATGGCCCCAAAGTAACACCTATTCGAGCGAAACCTCGCTCGATGGATAAACCCAAATCGCAAGATGATCCGACGTATATCAAAAAGTACATTCAAAAAGGATTCGATATTGCCTATCCGGATAGCAAACATGTTGGAGAAGATACGGCGAGCAGGATCAAAGGACACACTCCTACCAAGCTTGAGGTCGATTCCTGGGCTCACCCTGTTCATCCTGACAATCCTAAACTAAAGCCAGTTGGTTTCTTCCCTCTGCTTCCCGATCTTCAGGGATTCCCAGATCCCGGAGGGTTTGTTCAATTTAAATTCGACAAGGCACCTATTCAAGGGACCTCAGGAAAGAGAGACGAGCGTATCGATGTCGGTATCCTTCTTCCATCTGCTCCAGAAGAGCGAATCTGCCAGGAACACGCAACCAAGGCCGCTCTACATAAATCAAACCCCAGCCTTTACCCTGACCCTGGTCCGGTCCCATGGGATTACGATCTTTTCTTGCCTGAGAAGAAGGAATCCGCCAAGAAGGTCATCGCAAGCTTGCGACTTGAGAATCCCGATCGCGACAGTGAGGAGCTGTACACTCACGAAGGAGCCGACGGAACAAAATTCCATCGTTTCGACCGCATGCGCACATTCGCTACCAGTGCGCAGACACTCGGCAATGACCAGAAGCAGCGCGATGTAGCCTTGACTCTCTTCAACCCAGCGGAGGCCAAGGAAGGACAACAGACGAAGCAGAGAGGTGCATACTACTATCCCATCCTTGGAAAGACACGTCTCAAGCCCGAGCGTGCGCGTACCATCGCGCAAGCCGGTCTGGCTCCTACTCAGGCCAAGACAAAGGAGGACCAGGTGGATCAGATCCAGGTTGTTGTTCGCGACCCGGATGAGGCCGAAGTGTACAAACGCTCTCTGCACCGGGCCGCTATTGATCCAAAGTTTGCGAAATCTATGCCCCCTCCCCCAGAGAATTTGAACGAGCAGGAAGCCCCCGAAGAGCAGCACTCTGACAGAGAGGAAGCTGGAGCCGACGGCCGCGATCATCATTCAGATGCTCAAGATGCAAGCGAAGAAGAAGACAGAATGAGCGACGAATAGACGCCGCCGCCATCACTTTCCTTGTCTCTTCCGCGTATATCATCAGCGTCATGGTTCCCATTTACGGTCAATGAGTCTCCGTCGGTTCTGCTCAAGTGGCATATTTTGTTTCTCATCCTTGTATCATTTCCATACCCCGTTTCATAGCACTGTGCCCGTTTTCTGAAGATATCCTTCAGGGCTTTCTCGCTTTACTATCTCTGATTCTCGATGTACTTCTACGCAGATCTTAGCTTTCGGCTGCAGAATCAATTCCTGGCCGTGATTGGTTTGTCTTTTGAGGTTGAAGCAACAGGATGCCTGGCGTTTGATTGGCGTGAGTGAGATTGGAGTTAAGTAGATATACTGTGGCCAATAGTTGACTGATTGATGAACACATTGTTTTTTTTGGCGATCTTTGCGTTTATCCTATTGTTTGCAATACTATTCCATCATCATCATCATTATTCAATGCCCACAGGCTGTATAGTATCGGCACACCGCTCGGAACTCTGGGAAGATTCTGCCACAGAAAAGGCTGACCGCCCACCGCAACCGTTGACGCAAGAGAAGCAGACGAAAAGAAGTAAAAGCGAGGTGCGAATATTCTCGTCGCGAAGGGGACAATTGATCTCAATCGCGGAGAGGAGGATTTTAAAATACCCCTCAGTGTTTTGTGCAGTTTAATCGCGACCATACACCATACTCCGCTATTCTTTAAGTTGTGAGTGCGCAATTTTCCTATTCGTGTAGTGTGTAATCGTCAGTGGGATGATCTGTCGACACAGGGGTGGTCTGAGGCCTCTCGCTATGACGGGCTCGACTGAAATGTTTATCTTGCATACTAATTTGATGCTCTGAACCTGGGAACTTTCATCTCAAGGGGCGAAATTATTCTAACGTTAGTCTTGTAGCTCTGGCGTACTAGCCGTTGCAATTGACCCGCCGTCGGGCTCATCGAAAAACCGCTGAAGGCACAATGGTTTCCAACACGGCCACCCTCGCGTGGAGGTTTGCTGGTCTGAGAGCTCGCGCTGCCCCATCGCTGCGCTTTTCCTCACGGCCCTCGATCCTCCACCGGCATTCAGCCATCTACCAGCCAAAAGCACTGCGATATGCCTCGGACACAGCCAGTGAGGCGACCGAAGCAGTGAAGGAAGTGCCCAAGAAGGCCGGCCGCAGCATCAAGAGAACCGTGCTCGGCACCTCATTGATTCTGGCTGGTTTGGTGGGCTATGTGTATGTGACAGACACGAGGGCTAGCATTCACCGCTACGTGGTGGTCCCGCTCGTCAGATGGCTGTATCCCGATGCTGAGGATGCTCACCATATCGGCGTGGACTCCCTGAAGACTCTCTACAAGTTCAGCCTTCATCCTCGCGAACGCGGGAATCAGGATGGGGACGGCGTGTTGGCTACTGAGGTAATGACATAGCACCGATATGCTTTCTGGACAGACAAGAGTGAATGCTCATAGAGGGTCTCGATTAGGTCTTTGGATACACGATCAACAACCCGGTTGGTGTCTCAGCCGGACTTGACAAGAACGCCGAGATCCCCGACCCGCTGTTCGCGATCGGTGCTGCTGTTGTCGAAGTCGGCGGCACGACGCCCCTGCCGCAGGAGGGCAATCCCCGCCCTCGGGTCTTCCGCCTCGTCTCGCAGAAGGCCATGATCAACCGATACGGGCTGAACTCCAAGGGTGCCGACCACATGGCGGCCGTGCTTGAGAAGCGCGTGCGCGACTTCGCCTACGCATACGGATTCGGCATGCACGATGAAGGCGAGCAGCGCGTACTCGATGGCGAGGCCGGTGTGCCTCCGGGCAGTCTGCAGCCCGGCCGCCTGCTAGCCGTGCAGGTGGCCAAGAACAAGGTGACGCCGGACTCGGACATCGAGGCCATCAAGCGCGACTACGTCTACTGTGTGGACCGGCTGGCCAAGTACGCGGACATCCTGGTCGTGAACGTCTCCAGCCCCAACACACCAGGCCTGCGCGACCTGCAGGCGACCGCGCCTCTCACGGCGATCCTGAAGGCAGTCGTGGGTGCCGCGCAGAGCGCCGAGCGCAAGACCAAGCCCTTTGTGATGGTCAAGGTCAGCCCGGACGAGGATTCGGACGAGCAGATCTCCGGCATCTGCGACGCCGTGTGGAACTCTGGCGTTGATGGCGTGATCGTGGGCAACACAACCAACCGCCGCCCCCAGGCGCAGGGCTTTGCCCTGCCCCCGAAGGAGCAATCGACACTGAAGGAGACGGGCGGCTACTCGGGCCCGCTGATGTTCAACCAGACCGCTGCACTGGTAGCGCGGTACCGCGCGCTGCTGGATGCGCCTCCCCTTCCCGCGACTGACACAGCAAAGCTCGACGGAGAGAGTGGAACCGCGGTGGAAGCAGCGGCGCCGGCCAGCCGGGGCCCGCGCAAGGTCATCTTCGCGTCGGGCGGCATCACCAACGGCCGGGACGCGCAGGCCGTGTTGGATGCGGGGGCGTCGGTTGCGATGATGTACACCGGCATTGTGTTTGGGGGTGTGGGCACTGTGACGCGCGTGAAACAGGAATTGCGGGAAGAGAAGGAGAAGGAGAAACGCCAGTAGTGAAAAAAACCCAGGTCCATAGAGACAGTCAAAAATCCTGTACATAGTTTGGATGCAAAATCTTTGTTTACCGAAATCACGTTCCGTCTTTGTCAAATGTCTATAGCAATTATAATTAAAATTGAGAAACCTCCAAAGTCTTTTCGACCTCCCTCACCACCTTCTTCACCCCCTCGATCTCATGCGCAAACCTCCCCAGAAACATGCCATCCACGGCCTTCCCCAGCCCGCCGGGCCCCCACAGCCCCGGCCCCGCGCTCCCCCCATACAGCACCCGCACCTGCCCAGCCCGACTCCCAATGACGGCGCGGATCCCCTCCACGACAGCCGCAACATGCTCCACGCCCGCCGGCTGCGGCTTGCCAATCGCCCAGACCGGCTCATACGCAAAGATCACGGGCGCCTCGGCAGGGATCGCCTCGATCACGGGTCGGATCTGCGCCTCGCACTCGCTCACGGCGCGGCCGACAGCCGCCGAGGCCACGGGGCCTGGGGCGGTGACCTCGCCGACGCAGACGAGCGGCACGAGGCCGCTAGCGCAGGCGGCGGCGGCCTTCTGCGCGGTCTGGGCTTCAGTCTCGCCGAAGATGGCGCGGCGTTCGGCGTGGCCGAGCTCGACGATGGAGGCGCCGACGGCACGCAGCGACTGCGGGGAGACTTCGCCGGTGTAGGCGCCTGAGGATTCCCAGAAGCAGTCCTGGGCGCCAAGGAGGAGGGCGGGGGAGGTGCTGGGGCTGTTGCTGTTGCTGGAGCTGGCGGTGGAGTGCTCCTTCAGGATCTGGGCGCAGGGGTAGATGGTCAGGAAGTCTGGGATGAGGGCGAGGAGGAGCTTGGAGCGGGACTCTGGGCGGAGGAGGGCGTTCTGTGGGTCGAGCAGGGCGCGCAGGTAGTTTAAGGTGCGGTCGGGGGTGAAGTACATCTTTAGGGAGATAATGAGGAGGTTCTGGGGGAGGGTTGGGAAGGTCGGCACTGTGGTTTGGGTGGCCATTGTGGTGGTGATGTTGGTGGTGTTGGAGTTGGTGTCCACTGCTGGTTCTTCCTCGGTATGTCTTTGAGGTAAGTTGGTCGGATTTGCGGTTCCTCAGATAAAGGCGAATTCTATAGAGCCGAGCGGGTCACGACTGCGCTCCTCTGCGTGCTGCTGCCCGTTCGTTTCGGGGGATGGATAGGCGCGCAAAGAGTCGAGAATTTGAGGTCGCGCAGAGGGGTTGAGGGGTTGGTGGATGCGACAATGGTCCTGTCTGCCAATCATTGTTAGTTGGGAATCCTGATTTCTTAGGGTCGTCGGTTGAGAAATGAGCAGCATCGACGCATCGATCTCGTTTGATTTCTCTTAGTGTAGCACGTACTTGGCGAGAGAAAACGGCGATGGTAAAGAGTGTTGGAGAGTCAAGAAGAAGATGCTCTGTTCCCGTGATGATGTCACTGTTCAGAAACCCGTATAGTCAGTGTATTGTATCGTTACTTTTGATCGAAAAGTACATACCTGCACGTCTCTTGAGTCTGATCAATCCTCGAATTTGCGGTCTATGAAGCACCGGCAGAATCTCCTATCTTTCTTTATCCTCGTGCTGACCAGGATCATGTTCTAGAACGGCGTTGAAGAATTATTTGCAGAGTCATGGGACTGAATGTGTGGAGTTGCTGTGGCCTCCAAGTCGGCGCAACTCCGATGAACGATGGAGATTGTATTGTATCATTCGTATGGTTCATATATGGTCTGTACGGAGTACGGGAAGCTCTTTTGGGAAGTTCCATACCTTACCTTACCTTACCTTACCTTACTTTACCTTTACCTCACTCATACATTCAATACTATACTCATCCTGTAAAGCATCATCATATCCGTACATGGCATTATTTAATTCCTCTCCAGTTGCATCTCTGCAGCAGAGGCGGGCTTGAATAGACCTTGTTTATCATCATCGAGGGCAGTGCAGGTTGATCCTCCATCTCTAAATCCCACATCCGCTTGGCCAAGAGCAGCAAGTCGATGTCAAACGTGGATGTGGGGAGAGTACATATTATTTTTTGTTAATGTTATTTTAAGTGCCCAGAGTGGATCGACTAGTGTCTAATCCCTACTACCTACTAACGAGCTACCAATACCATCTGGCAATCTGCGACTCCTGGAGACTAACCAGAGTTATGCATCCTGACTCCTGACACTCTCGTCTGATGGAACCCCAGAATAGGAATTCCGGGGTCATTGCCAAGGAGCAGTTTGCCCTGCAGTCCGAGGTCCAGAACTGTGCAATTGTGTATGAGAACTGGGAACTGGTTCTTGTATAGCATCACAATGTCTTTTTAGAGCTCATCGAGAATGAGATGAGGATCATCAGCTAATTCTCCAAAGGATGAGCACATCAACGCCATCGTGCTTGGACAGCAGCCATCAACGTCTCTTGCGTCGGACGGCAGAAGTTATTTACGGATGCCAATATCGCCTCAATCCAGCCCGTCTCCGGTATTGGGTCCTGGGGAGTCTTTTGGGTTTGAACTGCTCTCAATCTAGTCAGGGTCGCTCCACGGTTGATTCTGTCTCTCAAGCAATCAAGATGCGATGAGGACGGTCAAACAGACCACGGAAGCAGGTCTTCTTCCTCCCTTGTCGTGGTGATATCGTCTACACAGGATTGATCAATATGCACTGGAAGCAGAGGCAATACTGACTGCAGACTGATGTGAGTGACAGGTAGAGACAGACATACTCGTCCCTCACAGCCGACTGAGTCTACCCTCTACAGTATTTATGGATTCTCCCAAACGGTCCATCCGGCTTCAAATGATTGACTCGATCCAAATTCAATAGATCCATCAGCATGACGCCACCTGCGGGGCTGCGCAAAGCCTCCATCCGCGGCATCAACGACTCTTCTCCAAGTCTATCTACATAGAGTAGGACATCCTTTCGGGCTCATCTGATCATCTCCTATGCTGTGGAAACTGGGGTCACAACCCTCGTGCTGGATTAAGAAAAAAAAAAAAAAAAAAAAAAAAAACTCAATACCACTGACTGGCTCTTGGAATCATCACCACCAATCATCAGACTTGAACCACCAGAACGACTCCATCTCCACAGGAAGCTCCCCCAGAATGGATTTATCCAGGAAGGCCTGCTCAACAAAGCAAACGAGGACCGGGGAAGGTTACACCGCGCAGATATAAAAAGGTCGCCTGCATACCTTTCCCGGTTATGATCAATATCGTTCATTCCATCAAATCCGATCGGACCAGCTCCCCCAAGTGGATTCTGTGCATCGTCCTTCTGCTGTCCTCTCTATCCATACATTCTATACATTCCCACTTGGGTCTCCATCTGTCACCTCTAACCCCCAGCTCATCACCTTAAAACCGACCTCCTCTCTTCACCATGTCTGCCGATCTGCAACCCCTCCGCATCGTCATGGCCTGCGATGAGGCTGGCCAACCATACAAGGAAATTATCAAGGCCGCACTCGAGAAGAACCCTCTCGTTGCATCCGTCACCGACGTCGGCGTCAATTCCACCTCTGACAAGACCGCCTATCCTCACCCTGCTGTCGCCGGCGCGGTGCTCATCAAGGAGGGCAAGGCAGACCGTGGTCTTTTCATCTGCGGTACCGGTCTCGGTGTCGCCATCGCCGCCAACAAGGTTCCCAGTATCCGCGCCGTCACGGCCCATGATCCCTTCTCCGTGGAGCGCGCCATCCTGAGCAACGACGCCCAGGTTCTCTGCTTCGGCCAGCGCGTCATCGGCATCGAGCTGGCTAAGAAGCTTGCCAACGACTGGCTCACCTACCGCTTCGACCCCCAGAGTGCCTCGGCCGCCAAGGTCCAGGCCATCAGCGACTACGAGAAGCAGTTTGCGACTGCTCAGTAATCGTATCCTTCGCTGTCAACATCTGTCTGCTATATATATATATATATATATATATATGCACATGCGGGTATGGACTGAACCAACTTGGAATCAGTGTCCACGATCTACATATGCATCGATTTTCTTTTTCTTTTTCTTTTTTTTTTTTTATTTTATCAAGCGCATCAATGATACCACGACTGGGACGGAACGACCTGGCAGGTCCAGTCCTCCGTTTGTCGGATTGTCTTTTTTTTTCCCTGTTGATAGAGGATATTCGCAGGAATAGATGAGAATACAAGGCTTTGAGATAATACGACTCCCACCTTATAAGCCATAGCTATACTCCGTCCTCCGTCAACTGTTCGTAGACTCGCTTCCAGTTATCCCAGCAAGCGATGCATAACATGCAGATGCTGACTCAGCGCCTGCCAGTTCTGCGGAGATCCATCCGCTTCGATCGATGGAAGAGAGACGGACAAATGCTCCACGAACAATAATAATAATATTAGATAGCCGGGATCAGCGCTTTCTATAAGCCATGGATCACGACATCCTTTGCTTCGTCTCCGTTGTGAGACTCTCCTTCTCTCCGTCGGGTCGTAGTCCAGCCTGATCATCCCACCAGAGGGCACCAGGATTAGCTGCAACTGGCATAGACCAGGAACGAGCATCCTTATCTCTTCCAACTCGACTGTGCTCGTGTCTCACACTCGAAGCCAATTTGGTCTATCCTCGATCTTGATTGTCTGGTCAAATTTCTATCACGCTCAACAGCGCTGCGTGCTGTGGATCAGCATCGGATCTGAACAACGGCCCCACCATTGACTGTTGTCCCTCCGTCTCGCACGTTGGTGCACGAAGTTGTCCTCGGAACCCTCGTCATCTCCTAAACGCATCATGTCATTCGAACTCAAAGAAAAGGGCAACCAGCTCTTCAAGGAAGGCGACTACAATGGCGCGGAGGATCTCTATTCCCAGGCGTGAGTGCAATCCATTTCCCCCCACATCTCTCCCATGCAATCTGTAGATACCTTCGCGGACACGGCAATCCTAACACCAAGTCGCTAGCATTCAGAAAAATCCCCGCGAACCCACCTTCTTCACCAACCGCGCGCTCACCCGCATGAGACTGGAAAAATGGGCCGGTGTGGAGCACGACGCGCGCGCCGCTATCGAGCTCTACGGCCCCAAGAACCCCTCCAGCCTCAAGAGCTGCTGGTACCTGGCGCAGGCGCTCCTGGGTCTGAGTCAGCCGCAGGAGGCGTACGAGGTCGCCATTGACGCCTACCGGGCCAGTCTGGCGGCTAAAAGTGCGCAGACGGAGAACCTGTCTAAGACGGTGCTGCGCGCGAAACAGCAGATCTGGGCTGCGAAGGAGACGGCGAGGCTGCGTGAGATGAACGGGACCCTGGCGACAGTGGAGCAGCTGATCGAGGCGGATCTGAACAGGGAGCTGGCGGAGCTGCAGGCGAGCCTGGATAAGGGCGAGATCGGGCAGACGGGCTTCGTGGAGGACCAGAAGGTGCTGCGTGCAGAGGCTGAGAAGAATGTCCAGAATGTGCGGGAGGCGTTTCGGGTTGCCTCCCAGGGGGAGATTCAGGAGCGGGTAGGTACCCTTTTTTTTTTATTTTTTTCGTTACAAAACGGCGAAGGAGAACTAACCGTGTCGTAGGTCGTGCCGGACTATCTGATCGACGGCATCACGTTCGAGATCATGCATGATCCCGTCATCACGCCCTCCGGGACCAGTTTCGACCGCATTGGGATCCTGAAGTACGTCGAGCAGTCCGGCGTGGATCCCATCACCCGCGTGCCCATGACGTCCAACGACCTCCGGCCCAACTATGCCCTGAAGGCTGCGTGCGAGGAGTTCCTCACGAAGAATGGCTGGGCTGTGGACTGGTAGACGGGCTGGTTCTGGATTTGTTTTATTCTTCCTCTCTGTCTTTTTTGGGATGTACTTTATCATCAGCGAGGGATACTCCGCGATTTCTGGCTTTGCATCGAACGGCGTCTCGGAAGGTTTCTTGTCTTGTCTATATGGCATGATCCGTTTTTTTTTTTGTCGTCTCTCTTCTTCGCCTCTTGTCATACAGAGCTTCCTTTCGTCCATGTGATCGGCTTCCGCTGTGTTCCAGCATGACCTGTATATTCTTCTTACCCGACTAATATCCTACCAATATATGCTTCAATAGCTCTTCTATAGATTTTTAACTCCCAGCATGTGAATGTTCTGCCTGCGTTGTTGTCAGTGTCCGTCGTCCCAAGCCATATAGTGTAACTAGCTACTAAGGTAGCTTGCTGTGCCCCAACGGATTTGCTGCCAAAACAAACCCCACCATTTCGTCCCACCTCCACTGTTTTCCCCTCACCTCTTTCTCTTTGCTTTCATTCTTCCCACCATCCCATCCTAACTCAACTCCTCATCTTTAGAAACAAATATCCATATTCATATCAACACTAAACTCCCCCCCCCAAACCTACCAAAATGGCCTCCCTCACCGACTTCTTCACTGCCTTCGACGCCGCTGCCACCAAGCAGAAATTCCCCGCCTCGCTGCAGTCCTCCGCCGCCGCCATCGACAAGGCCGCTCTCCAGGCTGCCGTCGAGGCCGTCCTGGCCGGCGGCGATGACGCCACCGCCGGTGCCCAGGACGCCGTCCTCAAGGCTGGATTCGAGTTCGCGACCGAGCTGGTGAAGATGCTGGAGAAGGAGCCCGGGCCGGAGGAGAAGCTGGCGGTTTGTTTTTTCTGCCCCTCTGTCCCTAGGCTTGGTTTCGGGGGGTTGGTGGATGATGTTTTTCGCTGATGGTGTTGGTGTGTGTGCGTAGCTGTACAAGTACTTCAAGCAGGCGCGTGGCGAGCAGCCGGCTCAGCCTTCGTTTTATCAGATGGAGGTATGTGATTGACTCTTGGTTCCTTTTTTTGTCCAGGGGTGTGGTAAAAGTCCGGGGAGTGAGGTTGCTGATGGGTTGCTCTAGGCCAAGTTCAAGTATAACGCCTGGAAGGAGGTCAGCCACATCAGCGCCCAGAAGGCCCAGGCGCTCTACATCAAGGAGGTCAACGAGCTGATCAACAAGTACGGCACCCGTGCCGAGTAAACGGATCTCTCCGAGCCCGAACCCCGAATATCCCGGTTCGTGGTTGATGGCAAGACTGTTGGATAAGGAAAATGGATTATCTGCTCTGGGGCAGGGGCATGATGGCTAGCAAAAATGAGTTATGTGGTATGAACCTGTGACGTTGCCGTATAATATATCTTTTTTTTTTCCTTTTCGTGACGATCGAGTATAAGATGTGCAATGTGCGCATGTGCAGATCATCCTTCCCATGTCTGGCCCAGCCAATCTGGCTCCATGTGCGTGGCTGTAGCGCACCAGGGAACCTCATCCGCTCGGTAAGATGTCAATGGTAGATCGTAGGGCATCCGCAGTCCAACCAATACATCGCATTTTGCTGGTTGTACGGGGCAGTCGACGGGGAGGTCGCGACGGAAGCACGGAACCATCATTGCTTGCTGCTGCTGCTGCTCTGCCTTCTCGGCGAAGAGTTGCGGCCAGACCATCACGCCAACCTCCCAGCTACAGATTCGCACTTCTCCGTTGCTGTTGACCGCGGCGCCCCACGCCTGGGTAGAGAGGTTCGCCGAGGTCACCATCGCCCAATCGATCGCATTCATCCTGTTCGCATCGGCAAAACGAATGTAGGTTTTGATGTGCGGTGCCGCGCGACGCCGGCCGGCTTCCTGCGTCTTCGTGGTTGAGGTTTCGCCCCGACCATCGCTGCTGTGTGTACTGCTATCTCCCGCCCAGTGTCGAAGATATGGCCGCATGTACTGGAGTTGTTTATGTTGCGTGGTGCTCTGCAGTTTCATGTGGATTGAGCCACCGGATCCGTAGCCGTTCAGAGAGCGGCGGATTTCATCTGGGGTGGGAAAGACGATCGAGTATTTCGATTTAGTAGGAGGTGTTGGGTTGGAAGTGGGTGCGAGGGAGTTAAAGAAGACATCTTTCAGCCATTTATCTGTCTGTCCAAGGGTCGCTATCGAGGAAATCTAATGATTGTCAGCACTGACTGTCCATTCTATAACTTGGAAAACTGACTTGAGTAATAATGTGCGGTGTCGCGGTCTCAGACCCTTGTTCACGAGTCAGAGGTATCTGGCGCGTTGTCTCCCTCAGCGCTGGCCATCCCCATAATGTCTTCCGTTGTAAATCCAGAGAGGCAAGCTTCTGCTTCGATGGGACGCTCGCAATCAGCGCAGCACGAACTGAACTGAAATCAAAGCGCGCAAGCTGCTTCACCAAAGGCCCCGTCTTTTTCGCTCCGTACTCATTCAAGTACGCAAGAAGGTCTCTCTTGAATCTAGCTCCGCTACCGATAGTTCCTGGTTCTTCGGCGATGTGCTCTACCTTTTGCAAGGGAAGAAGCGGAGAACGCCAGACTGCCTGGCACATATTCGCCCAGTCACCTGGAATCATATTGGCCGTATGGATGACCACCCTTCATAATTAGCATAGAAAATCATCAACTGCCCTGGGGCTTCCCACTTACTGTGCGAGATCGTCATGCCGAAGCAGGATCATCATTTTCGAGTGGTGTGTGCCAAACGGTTCGGGCATGTAGGCCACGATAGCTTCGACGTTTGGGTAGCGAGGGCATGCTTCCTGCTACTGTCAGCAACCGCCTGCTGCAATGATAGAGATAGAAACAATCAAGAAAGCAGCCGCCAGAAATAACTAAACAAAGGACGAAGGAGAATCACCTCAATCCGAATCCGATTCGGGGCATCCTTCTTCCACGACCCATGGACCACCTTGACCTGCACCAACCGTCTCACATCCTCATCAAACTGATTCATCAGAAAATCTACATCGAAGAGAAAATTGAACTGCCAGCATTCCCGGATCATGGGATCTCCCAGAATGTCTCTCAACCGCACGGTGTCCACATTGTTGCCTGAGGCAGCAGAGAGGTCCCGGATGTGAGTGAGCTGGATGGGAGATGGAATCAACCGCGGTCTGTTACCGACCGGCTCACCAGACTGGGTAGTGTCCTCTTTCCCGGTAGACGTCCGGGGTTGGAGATTAGATGGTGGCCTGCGAGACCGTGATGATGGAGGAGTAATGGATCTGTGCAGTGATGCCAAGCCATTTGCTCCCAGCTCTGAAATTGCTTCGGTGGCATCAGGGGGTTGATCTATGGGAGATCTTTTGAGTCGTTTCCGGGGATGCTCGTCTTGTTCCATATTTTTAGAATTGGTAGCCGAAGAGAAGTGTTGATCAGTCCTCCAGCGGTGATGCCAAGTTTGCGATGCGTGGAAGCGGATGAGAGGATATGTATTCCCGTTAGAGATGCATTTGATACGAAATAATGATCTACCCTGTCCGCAAAGCATCAACAACTTGTTGTAGGATCAGTAGTAGATGATTATGTGGTTGAAATGGAGATGGAGGTGGAAGAGAACAAAAGGGAAAACGAGGGATGACCGTCCGCAAGTCTATACTATGTACAGATAATATACTAGTCTAGCAATCGATAAAAGTCTCAACCATCCCCGCAGGTCAGAACTACGAGATATGAATATACTAAATGAAATAGAGGGCAAGCTTGAGATGAGAAGCGAAAAATAACTCTTGCAATTTTTAGGGAAGATTAAGCGAATGAGCTGCAGGACGGCCTGTTGCTCCGTAGAGTATGTACACGATGTCGAGCTATACTAAAGTAATACTAACACAGTTAAGAATAGATCGGAAAGAAGAATAAAGAAAGAGGTCGATAAGAATTACCACATGAACCTCTGGATTTTTCCCGGTTCCTGTGGCCATTCAAAACCCTTGTACAGGAAAATGAACCCTGTGGCAGCATTGATGGCCAAGAACCAATATGTCTCCATGAACAGGGAGAGGTTGGTTGCCAGATCGGCATGCAAAGCCTCCTTCTCATCGCGAGGCCGTTGTTGACGGTAGGCAAGAGGAGTGGGTCGTGGGGGAAGATTCAATCTCCATATAACCCAAGGAATAATAAAGTACCGTGGCTCGACAAGCGGTGCAGTTACCAGCGAGAGTGTCGTAGCTGCAATCCAAACAAGAACAAAGGACACTCGTGGCACCCCGTGTTGCTCCTTCTGCCGCTGAACAAGATGCTCTTGAATCCGTGCAAGTACTTCAGGCGAGAATTGCTGCGGAGCGGGTGGTGAGGCCGTGGCTTGTTTGGGCTTTTTCGCCTTTGACTTGCGCTCAGGCTTTTGCTTCTTGCCCGTCTCTTTGAGTTGCCCTTTCTGAGGAGCAGCCGCAGCCGATTCCTGGGGTTTCGAGACCGGAACATACTGGGGTTGTTGCTTGGCAGTCGAGAACCCAAACGCGGAGATGACAGCCCAACCACAGGCAAAATAAGCCAGAACAGCGGCGTACTTGACGGCTGGGTGAGAACGCAGGATGCGGAAGATGTAGAAGATGTAATGCCGGTTGTCTGCAAGGGTGAAGGGATGGACGATGGTGTTGAAGTGGACAGTAGCCAACATGGCTGGAAGAATGGCAAGAGCCGTCAACACTCTCGGAAGGCCCCGTTGCTTTTTGCTAAATCCATAGTCTAGAAACGCAGGTATCACGGATTTCGGGAAGACCAAGTTGAGGACTGGAAACACTAAGATGGGCCATGAAAAGAACATGAAATAGGGCCAGATATAGAGCATCTGCGACAGATGCAGACCCGCTGTATGGAACTCCTTATGTCCTGGCATATAATCAGTTAAGCTCATGAGCGTGGACTGGGTCACTTACCGAGGACGACGCCATTGTTCCAGAGGACAAACCCACCAAATGCAGCGAGAATAGCGATGTACGGGAAAAGAGAAGCAATCACGGTTGGAAGATTCTTCAAAGCCAGACAAGCCAAAGAAATCGCAGTCTTGAAATAATCTTTGATCACCATGAGTAAGTTGGATACAAGCAGAGAAAGGCAGTCACTGACCGGAGAAAGATGCCTCTAACACAGGCGGATCATATATCTCATTACTGAAGCCACCTTGGACAATCCCAGACTTTGAAGGGTCACAGACTTTGGCAGTCTGACGCAATCTTCGGACTACCTGCAATCCTCCAAGGAAGACAGATACCCAAAAGATATTTGTCTGGCGGAGAGCAAGAGCGGCCAGTCCCATCACGACAAAGACCAAAGTCTGGAGAGGCGAAGATCCAGATTTCGCAGAGCGTTTGAGGTCCCACTTGTAGGCTTCAATAACAACCAGGAGGGAGACGACATCGGTGTAGTACAACCCGGAAAAGAAGAACAGTGGTGGAAACAAACAGATGTTAAGCACCGTGTGGCTCAGCCATGCACCCGAGGGACGAGTATTGCGCACCTTGCGCAATGTATCGAGGAGCGTCTGTAGCCGCCAGGGCAGAAAGATTGCTGCAGCTGCAACATTCGTTGCGCGCAAAGCTTCCGCGTTGAGCTCCGTCGGAGATCCACGGAGAGCCAGCACACCAGCGCATAGGACATAAGACCAGATATACAGGCCTGGCGGAGTTGTAATTTTGGGATCCCAATGAAACCACTTATGGTCCCAGTATGCCTGAGCCTGAGGAACATGGAACACTTCGTCGAGGTATGGGTCCGGAACGACGGAATTGACCTTGGCCATCCATAGTGGAATTAGCAATAGCACAAAGGGGACGGCATAGCGAGCGGCACGAGAAATGCCTGATTCAGGCCGTAAGGCGCTCATTGCATCTAGTGCTCATATGAGACCAAGAAATCAAATCAATATTTCAGGTAAAGAAAAGGGAAGAATAATAAGGCCCGGAGATGGAGCTTGAGCTCTGGAGCTCCATCTGTCTCAAATCGTTGCAAACACTTCAAACATCCGGACTTTCAATGATTTCCTAAAACGGACGGTCAAAGAGACAAGAAGTTCAGCAACGATCCCTTGATATCCAGCACCAGTCTCAGGCCAAATGAACTCGATGCAATAGATTGTTGCTCAGGGGATCTGTCAACTCCTTCAACTTATTCGAGCCTCGCACCAGTCTCGAGCGTGACGGTCAATGGCCTTCCCCCTCCCGCGGGGCATTATGCCCCCGGAGATCGCCTTCCTAGCGGAGATGGAGACAGTGACGGTCATGCCCCGTCAGCGCTTGGAAGGCCTCGAACTCCTTGGTGTAAGTCTATTGGATGATCTATTCTCAATACATTTGCCATGAACCTCTATTTTGCTCCGAAAAAGTCGCATATGCGGGTAGTTGCTATATCACACGCGTTTGCGCCACGGGGCTCAATATCCCTGCCGACAGCAAAGGCTATTGCTCTACTCAATTAACCATATACTCTCATATAGGGCCCAGTTGAACCTCTCCTTCCTCCACGCCGCGCCTCACTCCCACTCTGGCTCGCTCTTCTGCTCAAACGCCAACGCCGCGCAAACATCCTTCCACCCGCATGGCTGCACCCCGAAGCCCTATCCTTGATCCTCGAAATTGAAACACAGAATACCGAATTTGAGAATGCTTTTTCTCCGCCTCCCCCGCTACCCGGACAGCCGAGTCTACGAGATCGCAATCGCGGGCAAAGACCAACAGCCAAGGCCCGCCATACACTGGATGGCGAGCGATATTTCCCCTCGCCGCCGTTTCTACCGCAGAATGTCGCACAGGACCACATGCCGGCGGGTGAGCCACCTGCGCTGCCATACCATTGGTTGGAGGTGGGTAATATGCTCCTCGACGCAGCGAGCGATGATCTCGTCGACCCGGATCAAACCCGGCGGCTGCTGAAGGAATTGCGCGAAGTCCGCATGGCAAAGATACGGTCTGGAGTGGATGTCTTAGACGCTGCTGCTACTGGCGGAGGCGGAGTGGCTCTCACTGGTGTCGGTGCAATGGAGACTGGCGAGGCGCGAGGATTCGTAACGGGTGTGGTAGATGAGCTCAGGTATGTCGTCTCTTTATACATTCGCCAGGGCTAGCAGGCATCTAACCCCACACTTAAGGAAAATCGGTGCATCGAAGGAGCAAGCTCGCCGGGAACAGATGGCCGAGGAAATGGCTAATGGCGGATATGATGCCACGCAAGATGACGAAGATGAAATGGAATTCTAAGCATTTCCCGATGACTTTTTTTCTCGGCTTTAGGGAGTTACGGAAGGACACATATGGCGCAGATGAGTGCAATCCCATGGATTTGAAATGTATATATACCCGCTACTTTCCAAGAGAATTGCAAATATCCTGATTCCACCATAACACCATCAGTATGCGACGCTCGATAGCAAACCAAACGAGATGGAGAAAAGAGTGCCTGCATTGAACGTATATGTTCCAGCTTGGCCAATGAAAGATCTTTAAAAGGGACGACATATGTCCCACGCCGCAAAGAGTGAGCAGAAAAGAAAATCCTTATCCATACAAGAAGCGAAAGACGGAAATGAAACCCCTCTAGCTCGAAGCTCCCTTGGCCTGCTGCTGCTTTTGCTCCATCTTCTTCCGAGCCGCCAGAATCATATCATCCCTCCGCTTTTGGAGCATGCGTTGACGCTCCTCTTTGCTCTGCGACCACCCGCTGGGAGGCTTCTGCGATGGGCCCTCGGCCGTACTCTCGGGGACACCGCTAACTTTCGAACTGAGGTTGTAGCGGGAGATGAGATCCTGGCCGTCAGCCTTCGACGAGATCGCGGACACGGACGGCTGTACGGTTGTCGCTGCGGTAGGTGGGATCGCGATCGGAGGCTGGAACGACGGCGGGGGCTGTTCATTCAACGCATCTGTTAGTCTGGCTGTTTTGAGAAGAGCGCCTGACAAGGCTCGCATGGCGCCCCGCCACGCAGGCAGAGCATAGGTGATAGGGACCACCAATACATACCGTATCCAGCCCTCGTCCGCTGAGAATCCGCTCCGTAGTCGCCGCGGCGTTTCCTCTATTCCGTTGCAGATCCCACAGGATCTCACGGGTGCTCAGTTGTGGGAACATCTGGGATATTTGTTCCACCTGGGCTGGGTCAATCACATTCCCGCGTCGGCTGCGGGAGCCGCTGCCATCAGAGCTGCCATCGCGCTTGAGGAACCATCGGATAACGAAGAAGGATACAACTGCTAATGTGAGCAGCGAGGGGATGTTGAGCGAGGGCTCTTCCTCAGGCATTGCGGTCAGATCAGTGGTATGCTGGAGAGATCGGGACCTGCGTATGAGATAAGTTTTCGCGTGTGGCAACTGCACAAATCGGTAAAAAGGAAAATAAAGAATGCTAAGTGACAGTGATATCAGGCAGAGATAAGGTCGGATGTCGAGAGTGGTCGCATGTCCGGAGTTATTATTGATGATCACCCGCGATGTGGCGGTGGAGAGCGAAATGACGGAACTCGGAGATAGTGGAGTTCAGTTGTTCCGTAGAACGAACAAAGGCGAAGACAGGTCAATATAGTTCTGACTTATATTATACTCTCGCAGGAGCAGTGGTATAAAGATACACAGGTGAGCAGTTTACCTCCAAGACCTATCGAGAGAAGCAGTGCTCTCTTAATGCCTAGACGCTCAGCCCAAGATAGTACTACTATGAGCAATATATATAATGAATAGGTCGATGAAAGACCTCAACGCTAGCCGCAGCCCAAGAAAAAGGTATTCATTATGCATGTATCATTATCGAATAGAGGGAGAAGAAAAAAAAGAAACAGAGTTACCCAAGATCCATGTATATCATCCTAGAAACACCACCCCCCCGAGAGTCCAGCAAAGAGTAGTCAAGGGAAACGATATCCGACCCCCCCAAAAAAATGACGCACAAACGACCATATGCCTGAACAGCAAAAGTCGCAAGAATATTGACAGAAGAATATGGTAAGTCAGCGAGATCACTATTTCATATCGGCTGGCGTCAGCGCCTGCACCACACTGGTTCCCTCGCTGAACCTTGTCCGGAAGATGCGGTTAGCGTTCTGGAACATGCCGTCCTTCAGAGAGACGACAATGAACTGGGAGCCCTTGAAGCGAGTCTTGATCAATCGACCAATGTTCTGCGTGTGAGACAAATCCAGCGCAGCGTCAACTTCGTCGAGAATGTACATCGGCGCGGGCTTAAACTGCAGGAGCGCCATGATCAAGGACAGAGCAATAAGGGATCTAGACAGGAATCAGAATATCAGTTTTGAACTTCTCAATGCTAAATCCTTTCGAAGGGCGTCGAGCTTACCGTTGGCCACCACTCAGTTCCGTCAAACTCTGCTTCCACACCTTACCCAAAGACACCTTGACTTCGAGGCCATCGGTGATGTCCTTGCCTTCGGGGGGGTCGAGTTTAGCAAAACTGCCTGGCAGAAGCTCCGCAAAGATCTGACCAAAGTCACCATTGACTTTGGTCCACGTCTTGTGAAGAGCCTCCTTCTTGTACTCATTTAGATTGAGGATGGTTTCCTCAATCTTGCTCTTATCTCTGATGACCGTTTTCATCATGTTCTTGAGAGCAGCCTCCTTCTTCTCCACGCTGTCGATCATGTTCATCACCTTGGGGTTGATCTTTTTCTTCATCCCTTGGAATCTTTCAGTGACATTGCGCAGGGTAGCCCTGCACTCAGCAATATTTTGGCTCTTGAAGTCGTATGGGGTGTTAGAGCGCCCAAAATTGTCCTTTTCATCCGCAATCCACTCATGCTCTTCCTCCATGTGGGCAACAGCCTGGGCCGCTGCCTGTTGTTCTTTCTGCAGCTTTTCGAGCTGGTGGCCAAGCTTCTGCATTTCAAGGCCCTCTTCAGTGATCCGCGAGTTCTTCGAATGCATCGCCTCCTCAAGCTCTCGCAGTTCCTCATCAAAACCGGTCAGCTTGGCTCTTTCATCCTCAAGCTGCGCTTGAGCAATATCATGGGCATCCTAGTACAGCAATGTTAGAACGTGCTGCAAATGCTTGGCGAGTAGCTTGGCTCATACCTTAATTCGAGCTTGTTCTCGTTTCATTGATTGAATCTCCTCCATCTGGGCTTTCAGCGTATTTTCAGCGTCGGCATACTGCTCTTCTGCCGCCGATAGATCACTGCCAACCTGCTCGGATTCAAGTCGCGAATTCTGAAGTTCTTTCTGCAGTGCCTTAACCGAATTTGAGTTCTTAGCGAGGCTCTTCTTGAGAGAATCAAGCGAGGCTTGCAGTTCGGCCAGCTTGCTATCTTTGTTGTTGTTGAATTCGCTCATGTCTTTCTCAATTCGCTTTATATCCTTGGTAGCCTCGCTCTGACGCGTCTTTGCGTCTGAGATATCCTTCTTCAGCTGTTCGATATTCGTCTTCATCTCCTCAACAGCATGAATAATCTAGAGACAGTTAGCATGTCGCCGAAAGCTACAATTTCTAGGCATCAGCCTACCGAGGAAGAGGAGTTATTGCTGATTTGTTCCTCAGTGAGCTTAATCTCGTGTGTTTTGAGGTCCAACTCCTGTTTGATAGCACGGACGGCATCGAGCTTCTTCTTTTCCTTTCTCATTGTGTCCTCTAGGGACGCCAGGAGACGTTCCTTACTCCTCATTTCCCTCGTTATCTCATTGAGCTTCTGGAGGGTGACAAGAACACCACTGGAATTGGGTGAGCTACCACCAGACAGGGTTCCTGACGGGTCATAGACATCGCCCTCAAGCGTAACACTCTTGATCCGGACAGCAGGATCGAATGTAACTCTCTTAGCAGTATCCGCATCCTGACATATCAAGGTATTACCAAAGACATAATTCATTGCCGCCGTGACTTCCTCGTCATAGCCGATCAATGACAAAGCGAGATCCACCTTGCCTGGTGCGATATTTTGCGCTGCCCCAATCTTGTCTGCGGATGCTCTGAAAGCAGAGATCTTGTTCAAGGGGATAATGGTGACACGCTTGCGGAGTTTTCCTTTCTGCAGGAGTTGTGAACCAGTGTCTGCCGTGTCGACAACAACGTTGTATAGGCGGCCGCCAGCACAGATCTCCAAGGCTGTAGAAGCCTGGATCTTGTCTTTGTCCAGGGTGAAGAGCTGAGCTACCAGACCCTTGACCTTAGATCGATCGAAATTAGGGTGGGGGTCCGTGTAATTGAAATCAATGTTTGCCACTTTTCTCTTGAGCCCATCGGCTCTCTCGCGCAGGTCGCGAATGTCTCTTTGCAGTTCTGTCTGCTCTTTATAGATCTGCTCTTCTCTCCCTGGTTCGAACCCGAGTCGAGTGAGTTCGGTCTCAAGCTTCTTGGCTTGGGACTTCAAGCCTTCGAGCTCTTCTAAAAGACCCGAATTCTGTTGCTTAGCCTTTTTAGCCCGTGGTTCTTCCTCCTTAATTCTCTTCTCAAAATGGGCAATCTTGAGTTTGGCCTGCTCTTGTTCGGTGGCCGCCGCACTTGCACGATTACGTGCATCCTGTAGCTGTCCCTGATACCCGCTCTCTTGACCTTCCTTGGATGCGACACCGGTCTGTAATGTTTGCAGCAATTCCTCCTTCTGTTCCACTTCGGCCGTCTGGGCATCGAATTCGGCCTTTGCAGTATCGTATTGTGCTTGCAACTTGTCGTAAATCTTCTTCTTCTCCTTGAGGACTTTCTCAAGGTCGCTCACAGTCTTTTGAACTGTTTTCCGCTTCTCTTTCTCTTCAGCGGTACTTGCGATCTTCAGGTCTACCTGCGTGGCCAATCGGACGAGTTCGTGCGAATGCGACTTCACCTCATCCTCAAGAGCCTGGAATTTGCCGCCCTTCCGTAATTCTTTGTCCCGAGCCGCCCTTACCCGCTTCACATCCTCTTCCAAATGTACTATCTCGCTCTTGAGTTTGGCGGCATTATCTTCCAGCGCTTGGACTTTGCGTCGTTTGTTCTCGCATTCCTCGCCAGCCACCCGCAGCCGCTCGCCGCTTCGGAGATAGTCATGAGCAACGACCAACCGAGTCAAGCGCTCCAGGTCGTTCTGGGTCTGCTGGAAATCGAGAAAGGCTCGCTTCTCGGCTCTGAGCTTCTCCAACTTCGGCTCGATCTCCTCCTTCAGCAGGCCTTCGATCTCCCGTAGCTTCAACTCCTTCTTAGACATTGTCTTAACTGCCTTCTCCCTTCGATCCTCGAACATGCGCGTACCGGCCGCTTCCTCGATCATGGACAGAATTTCCACGGCCTTCATATTCAGAACCTTCGTAATCCGCCCCTGCATGATCAAGAAGTTTGGGTTGTTGATATTCAGCTGGACACTTTGGAAGAGATTCTGTACCGTTTGTTGTTGCGCACGATGCCCGTTGATCAGATATTTGCTTGTGCCGCCCAGAACAATCTGGCGCGTAACGGAGATCGTCGCATACTCTTCGAAACCGATTGGCGATTTGGAGGTATCCCGGTTGTCGAAGACGATAGTCACACTGGCCTTGGTGACACCGGCTTGGCCGCGCTTGTAGATAAGATCCTGCAGGTTCTGCGCACGAACGGTGGACATGTTGGTAATGCCGAGAACAAAACAGATAGCATCGAGAATGTTCGATTTACCACTGCCGTTCAGGCCAGTGATGGAGTTGAAGGATTCGTCCCTGCGCGCAACGGTCAGTCTTTGTGTTCGCACTTGCCAAGAGGAAAGCACAGTATTCTCTCCACAGCAGTAGAGAGTCTCCCGGTTTTGCAAGGCTGGGTTAGAAAGAAGGCGCATACCATCCTGAGATAACAGTACGCACAGCGTACGATTTGAAGCCCTGCGGTTGTCAGCTTGGAATGACTGCGGTTTCATTTTGCAAGAACTCACGTCGATAACAATCTCTGTAACCCTCATGATTGCGGCTTCAATGCAACCCCAATCTTCTAGATCCTCTAGCTCCTGAAGCGCATGGGATGTCGATGGCGATGGAAAGTACTCGTTGGAGTGGTTGTTGTTGAATTGGGCAAATTGTCTTTGTCAAAGCCGATGGACTGTTTTGGCGGGCGCTGTGTTTGCTGCATGTGTTTACGGTTTGCTACTTCCGGTTTAGCGCAGGATATCCGATAACATAAGCGGTGGAGGGGCTGGTAGGTCACATGATTCTATATCAATCTATCTCCGACCACTGTACAGACTACAGTGGCATATCCTGGGGTCTTGAGCCATCCACAAGAGGCATTGCAGTTCCAGGCTGAAATCTGACGGGATACTTAGATGTTGGGTCTTGGATGCGAGAATTTGGGCAATCTACTACCGAGGATGTCACCTCGATCTGGGTTAGCGTTGGAGGCTTTCAGTAACTATATCTTTCTCTGCCAATGCTTCTGCCATAGCCTCTATAAAAAACCTCTAATATTTCTTACTGCAATTGAAAAAGTTTCGTTCGATAAGCAAGCTCCACAGGATGATCAGAAGCGTGGAATGATGGCGATGGCTTTTACTCTCAGTAAGAACAATATCATCAATCATCAAACACGAATATGCAATACCATCAGGGATGGAGCATCACAGTATGAAAAGACAACAGAAATATTTCGTTTTCGCCTCATTGACGTATGCTAAACAGACACAACTAACAGCTGCTGCATTGTACATGACATATGACCCCTCGATCTCCCTATGCTTCCTCTAGAGTGCTCGCGGAGACATTTCGGATACTTTTGAACCTTGGTATCTGTTCTAGTTGCACAAGAAGATGAGGCCACAAACAGATACTGGGGAGTGGGACGAGGTATAAAAACCCCCAGGGTGACCGGAGAGGATGCTCTTTTTCTTTGTCAAGCACACTTATCTCTAATAATACACTTTTTTTTTTTTTTTTTTTTTTTAATTGTCATACGTCCCCATTTCTATCAGCAGCCATGACCAAAATCGACTACCTTCAGGAGATGTTCCAGAGAAAGGACTTTGTTGATCGCTATAAGTATAGCGAGAGACTGACTGGAATGTATGCGCAAACCCTGGTCGACTTCTCCAGCGTAGCTCAGCCCGGACAGAAACCATTGGTGGTCCTGGATAACGCTTGCGGGCTGGGAGCTGTCTCGAGTGCACTGCAGCACACGTTGGACGACGAGGCAAAGAGAAATTGCCACTTGACCTGCGGGGATCTGTCCGATGGCATGCTGGAATATGCTAAATTGAGGGCCCAGGAGGAAGGGTGGTCCAATGCTGACATAAAGCTGGTGGATGCGCAGCAGACGGGTCTTCCAGACGCGCATTATACGCATGTTTTTGTCTCATTTGGTATGTAATGCCCGTCATGGCCTGCGAGGAGTATGAAAGCTGCTTGAGGCATGCAATGAAGGATCGCTGACAAACCATGCTCACGGTAGGCTTCCAGAGCTTCCCAGACCCCGAACCCGCTTTGAAAGGTAACAAATACATGCCTTCATTAAATGCAATTGGAACTTGCTAACAAGCTGTGGCTAGAATGCTTCAGGGTGCTTCAACCAGGAGGTATCCTTGCCAGTTCCACATGGCAACAGTGTGAGTAGTAGATCATATACCTTGCTTTCTGGCACCGAAATGCTCTAACGGAGATTCAGTCAATTGGATCACCGTCCTAAAGTCCGCCATCGACACAATGCCAGGAGACCTCCCGTTCCCAACATCGGCGGAATTTCTTGCATATCACAATATCGGCTGGGATTCGGAGTCAAATGTCCAATACTTGTTTGCGGAAGCGGGGTTTCAAGACGTTAAAGTCGCAGCTGTGCCAAAGCAGCAGTTGTTCCCTATTGGCGACTTTGTCGAGGTCTGCAAGATGATTCTGCCATTTGTGCTAAGTAAGGTCTGGACTAAGGAGCAGCGAGAGTTATATGAGAAGGATGTCCCGGCGGTGTTGCTTCGGTATCTGGAAGAGACCTATGGGAAGGATGGGCAGGTGTCTCTGGAGGCAGTAGCACTCATCACGACAGGCTGCAAGCCTTGATACAGTCGATGGGGAGCACTGCACTGCTGCAGATTCCCCCATGCCAATGATATCTGTAAATTACACCACCTAAATTTCGAAGCCAGTTTGAGGCTCTTTTCATGGTCGAAGACATTGATTCATATTTTCATGTGTCTACACTGACAAGGTACCATGAAAGGAGATCCATGAGCTCATTAGATACTCAAACATCCCAAGTTCCCATAGAAGTCCAAAAGTTCGGAGAACACCTGACTGCTCGGGGGTAAGACACCAGCAGCAACACCTGAAATTTGGTAGTCAACCCAACGCCGTTGCTGATCCATTAACCTGTAGTTCTACTAGACATCATGAAGCATGAGGGGGAAAACCCAGAGGCCGTGTAAGACCCCGATTGGGATCTAATCTGTTGTCTAAGTCCTCGTAGCGAAGGATGAACTCGCGCTATCAAGAATACATGGTTAGCAGGCCAGCCAGCCAGACAGAAGGCATTGCTCCCAAGGAAAAAATACGTACCCGAATCTTCTTCCAAGTGGTGGGGTCCCAAATCAAATAAACGCCTCGTTCGCTGACACCCCGTTCGACATCGACAGGACCGGGATATGTCTCATCTCGGGTAAGCCAGCATCTTTCGATCTTGTGATATCTCCACTTGCGACCCATCAATTCTTCGGCAGCCAGTTCCTGCATGATATCGCGAGGCATGCTGTAGAAAATATAAAACAATGTCTCGTCACTAAAGCTTGGTATGCGGGATTGTAGAGGCTGAATGTTGGCAACGCTGTAACACGCAGGAAGAGAAAAGTTCTGTTCCATAGGAACGGCTGACATCGATGCAACAAAAGGGGAAGCAAAAGTGGTATGTAAAGGCCTAAGGACGATAGTTGTTAGAAATGCGATGAGCACAAAGAAGGGCAATCGAATAAGAACATACTCGGGTTGATTGAGGTCCAAACCAAGAGTCATCAGATCTTGCCCTACTGCAAGGCTCGCGACATCAGGGCTGTCACTGTGGATCATTCGCAGCAAGCCCGCCAGTCCAAACCTGTCAAGTTCACTCATCTGAGCCAAGGGTGGCTGTTCGGTGCTTTGCACAGCTCCTGCAGCGTCTTGGGCTTCACCGGATGAAGCTGTTTGTTGTTGTACCTGCTGTTCTGTGAGATTACGCTGATTCGCCATTGTCGTACTGTTCAAGTCCTATAGATTATAATTTAGCATTACAATGGGATTAATTGAAGGCTGGCGAGCACACCCACCTCTTTTTCTTGCACAGAAACCCCATTTAGTGCTTGGCTGACGGGCGAGCGCGAGGTGCCGATCGCTAAAAGAGCATGATCAACACCTGTTCACTAGAGTGATGGTAGATGGGGGCATACCTGCCGAGCTAGCAGCTGCAGGCGACATCATTCTAGCAGTGTCTTGCCCGTTGATCGATGCTGCAATCACATTGCGGTTTTGAGCAGACTGGTTCTGGCTGGCGCCTGAGAATGGCATTGCGCCGCTGTAATTGCCAAGCCCAGCATTCTGGATCACCGATCCTCCGCGATCTTGGCCGATTTCTGAGGGCACGTTCCGTCCAAGCGGAGGGAATTCTTCGATATTGCCTGTCTGTGGTTGTCCGGTTCCCCCTAACTGCCCACTAATGCCCAGCCCTCCATTTCTAAAATCGTCCAGGCGGTTGGCGAATTGGGCGCCGGAGGGAAAGACGTCGTCGTGAGGAGGTTGAGGTTGTGACTGTTGTTGTTGTGGCTGTTGTTGTTGTTGTTGTTGTTGCGGATGATGAGATTGTGTTTGAGGCGCTCGCGAAGGTGCTTGCGTTGTGGGGAGCTGCTGTCTTTGGGCGGGAGTTTGCTGCATCGCACGCTGACCCCACACTAATCCAGGATTTGGAGTTTGGGATTGCTGGGGAGCCCCCGATAATGATGGAAAATCCCTGAGAGCAGAGGCGTAAGTTCTGGGTGCCCAGAGTAGGGACATTCATGCCGGTACGCCTGTGGCACTGTGAACCCAGCGCGACAGAGAGTGTACACTTACGAAAGATCAAGAGGCGTAGCAGGCTGCGATCCTCCGCCGAGACTTTGTGCAAATGTTCCCAAGGCTCCAACGTTGCGCTGTTGATTTCCCTGTATTCCTGGGGTGCCGCTCACAGGTAGGTTGAAGTTCCAGTTTGCACCGCTCCCTGTAGATCCGTTTCATTAGCTCCCGATGCTACCGTGGCGTGTCAGACAATCTTGAACAGGGCATTCGCACCGAGCTTTCCGTTTGGCAACCGCGCCGAGACCAATGTCGCATTTCGTGCTTGTGCTTGTTGTTGTGCGGGGAACCCAGACATGCCTCTCAACGGCTGTGGACCTGGTCCTAAAGAGTAAGAAAAGATGGTCAGCCATGAAAGGATACAGTGCCAGATTATTATTGAGTAGACGGCGACTGCTTCAATCCACACTGCAAGCGTTTGTCCTTCCATCGCAAGGGGAGTCCTCGACATGGGGACGATCTCTGGTGCCCGTCTGGTGTTGAAAAGATGGACATTGGATCATGAAAAAGGTGGTGAGCTCCCCCCCTCCCACCAGAGACCAGAGTGTGATATCGTTCAGGCAGAATGCTGTACATAGAGGGGGTACCGATCAAAGAAACCAATTTGTGTTGCTGCAGCGGAACAAACCACGAATAGCAGAAACTCCAGAGAGAGAAAGACAGAGATCACGAACCTGGTCTATTCATAATAAATTCTGGGCCTCACAGGGGAGTAGGGTGTAGTATTAGGAATAGAGAAAAAGGATAGGAAAGGGAACAAGAACTTTCAGAAAGAAATAGGAAATCAGAAGGGACAGGACTATGAGTTCACACTTCACAGAGTCTCTGTCCTTATGCGGCGATTACTTTGCTGTTACTGGAAGGTGGAGAGGCTGTAATCGCGCGCTTATGTCTCAGGAGAGCACGGGCCAGGAATAATTAACCGCCGAGTTGTATAGCTAATGTACTCTTCAATAATACATTCACTCACCCATTCTCATGCCTGGTTTCTCTTTATGTTTTTACTTCACTTATTAGGGGAAGAATACACTCTAAAACATAATCCTAGAATTTGGGCTTTCTACGGAGTCCGAGTCTTTCGGCCTTCCAGTCATACAAGAAACATTGTTGATGATCCACAGTCAACCTAGTCCAGGAGAGCAATGATTCGAATTTGCCAAAAACATGCGGTAAATCCAGTAAAAAAACTACTGATGTTAAAGCGGATCTGGTTATCGAATGCCTCTTTCTAGATTATACGCGCAGTAGTAGTCTTTTTGAGTAGGGCTGTATGTAGCACGACGAAGGAATGGCGGCTCTCACGTGATCCTGCTCCGGAAGGTCCACCCAGTTGCTTTTGACCTTGGAGCCGCGACAATGGTCATCTTGCGAGTCTCCTGCCGCAGGACTGACTGCTGACCAACGTTGCTCACGATGCATCGTCAATCGATCGTACGGCTCACTCGCCAGTGTGGGGGACTTCCGCTGGTCGAATTGCCTCCTCCCTATCTCGCTCCCTCGCTCCATTTCTCCCTGATCCGGTCGCCCGTTCAGTGCTCGAGTTTTTCTTCGACCGCCGTCGCCGCTGGCCGTGAACGTGATTTGAGCAAGTCTCGCGGTGTTTCTGCTATTCACCGCACTGGTCCCAAGTTCAGATTGGGGGTGTCCAAATACCCATTGCCAAAGCCTGTCTCGCCTGACGCACTCGAGAAGCGTTACCCGACTCCGGATCATGGACTCTGGGGTTTCTTCCCCAAGGATAAATCGGCATTGAGCACGCCCGAGTACGATGTCGCTCATGGTCAGTTCTTGAGCTTTCTAAGAAAAACGCTGCCTTCTTGTCGATCCAAATGTGCTAATGGTGACTTAATCAGGCCGCTCCTGGTCCATCCAAGAACTCCGCGAGAAGTCTTGGGATGACCTTCATTCCTTGTGGTGGGTTTGCGTCAAGGAGCGTAATCGCATAGCTACCTCCAACTTGGAGAGACAGCGTTTGAAGGCGGGTTATGGAGAGTGGGAGGCCAACGATCGAGACAAAGTGGTGAGTTCATCCATTTTCAGCCCAAACGCTTTTATATTCGCTTCAATCACGAGTCCGGATGTTGTTACTGCTCGGTCATCCAAGATAATGGATGCCGACTCCGGTTCTCTACTTTTTGGGGGTTCTAGTTTACCATTTTGAACCACTCTCTAATATTTTTTCCCTTGATAGATTCGCGTCACGCAGAAGAGCATCAAGCACGTTCTCCGGGAGAGATGGTACGCCTGGGAAGATGCTCAGCGACTTTATAAGAATGGCTACCGCCCGCAAGACGAGGACAACCAGGAATAGATATGATAGCGACTGAGCGGCCTGTCGAAGAGGCATCCCATGCTGTACGTTTCTAACTCACGGGACGATATCCACTTATATGTACTATATTGTACCATTTCATCATAATTCGGTTCTTGTGTTTTCCTTCTAGGTCAAAAAAGGGATCTCTACAATACAGGCGTCTCCAAGCTTATCTGGATTACAGAACTGGTTTGGTCCCCAAGCCTATCCATGTCAATCTCCGTAGTCTCAATAGTCTCACTCGGAAGGCGTCCATATCGGGTGAAATATGGTTATTTTTAAGCTATCATCACTCTAGATTCACGCGTCCAGGAAAAGGGGGAGGAGAGGAGGACACTCAGGGGATCTATCTCTCACGAAATTATGATTATGATTATCCAATAAATCCAATAGTCGCATGTCTCAGTCTTCGAGCTCATTAATCTAGCGGCATATTTATTACTTCTAGTGGGCCCAGAGGAGCTTCTGATCCTCAGGTTGATGATCCCTGGGGGCTTTCCCGGCAGACCACCCAACTCCAAGTAAAGTACTTCTTCTATCTAGTTAGTCCCCGGGACTACTTCGACCACCACCATCAACTAACTCACCGCAACCTTCAGTCTCTCCGCAGCTTTCCCTCTTTCACCTATACTTTTGTCCATCTCACGCGACTTTAATCTATATTTTTCTATCGCTCTGTCAGTTCCAGCTTTGTTCACAACCATCCATCATGGAAGAGATTGCTCCTGAGTATGATGTTGTGGTGCTCGGCACTGGTATGTACTACCCCGCCGTTCGACACCTGCAATGCTAACGCCCCTCACAGGACTGACAGAATGTGTGCTTTCGGGGTATGCAACCCTCTAAACGATTAATTCCCCGATCTCAAGCAGAAGTTGACGGAATATGTGTCTAGTGTTCTTAGCGTCAAGGGTAACAAGGTGCTTCACATCGATCGCAATGATCACTACGGAGGGTAAGAGCTGGGGAAGCTTCTCGATCTACCACATCGCAACTCGCTGACATCCTTTTCAGAGAGGCTGCTTCCGTGAATATTGAAACTGTTAGTCTGATTTCCTCTAATCTTTTGTTGCCGTCCTGCTAATCGCTTGTCAAATACAGCTATTCAAGAAGTACGGCAACGTGCGTCCCGGCGAGGAACCCTGGAAGAAGTATGGACGGGTCAATGACTGGAACATCGACCTGGTTCCCAAGCTACTGATGGCGAACGGCGAACTTACGAATATCCTGGTTTCTACCGACGTTACGAGATACCTTGAGTTTAAGCAGATTGCTGGCAGCTATGTCCAGCAAGGAAAGGGGCCCAAAGCAACTGTAGCAAAGGTGCCTTCAGATGCTGGTGAAGCTTTGCGTTCATCCCTCATGGGCATGTTCGAGAAGAGAAGAGCCAAGAAGTTCTTGGAGTGGGTTGGCGAGTTCAAGGAGGATGATCCTTCCACTCACCAAGGTTTGTCCGTCAGGCGGTAGATCATTATTTCAACAGCTGATACCGAGAGCGCAGGTCTGAACATCGCTCAATGCACAATGAAGGATGTTTACGATAAGTTTGGACTCGAGGACAACACGCGTGACTTTGTCGGCCACTCCATGGCTCTCTACCCATCCGATGGGTATATCACCACAGTCGGAATGGCCACCGAGACCATCCATCGTATCAGACTATACGTCAACTCGATGGCCAGATACGGAAAGTCGCCATATATCTACCCTCTGTACGGCTTGGGCGAGCTTCCTCAGGGCTTTGCCCGATTGTCTGCCATTTACGGCGGTACCTACATGCTCAACACCAGCGTTGATGAGGTCCTCTATGACGAGAACGGCAAGGTTTCTGGCATCAAGGCCACAATGAAGGATAGGGATGACAACAGCGAGGCCATGAAGTTTGAAACCAAGACAAAGAAGATTCTGGCGGACCCCTCATACTTCCCTGGCAAGGTCCGGGTGACTGGCTACTTGCTGAAGGCCATCTGCATCCTGAAGCACCCCATCGACAAGACTGATGGCAGTGACTCGCTGCAGCTGATTATCCCCCAGTCGCAGGTCGGAAGAAAGCACGGTAAGTCCCAACTGGTAGGACAATGCGCAAGTGACGTTGTTGACAAGGGTTAGATATTTACATCGCAATGGTGTCGTCCGCCCACAACGTTTGCCCCAAGGGCTACTACATTGCCATCGTGTCCACGATCGCTGAGAGCGATGCGAACAACCATCTGGAATTGGAACCTGGATTTGAGCGTCTGGGTCAGATCGAAGAGAAGTTCTTTGGTGCTCCCATCCCTCTCTACGAGCCCATCGAGAACGGCGAGAAGGACAACATCTTCATCTCCAAGAGCTACGATGCCACCTCGCACTTTGAGACCACAACAGGTAAGCTATCACCAGAGAATGCATAGACACGAATAGCCAGTGGCAGTAACTAATATTGGACATAGATGACGTGCGGGATCTCTACAAGCGGGCTACAGGCGAAGAGCTGGTCGTTGAGGGTCTCCGGGAGGACCAGAGATTGGCGGAGGACTAAGTATGCAAACTGCCGGCGTGCGAAAGGGTTGTTGATAATCTATTGTCTGTTTGGATGTTACTGAATTGAGCCGTAATATCATTTTGGATTCATCCTTGTCTACTATCGTCGTACGTCATGAACCACACCATCCTAGGGCCCATACACCCGCTTCGTTGGCTACTTAATTTCAGTCTTTGATGTTTGGTGTTATGCGCAAGGACAAACAACGCTTTGCTCGCCTCCGTGATATGACCAGGTCCCACTACTGTGAATATGATCTTGCATTAATTAGGGATAAGATCTTGAGATACAAAACATGAGCCATTGATCATGATTATATATGCACATTCTAGTTGCTGCGCCGGATACCTATCTATATCTCTATTACACTAGAGTTTTTCATCTGAGGGAAACGGCTATTGCGAAGTATCTATGCGATTCAACAACAACAGGACAACCCCAAAGTACGAAACAGCATCACATCTTCCCATTCACCTCCGGATCTGTATTCGCCTTCTCATGCTCACCCACCACACATAGATCTCCATTATCCGCCCTTAAGATCTCCGCCCTCAGAAGCGCCAGTCGCCGACCCGTATGGATGACTTGGCAGACCAGACGGACCTCAGTGCCCACCGGCACAGGACGCAGATACGTAATCTTGAGGTTGCGACTCACGCCGCCCAGCGAGAAGAACCCCGGCTTGGAGACCCCCAGAAGGATGGTGGAGGAGAGAAAATCGATGATCGTGGCCGCGCACCCGCCATGCAGGTTCCCCATGAAGTTACAGAGTTTGGGGGCTATTTGGAAGAGAAAAGACACCTGTGCGGGAGGTCCTCGTGCCGCGGACTCGAAGCGTAGATTGCAGGCGCGGGGATCGAAGTCCCAATGCTGGAGGGGAATCGTTAGTCTCTTTCTCTAGGGAGGAGAATAATGTCAAACGATGATGTACGCCATACCTCTTGATCATGCTCGCTCATCCGTGCCGTGTACTCGAACACGAGGCTTTCGAATTCGTCCATGGTTCTGGATGGGGGCTGGACTGATCGAGACATCGTTGGAGTTACCGATATGAGGTCGTTCAAAAGGGGTAAGGGAAGTGAAGTATATGCGAGAGGAGATAGAAAGAAGAACCCCGTATGCCAATTGCTCAATATGATGGATTGCTCATCTACCAAGCGAAGGCTGGTTGTTATAGTTATTGATGAGGGGACTTGTATCGACTTATAACCGAGGTTGGCGGTTTTTGCCAAGGTGTTTAAGTGACTGGAGTAGTAGTCGGAGCGTGTCTATGCTCTATTATTGTAAAAGGTAGTAGAGCATGCTGGACGGGTATTCTTGCAGCGTCTCTGTTGTTCTCGTATGCCTCCCATGACATCTTTGGACGACGTTTTCCCAATATGCCATTCAATGATTCCAAGAGATCTTGATCACTACACTTACTGTATGTAAGCTTCCTTCTATAAATTCGGATACTCACGAGCTGTTCAACTAAATGCGATGATAGAGATTAGTCAAAGCATCTAGAACAATATTGATGTTATATGATACAATATCATCGAGTCAACTGGATATCCGCATAATACTGGCAGTAGATGTCTTGAGATTCACCTGACCTCGCGTCACGCGTTTTGTCCAAACCACGAACTTATCCACCTCCGAAATATCGAGAGCGACAAAAAGAGAGCCAACGAAGCATTCAATTGTTGGCATAACTACTTTTACGTGTATGTGCACCTCCAAATTTCTTTCATTTACGATTCAATAGATGTGGATTCATTCGTCTTATGCTATTACTTACAATTGCGATGGCTCTAGGTCGCTCCGGTCGCATTCAGTCACCAAGCCTTGTTCTTGTCCGCCTTTTACCCTCAAATCTTAGGTTGTTTTTGGTGTATTGTTGAGCTAGCCCTTCGACCTACCATCAACTGCCGACGATGCCTTTATAGCACTTTTCTGGATGCGACTCAACGGCACTTGATTCAAGCCAAGCCAATGTCCAGGGATTTTTGGGCGCACATTCCTCCACCTACTGAACGACAAACTCGGAGACACCTATCAACATATTATCAACTCACAAAATGACGAACCCACGAGCGACAAAAAGGAGGAGACTGTCCGATATCCAGTCTGCTGATGAAGATGGGGATATTCAGATGCAAGACGGTAGCCACGATGTTCAATCAGCTGCGGCGATAAACCAAGGGGGATCACCGGTTGTGTCCAAGACGTCTCAGCAGCAGCAGGCTCCAAGGGCACATCTAGATAATGCGCAAGATACAACAATGATCGAAAAAGACAACAGTAAGGCTGGTGGCTCAGGAACTCCTTCACGCACCGGACTACGATCAAGTGGACGCCAACGGAAGCCGCCTCAGAGATATGAGGACGAAGTCCTGAAAACACCATCGTCGATCAAACGGTCTCCTTCTTCCGCCGGAGCCAATGCGCGCACACCGCGAAACATAAGGAAAACCAAGCCGATGCCTGGCACCGAAGAAATAGAGGAGACACCCCCACCGCCTCAGAGAGAAACAGTGACTAGAACAAGATCCAAAAGAGTTTCGGTCAGATACGCTTCCACGAAGCCCCAAGATGAAGATCGATCTGTGACGCAAGATCAGTCGCGACAGTCGTCATCTGCAGAGGAATATCAAGACGGGTTGGACGACTTGGTCACAATGCAAATGCAGCAAGATCTCACCCAGCACGATGCTATTGAGAAGGAGGACGCCATGGTGACATCGGACCCAATGCCGCAATATGCAGAGAGTCTCCAGAGTCTTGTTCAAACAAGCCTCCGGAAGGAACTACAGCTTCTGGCGAAGATTGTTCTTGAGAAGCTCAATGGCAAGAGACTCGTCCCTCTGAAGGGATTGGAGAGCGAGTACCTCAAAGTCCGTCAGCTTGTTGAGCAAACAGTCACAGCCGGAGAAGGCAATTCGATGCTGCTTCTCGGGTCGCGCGGTTGTGGAAAGACGGCCATTGTGGAGACGATAATCTCATCGATGAGGAGAGAGCACAAGAATGATTTCCATATCATCCGCCTCAACGGCTTCTTGCACACAGATGATCGACTTGCCCTCCGGGAAATGTGGCGCCAACTGGGCCGTGAGACAAATACTGAGGAAGAGGCAGGTAAAGTGAGTAGCTACGCCGATACGATGGCAACTCTCCTGGCACTTCTGTCACATCCGGAGGAGCTGTTTGGTCCTTCCGGCAACCCGGAAGCTGTCACCGCGGCGAAGTCTATCATTATCATCCTAGACGAGTTTGATCAGTTCGTAACGCATCCCCGACAAACGTTGCTTTACAATTTGTTCGACATTGCGCAGGCTCGCAAAGCGCCGATTGCTGTCATCGGGCTCACCACAAAGGTGGATGTGACCGAAATGTTGGAGAAGCGTGTCAAGAGTCGATTCAGTCATCGATACGTCTATGTTCCTCTTCCACGGAGTTTTGAGACCTTTTCAGAAATCTGTTTTGCTGGATTGGATCTAGAGGACAGCGAAAATTCAGGTTTACTTGATGCTGATGCTGCGGTGCACTCAATCATCGAGTCCGCAGGGTGGAACAAGCTCTTGAGGGGCTGGAGGTCATATTTACAGGTACCATCATCTCATGGATTTCCTCATGTTTGAAGGGGGATACTAATTTCTTATAGGGACTCTGGAGCGATGAGGCGTTCAGTCACCATCTGCAGAGGATCTACCACCAGACGAAATCCGTGAAAGAGTTCTTCACAAGCGCATTGCTGCCGATGACTGAGCTATACCATAGCACTCATGACTCGTCATTGCATATCCCGACGCCCAAGGCATTCAGCAGTCAGGCATTGTCGTGTCCCGACCCAGCTCCCCTGCCGTTCTCCACCTCGACAACCGTAAGCGCAAGCCCATCATCGCTTCCGCTGTCCCTCTTGCTGGCTGCCACCCGCTTGACAGCTCTGTACGACCCAGGCCTCGAGGCCGGCCAACCTCAAAATCTAACCCCACTTGCTCTATCTTTTCCCGCAGCGTATGCGGAATATGTCCGCTTGCTGACATCGGCGAAAACATCAGCATCTGTCTCCGGGGCGGCGGTGACACCTGGCCGTGTCTGGGGCCGGGACGTGGCTCGAGAAGCGTGGGAAAAGCTAGTCAGCTGGGGGCTGATCAACCCTGTCGGCGGGGGAAGCGGAACTGCAGATGGACGGATGTTCCGGGTTGAAGTCAGCTTCGAGGAGGTAGTCGCCATGGCGGGATCTGGTGGCTCATTAGGGAAATGGTGGCGCGAGTGATACGCTGTGGAACCATCAAACCCTGCGATTGCCTCGTGTGGTGTCAGCATGGGCGATAAGCCCAGTATCACACAACGCTATGATGCGGGGGCCTCGATCACCCAAGTATCATTCATTGGTTATTCTTGTCTCATGGAGCAGTGACCATCTCACCATCGACAGCAGCCGGGTTTTCTGCACGGGGTACGCCGTTGTCAACATCCGGGAAATCCCCCTTTCTGAGATCCGGAGACATAATTATCTAGCTGAGCACCTGAATCACCTCCATTGTATTGTCAGCATCATGCTCTTTGAACGATCTAGACTCTCCCACCCTTGTGAAATCGACCGCTGCTTTGCTCGATTCTAACCTGAGACTCACCTAAACAGCAGTGCCATGGCCTGAGCACAAGGCTAGGAAGATTATCGCCCAACGGCTGCTTATAATTTCAGAGCTACTTAGTGTCTGTCCACTTGTCAGTGTTTATATATTCTAGGGCGCCTGATTTGCCCATTTACCCGACAGTGGGAGGTGAAGAAGCGTCGATCGGATGGACAAATCTTGCTTCATGGCTCTGAAGAAGTTACCGTTACCTCCGCCAGGCGTTTGAGGTAATCCGAATGTAGACAAGGGAGAGGACTGTGTAGAGGCGAGGCACTTCTGTTGACAGGGGATTGGCCATGCCGCCACGCTCGATGACTGGGATACCTAAGCTTACAGGCACGAGTTAGGGGTTGTGTCCGAACTCCGAGAGCAAGCAGGCGTTCTGGCGCTGCACAAGACAGGCAAGTCGAGGGGGGCTCATGGGTGTTTCTGTCCTGCTTGTCTATCAATCCTGTTATACAGGGTTGGCTTGATTGTATAGAAATCTACTTTGCTCCGCGGATATAAATCTAGAGATCCGCGGGATGAAACGGAACTTCTCCATCCCACGAAGTGTATATGTATCCTTGCGCAAATCAGCCAGGATCGCAAAGTAAAGAGATCTATAGCCTACACAGTAGCTCGATTCCAATTTTTTTTTTCTTTTTCCACCGACAAGAAGGACAATGACGAAGACAAAAGGCCGTTATCCCAGCCCACCAGCCATCAAGAGTTGAGACAAGCAGCACCGAACCCAATCTTAGCCAAAGAAATAATTGTAAGCTACTTTCTATCCCATTATCGTCATCGCGATGGGATACGGCAGCCCCGGCAGCAACGCCGAAGAGTACGGCCCCTCCAACAAACTGCGTCACTCGTCGGCGTCGTCGCTCGTCACGAGTTCAGGGAAAATAAACACCTGTTCGATTGTCGCCCTGCTCATCCTCCCTCCGATTGCAGCAAACCCGAAACCACCCCCAAAGACAGCCCCCTGAATATTGCAGTCTATTGCCAATCGGACGAATCACGGCGTCTTGTGATGCAGACACTAATGCATGAAATCACACTGTAATGTGCAACCTGCAATCACCACCACCTCCTCCTCCGAAACCTTCGCCGACATCGTTCGCGGACGGAGAATCCCAGATATTTGGGGGCCGAAGGCAGATACGCTATCTATTTGTAGTTCAGTTTGGACTACTGCTGGTGATCAGAGGGTTTAATCCTCTTGGGGGAAAGCGCGGCTTAGGGGCTGGTGGGCAAGACTTCATGTCAGGCTGTCAGGTTGTCAGGCTGTCAGGGGGGGAAGGCTGGGTACTGGGTAGACTAGGGACTAGGGACAAGGGACTGGGGATAGGCCAGGTGGTGGTACTTTTGCCGTCTGGTCATTGTCATCGGCTTGTCGATCCTGGCTGTTGGCGAGTCTGCGACTCTTGTGATCACTTGCTGTCATCTGGCGTCAGAAGCAGAGGGGATGGATCAATGAGCACTCATTCGTGCTGAGATTGATATCGTGGACTAAAGAGCCGCGTGGAGGATGACTTGTGAGCTTGTGAGCTTGTGAGCCTGATAAAGAGATATGCTTGAGCAATTGGGATGATGGACAGCGGCTCGATGAGATCAGACCATCGGGTGCTAGATGAAGATCAGCAATCACTGCGAGGATATTAAGAAAGCAATCTAATTGACTCTGGTGAAGATTCGAAGATTGTCATGGTGAAACCCTCTGGACTCTGGAGGATGGATGAACATTCCCACAACATCCCAGGTGTTTGTGGATCGATCGATATCCGATACAGATAGAGAACTCTGCCTGGTCAAGTCATGGATGCGATGGCGTGAGTGAGCATCATGACTCGAGCTCCCTGGTCCCTGATACATACTCCTTGCATCCCTGGACATTCGCTATTATTATTATTATTATTATTATTATTATTATTATTATTATTATTATTATTATTATTATTATTATTTGGACCTCAGGCAGCTACTGCCTACAGGGTTCCTCCATGGGAATTGTGAGTACAGAGTACGGAGTAGTAAGTCGGTAATAACAATACATGCTAGGGTAAGGTGGGTTAATCCAGGTTAAATAAATTCCTGGCCCCATGTGGATATGCAAGCATGCTAAACCCAAACGAGTATGACGACGATCCCAGAAGACCTAGGAGGAGTGGAGACCATTGATCAGGCCAGAATTCTAATTCGCTTTCTTGCGGCGTTTTCGCGTGGACGACAAGGATCAGTTGTCTCGTTCTTTTTTTTTTATTTTATTTTTATTTTTTTTTACCCCCCCTTCTAGTCTACCCTTTCCCTACTAAAGCCTAAAGGGGGAAAAAAAATGGTGGTTGTATGGAAGCATCAAACGAGAGTTTATACATTTATCATCCATGCTTTACACCCTGGCCCCTTGCTTCTGCAAATAACTAGAAGTCAATCAACTCTCTCAAACAAGCTCTTTGTTGTTGGTTGGTCGTCAACAATAGCATTCGGGGAGGGCAATCGAGGGAACATTCGATGGTTCTTCCAGACTTTCGCAAAATTTGGTACACGGAGAACGCCGCATATAGGATGATGTCAATGTTCAATACCCGATACTGAGTTTCCAGCGTGGCCATTCTGATTCAACGGATGCGATCTAGCTACGTGTATATACGGGATAACGTGCAAATGGGAATTCGCACTAAGCTCAGTCTGCTCTTTTCCAGAATCCGGCAAGCCTGGTGTGGCTGTTCCCAAAGTAATGGTTACATCGCATGCGAGCGACGGAGTAGGTAAGGTGATAAAATACTGTATTGTATTTAGTGTGCTGTACTGTACCGAAATTGGTATTACGACGATGAAATGATGTACTACTACGTATAACGTAACCGATGCGGAGTCTCGATATACCGCCTTCCCGGAAGATCAGCCACGTGTGTCTCCAGCCAGGTCGTTCTTTGGGAAGTTGCTCGACTGATCTTACAGCCAACCTTATTCGTGTTGAATGTTGATCTCAAAAACCAAAGACCGGAGTTGACCTGTCTATCGAAATCCTGCAGGAGGAAAAACAACCCGGTCAGATGATTATCTAGCTTAGACGAGTTACCTAGGCAAGATAACTAACTCAAGCTATCAAAAAAGTTATCTATGTACAATACATCCGTATTCTGCCGCCGATCTACCATCAATCTGAGGGAACAAAATGATACATCAATTTGTCGATCGCCAGGATAATCCCCGCTTAAACACCTTGTCGACCCCTTACCGGTTGCATCTATCGTACGGAGTAACTACCTACTGTCTACAATCTACATCCATACCTATTGTCCGGTCCACACCCTGAATTGCAAGCCACCATCCTGAAACCTCTGCGAGCAATGGCATCCAAGCATGATCCATCTCATTTGTACTTCCTTTCTCTCCCTAGTGCCCTGTATCCATACGGAGATAAATCCTGGCCTTGCTTCCATGGAAGCCTCCAATTGTCTCGGAACTCAGCCATGTCGCAATTCGCATCCCGATAGTGGGACTTCTAGCGCTAATCCACTCTTTTCTAGCGCTTTTCTGGAACCCTTCTGGAAACCTTCTAGCGGCTCCCTTTTGAGATGCAATTCCCGAGAAACTCCACGGAGGACAGCTGGGATTCCGAAAGTCCCTAAACTCCCTTCTACTAGTGGAATTCCGGAGGACTAGGGGGGCTATTACAGATCAACTTAAACCATGGCACGATCTTTCACAACTATCTATCCTAACGGCCGATGGCTGTTTCATCGTCCAATGATCCAGATCGCAGTCTCGCCATCCGGATTCTAGAAGAATGAGGGATGGATCAATGGGTCTTCGAGAAGGACCGGTGAGCTCACTGTGGGCATTGTGCTGTCACACCGCTCCGGGAATACTTGGAACAATGTGAATCATACGAAGTGACCCAGAGCAACAGATGGAGCTGAGGCTGTCGCAAATTGTGATAGCTATCCGAAACAGGTAAATCGTTGATCGTTGTTCATGTATTGAATCCTGGCTAGTGGCTCACCTCACTCCTCCATGGATCACACCGGCGTTTGGAGTAATCCATACCGACTTTGTTGACCAATTTGAGCGTCTACTTCCGTTGAAGACCCTTTCTGCAGTTGCCATGTACTCCGTATGTGCTCGACATATTGAAACGGTTAGCGAGAAGGATGGGGTACTTGGCTCTTGGGTAGACTTGATGGAGTCAAGTCGAGCAATCAGAGTCTGGTTACTCCGTAGGAGTTACGGCCATCTCGGAAGAAGCATGAGATCAGTTGACAATTCTCAGTTCTGTTTTGAAGAATCGGCAGGCATCATGCGATCAAGTCGCATGTATATTGCATGCTTAGAAAAATCCGTACAGCTTGTTCCTTGCATAAGGATGCCTCTACGAAACGCTCTCAGGGTTCAGGATATCTTTAGGATCAAGACATACATCTGCAGTTCCGCACAGCGCTTCCAGACTCCAGTCTTGCCAACTTCCAGACCTGTCAACTCTATTACGCAACAAGCTCATATAGAATGGAAAACTCAATAAGCGCAAATCTGCCCAGACTCCTCTGCACCACGTGGCCATCAAGAATTCCATTGTCTTAAATTCTTTTTTTTTTTTACTATCGTGATTGTGAGTCGTGACTCGTATTTGTTTTCCTTTTGCTTCTAT